AAGACTAATGATTAACTATGAATCATACCTAAGGACGGGAACGGACTTAGTAGGGTAGTAGTTAGTAAGGGTAGAGTAGAGTCGTTAATAAGAAAGCTCACCTCAGTCTTGGATCGAAAGACTGAGGGAGATTATTCGACGAGAGGAAGAATTAATACGTTGATTGAGACGGAGAATCAATAGGGAACGTGTATGATGCATGGTAGGAGGAGTGATTGTGTATGTAAGAAGGAAAGGATAAGTACGTGTAAGAGTCATATCTTGATAGAATCTCACATCACGCTTTCCATCATCACCCCCTTTCTTCGTAAACGCCCGCCATATATCATTAACACCTTCATATCTTGTGCACTGCGAACCTGCTCGAAAGAAGTTAGAACATACATCTGGCACTACCACGCACCACAGTCAATTCTGTTATGGATATTTCTTCTGCTCGACGTGTCTTTCATTGTGCTTCGCCATGGGATCCAAAAGGTCCAGAATAATTGCTGGGCGCTACAGTCGTCGCACTTCTGATGCCAATTGGACGCCACATGTACCACATATGGTGAATGCACCAGAGCGGTGACTAAAGCATGTTACCGGTGTTCGCTGATTTACCCACTTGCCCACATGATAATGAATCGACGATCCATACCTGCTAAAAAAATTCAAAGGTCCACACCAACTGCGCTGATGCCAGATTTTGTCTTGGCAGTTTCCCAACGTCCAGATCCCTCATCGGCGAACACATTGGATGCCAACGCGCCTTCGGGGTATGTATAGAAATTGTCGACATCTCTTGAAGGTTCTTTACGCCATCATAGGTAGGGGTCTTGTTGCTTCGTCTCAGGTATACTGATTCATGCCGGCAAACATCTGCCTGATGAGTGGGTCAACATGTTCAAAGTCTTTGGCTTGGCATCGAAAAAATAGATACTTACTAAGGGCGATCTCAGAGCCAAATATTATGAACGCAAAATGTTATCCAAATAGCTGGGAAAGATAATCCATGTGAAATGCAGTAGAGCATCGGCAATGTAAGATGTGGACGGGTGAGAACGAGAGCAAGGTTGAATACAGTGTTCTCACTTATGATACATTGAAAGCCAAAACGATTTCATAGCACCCGCGGCCCGTCCCCATGGCAGTGAGGAGTCTGCCTGGTATTCTTGCTCGGATTCTTCTAGTTGATGCCAAAATTCGACAGGATCGTGATCATGACGTGGCTGACTGATCAAGCGGTTGTACACCAGGTACGCGGCGTGGAAGGACAGCACCACGCGCGAACATTGAAACCACTGGCGTCACTGGAATGGGTCCGATCATACAAGGGGTCGACAGATATCGCACAAACAGGCTGGTGCAGCTCGTATTAATCTGCTTTGATGGGAAAGTATGACATAGTGATCTATTTTAGGAACGGGAGTCTTAAGGCAATGTGAGGTTGGTGATACGGAAGGTTGCTTGGCTGTTTATTTCTCCTCATAGATATCGGTATAGCGAGAGTAGTACAGGTGAGGGCACAGATGCTGAGTACGAAGGATTGGGTGAGACACTATCCTCTGTGTCGTGGAGGTTGGGTAACCCAGCTTGGTGGTACCCTTGCCACTGATGTCAGAATCTGTGGGGGGTATTGCAGCCGTTTATTTAAAAATGCTGCAGAGCTAATTCTGCTGCTTGGAGAGCACGAGGTCCGTGGAAATCGGTGCAGTCTCAAGGTCAGCTACATATCTCGTGAATAAGTCATCATCCGAGCTGTGACTGGCAGAAATATGGCGAGGTGGGTATGTCTAAAAACCAGTACAGATAGATTAGTCAAGGAACGTGCCAAGGCACATGTATGAATAGATCTTACAATGTACCAGTTTCATAAACCCAGGCCAAATAAATGTGGTATCCACATACACTGACAGAGACCGACTTGGATCTTCGCACTTAGCGTTTTCCTATCCGATGCTGAGCATTCAAGTCAGCACTGAAACTTCGACAAAAAGCTCGACCACTTGTACCTCGGATAGCCTCCAAAAACATCATATCATAATGACCACAGACTCGGATGCAGGATTATGGATGGCCATTGGCCAGTCAGTGTTGGCGCCACCACGAACATTAGATGTTTCTGCCGGCTTGTGAGGAATTGGCAATGTCACGGTGACATGCGAATTGACTGTGAACACGAGGGGCGAGCTTGACAAGATAAAAAGTCGTTTCTGCAGTGATTGCCGAGTTGACGTGACTTGAACAACCTGTCTAGTATCTTTGAAAAATGCAACTACTCACTCATAATTCATACTCGCATCTTCCGCGTCGTCCTCTCACAGTACGGTACATAGTTGTTGCTGCATCAAACACCAAGTACTGCCAGTGCTGACTTTGCTGAGACATCGATGGTCATCAAGCGGTCACGGTAGCGTGGGAAGGATTCGTTGACCTCCGAGTCATCCTTCTCGGTGACATCGTGCTGCGCGCCAGTCAGTTCTGCAACCACATATTTTTAAGCCTTTTCCACTCTGCTCATATTTCATTCCACGTTGTAAAGTTTCATGCCTCGCCAGGACATCAAGAAGGCGACCTTCACTATTCCATTTGAGGGACCCTGGGCGTCATCTCCTGCTGTTGGGTAGCTGCTCGTGATGTCTTGAATCTTGATGGGGCTGCAACCGATTTGATTCTCATTGCTACCAAAGTACGCATCTTTTCGAACCCACGATGTGACGATCTGTGCTTTCAGCATGTTGAGATCTAGCGAGCAGAATCGGACGATCCATTGGACTCACTTTCGAAGAAAAGAACATCAATCACGGCCTATCCAAGTGATATCTCAAGGATGAAGCTCCACCCGCGTCTGTTGTCTCTACGACATGAAGGACGACAATTTTCAATGAGGACATTCGCCATTCTATTTTCAAAGGACCAACATGGCGTTGATAATCGCAGGGCCGTCGTCTCCTCCTGTTGGTTCGTGACGTAGCAGTTTGATTGCAGCTGATTTAGTTCTCATTGAGGTCAAGGGTCGCCTTTTTTCGAACCCATGATGTGTGCTTTAAGTAGTTGAGATCTAGTGAACAGAATCGGACGACTCAGAGCGAAACTCGAGAGTCATAGACTTGCTCCAGGATCACATAGAGAGGGTCTCAAGAGCGAAGTAAATTTGTCTCATCGCACCACGCCGCTACATTTTTGCTGGTTGGTTGGTGCTTTCCATGTGGCTGTGTCGAATGGCTCGATCACTGGGAAGCACTGACTCGTCACGTTGGCGTGGGACGACATCTTTGAATCACCATCGTCGACGTGGGTCTTATTTTCCATGTCATTTTCTCGCACCAATACCAATCTTCCGCAATCTCACTCAGATTACTGTTCTAAAGTATAAAGAACTCGTGCTTGCACCAGGCGTTATATGCTCCAAGGTGTGGACAAGATTGTTCGCACCTCCACGACTGGAGAACATGACGATTTCTAATCACGTATTTGAAACGCTACGAATAAGGAATTGGGCTTGAAGTGAACAGATGCGAGCAGTTCTGCTACTGGGATTGATCTACTTGAGACGCTTCTCAATTTGGAGGCGAGGGTGAGGAAGAGTTGCAGGACGTCTTAAAAATTATAATGTGCCAGCTTGTGGGCAGTGACTCGGACGTCCTCTTTGAGCCTCTCAAAGAACCATTGGACAAGGTAGGCTGTTGTCTCACTATAGAAAACGCACTGAATTTCCCTTCGCCATGTCTGCAGTCCCCGGACTATTTCAATATCGTCTGATGATAAGAAACACTACGATGCCAAGATGATCTGGTTACATTGGCGCTGAAGAAGACAGGACGAGAGCCAAAATTGTCGACCTCATACTCGGCGTGGCACTGATATCTCCGGGACAATCGCAGCGTCAAAAACAGGGTCTTTGATGTGCTAAAGATGTCAGATAACTGTGTTACCAGTTTAATGCATGTCAGCGACAGGAACGAGTAACATTGGTAAACGCAACTATCTGAGTTCCGAGCTACGTCAACATCGCTGATCTAGTTCCTGTCGTAGAATTCGTCATGCGCCCATAAACTGGAATCGGGCACCAGCTTTGTGTGCCCGTTGGCGCCTAGCTTGCTGTATCTGACATATCAAAAATGGCAGTGCTCGTAGACCTACTTGGCTCCTTGTCGGAGCAGGCGAGGAGTCTAATATATTCATGCGAAACAAGGTTCATGCCCCGGGCTACATCTCGTCGATCTCCATTGGATATATTTGCCCTCTTACTATGGCTTAGCAAGGGAATCGTGCTGTCAGAACTCATCCATAGCGCACGCCGCACATGGAGTCCTCCAATATCAATGTACGTGCGTGCGAAAAATACGGCGACCTCGCATGGGAGTCAAACTTTATATTTATGAAGTTGGGCGCTTCAACAATTGGACTTCGTTGAACTCTTTCGGGGGATTACTAACATCCTTGTGATTAGTGGTTGCAAGTACAAAACGGCTCCGAGGAACGTCTGGACTCTTGAGGCGATCAACACTTCTAGCACTTAATCTCTTCCTGCATAAACGATTTATCCATTGCAAGATGTCTGATTGGTCGCCGATCATTGCACGCATTGGTCAACATCAACCCCCTATCCCTCGCATCAGGCTGAGCTCTTTGTCCCTGTACTTCTCAACTTCTTCTTGCCCATGTTCCGTTCTCTCGGAATCAGACAGGGCGTCTGATTCCCCGAACGTGTGGTGATTAAGGTCTCCGGAACTTCCCAGGTGAGGGTTCCCCATTAGTGTCGGTCATTGCGCTCAAAATTTATTGCTGATCGGATCAGGGATGTGATGCCAAGGCAGAAGTTTAATCTATTATTGCTGTATTCGAATACCGCCCATATGTGCCTATTTCCACTTATTCAGCTAGGTTAGGGCATCCGATGTTTAAAATGATGCAATACGAGAGTCCTTAACAGCTACGGTGACAAATCGTGAGGGGATGTAAAGAAGACAGAGGTCATGCATAACGTGAATAAGACGTATCAGGAGAAGAGACTATCAGGCATATCCGAACGATTCGACGTGCAGGGTCACGCTTGGTCCCCCGCTGAGAATACTGGAAGGCCCAGAGACTGGGAAACGAAGGGCATGACGGACCGCGCGTGCTATGCCCTGCGATCCGCAAACTAATGTCATATCCGATAAGTTACACATTCTCGGAAACCGGCGGAATTAATACTTACCGCTCACCGACATACTCCCCGAGGCCACGCTGACCTCTTCTTTGAGCAGTGCATCAAGATCTGATCTTCCACTTTCCATCTTGACGCCGCGCAAGGAAAATAACGACGACGACGTGAAAGAGCCTTCCCTTGTCACAACTTGTTCGGGAGTGTCTTTCTTCTCTGTTGGATTTGAAAGGCTGGAATCCTCTTCCATGGGGAGGGCATTCTCTACCATTGATGGAGAACCAGTATTAAAGATGCGGATAGATACCGTCAGGGAAGGTGGTGCGAGCTGAACAGCCTTGATAAGGGCTTCTTCGATCCATCGAACATACCCTATAAAATATGACGTTAGTAAAGTCGTGAAAAAAGCTGCGGATGAGTCACGAATCCACGCACCAGCTCCGCGTATTGACCAAATGAACACCACTCGTTTGCAATTGCTTTTCCCTTTGCGTACGCGTCTATGGAAACAATAAGACATCAATTATAACAATCAAATTAATAGACGCACTCGATAACGCTCAGGAAGACCGGAAGAGTGTACGATATACCAGACCCTCCTGACTTCGATAAGTACTGTGTCATTACGAGATGACACACAGCTCACCTGCCACCAACACAGACGTGTCGTAAGAACCAAGGTCAGGTGACGGGCCATAAGGACCATCTACAAAAACCTTAACCTTGCCTTTCCTTGCGGCTACCTCCTTTAGCTTTTTCGTAAACCCTCCGTGCACGTTGACCAAAAACACTAGCTCCTTCCAGAATGGAGCGCTTGATCCCAGATCCTGTGTTTCATGGTTTTCATCACTTCCTGATTGATCCTCCGTTGTCACGGTTGACAGAAGACTGGAATCAAAACTCGCAATGGTAAAAGGGTGCGCTTCGAATGGCAGTGTCGAAACTGAGGGCATGATTAGATATGCCGTTTGTCCTGCGGACCAATGAAAATGAGGGGGTCGGCGTAGGCGTAATCGAACGACATCTTCAGAAAGCAATTCTGTTACTGCATCCATTGTGCCAGATCCTGACTTGAAGCCAAAGTAAGAGTGATTGAACACAACCAGCCGAACCACCCGGATGAAGCGATCCAGAGCCCAGAATACGAACGAGGGCCATATCCAGTACGACCCGCTGATTGCCGCTAATCAGAAACGAAGCTGTCTGTATTAATATGCACTTACAAAGCACCCTTGGTGTGGTAATATCCTCCCACTAGGAATATCCTGGGTTCTGTCGGTCAATAAAAATTACAAGAGTGTAGAAGTCCAACACCCACAGAGCGCCAAGGAAGTGAGTGTAGAAGAAGATCTCGTAGACTTCAGTGCGAATGGGACGCAGTGACACTATGATCAGAATAGAGAAAGCAACCATGGCAGTGATACCGACGCGGAGCCAGTCCTCGTTCAAAGTCTCCCGGAAGCTTTCGATGAACTGTATTAGAATGTCGCAACTATGAATTGAAGGTACTTACGAGGGAAAGCATACCACTTCACCCGCTGCATGGACCCAAAGTAGCATGAAGCATGTCCTAGCCATCATTCGATGGATATAGTTGAGCTTTCTGCCCATGAGTAAGTGCTACATGGGGAGTAATTGAGGGCCTTACACTATCATAACTGATGCCTGTGACCACTAATGCGAAAAACTCAGTGACACATCGGATTCGTAGCTTTTCCACCTACGAGACACGAGGTTGTTTTTTGTGCCAAGAGCCGTGATAATGGGAAATTGACTGGATGCCAGCATGCCCACGCGGTTGCTCCAGTAGACGATATCAAGCTTCTGACCCTCGACGGAGGTGGCTGCGTGATTTAGTGGTCAATGCAGTGTAAGTAGGACTACACATAATCATGTGGACTTACTATTAATGAAGCAGTAGATCAACATAAGGACGATGTATGCCACAGTCACAAAAACTTCTGCCATGTTGAGGGTATAGGATTGTCCTATTTCCAGGGTCCATCGGAAGGCAACAACACGATAGAAATTTATGATCGCCAGCGGGATCCGACGGAGAGAAACTTTGTATTGAATGGCATTGGTGGTAGCCGTTTCTTCATCGGACTCGTGGTGTCGGCGCCTGGCGAATTTGGAGTGAATGAGTGACCCCCACTGGAAGCAGCCAACTACAAAGAGAAATGCGGCGATAGTGTACCACACTTGTTCAGGGTAGGTGTCATTTTCGTGAACAAGCGCAGTTATGTCAGCATCAGAGAAATCGGAGGACATCCTAAGTTGCAAGGAAGGGATGAGCTGGCAGAAGAGGGGAGAAGGGAAGACTATATATGAGGAACATAGTGGAAGGAGTTTGAAAGCCGAAAAATAATCTTACCTCAGGCGTTTGGAGTTCATGTGGCAATTTTCAGTGTTACTAAATCACCGGGACATCCGAGTTCGCCTTCTCGAGAACACTGTAACGATCTGATCGCCAAGACTGGCATTGATCTCGCTTCAGCCTATCCGAAAAGGGTTTGCGGATCCGAAGCATTTCAGCAGAATGAATGAGTAAGATGTGACCATTAAAAATCTTATCTACAGTGTGCGCACGAATTCTCGAAGGCACTGCATGCAATAAAGGAAGCTCGCTGCACTGCGGCTGCCGTATAGCTTGACGCCCAGCGCTCAGCGTTTACTCACTTAGCGCGAGGCCTGCCATGCTGTTAAACGTATTAATACAATTGTAGAACACCGTGAAGAGTTATGCATACTTGTTTGGGACCACGGACACATGCGTGCTACTGGTGTCACGGTCAATGCTGAAGTGAGTGTTGTGGATCATGGAGTTGCAACATGAAATTGACCGTCATCAAGTACTATACCTTCGCGCCCATCACATAATATGCCCGGATCTGTTCAACCAAACACAAAAATATGCACACACAAAGGATTTACACACACAGAGTCGCATACAGTTGCCGAGATGTTGTCAGGATGCTTTGGGATTAGCGTGACTTCCCCGTTTTGGTAACACCGCGACGACAAAATGCTCGAGGAACTTTAGTTGGCTAAATCCTTCACCCTTTTCACTAGTTCTTTTGAGGGAAAAAAAGTCACGTAGCTGGTGGGTGAACCCTTTATGATAGGCTTTGCCAGGAGATCAAGAAGGCTTAGAACGATTGTTAGGCGCTAATGGCTTCAAACTTCCTGTATTGATAGGATCATTTGAATGTTTGCATATCGGGCATGCGTCTCAAGCCCACTGGTGCCCGACTGCATATCGACATGTTCACGTTCTGCTTCTCCTGATGGACTCTGATGACTCAACGATGCCATTTGTTGTAAATGAGATTTTAACATATTTCAAATATCTGACTCATAGAAAAGTGTTGCCGTAGTGGGTGACTTCCCGCAGTGTTCAGAACACTGTTCTAGTTCTAAACGTAGTTCTAAACCGCTCCTGCCGACGTGCCGCTGTCAAACGTCAGTGTTTTGCAAGTCCGCACGTCAAACTGACCCAGTTCTAGATTGATATGTAGAAGGGGGGGTAAGACCCCCTTTCTAGATTCAAATCGTGTTCTAAACGTGTTCTAAATCACATTCAAACTCCGTGGCGGTGTCGCAAACGTCTGGTACGATGGACACTTGCTTAGATCTTTGCACGAACATTAACGACGCGCAACCAATCTCACATTTCCAGGGCAAAATGCATGTCTGCTGCCATCTCAGCTGTCCAAAAGACAAATTTTCACTCGTGTAAGTTCCTGTTGCATATATGAGTAGGAAATTTTCGTTGATGATCCATATAATCCAGGGCACATCTTGTCGTCTCGATAACCATAAAGACAGACACATATCTGACCTTCTCGTGTGGTATTTCAGGTAACCGTTCCCGCGCTATGCGTGTCTATCACCCACCACCTCAACCTGCCCCTACAGACAATATTTTCACGTATCAGGCTGGTGAACCTCCGAACATGGGTCCGAACCATCCAAATAACCAGGTATATTCGGTTCTGTTCATTTTAATCAATGTCCTTATTGGTGTTTTCACTTCACAGCTTCCTGGCTTTAGTGCTGCCTTTGGCGGGCTTGATTCTCGCATGATACCCCAGGGTCCTGGCCAGGTATGTCTCCGAGTCCCGAATTCACATTTTGCAAACTGACGTGTCCTATAGAATCAATATACATATCCACCACCTCTCCCTCCTCCATCATACCCAACTCCTGCGAGGCAGCACATTGACCCTTCGTTAATGGACTACGACAACGAGGATGACGAGGATGAATTCCCACCTGTGTCCACCCTGCTTGAGCATGCTGCCAAGCCAGCGAAAAAGATCGCAGGGAGCCGTCGCACGAGCACTGTTATTACTACTGCCAAAGCTAAAGGCAAGGCACGTGCCATCGACAATACTGGACCGCTGGTAAATCGAAAGCGAAAAAACCCTGTCCGCACCTCCCACTGCCTCCGACTCATCTAAGAAACGTGGCCGTCAACAGGGAGCACCAAATTATAACGAAGATGACATTGATGCTCTACTCGATGCGTGCGAATCGTGTTTGCCTGTGGGTGCGAAGAGTTGGAATATTGTTGAAGCCACCTTTGCACGGTGGGCGAATGACAATGACCGTCCAGCTCGCTCGTCCAAGTCTCTCGAACTCAAATTCAAGCAAGTAAGTCTTCTTTCACACATTGTTGGCCATTGACCTAATGAATTATTTGAAGTTTGTTCGAACAACGAAGCCAACAGGGGATGCAGAATGTCCTCCTTACATTGACCGAGCACATTACATCGACACTTTGATTAACGAGAAAGCTGGGACTCGTGATCTTGATGACGAAGAACTTGCTGATGAAGTTGTTGAAATCTCGGATGACGACGACGACGACGACCCAACAGTGTCAGCCCTTTCGAAGACCAAGCCAACTCAAATCAAGCACGAGGCCCAAGAGCCTCGTCTTGGGCCTGCTGCTCGCCGTGCGACATCCCCTGTTATTTCCCGTCCCCCTCGCACATCACGAAGTGCAGGGGTTGACCTTCTGGCAACTATATCTGCTTCTCTCGACCCTCGCCTTCAGGCCGTCCGAGACGAAGATCGCTCAGCACGCGCCATTCAATCTACACAGGTCATGTCGCTGACCACTCAGCTCCGTGATGCACACGCCACCGTCAATAAACTTCATGGCCAGCTTGCACAAGTCGAACGTGAACGTGCTAATGCTGAACGTCGTGCAGACCGTCTCGAGATGCAGCTTGAAATGGCCAAGTTCATGCAGGACTCTCGTAGTGGGCACCAGCAGCAAGAACGTGTTCGTCGTGAGACAATCTATAGAGATGGAGGCCGCTCGACAATCTGGGTCACACCTGACGAGGCTGGAGATGACTTTGGCCTTGATGACCATGATGTGGTCTCACGACGTGACATTGTTGAGGACCAGCGTGTGGGTCGTTACACTCGTGCCATTGTTCCCCGAGTCCCGATGACCCCTCGTACATCTGCTACACCTCGTGCTTCAGCTACCCCTGCCAGTGGCCCATCCTCTGCACGTCTCGATGTCTCATTCACACCAACATCAATTACCATATCTCCCAGTCATGGTAGGGAATCCAAAGGTCCCAATGAGATAGATTAGTTACGAAATTTCGAAGTACATGTGCAAAATAAATCCCCACTTAGTTCTACTTGTCACATATGATGGAATCGTGCGACCCTATCATTTCGACGTTGTTCGGAGAACAACATGCTTTCAAAATGTGCCCATACTTCCTCCTGCTCATTTTGAACCCAGATAGGCATGTATACCGAATGAATTTGGCTTATGCCGACTTTCTGAGCACGAAGATTGTTCAGACGGACACATGCCTCGAGCAAGTCTTGTCGTTGCTCAGAATGATTGATATCGAGAGGGATTCGAAGTCGTCCAAATGAACCTTGAAGTGTGCGCATGCCCCATTCGGCCGTCTGACGAAATGACAGGAGTTGTCGATCGAAGGCTAGCAGGTTCCCCCTTTCAATTTCATTTGATGGGAGGCGCTGCCCTGCCTTGATGGGGGCTTTAATCCGACCGGCAATCTGATCAGTTCCACGAGGGAAGGCAGTATCTGCCACAAGGTAATATCCAGCTGGTGTCTCCTTGCGAAGTTTTTCGTAAATTGGCTGTGCAACACGTGAGTCATGCCAGCTCCCTGGGGCATTGAGTCGACATTGAATAATACTGCCTGCATTAACTAATGAGTAGGAACGAACTGATAACAACGAGGACTTGGACTGACCATCAGCTGCGAATGCAATGACAGAGCTTACAAAGTGATCATGCAGCCAACCATTATAGGTGGCATTCTCGATCTCTTGGTCACTCGAAGTCTGCACTGGTAAATTAAGTCCGTCGAGTGTTCCGAAAGCGCCGGTCAATAACGGGTGACGTGCAGTAACAAGATAATTCAGCTCTTGGAATTTGTCACCCGCAGGCCACTGGATGATGCCTTCGGGAATGTGTTTGAGTGTGCGAAGGAGTATCTGTGAGTGCAAAATTCAGATAGCGTGAGACTGTGCTTGGGATTAACGCGAAAATTTGCATCAGGCTGACTTCTCGCATGGTGGAATTAAGCCAGTGAAGGACAAGGCCCAAGGCCCCTGCAGAATCAAGTGAACGACGATGGGCTCGAGGAACAGCAGTAGTGGGGATGTCATCACGGGGAATGGGTGTGGTGTTCCAAATGGTTGTGAAGCCAGCTGAGAGGAGGTGATTGAATGTCGACACATCAACCCCCATGGTTGTGATGAAAGCTCGATCATTACGAGCCATGTATAGAGCTTGCCAGGGAGTATTGGCACGGGGATTGGGAAGTAGGTCACCTCGAATGAGGTACGTTCTTCTTGCTTGTCGGCGTGCGAGACGTTCACGTCGTGATTCTTCGGCTCCTGAAAAAATCACTGCACCAAGTACAGCTATCCTGTGCCTTCGGAATTCATCTTCATCATCTCTCTCATCCTCCATGAGCTCAATCATGTGATATAGCTGGTGCAGATCAGCTTCGTCGTCGTTCATGTGTAGGTTTAAAAATTATAATTATGTATCTAGAATCTAGATATGATTGGTCTGCGGTTTGGAATCAGTTCTAGATTATGTTGTACTGCGAGCCGAATCTCCGACGAATAAGATTTGAAACGATATCTAGATTTCTAAACACTGCGGGAAGTCATCCAGTATTCTTTCTTTGCCTCAAACGACTTCTCTATTTCCACCGTTCGCCATGTGCGTATGCTTCCGCATTTCTTGTCCTTGAGTATGTCTCTCACCGCCATTGCATACACATCAACGCGTTGTGCAGTCTCGTACTGAAACCCGAGTCTCAGATTTGCTCCTGGACCACGAATTCTGCGGGGAGACATCACCAATCAGTAAGTTTTATCGCACCATGTCGCTAAACACGCTGGTTTGTCGGTATTTGTCTTACCATCCTGGCCTTGGGCAACGTCTCCTTACAATCATGCCAAGGTGCATAGCGATCAGGTCCTCGACAGAGTGACCCGGCTGAATTAGAACATTTCTGCGTGAAGATGTGTTCATCCAGGGCTACGCTGGCGCCTTTTCCACCGATACCCTACCGGTAAGCCATGCGCGAAAAAATCCAGTTATCAGATGGTCGGTGATACCCAAGGGGTTACAATCATAGACTATACGTGTCACCTAATGTAAGCCATATCCAACAACGAGATGGAACTGAAATGTTTAAGCGCCATAGATTATTGGAGACAAAACAAGTCAAATTTGAGGTCTGTTGGCAATCTGCTGGCGTTGCAAATGCTATGTATCTGAAGGAGTATTTAAGGTGGATAGGTTCTGCACATGCCACTACTCGGGACATAAAACCAAGTAGCTGTCATCCTACCTTCCTACTTCAGATATCTTTTTGGGATTCTACATCACATCTCACAAATAATGCGTCTCGCCATCATCCTTGCCGCCCAATTTGCTGCTTTGGCAGCGTCTATGGCTATCAGTGCTGACAGCAGCTGTGCCATCTTTTGTGGCTCAAATGCAGATTGCTGCGCAGGCAGTGATTGCGAGAAAGTATACGACCACCAATATGAGGGAGGTGTAAGTAGTTTTCATCTAGGATTCAATCCCACAACTCACCGGCGTGGTAGTCTGTGTACGTGTTTATGTGTATAGCCCAGTGAGCTACAGTGAGTCATGTTTCTGCTTCACACCGGTGTATTGTAGTTGATGTTCATTGCAGAGAGCGCTTGCTTTTGAAAAAAATTCCACTGCTGTTCGAGCAATGAAGACCTTGGAAATAGAGGGACAGCTCAAACACTTAGAACATAACATATGACTGAAGCACTTACGACGCATTGTTTTTCTCCTCGTTGTAAGGCTATCCTTCCACAGTGTTTGTCAGGCAAGCCCCGAAAGGATTGCAGCCGTATGTGGTCCCTAATAAATGTCATATTTCAGTAAGATGTTAGTTTGTACACTACGCAGGGAGGGACTCGGAACCAAGTCCAAATTGTGGCACAAATTGTTGTTCATGTAAGGCTAGGTTCCACTCCATCACATATGGTATGATCATATGACTTACGAGCACTTCACTGGCAACCTGACTCAGACACGCCCGTGATTCTACACAGATTATTGTGAATTGACATGTATGAGTTGTTGGAACTTGGAAGTCAGTACAAAGTTCAAACAACGATAACCGTTATCGTATCACGTGACTATTTACCTCTATAATCACGCACCGTGAAAAACTACCTTTTTTTGACCAGTTTTGCGTATTTTTCGCCACGGTAATCCAAATGCCCACTAGGTCGATCCGCGCGTCCTTATTGCAAGCTGAACACTTAGATACAACTGGTGAGAGTATTCGAGAGTGAAAAGAAATTTACTAGGCCTAAGATAAAGCTCACCTTGACAACCTTGCTCAGAAGCGTATCTAAGTGTCTGCAGACGCGAAGGGGAAATATTGGGTCCAATCATGCCGCATTGCCATACGATACAACACAAATGCCTAAAGGAATCGTTCGGCGCCGTAAAGGTACGAGAGATCTTCGAGACTACAATATCTCCAACGTCCTGACGTCCATCATATCATGAACAGAAGCCACATCCCTGACTTGAGCAACGATATTGTGATCCGACGCGATTCTCTTGTATTCCCCACCGCCCTGCTGCTTCAGCAAGAATGCTCCAAAAGGCTGCCCAAGGCGAACAATCAACCTCAATGCTCGTGAATAACACTCCGGATCCGGATCGACCGGCTCATTTTCTCCAGAAAACTCGCTGGATGATTCGTCTGAAGGAGACCGGCTCTCTGACCAATTTTCTGACCAACTTTCCAGGCTCTGGATCTCATCTGCAAGGTCAAGCGACTCGAGGTCATGTCGACTCCACGGACGGACGATGAAGAATGGCTGTCGTGTAGACTTTGCCCGCGAGAAATGGGCCAGCTTGTCATCTGTTGTGATTAACACGTTTTGAAGCCCGTCTGCCTTGACTTCATATGTGAAATGTATCTCCGATGGGTCATGACTGCGCCTCCGTCTGATCTCTGTGACAGGAAATACGATGCAAGGCAGATGCAGTCTGGAGTTTGCGAAACGAGGAGCACTGAAGCTGTCAAGGAGGGCGTAGAGTTTTAATGCCAACTCCATAGTCACAGTATTTTGCAGCGTGGAGACGGATTCCTGCATTTCGTCTTCGGATAGAGATGGTAGTGTGCATGGTGGATGTTTGTACGATGTAATGTCAGCTGGGAGACAGCTGTTGAACTCGGAGGATTTTCCGACCCAGTCTAGGGCAGTGATGTCGCCCGTCCGACCGACGATCTCCTGCAAGAGCCGACCGAGTGCGTTTTGTTTCGTCTCTCCATAGATGACGGGTAGGTGGACGCCGAAAATGCCAAACAATGAGTATGCAATGTCTTCCTGCAATGTCGTGACACGCGTCGACGCCCAATGAAGTTTCTCTCGCGCACCTCTCATCCCCGGACTGAATGTGACGAGGGACCGTGCATCTATATCTGTAGAATCCTGTAATTCCTGCATGATAGTGACAGACTCTTTGTGGTTGGGAGAGCGGTCATTGAGATAGGGGGTCCAATCTGCTTGGTAGAAGCGAACGACTCTAGGAGCCAGGAATTCCTGCACAGTCCATCCTCGGGTGTTCCAAGCGCTCTCTGCCAGCGCGCCAGACTTCGACGAGGGCGGAACATCTGATAGGTAGACGATGGTGAGTGCTGACTGGCGATACCAACCAAACATGGAGTTGACCGATCGTTGGACCTCAACATTGTTACTCTGGTCGATGCAGCATGTATCGCTCCACGCCCAACGATACCCCGCATCGCGAGCAGTTTCGCAGAATGTCTGCAACTTCACCATGATTCCGTCTGGCTCAAAATCAAAATCATACACAGCCTTGTCCTGGATATCGTGCAGCGACGGCTCCGTGGGTTCCCACCTATGTGATAACATAACCCAATGGAAGTATGCCTCGACTACTTCTTCGATGGGCTCCAGTTCCAGGTGCGGATGATTCATCGATGAGGATAAAACCTCCTGGTACTCCGTGCTCCCCTGGAAGATATTTATCTGTACCTGTCGAGTGCATATGCGCCCAGTATAGGTGTCCAGTAGACGAAGTGGAGCGTTTTCCAGACGGGCGTGAATGGCTTTTCGAATAGCATCTTCTACGTCTGATTGACTGACATACTGATGACGCAGTTCTGTAAAGTGTTCATAACGTTCACTTTGTCGCATGAGTGGTTCGGAACTTACCTCGTATCTGCGGGTCGGATGAATCGTCTGATTTCAAAAGCATGGTTTTGAAGGCTTCGATTGCTTCATCATAGCGATGTGCGCCGTGAAGTGTTGCATACTTCAGTTCATACCCAACATGAGATGAGGAATTGAGTTCGATGACCTATGTATTGGCAGTATAAGCAAAACTGCTAGAGAAACGATGAATTTCGTCCATACCCTGTCCGCGTCGTGGAGGGCCTCTGCATAAAGATTTTGTGCTAAATTTGCCTTACTGCGGTGCGCAAAAAGGGATTCGCATGAGGAATCCAGCCCAATCCCGGCTGAATAAAGCTCGATAGCCCGATCATAATTTCCCGCAGCTGCAGCCTCGTCTCCCATTGCGACACAGCGCGCCGTGCAGTTTTTTATGAAGGCTAAATAATCCCAGTAAGTATCAGTGTTCAAGTTGACTAAGACCACAAAGCACTTGCCAGCAGACCATTCGATGCAACTGTCCTTAACATCCTCGCCAATGATGCGCATCATGTATTGGTACGATTGGACCGCTTCGGTCACTCTATCGGCGTGGAGACATGCGTCGCACCGTCTTTGGTTGACAGTTTGCCATAACGAATCCAAGTCCCAGCCGAAGAGCTGTGCAGCACACATCAATGAGTGAAAGTACGCCCTGCAGCTTCGTAGTGACGCACCACCGTGAATATCTTCAATCTAGGTTCAAAAAGTATTCCGCGAGAGAATAAGTCGGTTAGACTGGGAATACTCTCTTTGAATTTATCGGCGGCTTCGCTATACCGCCCGTTCTCGAAAGCAATCATTCCAAGCTGCACACGTAAATATCTCTGAGGATTATATTTGAGAATGAGAAAACACATAAGTGCTGACATAAAACTCACGTTGACAACGCTGCACGGAAGTGTATCTGAGTGTTGATAAGCGGTAGCGAGGTCTCCAACTCGCCGCATTGCATCATCGTGGCGACTGGAATTGAAAAGTGCAACAGCCTGTAAAAATGAGACGGAAGCCTCAGTATGACAGACAGACTACGAAAACAATGAAAAGAGTACCTTGATCAACAGTAAGAAATCGATGGTAATCTGATCATAATTCGAAAATGTGGAAGCAAGATCGAAAGCTTCCATCGCGTTCCAGTGCTGATGGGAACCGCAGAGGGCGATGCCCTTGGAAATGTAGCCTAATGGCGAGGGCTGGATGGCAATGGACTATGTAACCAAGCACAGTCAACAACAACAGCGTCATGATATGCAGAGCGTCTGACCTTGACTGCATCTCGAAGTGCATTGCCCCACTCGGAGTGTCGCGCCCTTACAACTGAGCGATTGGCATATGAGTTGTAGTTGTTGCCATCTGCATCGATCTCTTTGGTGAGCAGGTCTGCCGCTGTATCCAGATCCCCAGCAATGCATGCGTCGCGAATCGTCGAGTTTGTAGTGAGGATCTGCATGAAGCATGCTCACAATTCCGTGATAAGTATCGAAGCAAAACAACTTACGTCAAATGATGAGTTCGATGAATGAATGCTTGTCCTGTCGTGGTAGCCGGAATCGCTGCTGCTGTTGCCGCGTCTACGCATCTGTGTGTCACCGAGCAGCTAGGGGTGGATGAAGAGAAAGGCGAAACAATAAATTGAGAGCATACATATGTGTTACTGCGATGAAGTCGCCGTCGCTGCGCTTCTTCATCCTCGGTTATCCTTTTTTCCTCTTCCTTGCCTTGCTCGAGAATATCCTTGATCGACCGGAGCCAAACCCTCCCTTGGCCATCTCCACTGACAAGTAGCTCTCCATTAGGGGAAATTGCGACACAGTGAACCCCCGTAGCGTGTTCGAGTGCCTGTCCAATGTGCTGATGTGTTTTTGTGCTCCAAATCCGCACAGTCTTATCGTCCGATGAAGTGGCAATGTAGGAGCCATCAGAAGATATTGCAAGCGAGTTGACATATTGGGTATGACCCGTGCAAGGTTGACCGATCTGGGCTCCGTTTGACGAATTCCAGAACTTGACTGTTTGGTCATGTGATGCGGAGATAATTTGCTGACCGTCAGGAGACCACACAACGCTTCGAACCCAATGCTCGTGAGCCCGGATCTCGAGAAGTTGTTCAGCATCATCGGTGCACCAAATGCGGACGGCACAATCCACTGATCCGGAGGCTAATTTCTGGCCATCTGGGCTAAATGCGACACTCAACACCATATTGGGATGAGGAAGTGTTGCAAGGACAGTGCCAGTCTCCGCATCCCAGAATACAACCGTTCTATCACTCGAACCGCTTGCGAGTCTCTTGCCATCAGGGGAGAAGCACACAGAGTACACCCAATTTGTATGCTTCACTAGCGGTTCAAACACCTTCTGTCTGCTCTCGACGTCCCAGATGATGACGGTTTTATCACTTCCGCCGCTCGCGATTCGCTTGTTGTCTGGCGACACAGCGACTGATCGCACATAGTCGCTGTGCGCACCGAATGACCCTCCTACCGATTCTCCTTTCTGCACATCCCAGTGTCGCAGGGTGTGGTCCCTTGAACCCGTGACGACCTGTTGGCCGTCTTTGAAGAACGCTATTGCCCAAACTGTGTCCGCGTGCCCTCGCATCGTCCGTGTTGATGCCGGACCACCTTGTGTTGGCATCGGACCACTTTGTGTTGGCGCCGTACGACTTCGTGTTGGCGCCCGACGATTTCCTGGTGGCGCCGCACGACTTTGTGGTGTCTGCGGAGGCAGCGGCCCCCTCACTGTATGATACGCCTTTTTTGCTGCACCAAGCATCCCTGAGATATCACGTTCTCCTAGACAAAGCGATGTATGTTTAGTCACCGTAGCGTTTGTAGTTGGCGAGGAGCGCACTTTATGGATCTTGGATACGTGTTCGATCTTGTGAGTAGCGCTGGATTTCTGCCAGCTGATGGGTCACAACTCATGTATGCTGGGTCTGTATTAATACCAAGCTTCTATTAATACAGCATGAATCTCACGTCAAGAGGCTCTTCATAGAACATCCATCATACACCGGTAACCCCTTCATGCTGTGTGCAATGACTCCAGTCGACGGCCTTTTGGGAGCTCTTGTTTGACGGAATTTCCAGGTGATCATGATGGATTGAAGGACCCGGAACGGCTGCGCTTTCGAGCGAGTCTCCTCGCAGCAGTAATCGATGAGAGACCGTGCGGCGTGTGATGATTTTAATTGTCCAACGATGCAGAATCCGGGCCATACGACCACCTCCAAACCACCTCCGTGGTTCTATTGATATCAACCTCTTCATTCGGCATAAGGTGGGTCTCCTTGTTTTAAAGCGGAGTCTACATATATAACCCAGACTCACTGGCGCCCGCGGTGATGGCTGTTACCTTTTCCACACGTGGCTCAATTGACAAGGAGAAACGCTGGAGAACCCCTAGAACACCCAAGGGCCAAGAGGCAGATCATCATTGGACGCTAGTTTTGAGTCAGTCACAAAATCTGTCAATGGCAATTGAAGATCACCATCGCACAAAGGATTGTCGAGCACGGTACACCCAGTGAACCATCTCCCATGGGTCTTGATCTTCCTCGGGTTCTCTCCTTGTATTACTTCTAAAACGAGATTATTGCACCCAGTGACTAGAATACCCCTTGATTTGCATCTGCTCAAGCGGCGGTTCAAGCGCAGTCCAGTGCAATACTGGGGCAATGGGGCATACCTGTAATAGTTTCCCTGTCGAATCAGCACTGGAATGCAGAGTTGTAAACCGCAGTCAACTTGGTCTGACTCGGACTCCCAGTATCAACGTTCTGCGGAACTCGCACGAGGTGTTCGACGAATCGCAAAATGCACGCATGATGCGGTTGTGAAAGTGATTCCATAGCATCAGTAGTGTCTCCGAAATTCTTTGATGTTCCCATTAGAAAATCAATGTTATAAGTCTTTAGCTCGACATCGAAAAAGCATAGGACAATAGATAGGGATGGCCTTTCTCAGTACCGACTATGAGTCCACGTAAATGCAAAATGTTATCAAAAAAAAATCGGAAGATCCATGCGAAATGCACAATCTAGAGCGTTGCAATGCAAGATGTAGGTAGGTCAGAACGAAAGCAAGGGTCAGTACAACAGTTTCACAACGTCTCTCCTATGATACATCGACATCCAGCGGAAGGCAAAAAGACCTCATAACACCCGCGGTCCGTCCCATGCCAACGAGCTGTCTGCCTGGTCTTCTTGATCTGATTCTTCTGGTCGATACCGACCTTCGCCAGCATCGTGATCATGGGTTGCTTCTGATTGAAGCTGAACAAGGGGTTGTTGGCCGGGTGCCAAGGAACGAGGGTGTGGAGGAGTCTGCAGACGGGAAGGGGATTGGGACCAATCACGCGAGGGGGGCGACGGATGGCGCACTTGTAACTCGTATGACCCTGCGTTAGCAGAGGGTGAATATGCACGGCGTGAGTAATCTAGTTTAGGAACTGGAGATTCAGGGCTCAGGGAGTGTGAGGTCGATGCCGCCAAAGTTGGTGCTTGGCTACTTATTTCCCCGGATGGATACTGATATAGCGAGGGTGGTATGGGTGAGGGGATGGGGATGTCAGATGCTGAGTAGTAAGAAGGACCGGGGGAGACAGAATCCTCCGTGTCGTGGGGATTCGGTAACGCGGCCTGGGAAACCAGCTCGATAGCATCTGCGCCATTATCATCAGGAATCTTCCTACTGACGTCGGAACCTGCGGGGGATCTAGGAGCTGTCGGTTCGTAACCTTGCTGCAGAGCCAATTCCGACGCTGAGCGGGCGTGAGGTTCGCGGAACATGGGTGCAGTCTCAAGGTCAATACCACCCTTGTTTTTCGATTCCTTGCGATGCCGGATTCCCAGACGGTCTTTGAGATCTCCAGCAACCCACATCTCGCGAACAATGTCTTTATCCAAGGGCATATACGTCGATTTAAAGAACTTGATGAGGAACCGAGGCGCTAAACGATCGTCAATTAGGATGAGTCTCCGAGAACACCGTTTCGACTCACCGAGTGCCACTAAGACGGAGAAAACAACCGTCGTCCAGAACGTGACATTGGCGAAGAGAATTGCTACCTCGTTTACAAACCCATCTGTGGAAGAGAAGAAGGTGTTGACCGGAAGGAACGAGTAGATCACGACCCAAAGCATCATAACAAGGGACGATCCGACAACGACGACCCAAGTGATGGAGGTCCAGCTAAAATAATCAGCATTAAGCTTTATCAGAACAGCACGACAAAGCATACTCACTAGTGAGTGTTCATCCCAACGTAAGTGTTTGCCGCAAAGATGGCAGCAACCGCGACGGTCGTCCCGAAGTCCGATAAAGAATCGATCCCTTTGCCGTTGGAAGACACGGCCAGTCCAAGCTGCCAGACCAAGTAAGGGATGAAGAAGACGACCGCGGACTGGTAAAGACCATCGAGCATGTAGAACCAGAACTTTGTCCGCGTGTACTCTAGGCCTCTGATACCCCGAACATAGAGCTGAGGGAAAGCAAGGGCAGCTTTTGCATTGATATCCTGATCGAATGCTAATACGAAAAATTGAGAAAGACCCAGCAACTAATGAATAAAGCTCACCTCCGAGAACGATGACAGGCAGCGACGTAAAGATAAGGTTGTAAAACAAGATGAAGCTGTAGTCGTATAGATAGGTTGCGTCGAAGCTTTCAAAGGTATCGTCAGCCAACGAACACAAATCCAAGAACAAAACTCACTAGCAAAACGGCATAAACCAAAACATGGCCAACGTCCAGATGACATTCTGAAGCGACGAGTCAACGACAGGCACAATCGAACAATGTCGCACCACACACCTTGTAGAAGAAGTTACTGTGCATATCAGCAATACGCTGATACGACCACCTCCCATGGACGAGCAGCAGCTTCGTCAAAAACCTGAACTGACCAAACGCATAATCCGCAGACATAGCAGCTTGTGAACCTTCATGTCCAAGCAAGCCACAACCAACATTGGCCTCTTGAATCATGGCGACGTCGTTAGCACCATCTCCTATAGACAGTGTCATCGCCTTCCGGCCCTCCTTGACCTTGATACCGAACTCGAGGTTAACGGGATACCTCAGGTAATTACGGTATACTCACCAGCTTCACGGTCAGCGCCTTCTGGGCAGGGGAGACACGACAGCATACCACCGTTTCGCACTGAGTACCAAGGTTCAGGAACAGAGGCTTGATATCCGGCGTCAATGCGTGACGAAGGGTGTCTCCATCAATAACGACCGCAAAAGAAGCCCTAGCGCCAGGGACAAACCCACGTTCCAACGTTTTCGAAGTAGGCGGGCCCAATATCGACGCAATTTTGTTGAGACCCGCCTCTATCTGAGCAAGAGTGCCTTCAGGACTGTCAGCAGAAAGGATCATGACTTCCATATCTTGCTTCAAGAGGTTGCAGCTGAAACCTGTGGCACGATGAGATCCAGTCAACGCAACATCAAAAACGCCACTCACCAATTTCGATCGCCGTTTGTAGCTTGTCGCCGGTGAGAATCCAGAGCTTAATTCCAGCACGATGGAGCATTTCAATGGCTTCCGGAACTCCTTCTTGTAGCTTGTCCTCGAGAGCCGTAGCGCCCAGTATCTGCAACGAGTGTTCCACCTCAGCCGCTGCGTTTTCGATAGCCTCGTCCCGGTTGTCAATAGTGGACTGAGCAGCTTCATACGTCCGCAGCCACCCCAAAAACTCATCCTCCGGGAGCACTCTATAGCCAATGCAGAGCGTGCGCAAACCACCATTAGCGAAAAAATCCATGTCCTTGGTCGTCTTCTCCTTCAAGGCGGGGTCCACATCCGCAGCAAGCCGTTCATATATGACGCTGTCCGCCCCTTTGCAGTACAAGATTATGCGTCCGTCGGATGCACGGACGATGACGCTCATACGCTTGCGCGTACTATTGAACTCGAGCGTCTTGATATGCGTGAACCGCTCAGGTTGGCCAAGCACTTCAATGTCGATCGTGTCCTTGTGCTTGCCCACGAAAGGAAAGCCTACATCCCGCGCCGCACCGACCAGCGCCGCTTCATCAGGGGACTCGGCCTTATAATCCAAGTGGTAAGGTCGCTCCTGCGGCTCGGGCTTATCCGCCAATACCGAGTGACAAACAGCCAAGGCACGGAAAAATGCGACGATGTGAGAATATTGTTCTGTCGAGCGGTCCGCGAGGTCCTCTGCGAGCTTGGGTGACACGAGTGTGAGTTTGTTGGTCTGCATATAGCGATTCTTGAATAGCTTGGTCAGCTTGGCAACCATTGTGTCCTTGAGCTCTGCAAGCTTTTCTGCCAACTCTTCCGGTGCTACTGCATCAGCTCGGCCTTCTCTCGTTGCAGCCCCACGCTGCGCTTCGGTAACACCCTCTCCATATATGACCCCGCGCACCGAGCATTTTTGGAACTCCATCACGTTTTGTGTCAGCGTTCCGGTTTTGTCAGAGAATACATATTCGATTTGTCCGAGATCGTCAGATATACCCCAGTTCTTTGGGACACAGGCGGTGTTGAAGGGCTTGTAGTACATGTCCAAATCTTGAGCGATGAAGTAGGCTTGGATGGTCTTCACGATTTCGATCGAGATGAAAAGGGAGACTGGGACGATGTTTTGAAATGCGATGAGACACGAGCTGGAAGGGGATCAGCAAACGTTCAAGTGACGTTACAAGGACATACACAAAAGTAACGAGCGCGTTGAGCACATTGGAACTGGTGGGTTGGACGCCCTGCTCGTAGATGTACGTACTTGTGGCCGTTAGCCCATCCATGACGCCATTGATGGTCGCTGACACAGAACAGATGACGACCAAGAACAGGAAATTCACTATGACATTGAAGTTTGTCTCCTTCGCGATCTTGGATTGCTTGGATGGCGTCTGTCCACCATTCAAGTATATCTTGGTATCGGGGCCGGTGAAGACGACCAGTCCAATGATCCATGCGGTGTTCCGCACGGTGCAGCCGCGAAGGAGAAGCTCATTGATAGTGGCACCCTCTCTACGAGGTTCGCCCGTGGAAGCGTCTGTATATCGCAGGACCCCATTGTATATATACAAGTTCTGGTGTGGAGGTTCTGAATCGAGGATAAACGAGGATTTTTCGATGTCTTCTTCTGAGGCGAGGGATGATGTGGCCTGTACTGCCTTCCGTACCTTGAGGTTTGTTTCGCCGTCAAGGTTCTTGGTTTCGAGATAGCACAGTCCGTCTGGATCGGATGTCGACAACACAACGATATCAGCAGGAACCTGCTCGTCTTCGCGTAGCAGCACGATGTCGCCAACCTCTAGCTTCTTCCACAGCGTCCGCTCCCAGCGAGCTGTCCCGTTCGTGCGCTTGCTCCAATCTACCACGCCCAGAGATGACCGTGAAGGAGACGACTGCACATAGTTTGATAGGGACATACTGTGCTGACCCCATCCTCCAAGCTCATTTTCTGGGAGCCCTGGAGGGTAGGTATGTAAATCCACGCTGCCTATGCTGCCTTCAATGTCCTCAAGTTGCCGGCCACCTGCCCCTGTGGGAGGGTGAGATCCGCCCAAGGCTGTAGTGCCATCATTCATGTCTGCGGTGCTCATGCTGACCCTATCATCACCTCCCTTGCTCAGGATTGTCTGCTTTCCCTCGCCTGCTTCCTTCTCCCGTAATTTCTGCACTCCACGAGTGACTTTTCCAGGAGCATTTATATGTAGCAGCCGTTGATACCACGGTCGGGGATCAAGGGCCTGGTTTACGTTGCGCCACTGCCCTAGTCGCGTCACTGCAGAAGTGTTCACTTCTTCATCGAGTTGGGCTCGTCTAAAATCCTCGACACCATCCTTGACTGCTGTCACAACTAAAATGAACAACAGAGGGAGAGCCGCAGTCGACGCTGATGCGGCACCGAAGACGGGGAACACTGCCCAAGTCTCATCAGTAACTGCTCCACAAGGCACTACCCCAGTTATCCGCAGCACTCACATTGGAAAATGACAAGCGCCAAGAAGTAAATATTGGCAATTCTAAGGGCAATCAATGAGGTTACTGTTTCATAGACAGTGACACGTACCGGTGAAATTGTTCATAGAGATTCTTCGGCAGAAAGGTCAAGAGTGTGTACCCTGTGAGCAATATTGAAACTCAAAACGGGATTGAGGACGGGATGTGAGACATACTGCTTGTGCGAACTTTGTTCCGTGCATACCGGGCGAGTGGTTCGCCATACTGGTCAGCCTCCATAGCAGAGAGTGGGAGGTTCACGTATATGTTCCTCCGCGCGCCTGGAATGCGCGGTTGCGGGGCTGAGGGGGCCTCAGTTGATGGGACCGCTGATGGGGCTGATTCGGAAGTCTTTGGTTTCCTTGCATTCTTGCGGAAAAACAAGGACCTCTTCTGGGTGACACTCCGCCTCTTGTGCGCTCTAATTTCTGAGCGTATAGATTCTGCAATGGTGGAAGCTGCAGTGCGCACTGTGCGGAGACGGAGTTGTGGGTCTATGGTATCATTCTCGTCGATGTCGGATGGTGGTGGATGTCGCTTGAACAAAGACATTGAATTAGTGACCAGGGGTATCGTGAAAGGGTCCTGGGACCGAGAACCAGCACGGCAGGACAGAAATCGGGGAAAGAACGAAGAGTGGAAAGACGGTAGTGTTCGCAGCAAGCAGAGCCTATGCAGTGCCGCACCAATTTTGGCCTGCTATATTAGGACCCCAATCACCTTTCACTGCTATAAGAAACTTGGCAAGTGTAAAAGACTTGAATCGAACTCTTGGCGCTGTTGAGAACAGTGACGAAGTCGAAAGTTCAACTGGTCGTCGCCAACCTTCGCCAACGTGGACGATGAGCGATTCGATTATCTTGGCAAGTACGGTATGGTACTGTTATGACGGCCCTGCTGTCACATACCCACGCCAACAACTTAAACGCGCGTCCATTAGCGCCCTCTGCCGCTCGATATTCAAAATCCTTCAATTTGCCAGCACATTAATGGTCCATATCAAAGGTAGAGACCATCTGTTCCGGTACATTCGCAGATGGCCCCAGCACTCGCTCGGGTCTCGACCCTCGTTAACGTGTTAACCGCAAGGGTTTCCACTGGCAGCGGCAGTGGTTATTTTCAGCACACGTTTATACATGCAGGCAACCTGACACACCCCGCATACTGCGCACAGCTGCGGCCCGGGAATGTAATATTGTTTACCATTAAAATGGCATGCTGATGCAAAATTTGATACAGCTGGGTCCAGCCTGACTCCGAGCATGGCCAATGACTTGGTCAAAGAACTAGATGGCACCGCGTGTTGTCAATAACCAACATCTGCTAATGTTCCTTTATGGTTTACTGCCATCTTCATGTTGTACATGCAGTCAGTGGAACGTGCAGTAGAACCCTCCTTGCTTCATTGTCAATAGTGCGGACGACAGCAGGCTTCTTCGTGGGTGCATAGTCGCAACTTCACCCACATGCACCTGTCATCTCTCTATGAGACGTCCTCCGGTGTTATTTGAAACGGCGACGGCTGTTGGCGATTGCGTTGGTATTCGTAACATCCATGCTCGTCGGGATTCTCTCGTAAGAGTCTTTTCCAGGTCTACCTCGCCGCCCGGAACATATCCCCGCTCTGAGCGGGTGCTCAGTCCCCTGTGTATACCACCGTCAAGCCTTTTTCTCTCTGCGCCAGGGATAGCGAGTGTGCGTGTTCACAGGACGGTAGGTCTCACAATTTCCCTTCTGCAGCGGGTATTCAAGGAAAATCGGGCTATCATGGAGAAGGGAGCTCATTGGTTGATTATTTTCATACCAGGTAGACCTATTCTTTTCGCCTGTAGCATCATTGTCGACATGGAACTGGCTTTCTACAGAGGTGGACCAGCAATGGTAAGTATCCAGCTTACGTACAAGATCAATGGCCATAGCTGAAGATTTTGACATCCGTGTTACAGTTCTTCATATAGACTCCAGTAACTACCTCTGATTAAGCCTCGGAATGAGCCTGGGCTCTCTTCACCTATTTCATACTTATAGGACCTACTCCAACTGGAGTTAAGTTCAAGCCCCTTCTTTGAATGTAGATAACAAGATCCACTCAGTGCGCCCCTGCGAACATGGTATGGGATTGGTACTACATCATCCCAGTGGGTGGAACCATAATAGACAACCACTGTTGTGTATTCCCTCGACCAAGTTTAACCCATGGGAGGTTTTGGCCGGGCACAATGGTGCATTGGAACACAGCTGTTGACGGAGGACGTCAGAGACAGCTCCCGTGCGTGTATAGAGTCAGTTCAGAAGGTCTGTTCCTCAGCGCTGTCTTCAAAGATCAGAAATATACTCAAGGTCGAACCTCCAGTTTTAATTCATCCCCTTAACTTGATGCCTCCGCACCACATTGTTATTCACAAACATGCAACATCGCCACGTTGACGCTCGACTCAAACGCCAATATCTATCGATGATACGTACAATCATGTGACACTGTATTAATACAGTAGTTGTAAGTAATGCTGCCGATCAGTATCACAGGGTACATCTCACTTCGCTGGCTATTGGTCACAACAACGAACGATCATTCGAAGTTCGAAGCAACTTTTCGCCACTCCAGGCGATGCTTGTCATCGGACCAAGTCGGACCAGATTTCTGCTGACGGACTAACTGACCCATCTGATTATCAGTCTTTTGTATGTCCTGGCGGCCGCCAAGCTCCTTAGGAAATTTCAAAAGCATGATTAACAACACACCAAACATTGACGGACCAGCCGGTCCTCAGTATATATTTTCGACAATAATTGCAAAATCCTACAATTGCAATACGTGGCAGAGTACGGATAACTTGCTAGAATCCAAGCGGGTCAACACTGATACAATTTTAGCGTCAGGATAAACATAGGCCGGTACAAGGTCCTTGGGAAAACAATTCAAGGTACGGCCATCTATTAAGCTATGTGAATCCGATGAACTTCTTCACATCATCAGATATGATGTCGTTAATGCTATGCGTCGCTGACTGCACAGAGCCATTGAAGTACTATCAGGTACTACCAGAATATGCGTGTGGCGATCAAGAACACGGACGATCACCACATCGTGAGGCGTGTCGAATGAACTGCTATTTTTGCCCTCTTGCTACTATATTGATCCAAAGATGCTGCATTCAAGATCATCGCGAGTCCCCAGTCGAACCGTGGGGTGGGAAGATGAGTGTGTCGACAATCGTACTTAAGTGGGGTTCGCGGCGGCATTGGTCCTTTCAGCACTTGCGGGCAGGTCTAATAGAGGGCATAACGTTTTGATCTTTCTTTTGATGTCTTCTGCTGCAATTTCGGAGCTTACCGATGTGCAGGTATCTCAGGTATGCAAAGACCCCAGCTTGATAGACTCGACGCTAACACGATGTTTGATTCAGTACGCCAATAGTAAGTGCCCATGAATCGTCCATGAAGTAGACGCCGACACTGATTACGTCTTATCCTCAGTCGGTGCTTTGGCAATTCTTGTGAGTATGGAATCCATTTATCATGACACCAGCTCAACGGCTCTCTTCGGCGTCTCAGATATTCGATTTCTGCATAACATTCCAGGATGAGGTCAAGATGAATGGGATCCGTCCATGAGTATTGTTTTCATCAATCTCTACAGGTACAGTGGACCTGGAACAGGCCATGGGGCATAACTCGTGTCATCTTTGTTATATCTCGATATCTGCCTTTCGTAGGCTCTGGATTGACTGCATATGGTGAGTCACCAGCCTGATCCTTATATTTGCGTATTGTTGATGGCTATCTTAGCTGCACTGCGTGTCAGCGGTCCGGTAGGCACTCGGAAGAAGTGACTTCTAATGATAAGCTGATTAGATGGCGCAAAGTGTCCCCCTAGTCTGGCGGAAAACAGTGAGTCGTCGCGTCCAGTTTTTAATTTTCACTCAGTCTAACAACGCGATCTTCAGTTATTCATATTATAGGTATCGCTGCTGCGGAAGGTGCGAGTTGCACATATCACCGTCTTTGCCAAGAGCAGGGTAGATAATGCTTCCTTCGACAGGCTTGCTGGTTATACGGACATGGGCATTCTGGCAAAAGAGCAGAAAAGTGCTGATTGGATTAATCATAGGTAGCGTGGTGCGTCTCCCGCAGGGCTGGAATAAGGGCATGGATCTTTAATTTTACAATAGGTGACACTAATCGGCGCCACTTCTATCAACGTCATTCCAAACCACCAGTTGATTCCGGGAGGTGAGCTCGTTCGTATTTACCAATACATGTCGTTTTGATGTGGGTGTCAGGGAAGTCTGCTATAGTAATGGAATGCGGCTTCGAGTCGGGAAAAGATGCTGCACTGGTATATCTTTTCTTGGGACTTTTTGAATGTGGTCAGTGACTATGCAAGGCATACTGTCGGCCACTTGACTCGCAATCAAATCCTGGCAGTGATACTGTTCCTTACTGCGTATAAGAGGTTCAGAGACTACCGGGAAATTGACAGCTCGATTGTAGCTGCCGTCTACGGCGGTAGCATGTTTTACATGTTGTGCATCATCGGTGCGTGGAAATACTTGTCTCTAAAATAATTGTTGTATAACCCGTTTTGCAAAGCCATCACGCTCATCAATGTGATTGTTGATGCAGTAGTTCCGGTGCGTGTACATGTGTCTCAAACCCCAATCATTCAATAAATCACCTTCTGTTCCTTGGTTGCAGGTTGGCTTCACAAACTTATTTGATACGTATGTCACCGGTTGAACTGCGGCCACTGAATACGAACTCGATGCATTTAATATAGGCTACAACTTGTCATTCACAGCGTCCTAGCCTCACGGATTGTGTTCCACCTTAGAAGGAGCGACGACCATATCTATGAGGCGGACATGACAATTCCGGCGTTAGAAACCATTCAGTATGGACAACCTCAAATGCAGACGAATGAGAGAACGAGTCAAGTTTGAGGACATGCGATGGGGCTTAGCTTGTCATCGAAATTGCACACACTTTTTGTTAGATGAGGTGTTTATTGACAATCAGTTGACATACCCATAACATGATCTGTGGTAGGTAGCGAAGCTTCGGACTATCTAAATTTTGAAGGACATAAGTTGTATATAAGTATGTACTGTGGAAGAAGCCAAATAATTGTTCTCCTCCATAGTATTCCTCTCCCTCTATTTCTACATAAGTCATCTGTCATTTTTTGCTCATATCCCTCACAATGCATTTGTTAGAGCTAGGGCTACCCTTTGAGGCCCCCTGAAGCTCCCTATAAGGTCTGTCCGTCCAGAACCCCAAAATCAGCCCTAAAAAATGCAACTTTTTGACCGTCAAAAATGCTAAGTCGGATAGAGGTCAGTGGTCACACAGTGTGATGCGAGTGTGACCTCCGCCAAAAGTGTGACATTTTGCGGTGTGTACTGTGCGTACATAGACACGGTATGTTAGTACTTGGGGACATCTAATTTCTAACTGGCTTCTTAGACAATCCTTTCCCCACTGCTGGAAGCTTCAGTATCACCCGCTTCACCGAGGGACGTGCAAGGGCATTCCAACGAGCTGCTGTGACTCCGTCAAGGATGAAATGGGCACCGACTTGGCTTGCGAACGGTTTTTTCCCTACGTGGTAGAGAACCTGCTCCGTAAACGCGTGCGTGTGCAGTTCATATGTTTTGAATGTGCGTGAAAATATCGGGACAGCGGAATGCTCAGGAGACGAGTCTTCATCACTACTAGTAGTAGAGTCATCCTGTTGTAGAATTAGAATCCGAGTCTTGTTTCTTGGCGTACTATGATGAAGATAAAATTGACTTACATGAGCTGCATCCAAAGCACGATATACACGAAGGGACAGGTACGAAAGCTCGGCAATGTTGTTTGTCGAGAGAACTGAGCCGTGTCGATGGTTGCCCTTCTTGTATAAATCCAACACTTCACCTATATACATCCTCATGTTAGTACGAGCGATAACGAAAGACCCGAGCACCAATGGATGCAAGGCATTGACGTCTTTCGTGCTGATGTTGGGTAGACCTTTCGACACTCTGAGTAAGCGGCACTCCAAAAACATATGAAACACGCACTTGCTGCTGCTGTAGACTGAAATCCACCCATCCCAAGACCCAGTGTAGAGGATTACCTCCGCATAGTGGAAATCCCCAGCGGAAACGTGCAACGAGTTCATCCGCTGGAACACCAGTTGTTGTCTGAGAATCCAGTGAGTCTACCAGGTTGAATTGAACATCGAGAGTGTAACTCACCGCTTGTAGAATGTGTCCCTCGATAGATCCATGTCCAGGACTTGGTCTAACTTGGCCAGTAGCGAGAGGAGCGATCCATGAGCTGAATACGACGTAGTCACGGTTGTCGTCTCCATCCTGTAGTACCGCGCTGTATGCATTAATGAGTACTCCGGGAATCTTCTTGCGATCAGAGGACAATAGGGGTTCGAGATCAGAGTGTGTGAGTTCTATATTTCGAATTCGGCGTGTTTGCCGCACAAGATCTTCAGGAAGCTTCATTACGAGAACGGGGCTCACTGACCGTGACCTGCGCTGGCAAAGTCTATATTATCCATCTCGAAGTCACTACATGACCTGCCCTGAAGTCCACCTGAGACCGCCAAAAATGCAAACTTCGGACAGACATCGGCCCTCCAAAAGCCTCAAAAATGCTAAGTCCGGACAGAGATTTGGCCAAATTTCGGCCTCAAAAATGCTAAAATTCGGACAAGCCTATGGGGGAGCTTCAGGGGGCCTACCCTTTGTTAGGGCTCCGAATACGAAGTATATGGATGACTTCAAGTTCGTGTTGATATAGAATCTCACTTCAGCCAACCATGGTATGTCTGTTTTACTGATGTAAATTCTAGACTGGCGAGCAGGAGAACCCCGGGTCTCAACTGCAGGCGCAGCGGCACTAATAATATGTATGTATTCTGAGTTTTGAGTCTGCAACTCCTGAACAGTACATGTGTTGAGAGTAACGACGGACGGAGGACACGAGAGGCTGCGAGGGACAAACGAGAGACTCAGTCTTAGTGGAAAAGGACTCGATTAATCTAAGTACCTGCGAGGGACAAACGAGAGACTACGTAGTGAATGTTAGTAACGATCGAGTAGGGTAATGAATACTAGCGTCTCACCTCAGTCTTAGTGGAAAAGGACTGAGGTGAGAGGACGTGGATGCGAAAGCTATATACTGGCGCTGTAGGCGATGATGTAAATGATCAGTACGCGTTTGTACGTGTCCGCAGTAAGTGATAACGAGTGTAAAGTAAAAAGATAGACTTGCGTATTACGTCGATTATCCAACAACATGTAGTTGCACTTAATTCATGTAAAGTAGTCGGCTGCCGCGCCTCATGACCGTTACACCAAAAGGTAGAAATACTGAAGACTTAGTCTTCAGTACCCGCGACAGTATATGTATTGATTATGAGAACTCAAGTAAGCCAGCGTGCTTACAATTCAACGCATCTCTCTACAATCATGATCACACAAATTGCTTTCAATTGCTTTGAGGGGAAATATATTGGAGGGCAAGCAGGTGGCTGAGAATGCGTGGCAGAGGCGCGGCAAATGGGCGTTGCATCTCTGTAAAGCGCTCTTGGAGCTTGAAGCTTGAAGTGCGGGAACCGAGATTTACAGAGGGTGAGGTAAAAAGATTGGGATGCGCGATGTACATCACGTGACTTATAGCCTAATACCTATGCCATTTTCGATCGCCGGAATTTCGCCCAATTGGGACGCACGATCGAGATCACGTGAACTCTCAGAGAGCCGGCCGTGAAGTAATGCTGCTGATAGCGGCTGCCATTTATGGAGCTCTTTAAACATTTCAAAAGACCCAGGTCAGCTGACTCCAGTTGCATGCTTAACACCGTATCACAGACGTCGATGGACCAGTCGGTCCGTGTTTTCTGACGATATTGCAAAGTCCTTCAATTGAGGTACGTGGCAGAGTTCCGATAACCTGTTCAAATCCGAGCGAATCAAAACTGATACAATGTAGGCGTCAGGATATATCATAGAACCTGTACTAGAACTGTTTGAGAAAACGGTTCAGAGTATTGAATCCGATAATGAAAGTCCTCACATCATCAGACATGATGAAATCAATGCTATGCGTCGCTGGCTGCACAGAGCCAATGGAACACCAACAACAACCATACGTGTGGCGATCAGGATCACCATGTCGTGAGGCGGATCGAATGAATTTCTAGTTTTGCCCTCTTGCTGTATGCTATTTGATCCACAGGAAGGCGCTGCGTTTCAAGATGATGAGTTTCAAAGATGGGGTGGGAAGATGCGTGTTTCGACAACCGTACTTAAGTCGGGTTCGCGGCGGCATTGGTCCTTTCAGCACTTGCAGGCAGGTCTAATAGAGGGCATAACGTTTCCATTCTCGTTTCTGAGATGTCTTCTGCTTTTATTTCGGAGCTTGTGGATTTACAGGTATCCAAGGTATGCAAATATCCCAATTGATAGACTCGACCCTGACCTGATGTTTGTTTCAGTATGCCAATAGTAAGTACCCATGAATCGTCCATGAAGTAGGCGCCAACATTGATTACGTCCTATCCTCAGTTGGTGCTTTGGCAATTCTTGTGAGTATCGAACCCATTCATCCTGATACCAGCTTAACGGCTCTCTTCGGCGTCTCAGATATTCGATTTCTGCATAACATTTCAGGATGAGGTCAGGATCAATGGGATCCATTCATGAGTATTGTTTTCATCAATCTCTACAGGTACGGTGGACCTGGAACAGGCCATGGGGTATAACTCGTGTCATCTTCGTCATATCTCGATATCTGCCTTTCGTAGGCTCTGGATTGACTGCATATGGTGAGTAACCCACCCTGATAATCCTTATATTTGCATATTGCTGATGGCTATCTTAGCTGCACTGCGTGTCAGCGGTCCGGTAAGCATCAGGAAGAAGTGACTTCTAATGATAAGCTGATTTGATGGCGCAAGTGTCCCCCTAGTCTGGCAGAAAACAGTGAGTCGTCGCGCCCAGTTTTTAGTTTTCACTTAGCCTAATAATGCGATCTTCAAGTCATTCATATTATAGGTATCGCTGCTGCGGAAGGTGCGAGTTGCGCATATCGCCGTCTTTGCCATGGGCAGGGTAGATCATGTTTCTCCGACAGGCTTGCTGGTTATTCGGACCTGGGCATTTTGGCAAAAGAGCAGAAAAGTGCTGATTGCATTAATCATATGTAGCGTGGTGCGTCTCTCACGGGGCTGGAGTAAGGGCATGGATCTTAATTTTGCAATAGGTGACACTAATTAGTGCCACTTTTTTGAATGTCCTTCCAAATCACCAATTGATTTCAGCAGGTGAGCTCGTTAGTATTTACCAACATCGTTATGAATAACTATCAGATGTGAGTGCGATACCGGGACCGTGCGACTTCGAGTCATCAAGAAACGCTGCGCTGGTATATTCTGTTTTGGGACTTTTCGAATGCGGTCAGTGACTATGCAGCGCATACTGTCGGCCACCTGACTCACCAGCAAATCCTGGCAGTGATACTGTTCCTTACTGCGTACAAGAGGTTCAGCGACTACCGGAAAATTGACAGCTCGATCATAACCACCGTCTACGGCGGTAGCATGTTTTACATGTCGTGCATCATCAGTGCGTGGAAACGATTGTCTCTAAATTTATTGTTGTGTAACTGGTTTTGCAAAGCCATCACGGCCACCAATGTGATTGTCGACGCAGTACTTCCGGTGCGTGTACATGTCTGTCAAACCCTAATCATTAAACAACTTACCTTCTGTTCCTTGGTTGCAGATTGGCTTCACAAACGTGTTTGATACGTATGTCGCCGGTTGAACTGCGACTGCTGATGAATGCGAACTCACTGCATTCACCATAGGCTACAAATTGTCATTCACAGCGTCCTAGCCTCACGGATTGTATTCCACCTTCGAAGCACCCATGATTATGTCCCCGAGACGGACACGCCATTGCTGGTGTCAGAAGCCATTGAATATGGGCGACCTTCGCAAACGCAGCCGAACGAAAGAAGGAGTAAAGGCTATAGTGAAGTTTGAGGGCACGCGATGGTCGTCGAAATTGGACACACTTTTGTTAGAGCTAGCCCACTCTTTAGGCTTTTATTGTAGCTACGAATACGAAGTACATGAATAAGTTCATGCCATTGTCGATATAGGATTGCACGGAAGCAATCTGCCGGATGCGACCGAAACAATCAATGCTGCCGATCAGTGTCAGGTATCACCGTCACCCAGTACATCGCACTTCGCTGGTTAAGTACTGTCTCACCCACTCCAGGCGATGCTTGTCATCAGACTAGTCGGACCAGACTTTCTACTAACGGACTAGGAAGAATTTAAACCGACTGTATGTCCTGGCGGCCGCCATTGAAGCTCTTTGGGACATTTCAAAAGACTGTGGTCAGTTGACTCTAATTGCATGGTTTACACCGTATCAGACGTCGGCGGACCGGACGGTCCTCAGCATATGTTTTTGACAACATTGCAATACGTGGCAGAGTTCTGATAACCTGTTAGATTCCGAGCGAATCGAAACGGATACAATGTAGGCGTCAGGAATATATAAACATGTACAAGCACTGTTGAGAAAGCGGTTCAAGGTACGATCATCTATTAAGACATGTGAAGTTGGTAATGAACTTCCTCACACCATCAGACATGATGAAGTCAATGCTATGCGTCGCTCACTGCACAGAGCCAATGAAGTCCTACCAACGACCATACGTGTGGCAATCAGGAACACAGATGATCACCATATCGTGAGGAGCGTCGAATGGACTTCTAATTCTGTTCTCTTGCCGTGTACTTATGGATCCAAAGGTGCTGCATTGGTGCTCCAGGATGGGGTGGGAAGATGCGCGTTTCGACATTCGTATTTAAGTGGGGTTTGCAGCGGTGTTAGTCTTTCCAGGACTTGCAGGCAGGTCTCCCAGAGGGCATAACGTTTTCATTTTTGTTTCTGAGATGTCTTCTGCTTTTATTTCGGAGCTTGCGGATTTACAGGTATCCAAGGTATGCAAAGATCCCAGCTTGATGGACTCGACGCTAACCTGATGCTTGCTTTAGTACGCCAATAGTAAGTGCCCGTAGATTGTCCATCAATTAGATGCAGATATTGACTACAATATATCCCCAGTTGGTGCTTTGGCAATTCTCGTGAGTATGGAACCCATTCATTATGATACCAGCTCAATGACTCTTTTCGGCGTCTCAGATATTCGATTTCTGCATCACGTTCCAGGATGAGGTCAAGATTAATATTATCTGTCCATGACTGCTGTTTTCACCACTCTCTACAGGTACAGTGGACCTGGAACAGGCCATGGGGTATAACTCGTGTCATCTTCGTCATATCTCGATATCTGCCTTTCGTCGGCTCTGGATTGACTGCATATGGTGAGTTACCCACCTTGATCATCCTTATCTTTGCGTATTGTTGATGGCTATCTTAGCTGCACTGCGTGTCAGCGGCCCGGTAAGCTTTCAGAAGAAGTGGCTTCTAATGATAAGCTGATTGGATGGCGCAAAGTGTCCCCCTAGTCTGGAAGAAAACAGTAAGCTCGTCGCGCCCAGTTTTTAATTTTCACTTAGCCTAACAACACGATCTTCAGTCATTCATATTATAAGTATCGTTGCTGCGGAAGGTGCGAGTTGCACATATCATCGTCTATGCCAAGAGCAGAGTAGATTATGGTTCTTCGACAGGCTTGCTGGTTATTCGGACCTGGGCATTCTGGAAAAAGAGCAGAAGGATGTTGATTGGATTATCAATATATAGCGTGGTGCGTGTCTCGCAGGGCTGGATCAAGGCCATAGACCTTTAACTTTGCATTAGGTAACAATAATCGGCGCCGTTTCTATGAACGTCCTTCCAAATCACCAATTGATTTCAACAGGTGAGCCCGTTCGTATTTACCAACGCGGGTCGTTATCAATAACTATCAGATGCGAGTGCTATACCGGGACCGTGTGGCTTCGAGTCGTCAAGAAATGCTGCACTGGTATATTCTATCTTGGCACTTTTTGAATGCGGTCAGTGACTATACAGCGCGTACTGTCGGCTACCTAACTCACCAGCAAATCCTGGCAGTGATACTGTTCCTTACTGCATATAAGAAGTTCAGCGACTACCGGGAAATTGACAGCTCGATCATAACCACCGTCTACGGCGGTAGCATGTTTTACATGTTGGGCATCATCAGTGCGTGGAAACGATTGTCTCTAAATTAATTGTTGCGTAACTGGTTTTGCAAAGCCATCACGGTCACCAATGTGATTATTGACGCAGTACTTCCGGTGCGTGTACATGTCTGTCAAACCCCAATTATTCAATAACTTACCTTCTGTTCCTTGGTTTCAGGTTGGCTTCACAAACGTATTTGATACGTATGTCACCGGTTGAATTGCGGCTACTGACGAATACAAGCTGACTACATTCACCAAGGCTACAACTTGTCATTCACAGCGTCCTAGCCTCACGGATTGTATTCCACCTTCGAAGCAGCCACGATCGTGTCCACGAGATGGATACGCCATTGCTGGCGACAGAAGCTATTCATCATGGACGACCTTCGCAAATACAGACGAACGAGAAGAGGAGTAAAGGCTATAGTGAAGTTTGAGGCCATGCGATGGGGTTTAGCTTATCGTCGAAATTTGACACGCTTTTGTTGGAGCTAGCCCGCTAGATCTTCAGGCTTTTATTGTAGCTACGAATACGAAGTATATGAATAAACCCATACCATTGTCGATATAGGATTATCCAGCACGGAAGCAATTTGCCGGATGCGACCGAAACAATTACCCCGTTGTGTGATGTCGTACGGCACGCTCTCATGACTTCTCCCTTCTCTTTTGTCTTTCATGACAGCCGAGACAAAGGGAGTGAGACACTGCATCTTCTGTCCGCAGAATTGCGACCATGCTTAAGTAGGCTTAAGTATGATATGATCAGTCAAGTTGGCCGCAATCCTCTTCTTCTCTCAATCCACAATGAACTACCAGGCTCACCACCCGTGTCACATCAACGTCCTCCCAGTTGAAATACTATCATACATATTCACGCTGGCCACTCATGGCACCATATCCACCAGCAATGACCCCAAACGAAGATATGAGGTCCCATTCAGCCCTGAAAGTGTCACAATGCCAACTGTACTCGCATCTGTACACCGACACTGGAGACATATTGCGCTATCTACCTCGACACTATGGTCAAGCCTCGTAATGAGTCTTGGGCAGGTCGTTCGCGTCAAAGTTGGACCAGATGCGGATGAGGAACGCGCATACACTACTTTCCTTGACGTGCAGCGCTTGGCCGCTCATATCGCGCGGTCGCGAAACTCTCCAGTAGATATCCTTATCGACACTCGAGATCCAGAATGGGACTTTGAAGATGACGGGTAAGTGATGCCTTGTTTGAAGCTCATATTAGTTCAAATCTCTGCGTTCAGGGAAGAATGTTCAACTAATAATCCGACGTGCTTCCCATATGCCACCTTTGTTCCACAAATCCTCGACCTCCTGTTCCCGCAGATGCACAGGTGGCGTTCGCTGACAATACTCAGCGATACGTGGGCACCGCTTCGTGTCGCCCTTGAACGTCTCAGTGTACCCACTCTGACAAAGGGCCCGGGTGCTCCGCACCTTGAAACATTAATGCTCATGCGGTGCAACGAGTTCTTAGGTCACTTGGATACCTTCTCTCCACGCACCCAACAGATGTTCGAGGGGACACCATTCGCCGCTTTGACCGGCGCGCCCCATAATGATCTTTCTGCGCCATCTCACCCCCTTCCGAAACTACGAAACATAACTCTCGTCGGTGTTCACCTGAATTGGACACATTTCTCTCATCATACTCTTGGCGCAGCCCTCAATCAACCACGTTCGCTGGGTTCTGGCTGTATTCAGTCACTAGAACTTTCGCAGCACTGCCGTGAAGTTAGACCAACGTTTGATGAGTTTACAGGAATTCTCAAGGCTTGTCCTCTCCTGCGAAAACTCGTGATTAGGGTCTCTGGCCCGAGATTTGATGAAGGAGTCCAATGCAGCAATCATCCAGTATCGCTTCCCCTGCTTGAAGAGATTCTCTTAGGGTATACCAATGTCGAAGATGCTGCCATGCTGCTCAGTCACATCCATGCGCCTAACCTCGTCAAGCTTTCCCTCGAGGATGCCAATCACATCGCCAATCCTGATGATGCGGACTCTGGCCCTCTCTTAACGTACTGCGCAACTGGCTTACTCGACTTTTGCGACGTCTCCGTAGAATCTGGCTCCAATCATGGACCGTACAGCTACTACTCAGCCATGTCCAAAGATTCCGTTGCCAGGACGGTCAAGCCACCGTTTCCACAGCTGGAGCGATTATCGCTCAACAGTGTCATTGCATGCATAATTCCGTTCAGTCTCCTCATGGCAGCCATCCCGAAACTCCGTCACCTGTCGTTATGTCGCACACCAAATGCGCTCGCAGCTCTGTTGCCTATCCAGACGCCTTTTGCGGACGCGTGTACCCGCACCGTACCCTGTCGTGCCCTCGAGTCCATCGAAATATCTAGCGCTGAAGAACAGACGAAACACGTTCTCGATTTTGTGTTGAGGGAGCGCGAGCAGAGTGGTGCGCCACGTGTGCGTAACGTTGACATGCACCTTGAAATGCGCTTCGCCGACGTGGGTGAAGAGATCGGAGGGTATCAAATTGTTGAAGACGATGTGGTTGGGGACCAAACTAGATATGGGGAGTGGGCCTCAGATGAGGAAGATCCGTTTGCGCCCGGCGGTGCCTTCAATGATCCTGATTTTGACGAAAGATATCATTTTCTATCGTAGACATTGCTTCTGTGTACAATCTTGGATCTATAGTAGTACTTGCGGTGCGTGTAACTCGTCGTACAAAGCGCATAATTAGCTTTACCTTTGATGTGATTGGTTGGCGTCAACAATACATTCACGCGCGTCACAACAAACTCATAGTCATGATTGTTTGGGCGCAATTTGAATCAGAAATTACTACTTTCGGCTAACTTCGGATTGCACGCGAAGTCTCACCATGAAGTACAAGATTGGATTTACTGGATAAGTTAGAGTTTGAGAGAAAGTGGCTGGATGGGCAGGAAATCTAGACTTGTGACCATTCTGCCGGCGCGCGCTTGTTGAGATCTTGAGATCTTGAGATTTTGCCGTAGGCAGGGAATGAATGGGAGGAGAAGCAAAAACCTGATTAAAAGTATATGTCCGTCACCACTTGTTGGTCGACGAGGAAACCAAGAAACATTGTTGCACCAGCACGAGCATGCTGCAAGTTGACGTCGGGTACCTTGTCCGATGACATCGTAATACTGTGCAGCACGTCCACATGGTGCACAATTACAGCCGCACGTCACACATGACCAGCTGAATATGTATCACTTCCATGAATTGAATGTCGAACTTTGGATGCGTTGGCTTTGATTCAGGGTCCAATCCCAACTTGCAGTCAGTCAACGTCATCCACCAGCGCGTCACAATACGCAAGGACGATTGGTTAATTATATGTTTTGAAGGAAAAGACGAGCCGGACTTACGAGGACTTAGGATGGCCGGAACGTCGAAATTGGATGTCGAAAGAATTGCGTGATAAGTAGGACTGAGGCTGACAGATGCAATCGGACAAAAACTCCGTAGATCATCGTCCGTCTAGCAGTGCGACAATTCGCGATCCAATAAGATGACTTGAATATGGCAACCAAAGTGATCATATGACTTTTCTCCTTGCGCCTTTCTAGCCGCGGCTTGTAAGTTGACATGCGCCGACTCGGAGGCAAAATCGAATGGATTGAAAAGTCCGCGATTTGTGCTTTTGTCCCGCTCAAATATAGGCCTGAGGCACTGAACAAGCGGCGCGCAAAACTAAATGAGGACTCCGCGTCTGATAGGCTATTTGGTGACATGATCTCGCACCATGAATAGAAAGCCGACTAAATCCAGGTGCCCAGAGCACCAAGGTTACCATGCAGTAGTAGGTTCGTACTCCGTCCGAGTTTGAGAATGTTACGAGGGACTACATGGATGTCTTCAAGAAGGGGCTGCAGACCGAAGGCGCAGAAGCATTGTCCCAACGCATAGGACGGTTCAACCGATGGGCTAGTGAAAAGAAAAGTCAATTTTTATGACAACGCAGATTTATCCTGCAGGTCCCGACATTCACGACGTGTTGTTTTGAACCCTTTGGATCCGTAGGGCTAGGCTTGATTGAGGGGAATCGGGCCATCTATCGCATTGACGTGTCCATCACTTCGATAACCCCTTTGCTGTTACATCGTGTGTTACTTTTGACGGCATTGGAGGCTCGTGGCGTCCATCCTGTGACGTTGCAATGCCTTGCCTCTGGATGCTGTGGGCCTCCATCGATTGAAAAGTCGCAGGATGGGCATGATTCGGTCCATCATCCGGGAATGTGCTGATCTTCGCATTTCCCTGCTGACATTGCTTTCTTTAGTTCTGCAAAGATCGGTCTATTGTTGGGACCCCGCGCTGTCTACGACGGGTTTATGTTCAACCTGGTGTCGTCAGCGTTAATTTCATTGTAACCATTCACCCCAGATTTACGTTATACGACACGTCGAGGGCTGTCGAAGGATGTGTTAATGGTTCAGGTTCATAAGACATTTATTGAGCGCTTTTGGCCTGGCGGGTCAAGGATGACGCTGTATCAGCCAATCAACGCTAGCGGTTGTGTCCCACCGACGTAACGTTATGGAAGAGCTTTATAATGATGTGTTATCTCTTGAGAGATGCATGCTTGAGTTGAGTTATGCTGTGCGCTAGAAGCCATGAGTATCTCGAACACCCTGACGCAAAGTTCAAATCGGGAAACATTATAACTTCCCTTAGCTCGGTTGCTAGCTCTTGTGCAGGGTACTTTGGCGATTTCTGGCGATCACGTCAAAGGGGATACCTTAGAACAGAAATGTGAGGATCTCACAACACCTTGACAGCACCTGCTTGAACTCTAGGCAGAACACATGTCCGCGGAGTAATCCAGTAGCGCTGAGTTGCTCGCTTGAAGTTCTTGGGGTGCCTCAGACTTGTCAGGTGTTCCTCGTAGTTGTTTTGGATGTTGTAGCATATGGTTTGCCTTGTCAATTTGCCCTGTTGGTCAGTGTCAGGATGAAGATTGAACCTTGTACCTCCAGGATGAATTTTGTCGATCTTCTTCAGTTCATGATGCGATCTGTGGAAGCATCGAGACCCTGACCCTGCTCGGTCCGGATGAGCAACAAATGTACAAGAGTGATTGGGCGACCAGCCAAGTACTCAGGAACATCATGGGGGGAAGTGACCATGATGTCCCGATATGGTAGGTACAGTTAACACCCGGGGGCTCCCGGTACGGGCCGCCGGCCACCAGCCATGGGAGGATTGATGGGGCTCCACCATTCTTGTCAGACAAAGTCCGTTGACCTGCTTTGATACTTATTCCAGGCCGTCAATTCATTGACTCCACTTTTTTCAACTCTCATCTTTAAAAATACAGCATGTCCCCAGCTCAGGAGGAGCAAGACAAGGCTTCAACATCCATCCTGAAGGAGAGACGTTTCAAGCTGAGTAGGTCAGTCGTGCTCTCCGTCTCCTCGTGTGCCGATTTGCTCACTTCGGGCCATCTCTCAGAGCGTGTGATCGCTGTCGGTGAGTGCTTGCTGTATCTCTTATCTGTGACCAGCCATCGCTGACCATACTTCAGTCGAAGAAGGATAAAATGTGACGAGGGCCATCCGTGTCAGGCTTGTCTCACTGCCAATTCACCATGCACGTTTGAGGAACCAGGAAAGCGAACGCATCCTCATAAGTCAAAGTTTGTGGTGAATGCATTTTGTCGCTTAATACAGATACTCATGATCGGCTTGCAGAAGGACTGCAACCCTTGAAGACAGGATGCATCAACTCGAGACTCTCATTCAAGCAATTCCTCCTGCCGTTTTCGCTGCCGGAGGTGCGGGCCCATCTGCCCTTACCTCCTCCCAGTTACTATCTTCAGATAACATCGCTAGCCCTTTGGCGTCCTTCGCTTCAGCAAACCACAACTTTCCCGCGGGCGTTCCACCTCCATCCTTGCACGTTTTCCCACTTACAAATCCGTCTACCCACTTCAGGGCATCTCCACCCATGAGCTCTCCAAGAACTCAAAGTCCAAATACTGCATTTTCCTCGATGCTTGGGCAGTCCTCTCATACCCCAAATGCATCAAACTCCGAACAACCCGAAGAGACGTCACGCATGTCTATATCTGCTTCCTATCTGTACTTCGATGATGAAGGCTACACCCGTTGGCAAGGAGAGACTTCTGGCCTTCCTCTCTTAGACCTTTTGGTCGAAAATCACACTCCAGTCAAGTCCGAACCCGAAAAGGGCTCTCCAGGTCCGACATGGGCAAACCCATCTCCTCATACCGCTGGCCCAACTTGGTTTCCAAATAGGACGCCAAGACGTACCGACGTCAACCCTGAAACATTATGGCGCCTTATCACTTCTTATATTGTCCCGGAGCTTATGGACAGGTAGGTTTCTATCTGTTCCTTTTAATCTCGCTTGCACTGATCTTACATCAATAGTCTAGTCCAATGCTATTTGTGTACTTCTTACTACCTGCTGCCGTTCCTACATGTTCCGACATTTTTGGCAGTGCGTGACATTCTCATGGTGTGCTTCTCTTGCTCACACAACAACTCCAGGACTATGGCAATCCCAGAAAGTGGGGTGAGCCTGGGTTTGCGGCCTTCATTGTAGCTGTATGCTGCCTTGCATCCCGTCACATCGATGATCCGAGAGTACGATCAGATCCCAGTGATGGCATCTCTGCCGGCACACAATGGTTTGAATTATTTGGGCGGCTACGGACCCTTCCAATTGCGGACCATCCTACATTGTACACCATCCAGGCAGATCTAATCGCCGCGGTCTACGCAGTAGGGCTGGGAAAACTCTCCAAAGCAGCTGCACTCTTATCAGAGGCTATCACTGTCTCGATAGATACTGGCCTGCATCGATCGGCCGATACATATGACCTCTTTAATCCCATCGAGGACGAAGTCCGCAAGCGCACATTCTGGTGCGTTTACCTCTGGGATAAACAACTATCTGCGCACTTTGGCCGTCCCCCGATGATTCGCCTTCGGGACACAGACATTGGAGAGCCTACCGTTGTAGATGACGAGTTCATCACACATGATGGGATGCTCTCGCAGCCCGCAGGAACGGAGAGTCGTATGAGTGCGTTTATCGCTTCCGTGAGGATCATGGTCGTAATGGAATCGGTGTTGGACATACCGCCTCCGCGCGACCGGACGGGTGACTCTTCTCCGTTCTTGCTACGCGCTGCAGGCGTGCTGTCCGGTCATGTACGTCCGAAGGACCTACGCGAAGAGGAGGCATTGCTGGACGAAATCCGTCGATCGATACCTCCGTATTGGGCGCATACGTCGGAGACACTTGCGAGTGATGACGTGATCAGGGTCACGCAGGCCGTGCGTTTACACTGCGCCGAGCAGTATGTCAGGATGTTGATTCATCGACATCGCTTCTCGAATTTTGTGGCGGAAAGGGCATACAGTGCGTCGATGGAGGAGGATCCCCTGGATATGGAGAAGGAGGAGATGAGTGCAGCGCAGTTGTGTGCGCTGCAGATTATCTCGTCACACATGCAGGTAGCAGGGAAGGGGCTGATGACGTATTGTGAGTGTGCTCATTATGGATTTTGTCATTCGTTGGTTGATCATTCGTGTCAGATGGCGTGCATGTGATTCACCAGCTCACGCAAGCCGGCAGAACGCTCATCACCATATTGATTAACTGCAAGAGCGAGAAACTTCAACGCTTGATCCAACCTGCGCTTGAAGCGCTTCGATCGTGTGTTGGTTTGTTGAGGCGGTTCAGTGGGCGGTACGTGTGTGGACAGAGGTCAGGAGACCTCATGGAAGAATTTTGTCGCTGTGAGTTCCTTGTTCCTGATGGCCCAGTGGCTCGGCTAATGCATGTGAATAAGTGACACAAATTCCTCTTGAACCTTCTCGCCCAGAAGGTCAGGAACAGCCAAATTCGCGTCCCCCCTGGATAAGACCCATCCGCAAGAAGACGCCCAGCGTCGCTACCAAGGGCGCAGGTAGCGATGGTGGGTCGCAACATAGCAGCCCCGAGGCTTTCTCACCCTCTGAATTTTTCGTCGACCCTACCCTTGGGGGCACGAGCCCCCAATCGGTACCGCAGAGTGCCTTTTCGCCTGCACCTGTGCCCTCATCATCACGATATCCACGGCGGTTGTCACTTTCGGCGCCAAGTTTTATGGACCCAGGCGGTATGGACATGGATGCGTCTGCGGGGATGTATTTGTCTTCGCCGGCAGATATGATGAATATGTTTGGGGATGGGTCGGTGGATGTTGCGACGCTGTTCTCGGGCGCGTCTGATTTCAATATGGGGCAACATCTTGCTGAACCGCATGAACCGTTATACGGACACATGAATGGAGGGAATAATCTAATCGCGACCCCTTGAAGTGGTCTCGTATGTTTACATTGTGTTGCGTAGTGGAGCTGTATGATTTATTGCAGGCTTTTCTATTACTAGGTCTGTATTCCCATTAACACATTACTGTATAACTCTTAGGCTTTCGCGATATCGATATGGTTCCCTGCTTGATGCCTTGGGAAAGTTGGAAGATCCAAGAGACGCGATCACGTGCTGTACTAGAAAGAACCAAGAGTCGAAACAAAATATGATATTTATTACTCACCGGTGCACCCCTCAACTAATTCCTTCTTTCTGAATCTTTGGCTAAAATCCGCTGTGGCCAACTCTACTGGCGATCTGGTTATTCGTGCCCGGGAATGCACAAACCTGTACGGTCCATTCTTGCAGCGTTCAATCTCTTGTGCTCCGCCACCGCTCAACTTACTTCAAGGAATTCCACTCCGAATGGTGCGAAACGAATGCAGGGCGGTCTGCACTTGCCCTTGAGCCGGAGTATTATTCCTAAACGCCTCACCCTCACCGCGGACACCGGCGTAGCGGGACTTGGAGATTTTTTCGACGTGTGAGTCTGTACAGGCGAGACTCTCCTTCTTGACCGACACTCTACCAGAACGTATAGCGTCCTTATAGACATCGGCGGCACACCCTTGCCTGTTGTGCTAGGTGAGTTTTCAAAACTACAGCGGGAACACTGCATCTCAGACTGAAAAGCGCACAAGACACGGGTTCCTCAGACCTCTGGGTACTATCAACCATGTGCCAGGGAACATGCTCCTCTGAAAATACGGCTCTTTACCCACCGAACACGTTTCACGATATGGGCCTGGATGCCACCCTGGTGTATGGCGATTCGCAGACTGGTACGTATGCGAGAGGCGTCATTGGATATGACGCGGTGTCGCTCGCGGGCTTGACTTTGCAAGACCAGTATTTCGCGGCGATCAATGATACCAATACTTCTGTGGTGCAGAGCAGGTGTTCTGGGATCTTCGGACTGGGGTTTCCTCTCAACAGGTAGGTAACTGCCCTGAGAGATGATTGCGCTGTGCTGATTTCTTGTGGAGTGTTATCTGGACCGATCTGTTCCTGAATCAACATCGGGTTTCGAGACGACGAAGTCTTAAACGTGAGGTAGTCCCGCGTATCGCTGTCGCGTGGAGAAATTACGCAAGTCGCTGGTTTGAGAAGTCCACCCTCGGAATTTCCTCGTCTCGACATATCGATACTCCCTTTAATCAATCTATGCATCAACAGAAACGTCAGACATCCACCATCATTTCTTCTTTTGGAGAATCCGCTCCATTCATCCCTCGACTTGTTTCGCTCGGAGCGCTTGCCTTGCCCATGTTTGCGATTGCGCTGCAGCGAGATACAATCGAAATCGGAGGGAATGAAGGCATGCTCTCCATAGGCGGACTGCCACTTGGGGTCCAGAACGAGAGCCTGACGTGGGTTCCTGTGCGTAAATATACACTTCAACAAGGCGGCTTGATCCAAGATGCTCCTCTCGAGGTACGTTTTTCCAATCTGGGAGTGTTACGCATCAAGCAGTTAATTCGCCTGCCCAAGGCATATCCCATTGCTTGGGAGATCCCAGTGGACGATGTCTTCCTTGACGGCGTGAAACTTCCGCGGTCACAGTTATCTTCCCCTAATATATCACTCTCAGCACTAATAGACACAGTTCGTCATCCACGTTCCAGTGATCCGTACCTCAATTCGTCTCTGACACCTATTTGTAGGGCAATTCCCTGATTCGCGGTCCGCCTGACGTCATTTCGCACATCCAGAACATGCTGGGGGGACCTCACTTCGCCTGTTCATCTCCTCATACACTGACATTCCAGATCGGTGGCCGCCTGTTCCCCGTCGACCCAAGGGACTTCGTCAGCCAGGTGCGCTTGGGAAACGTAGAGGTGTGCGCGGCGAATCTTGCACAGACTGATGTGCCTGTTCTCGGTGGGGGTGGATATCTCTACAGCTGGAGTCTAGGGGATCCGTTTCTGAAAGGGTGAGCGATGGTCATATATATAAATGTCTGTGGAGCTGTGGATATAGAGCGGACACATCCATGCGGAGTTCCGAGCGTATTCCAAGCGAGTTGTCTCTGGAGCTCCGGCTCACCGTAACGAGCCGCTGACAATATGGGGAAAGGCCTCGTCTTTTGATTTCTCGCTCTTTTAGGTGTGTTGTTGCAGACCACTGATCTCTTGCTAGCGTGCTCGCAGCGTTCTACTATGGCTCTTTCGCAGGACCTTCGCAAGACCCTCCACGCATTGGGTTCCTATCTACCGTTCCTTCTGATGCTGGCGAACAGTTAGAGGACACTGTATCGGCTGCGGCTATGGAACAGGACGATCTTCCCGGTGAGTTCTCGCTACTTTTCATTTTCCTGGTATTGGTAGATGATCTTATCATTTTCTTGTAGGGACAAAGGCATCACCGCCATCCTCCCTTTCTTCTCCATGGAGCACCGGCATCGGGGGAATCCCTCTGGCATCTCCACTCAGCACTGGTACCGGAGACATCCCTGTGGTATCTCCTCTCACTGGCTCTGCTCATGATGATAGAGGCGGGAGCAGCCAACCTGGGCAGGCCAATGGTGCACGAGAGGGCATAAAGGTGGGCTCTGCCACCGCTTTGTGGAGTACATTTGTTACTTTAGCGATGTGGACATTCTGGATAACGCTCGCATGAATATCATGTTTAATATGTATGAGCATTTTGTGTTTCCGTGTCTTTTTAGCATTTGTATCACGTACCTTGCATTTTTGACATTTTGTAGCCTATCACATGCGATCCTCGATTTTTTTTGGTCTGGCATTGGATCCCAAGACGCCATCGATTGACGATTGTCAACAATTGCATGACAGATTGATGAATCTGTTTCATTAGGCCTCCTCGTCATCTCAGTGCAAGTATGGATCCTTTTCTGCGGCTCTATTGAGTGCACTCATTAGCTCTGGTTTCGAGAATAAGCAAATATGTTTTCATGACACAGTACTTAGAATGGGAGACTGGAAAATATTGCAAGGGGTCCTCCAGAACCCAGAAAGAGGTGCACATAGCTTAGTCAGCTCTTTAGCTGACACTTATCGCACTCTGCAAGGTGCATGAGAATTTTCCTTTGTTCCACCCCACAACTTGCTTCACGATACAAGTCGTTCAACAACAGTGGTGTCTTCTTTCCTGCATCATGGCATTTAACACTATCTACGGATTTACGACCTAGTCATCCCTCGGCTGAGCGCTCCTCTAATAGATCAATAGAAGGATTCCACGGCTGTCTTCCTTCTATTAGTCCACCCAACTGGGACTGGACTGGTTCCAGGCTCGCTTCATCAGAGCCTCAGACTGTCACGAGTTCAAGGAAACGCTACATGCTCCACATTTGCCATTCGTGCAAACTCGAGTACGTACTCGTCTCCAGCAACTATTTATCTCTCACGACTACTTAATACAGTCGGTCACATCCATACCCCTGAAGCGATGCTCAAGCTTCTTGAAGAACTATGTACATCACCGCCAAAACTATTCCGTTACCGGCAGCAAATTCTGGCAGGTTTTTATCCGTACATGCGCGTCCGTTATTTCTCCCCGTAGATATTGGAAATGCATGTATTGATCAAAACAGATCGTCGAGGAACCGATCAACCTCCGTTTTCCATGTGGTTTTGAATTCTATTGAAGCTGTGAATAATAATAATTTGGCAGGGTCGCAGTCAAAGCGTTCCTGTTACACGGCGCTTCCATTCAATGGCCGAATGAGAAGAAGACTCCAAAGCGAGTGCCTCGATGCAGGGTCACATTTACTAGTGGAGAGGTAGCATTTTCACAGGGGATGCGGCGTTGACATGGGCAAGACTCGGGTATGAAAGTAATCTAGCGTCAAGTCCCTGAATAAAGAATGGAAATATGATAATTCACACCGCTGGGCCTTTGTTCCCTATTTACCTTGCACGGATGCAGATAAAAAGAATGTCTGGGCACGCAAATAGTAAGGAGCAGGGCGCGGAGAGGCTCCCCAAGGCCTGATCATTGCGAGTGGGAGGCAGAATGGCTATAACATTGTGGATGGCACGGTACGGTGTGCAGTCCTGGTGGGTGCTCGAAATTTGAAAATGATTCATACCATTTTGCCAAATCTTTCTCCTGTGTCGGGTCTAAGCAGCCTCCACTGAGTCCCCGTTGTCGTGACAAATGATTGATCTGTCTGACTGAATAACACGACTGAGCAGCGAATGATCTCCCTCTTCTCATCGTCATGCTAACGCGTAGATCGCGCTGCAACGACGACAACAGAACCGCCTCTGACAAACTTGACAATGCGCGTTAAGCAAGTAAGTGAAATACAAAATCACAGCGTAGCAAAAAAAGCCATGCAACGATATAAACGAGCGAGCGAGCGAGTGAAAAAAAACTCAGGGATCTCATATCAACAAACAATAGTACCAAGGGTACTTCCCCTCCGTGATATCTCCAGGATAGATCTATGCGTGGTATCGCACACATGGTCCCTCCAAGCAACAAATCCAAATCCACATCCAAATCTTTTTGATCACAAACGAAATCATGTGCCGCGTTCTAGTTTACAACGACCCACGCTTCCAGTCGACGGCGTTTTTCAGTTGCTCAAGAGTTAGGAAGATGAGGATTGTGGTGGGCTGGAGACGCGACCATGCGGGGAGCCAGCCTTTGAACATGAACATTGGGCCTTCGCTTGCTAAAGAAGCGCGGATCACTCCGATTGTTGACTTGAAGGCGTCAGTGTCACGCATGATCGATTCATCGCAAAAAAACGGGACTCACGCTCGATCCGGGCCCAGAAGCGTTCATGATACGGCTCTTAAGCACGTCTGCGGGTGAGCAGACGGTTGTGGCAACAGTTCCCTAAAAGAGAATTTGAGGTGAAATTGTGGGAGATGAGAATAAGTAAAACATACTGCCGCGAAACTGGCTGTGAAATGACAACCGATGTTGTCATCGAAGTACTTTGTCTTCAGGAGCTCAGCCTTGAAGAAGTCGTACCTGAATACACATTAGACATGTGGCATGGTAATGGATGAAACGGAGAGGAGGGTGACTTACGATGCCAGTTGACTGGAGTTCATCAAGATGCTCCGGAAGACATTTGGGCCTACACCTCGCAAAAGCGATGATGGGCCCTCCTCGCGGACCATCTGTGATCATGACGTCAGTACCTCAGTCTCAGAATGGACTCGACCGGATATCAAAAAGTAAATCGACGCAGTTGGGGAATGATAAAAGCGGATACGAAGATGTAGAGAAGTAGCTGCCCATCACTGCAGTGGTGTGGTGGCGGTTCCAACCTGGTATCCGATTCCCTTTCGAGTCAATGCATCGGCAAATTGACGACGTCGGAAGGCTGACACGTCATATAGACCCATTAGTCCATAAGTGCATCCGTAATGCATTAACAATGGCTCCGTCAATGGATGGTACATTTCTGTACACATGGCGCAGGGTCGTCACGTATTGGTCAGAGCGAAAGGTTGACAAGCAAGCGTGCGAACACGCAGGTATCCTCGGGACAGCGATAACACCACAAGGATGGACGGAGAAAATGACGGAGTAGGCGGGGTAGGAGATAGAGCGGTGCATGGGAGTATAAAGGATGAGCAAGCGAGGATCATTACACTCTTTCGCCCACCCTCCGTCCCGTCGCTCCTATGCGCCCAGTTTTAATCTCATAGCCATGTGTATCAGCGACTTGCGGTGACGCCCCACGATAATACTGTCCTTGGGACAAAGTCGACACTTGCACAAACACTGAAAACCAAGAGGGAAGAAACGAGAAACACAAAACCGCGCAAGGCACGTCTGTATCACTGAGGCACGACACTTACTCTGAATAATGCGTCAAAGCAATGCTTATAATTAAACCGCTTTTCGGGTGGTTTTGCGAAGTCTCCTTGCAGACGGACCTGATAGATATGGCGCGATTTGAATAAGTTGGGGCGAAGAGGTTCCGGCGGGAGCGTAAATCATGGTTCGATGGTGGAATAGTCACGTAATGGGGGGTAAAAGTGAGCAGAAGGCAAGGTAGTGGAGCAATGACACACACCATAACGACCTCTGATCAGGCAAATTGCTGCTCAGCGCACGGAGGTCACAACTATGACATCGACACGTACCTCCAGGATTACCCACCACACCCGCGATGGAGCCAGCTAACTCGGGTGTCAATATTATCGATCGTACGACATGGGATTTCGTACTCACCCATGACACCTGCTGTGGCGAGAACCCACGCAGGGCTTTGGGGTGTTGCTCCCAAGAGCTTTTTGCTCTCATCATAAGCCCAAAAGCGACACAAGCTGTAGCTCATCTGGCGCATCCATGTACCAGTGATACCATCGAAGAGACCCCTGGCGCCTGCAGTGCGGACGGTCTTCTTTATGGACTCTATCATACGCTTGTCACCCGACGCCTGAAGGCGGACCTTGGTAAGGTCAAGAGGGTGGGTAATGGAAGCAGCAATTGTTGCTGCAAGACCACCGAGATAGAAGGGGTAGGGCTGCTTCTTGGGCTTCGAGGCCACAAGAGGTGGCGGAGAAGGTGCTGCAGCTTGTGTGGACATGGCTAGTGGTGGTCTGTGAGAGAGGATGTTTCGTGGTTCAACTGGAGTGAACCGGGCGTAACTAATTCGTCCGATGAAGACCTAATGAAGGCGCCTTGACTTATCTATAGGGGATTTGACATCGTACACACACGCTGACTAAGCTTCAGTCTCAGAGTCACATGTCATTCTTTCACATCCCTCGTCGTCGTTGTCCACAACGAACTTCACCCTCCTCATAGCCTAGACGTTATGTTTTACAGCGAGCTTCATAGTCTGCCCACCATATGTGGTCTGTTGTCACTACGGAACCCCGCAGTTCACAATCATCTGCAATAGACAGGTGTTTAATTGCCGCATTGCAAGTCGTGTGATTGTTCTTCCCTTCTATACCCTCCCGTCATCACCCGACTCGTGATTCGACTAATAACTACGGATCTCCGCATCTTCCTGCAGATCTTCGTCTGTCGACCACATCGATTGCCCAAAATCACCATTTCCCTACATTTCTTCATATCTTTCTTGCACCCTCATCTATCCAGACGACCTCCATATAATCACATTTGTCCTAATACTTCCTATCTTTCATCCAGCTGGCCTCATGAAATTGAATTGTGGGTCCAACGGCGCGCGACGAGGCACCAGCGGGCGTGCGATTAGTTGCAACGCTCACGCACACTGTTGCGTGGATGGTGCGCTGGAAAATTTATCGCGGCCCACGACGCGTGCGATCCCTTGGCGGGTGCACATAGCAAATGAGGGAAGGTCATTCGGTATATTTTACAAGTGGTATGAGACAATTCACTGGATCGTATCGATTTCACCTCACCATTGATCTTGGATATGTTCGGTGGGCAATTGACGGCGGGCGGGTGTGAAATCTACCCACGTTCTCAACATCGGCTTCAAACCTTGTTGCGAGTGCTATTGTGGCCATTCTGGACTCTTGAACTTCCACATATCGAGCTATACTACAACTTGAAGTTCATTCCCTGTGCTTACTTACCCTTGGCATCCCGTTTAAGAATTTCATCCCAGCTTTTTTTGTGGGCATTTCCCAACTCACGTTTAGTGGATGTCCGTTTCCCTCATTCTGAGCAAACCGTTGCTGTGCAAGGGTGCTCGGAATGACGTTAATGGTGCATCATCCAGTGATCTTTGTATTCAGGCGAATTATTGTACTCTGTTTTGGTCAATCCTGGGAAGAAGGAAACATCTTCTGTTGACATATACTTCTCAATATTGACCCCGCCGACTGATCATGCGAGCGACGCACCGATTCACTGCACCAATTCTCAGCGCACATACCTAGCTACAACATTCGCACTTGACATTACGCGACCTCGTACCTCTGTCAGTGCAAAACCATCTAGTACGACTGCGAAGTAATGTCCCACGCCAAACTCATGGGTTGACATTAATTTATCCACGACAGGTAGTAATTGCTCGAGCAATTCACTACTTCTCCACCACGCCGGATACATATGTCGGGCGCCATTTATTATGAGGGAAATCAGCCGGAAATTGCGATACAAGCACTCGGATACTGACACTAAAGAAGGGGGACAGTACCCACAGCACGGTGCTCCCACTCGAATTTCAACAGAGTTTGCCATATCTTTTGGCTGCACTTTGTCCTAACACCCGCTACTGTTCAAGATGGTGAGAGAGCGAGACCAATTAAGCACGAGGGCAATATCGACATCAAAGTACCTGAGCCCGTTCATCCATGGCATGGCTTTGAAGTTCAAAGGCCGAGTCTACGACTTGACCAGCCTAATTCAAATGTCAATTCCTTTGCCTGTTCCGAAACCAATGAGCGTACGAAAAATTAAGGGTTTAAGGCTCCAATCACCACACCACAAAGGCAATTGCAAGGCGAAACCTACTAAGTTTGTTTTGTGTCCAATCGACTGAAGTTCATTAGTTGAAATTTCTGGAAGTGATATGAGAGTAAGTCATGGGGCCTGCTACGTGGCGAAGCTCACTTCGGTGTCCGAACGTTACTGCGCTGCGCAGCGTTCACTGCCAACAATTGACTAATGTTGGTCATTCCGAATTCGTGGGTGTCATCAACTTGGATAGTCTGTGCCAGCACTACACTCGCTAAGTTGGCAAACCCGTTAACGTCCAGTGTTGTAGCAATCACTGGCAGCAATTGACTAATGTTGGTCACCCCGAATTTCTGAGTGTCATCAACCTGGATAGTCTGTGCCAGCACTGCACTCTCGCCAAGACGGCAGACCCGTCAATAAGCCCCACAGCAATATCCAGCGCACTAACTTGAACCCGTGGTGCTGATGGATTTGACATGGAGTAGCCTGGAGTAGCGAGGGAAGCACCGCTGCCAGTCAAATCGCACGTCGACAGCAACCTGGCACAAACTCTGCCTAAACCTGTCATACTTGAAGTGGTCACCAGTTTTACTCGAAAAAAAGAAAATTTCAAAAAGGAAGTCCACTTAGAGATCTGAATCTGAATCTGCATCTTTGACGGGAAAGTGAGAAAGTTTTAACCCACTTCCTGATCACGGTGGATGCCCATAGATGAAGCTTAAGTTCCAATTGCGGGGTTCGATTTGCCGCATCCAGTATAATATTAATGTTCAAAGTCCGCGTTATTTATCGTCATCACACCAAAACAAATGTCACGCGGTCACACAACTTACTTCTCAAAGTTTGCGTCTGATCCTTATTCACAGAATAGACATTCTTCTCGCCCACAAGGAGCAGATCTGGTAGGTGCTACATTAGGCTGACTCCGATTGATGGAGGGGAGACTGAAGGATTTTGCAGGTCCTCAATTCACTATTCCGAACTTCTGTGAAGCCCAGCATTAGCAATTCCGCCAATATTAAGTACTACGCACGAAATGTGTACAGAGCCAGTTCGATGGGCCTATCATTTATTGATTTTTCTGTTTGAGAGTACAGGATCATGCATATCATTTCCTCAATTTCTGAGACACTCGATCATGATTCTAGCTCACTTGTCCTCGATGAAACCACCGTGGCTACTTGTCGTGTACTTCGGCCACACACCCCTGGTGTCACCCTTACATTTTACGGGACCACCGTGCTCACGCTCCTGGACAAGCCGTCAACAAGCAAGGTGATTACTGCAGTAGCGCTATGAGCCTGTGTTTAGTATATCGGACTATGAACGATAACTACTAATTAGTGCAGCAAACGTAGCAGTCTCGGTTGTCGTCCCAGACAACTCCCCAGCCTGTCTTGCAGTAACTGTAATTTCCACTAGGCAGGCAAGTATGCTTGCATGTGCTAGTAGTGCGAGCGACAGCTGCCTGCACCCCAGCGACAGCAGCGAGGATTGTGAGGTAGGCGAACTGGATCTTCATGGTATCTATTATATGTGTCAGTGATGACCGTCAGTGCCGGGAAACCACCCACCGTCAGAGTTTGGTTGTGTGGTGTACGCGAAGGTGTTGATAGTGGCACGTCCAGGAAAATCTAGACCTAAGATGGATACAATGTTCAAGTTGCGTAGTCTTTACGTCTAAGGAGTGCTCACTGTAGACGGAGCGATTGTTTTTGAGAATTTAGGACTCTCCGCATTCAATTTATATCGACTCTGCGCGCTACATGTGGGCAGATCCAGCACTATTCTGCCTGAAATATAGGCACGCGCGGTACAATTGCGTCCAGAAAGCGGACCTAGGGTCGACAAAGACATGTTGCTAACAACAACTACGTTGAAACATTTATGCGGGGCAATGATTTCTGAAAAGTTTGATCATTTTAGCGGCTAATGACACCATTGGAGTCCAGCTACATTCCCTTAAGCACCGTGCTCACGCTCCTGGACAAGCCGTCAACAAGAAAGGTAATATATATTGTCCTTATTGTAACTTCTAAAAGCTGTTGATGACATCTGTTGTTTTCCTTTCGAACGAGGTGATGGAGCAGGATTTAACGGGAGATAGCTACAACCGAGAGTCTCAACGATTGCGGCGCTCGCTGTTGTTTTAGTTGTGACACACTAACTAATTTTTTGCCAAGGTTTCTTATGAGCGATATATTCCGCACTAAAGAGGACCTGCGTGGCAATAATCTTGACACAAAATTGGGTGAATAACTGAAGCGTGCGCATGGAGCAAGGCGAGGGCACAAATGCCGTCGAGTCCTTTTATACACATAGGTAACTAGATACAATTTATCATTTTTACAAACTTCGGTTGCTACTAATTACTGCAGCAGATGTAGCAGTCTTGGCTTCTGTCCCAGACGGGTCCCCAGCCCGACCCACAGGAATCGTAATTGCCACTATCCAGGCAAGTATCATTGCATGTATCACTAGTACGAGCGACAGCTGCCTGCACCCCAGCGACAGCGGCGAGGATGGTGAGGTAGGCGAACTGGATCTTCATGGTATCTAGTATATGTGTCAGTGATGACCGTCAGTGCCAAGAAACCACCTACCGTCAGAGTTTGGTTGTGTGGTGTACGCGAAGGTGTTGATAGTGGCACGTCCAGGAAAATCTAAACGCAAAATGAATACAATGTTCAAGTTCCCCAAGTCTTCGCGTCTCAGGATTACTCACTGTATGCGGGGCGATTGTTTCTGAGGATTTGGGACACTCCGCGTTCAATTTATATCGACTGCGCGCCCTACTTGTGGGCAGATCTAGTACTATTCTGCCTGAAATATAGGCACTCGCGGTACAATCGCGTTCAGAAAGCGGACCAAGGGTCGACAAAGACATGTCGTCAACAACTACATTGAAACATTTATGCGGGGGTAATGATTTCAAGTTTGCCCATTTGAGCAGCCAATATGACACCAGTAGAGCCCAACTACATTCCCTTAAGACCACTTATATGTCTTGTTGAGTCATGGTGAGTAGCGATCTCAATTCTGTATGACCCGCAGATACATTGCAAAAGCCACTAGACGAAGTGGGGACATACTACAGTAGTGCTACTACGAGCCTGTGTTTGGTATATCGGACTATGAACGATAACTACTAATCAGGGCAGCAGACGTAGCAGTCTTGGATGTCGTTCCAGACAACTCTCCAGCCTTTGCAGGCACTGTAATCTTCACCATCCAGGCAAGTATCACCGCATCTGTACGTAGTAGTGCGAGCGACAGCTGCCTGCACCCCAGCAACAGCAGCAAGAATGGTGAGGTAGGCGAATTGGATCTTCATGGTATCTAGTATTTGTGTCAGTGATGGCCGCCAGTGCCGGGAACCACCCACAGTCAGTGATGTACGTGAAGGTGCCAGGATTGGCACGTTCAGGAAGATCTAAATGCGAACTGAATACAATGTTCAATTGAGTTGCTTCAGTCTGTATGTAAGTCTCAGGGTTACTCACTGTAGAAGGGGCAATTGTTTTTGAGGATTTTGGGCTCGGCGCATTCGATTTATATCAACTCGGCACCAATCGTAGACAGAACTTGTTTTGCCTGAAAGTTAACCACGCGCATAATACACGCAGAATAATTGCACCAAGAAAGCGGACCCAGGGGCGTGAAAACATGTCGCCGACAAGAATCGCGATGAAACATTTATGCGGGGGCAATTATTTCACGTTTGCCCATTTTCGTGGAGCCCAGTTGCTACATTCCCTTTAGACTGCTTATATGTCCTCAAATCACGGTGAGTAGCTAGCTACCTCAATTCCACATGGCCCGCAGCTACATCAAAAAAACGATTAGACAAAGTGGACACAGGAAAGGAGATCCCGACAGTCACACAATGTATCATACTATCTGAAGTTCAGGACAGCACGATGGCACTGAAGGAAACTCACCTCAATCCCACACATGTGAGCGGAAGTGGGAAGCATTTTACCAGTATTCATAGATGTCAGTGACATCTAGTGACATGATGTCACTCTTCCAACAGAATTCACAACCACTGTAAAAGAGAAGCAAATAATAATAAAATTCGTGCAAAACATAGAAGAACCCTCACACCACTGGTATCCGCCAGGACAGACAAGACACAACGAGTCTAACGCTCTCCACCTCACCTATTCGCACAAAAGAAAATAAAGACTACGAAAGAACGAAAGGAGTAGTACGACCGCAGACGCGCCGGAAACACGAGCGTATGGAACGAAAGGACCGAAATCGGTCAGCACTAGTGAGCGAAACGTGTCAAATGCGTCTAGAACAAAATCATGTGTCGACCGGCATACGAACGTGAGTCGTTTCTCGGAATCAGGTGACTACATCAGTGGCGTAGGTACCAGCCCTTTTCGTTGCACGTTCTCAAACTGACATTGGAGTTAAGAAATAAGCGCAGAGGGCGCGCATCTTGAGCATTTTCTCTCCGACCTCTGATGCGAGCGTGCGTTTGGTATATCTGACTATGAACGATAGTAACTACTAATTAGTGCAGCAGACGTAGCAGTCTTGGTTGTCGTCCCAGACAAGTCCCCAGCCTGTCTTGCAGGAACTGTAGTAATTGCTACCATCTATGCAAGTATGCTTGCATGTTGTAGTAGTGCGAGCGACAGCTGCCTGCACCCCAGCAACAGCAGCAAGAATGGTGAGGTAGGCGAATTGGATCTTCATGGTATCTAGTATTTGTGTCAGCGGTGGCCGTCAGTGCCGGGAACCACCCACCGTCAGTGATGTACGTGAAGGTGCTAGTATTGGCACGTTCAGGAAGATCTAAATGCGAACTGAATACAATGTTCAATTGAGTTGCCTCAGTCTTTCCGTAAGTTTCAGGGTTACTCACTGTAGAAGAGGCAATTGTTTTTGAGGATTTTGGGCTCGACGCATTCGATTTATATCAACTCGGCACCAATCGTGGACAGAACTAGTTCTGCCTGAACGTTAACCACGCGCACAACACGCGCAGAATAATTGCACCAAGAAAGCGGACCCAAGGGCCGTGAAATCATGTCGCCGACAAGAATCGCGATGAAACATTTATGCGGGGGAAATTATTTCAACTGTGCCCATTTCCATGGAGCCCAGTTGCTACACTCCCTTAAGACCGCTTATATGTCATCGAGTCACGGTGAGTAGCTACCTCAATTCCACATGACCCGCAGCTACATTAAAAAAACTATTAGACAAAGTGGACACAGGAAAGGAGATCCTGACAGTCGCACAATGTATCATGCTATCTGAAGTTCAGGACAGCACGATGGCACTGAAGGAAACTCACCTGCATATATCAGGCAGCAATCCCACACATGCGAGCGGAAGGGGGAAGCACTCTACCGGTATGCATAGATGTCACTCTTCCAACAGGATTCACAACCACTGTAAAAGAGAAGCAAATAATAATAAAATTCGTGCAAAACATAGAAGAACGATGCACAGCACTGGTACCCGCCAGGACAGACAAGACACAACGAGAAGGCTCTCCCCCTCACCCATTCGCGCAAAAGAAAACAAAGACCACGAAAGAACGAAAGGATACGACCGCAGATGCGCTGGAAACACGAGCGTTTGGAACGAAAGGACCGAAATCGGTCAGCACTAGTGAGCGAAACGTGTCAAATGCGTCTAGAACAAAATCATGTGTCGATCGGTACACGAACGTGAGTCGTTTTTCGAAATCAGGTGACTACATCAGTGGCGTAGTACCAACCCTTTTCGTTGCACGTACTCAAACTTGACATTGGAGTTAAGAAATAATTGCAGAGGGCGCACGTCTTGAGCATTTTCTCTCCGACCTCTGAGGAGCGCTGACGTGAGCTTCATAACGTCTGTTTTCGACCGGAGACTAAGGGAGGCCCTTCTGATGCCAAATAGAAGCCAGGGCTGGAACCTTGTACTCCGCTACGGGATGACTTTATCGACGGGGTGCAGCAAAGCATCGGGTTGTACTGCTAGTTTATATCTTCTATCGATTATTTCTAGCAATATTAGAGTAAATTTTGGAAGTGATCTCGCGAGAACTTAATCCTAGCTTGGTGAGAAGTCTCGGCGACGCTTGAAGTTTAGCGGATGTTGGATTTGTCACATGCTTGGTGTGAATAGATGCTATTTTCTGCATATCCATATATAAGTTAAGATTCGGTCTTGTCAGAATGAAGATGATGATGGGGCGAATAAGACGATTACATGACCTGATGGAATGAGTAATGAAGCGATAGTGTCGTAGATCGTAACGCGAACAGGGTGTAGAACGAGAAGTATCTCCGTGAGCTTAAGCTTCCGATGAAGCTTTAGTTACTCATGCATCGTTAGATGTGGCGTTTTCGATAAATCGAGACGTTGGCGCTAACAGACTTCCTGGGTACAAAAGGCCCAGCGCCGTCGTGAGAGATAGTAAGAAAGCTTCGCTTCACCATACCATACACCAGGTCGAAGAAAGATGGCGTCCACACAATCCAAGTCCAAAGGAGTCGCAGTCGTCACCGGATCTGCGCAAGGAATTGGACGCAGCATCGCAATACGGCTTGCAGGAGATGGCTATGACGTTGTTATCAACGATTTGGAAAGAAACAAAGAGAATTTGGAGGAAGTCAAGAAGGAAATCGCTGCAGATTTCCCGGATCGCAGAGTGTTGACTGTGATTGGGAATGTCAGTGTCGAGGAGGATGTCAAAGGACTGGTTGACAGCACTGTGAAAGAGTTTGGTAAGCTGAATGTTGTGAGTTGTTTACATGGTTTACGAGTTCAATTACCCCACTTAATCATCTTTTCATAGTTTGTTGCAAACGCAGGCATTTGCAAAACAAAACCACTCTTAGAAAGTAACTTACAGCCCAAGTCGACGTACCGCCGGACCTTACTGAAATACTGCCGCAGCGACATCCGATGACTTTGAGTCTGTGCTTTCTGTCAATGTCAAAGGCACCTTCTACAGCTATAAATACGCAGCGCAGCAGATGGTAGCTCAAGGTGAGGGTGGGCGAATTATCGGTGCAAGCTCACTTGCAGGAAAGAAAGGCAGGTCCCTCCATGCGGCTGTTCCTTCGTGTATGCTAACATATCTTCTCAGGGCATGCGTCACTCAGCGCTTATTGTGCCTCAAAGTTTGCTGTCCGGGGGCTGACCCAATCCGCAGGTACAGTGTCTTAGTCTCCTGAGAATCCAACTCCAGTAACGTTATTTGTAAGCCATCGAACTTGGTCGCAACGGAATCACAGTGAACGCATATGCGCCCGGAACAATTGAAACACCAATGCGCAAGTCTCGAGATTAAGGGCGTTAATATACGGTGTTGACTTTTTCACCGTGTAGTTGCTGCATTGGCTGGATCAACTGATTATAACGACGTTTACGAGGAGGTAACGCTCCCCGCCAATGTGCATGAGAAGTTCTGACATTTTTCATACTTGAGTTCAAACGGTTGTCATCAGTAGGCGACCTTGGAACTCCCCAGGACGTTTCGAGCCTGGTTTCATTTCTGGTTACCCCAGAAGCACGTTTCATCACAGGTATCTCGTACATTCTTTCATAAGCGCAGTGATTGATGGACATAATGCGTTTTTTGTAGGCCAAACAGTAAGTATCTTCTCACTCGTATCCACCAGGACGCGATCTGATATGGTTCGCGGACAGATCACGATCGACGGCGGTATCTTCTTTGATTGAAGGGGGATCGCCGTAACGTTGTTTTCTCTAAACAGTAAATATCTTCTCACTCGTACTCACCATGGGCGCAATCTGATATAGTTCACGGACAGGTAACGATCGACGACGGTATCTCCCTTGATTGGCGGTGGAAATAACGATTAGTAAGTACCGAGACCGAGCGTGTAGGCTTTCGTGCCTAGTTTTGTACTTGGATGGAATATGCGATGATTGGTACATCTCCCCCGCCATATGTGCTTTAGTCAGCGCGATCACGATATGACTTGCTTTCTATTAGTGAGCAACCTCATATCCGCGAAACAACATAGTACTAGATGGTACTTCCCGTATGTGTGGGCGACTCACGGTCATAAGGCTTTCAAATAGCCCACATTGATGCCCGCCGGTTCGTTACATAAGAGGCGCCCATCACACACATTTACGAGCCTAATTCAAACGCATCCTCGTCAACGTGTCATCTGACGTTAATCGTCATTGCAACGAAATCAACGGCGATGTCCAATCTCGCCAGGCGACAACGACGTCGGGCTTGTCTCAACTCGTGGACACAGTTTCTGTGATTTTACAGTGAGTTGTAATCGAGCTCGTTGTGTGCTCACCTGACTCGAAAAATCTGCCACGGACAGGTGAGTCCCACTATTCACTTCGCATACAATTCGAACTTTCTGACCTCGACTTTCGTATCCGCTGTGTCATGGCCCGGATCACTAATCGAGAACCCGCAGCTCGGACTCCAGGCTGTGAAGTACCGCTCCGCGAATCAGGCTGGAAGGTTTCCTGAGTTCGGCTGTAAAGGGTTAATATAACAGCCAATGTGGAATTAGCTTGCGAGGCATTGCCTTTACATTCATGCGTTCAGACGGCCTTGTAATACAAGACCAAGTGCGATCACGATCAATGGTTGAGAGGCTGCGGAGAGCGCTCGATGATCAGCCGAGATCGCCGCGTTCACTGGAGTCTGCCAAGACGCATGTAAATTTTCAGTTGCGAAACCCGCGCACCACGTATTTGTATATATATTTGTTCAGAGTACGAAATTGAAAACATGGAGTCACATTTTTGTGTTATGACCATACGATGAAGGATAATATAATGAGAAGCTACCAGAAGGAGGATGTTATAGAGTCTCGGATCGCTCAGTACATCCGATCTCAGCTATCTGCCACAGTTCTGTGCTGTACGTGGTGCACGAAGGTGTGACAACGTCACAACCACATATAGTATTTTTCTACCCTGCTACAAATATATACAAATACGATTGGAGTTACCTTATCAGGTTAGGCAATGGTGACAGCAAAGACGTTGGACCACAACTGTGGTGAACTGCGGCGTCAATGCGTCACCTTCAGGTATTTGTAACTTGCATGCCCGACGGAATAAGATTTCTAATGGTTATCTCATTCACTTAATCTGCTGAAATGTCTTCCGCAGTGACGGCCTAAAGGAGCCTGAAACGATCAATCCCCTCTTGGTGATCACCTCATCCGAGTCTGCCGCTGGCAGGTAATCGGATCGGTTGGATCAATTATTCAATGGCCATGTTTTGTACATGGCGTTTCAGTTACGGAAAATTGAGGAAGAACTCACGTTATTGGTTTTGCAAAGTCGCACACCCCTGGGGTTCCTCCTATTTAGCCTGCCTTCAAGAATCAAGATGCCACATCTTCTTCACAACTCAGGATGTCTTCCGGTTTCTCTGAAGCTGATATACCCCTCCTCGTAGATGAGAATACCAACTATCCTAATCAAGTGTGGTATACTCTCGCTGCCTTTCTCTTCGTCGTCGGCTTCTTCCAGTGGGGGTTATTCTTTCACTCCAAGTTCGCCAGGCGGCAACACCATGAGTCCGACGAAGAAACGGCTATCACCAATGGCGCCTACAAGAAATTCTCTCTTCGTCGTATTCCGCTTGCAGTCATAAATTTCTATCGCGTTGTTGCCTTCCGATGGACCCTAGAAATAGGGAAATCCTACACCCTCAACATGGCAGAAGTTTTTGTGACTGTGGCATACATCACCCTTCTCTTGATATACTCCTTCATTAATAGTAAGTCTACAGGATTATGTATGGTCTTACATATAATTAACTACTAAATCACGCAGCCACCTCACTCGAGGGTCAGAAGCTTGACATCATCTACTGGAGCAACCGCGTATCCATTTTGGCGGCCAGTCAGTTTCCCCTTGTGACGGCTCTTGGAACAAAGAACAATATCGTGTCTCGTAGGTAAAAACAGCTGTTAATCTGACGTGTCGCTGATTTTTTTTTGCGTACCAGTGGTCACAGGCATCAGCTATGATAGGGTATGGCCCTTAACCACTTCACGAGGTCCTTACTCATGGACACAAAGCTTAATTATATCCACCGAATGATGGCCAGGACATGCTTCATGCTACTTTGGGTACACGGAGCGGGTCAAGTTGTGTCAAACTCCTCGTACGTATCTTCAATTCATACTGGCAATTTTCTAACGAGTTCGTCGAAAGCTTCCGGGATTCTTTGGACGAGACATGGCTTCGCGCCGGTATCATTGCCTTGATTGCTTTCTCTATTCTGATCATAGTATCACTGCGTCCCGTTCGCACTGGTGCCTACGAGCTTTTCTTCTATACCCATTTCCTTGGTGTCGGGTGGGTGTAACTTCTACGCATTTATGATTTTTTTTGACCGACAAAACCCAGGATATTCTTGGTGGGAGGATATTTCCACACCAAGCCTAATCAGTAAGTGCAAATTAATTCAAACAGCTTTGTTTCTGACTAGCGGCCATCAGCGCGTCGTACTGGATATGGCCCTCGTTTTTATTCTGGGCTCTTGATCGTTTCATACGGGTGGTTCGGCTAGTGGTATTCAATCACTCTTACTTTGGCTTCAAGTCAGGAACTGGGACAATGGACGCAGCAACAGAATTGCTTTCTGAAGATGTCGTTCGATTGCGTCTATGTCGACCCCCGCATTTCCATTGGTCCCCAGGACAGACGGCATACCTGATCATGCCCTCGGTTTCGACACTGCCATTCGAAGCGCACCCTTTTACTATTGCGAGTTTCGATTCTAGTCTGCTGTCAACCGCATCAGCGGAGACGCAATCTAGCACTGAGGTTCTGGGATCAAGCGCTCCATTCTGGAAGGAGCTGGTGTTTCTGATTAACGTGCAAGGAGGGTTCACGAAAAAGCTAAAGGAGGCAGCGGCCAAGAAGGCAACGGTCAAGGTTTTTGTGGATGGTCCTTATGGCCCGTCTCCTGACCTTGGTTCTTATGACACGTCTGTATTGGTGGCAGGTGAGTTGTAAGTTGTCTCGTGCTCACACAGCACTTATCGAGATCAGGAGGGTCTGGTGTCTCATATACCCTCCCGGTCTTCCTGAACGTTATCGAGTATGTACGTTCATTGGATTGTTATCATTGATGTCTGATTCTTTTTATAGACGCGTACGCAAGGGGAAAAGTTCTTGCACACGTGTGGTGTTCATTTGGTCAATTCGCGGGGCTGGTGCGTGCATTCATTACAATCCGCAGCTTCTTCTATGAACGATACTAACGTCACACAATCTAGAGTATGTTCAATGGATTGAAGAAGCACTTATCAAGGCTGTTCAGCTTGCTCCGCCTTCTTTGGCAGTATCTATCCGCATCTTTGTCACTGGTTCCTCATCCGCCGTGCAATCTAAATCGCTCAGGGAAGATAACTCTAGCCTTGCAAGTTCGAGCGAGAAGAAAGACAATTCCGAACACATCATAATCAGGAAAGATTCCTTATCATCATTCTTGTCGTTGCGCGGTGTTAGGATGGAAACTGGAAGACCAAATCTAGACGCACTGCTGAAGGAGGAGGTCAGTGTGACCTCGGGGAGGATGTCGGTGAGCGGTAAGTACTGATTACGCCGACCTCTAAAAATATGTAACTTACTGATATGCTATCAGTCTGCGGGTCTCAGGGTATAGCACGCTCGGTCCGTCATGCACTTCGCTTCCCGGTCTCTGGGCCTTCCAGTATCCTCAGCGGAGGACCCAGCGTGACCCTGCACGTGGAATCGTTCGGATACGCCTGATAGTCCCGTCTCCTCAAACTTCTTATTTACTTTATGCAAGACCTAAGTTTACTGTGTAAACAGGGATCCTTGCGAATTTTTACTGTAGTTGTTTAACAAGGACTCTCAGTACTGTATCCATCAAGCTGCGAAAAGGGTTAAATAGCTAGCCCGCACCTAGAATAGAATAGATACTAATACATATGCGAAACAAACATAACAGAACTTCTGACTTGACATCATGGCATAGCATAGCATCCGAATCAGCACTTTTGAGCGCAATGGACGGCACTAATGAGGAGGAATTGATGTACCTGATCTATGTATCGTAGGAGTTTGTCGAGAAGTTAAAAAGATCTTAGTCACCATCACGAGCGCTCGGGGACAGGGCGGGAAGTAAACCTCATGGGCGAGAAGAAGTTGAGAAGCAGCACCAAATGGCCATAGGCTGCTGTTTGAAATTGGAAGATGGAGTGTATAACTTCGACGGGCGAGTTGACACCAGTATGGTGCCAAAACCTACTGATTTGAAGAGCTCTCGATGACTATCCTCGATGACTATCATGGCTGCGAGAGGCGAGGAGGATGATTGGAATGCCCAGTTCTGCCGGCAACACTACCCGCAAATAGTTCTGCCCACGACGCTATAACAGATTTGAGACTAGTGAAAAAGTTCAGCCTAGTACTGCGGATAGGTTTGACAATGACTCATGCATACAATGACATGCACTGGCAGGAGGAGATAGTATTTTTAAAATGTCACAGATATCCGAAGTGTTCGATCAAAAAGTCTAGAAGCGAGTTACAGATCTGAACCTACTACCTCGGAACTGATGTGTACGTTACAGTACTTGAAGTCAGTAGGCTAGGCACAAGCCTGTTGGTGAAACATGGCTTGACAGCGTACATGAGATTGTTGACCATGCTGAAGTTTGACTTCGTGAAGTCGCCTTATGATAGGTTTCGTATTGTTATGGCGTGACTGCTTCAGACCACTGGAATAATCAGGGGTCGAAACAGAATGAGCCTTCCTTGTACAGCCATACCACACTCGAGGTAGACAGATCAACAGTTCCAGATATACCTTCGGGCAATCATTCGGCACCGACCTCCATCATGTGCGTGATAGATGAGCGCTGAGCTCCGGCCGCCCTGTATAGAAGACTCTAGAGCATAATTCCCAACACACTCCAAGCTAAGCCATAAATGTGGCATCCGAGGGCAGATCATCCACCGGACATCGAACTACGTGGCCGAGATCCCAACCTCGTTTTTCATGAGCAAATGATTCATCGCCTGCTCTGACAGGAAACCAGGTAGCAGAAAAGTCTACGAGTATTGCATCTTTGATGTAGCAGATACAACCACCCGAGCGCCAGCGGGCACCACAAAGTTGGTACCCGAATCCGTATCATGCGCACACGATGATTTCTACGAAAGAAACTAGATTAGTGCTGTCGACCTAGCGTACAAGCTCAGGTATTCCCTTCAAAGTTATTTATTCCCTCCGCCGACCTGCAATTCAACTGATGACACAGTTATCTGGCATATTGGGCATACCATCAGCGCCCATGCTCAATCCGGGGGGCAATGGGCCCATGATTTCCTCGGGAGGAGACCCGTGTGTTTGAAGCTGTGATTATACCGTAGATATCAACGCCACGCCGAGTTTAGTAGACTTCCGGCTCACGCACCTCGCCCATGAGGTCGACGATTGTGGTTCTCGTCTTGTCATCGTCGTCAGTGTAACCTTCCGATTCAAAAATTTCAAGGAGTTGCTTCATGCAGATAATCTGCGCATCGTAGCGTTTCTTATCGTCGGACGATAACGTAGTTGCATGGGTCTTGAGGTAGTCCGGGAACTTAAGATATGACAATAAAAATTCAGAGGCTTCGCGATGTCAAAAAATGTGTCTACCTTGTCCGAGAGTTCTTTCAACGGCTCATAGAGGACATCCTTTCCCATGAGCTGGCCCATCATAGCTTCCAGAACACCCTGCATCTCATCCTCATCCTCGCCTCCGAATTGAGATAAAAGCGCCTCGAGTGGGTCAGTACTAGTAGCAGAACTGCTCGCATCTGACGACTTCAAACCTGACTCGCTCTCCTTTAGTTTGTTCATAGTGTTCCGAATGCGTGATTGGAAATCGTCCTTTTCTGCAGTTTTTGGGGTAATAGGTGCTCCCTGTGTGAGGGATGGGTCGATCGAGCCATCCATCCCTTCTATCAACATGGCTTCCCAAGCCGCTGCGAGGGCACGCTCCCTCTCTTCTTGTTGTTCTGAAGTTTCGTCTTCGTTGTTTACTCCTTCATTCGCCCCCTGCTGTGCAATGCCGCGCCAAAGTGACTCCATTTCCTCAGCAAGTTCTTTTGCAAAATCAGCTCCAAGTTCAGCATCTGACGAAGGCGGTTTTTGTTTCGATGCCCGAGACGATGACGGTCCATTCACAGCAGGCGATGGTTGGGTCAAACTAGACGTGGGGGCCTTGGTGGGAGTAAATTGATCCAGGACATCTGCTAGCTTTTATAAGCGCATCTAGATAACGAAAACATGGTCGGTTTCTGACCGTCGAGATCATCGACGTCGTCCTCGTCGTCAACACGTGGTTTGGTGCTGTTGGACATGACTGTGTTGCGCTCGATTCAAGTCTTAGTACAATTACGTTACAGTGACCGAAGTTTCTCACGGTCGGCCGACCTTTGTTTCGAAAATTTCAAAGTCCAAACTTGAAGCTGATGCAATATTCTCTATCTTCACGTCTTGATATCATGACAAAGGAACGACTGTCTTCCTTCTATCAAGACCTGATTGTGCGAGATTAATCTTAATGGGGACTTGAAGCAGATTGTTATATGCCATCAGTGTGTGTTGGAACCTCTGGCGCTGATTGAGTCAAAACTCTTTCAAAATCGGACACACTGGCACTTGGCACTTGCACAGCAGTAAGATTTATGAAATCTGCGTCGGGCCGGGGTGAATAGGTGAGATTGGCAGATCTGGCTAGATCTCCAACGTACTGATGTTTGGCATTCTACTGGCAGCCAATCCAAACCTCCGGTTTAGAGTATGAGGCAACAGTCACTCAGAATATCTTTTCGATGTTCTAAGTGACATTTCTGGATATCCATGTTGTTCGTTTCACGGGCTGAATATAATTGTAGAGAGTGCAACCCTTCAAGTACAACTCCTCTGGCTCTCTTTCAACCATGGATGCAAATATGGGCATTTCAATGCTTCCGTCTGCACAGGGTCCCACCGACAAGTCTCTGCGAGTCACAAGAACCAAGTTATACCCGATGCATGCATGGTATTGTATCGGTCTTTTCATTTTTACTATCGCCGTCTTTCAGTGGTTTTCCTTCTTTCACTCCAAGTTCGCCAGGAGCCGTCCAACGTCCAATAAATCCGATCCAGAACAGGCTGTTGTACACTATCGTGGCATTTTTTCGTGGCGTCGCATCCCTTTGGGACTTGTCAATGCATACCGAGTTATCGCTTTCCGCTGGACACTTGAATTTGGAAAGCGGTACACCCTCAACATGGCTGAGGTTTCTGTGACCATGGCATACCTTTCTTTTCTTTTTATATGGGCATTCATCAACAGTAAGTCGTCACTTGCCGATGCTACTGTCGGGCACTGAGAATGCTTTCTAGCAACTAACCTCGAGGGCCACGCTTTGGACATTACATACTGGTGCAACCGCTCGGGCACACTAGCTGCGAGCCAGTTCCCACTAATCACTGCACTTGGAACTAAGAACAATATTGTGTCATGTACGGCTCGTGTACTGACATTCTCAAGTACCAGTTGCTGAAGATATTGCCTACAGTAATCACCGGTATCAGCTACGACAAGGCAAGTCTGTTCACGATATTTGCTGTTGCTTTATCATAACATGGTTGTTGATTTTTTCTCAAGCTTAACTATGTCCACCGTATGATGTCCAGAGTCGTTTTCATCTTACTCTGTGTTCATGCAGGCAGCGAGATCGTCGAAAACGCACCGTATGTGTACATGCAGAAAGAATTCAATGCACTAACACAACACAGATTCCAGCCATTTCTTAAGGAGCCATGGCTACGATGCGGCATCACTGCCATTGTTGCCTTGACCATTTTATGCGTCGTTTCCCTGCGCCCCATCCGAGCACAAGCCTATGAACTGTTTTTCTACGTTCATCTCGCTATGGTTATGTAAGCCCATTCTACTATTTTTTGTGCCACTCACACAGAAATCGATTTCAGGACTTTCCTCGTCTGTGCTTACTTCCACACACAATATGATGGGTGAGTTCTGTCAAACGCACAACTCGAATAACCTCAAATCATGATCGCCAGGCTCACCTACTGGATCTATCCCTGTTTCGTAATCTGGGGGTTAGACCGCCTTATCCGCATCGTTGGTCTTGTGGTGTTTAACTCCTCGTACTTCGGCTTCAGATCAGGGTCTGCAATGGATGCGACCGCTGAACTCATATCAGATGATTTTGTTCGATTACGTTTCCACCGCCCACCTCATTTCCGTTGGGCGCCTGGACAAACCGCCTATCTTATCATGCCATCCGTCTCACGCTTGCCATTCGAAGCCCACCCTTTTACCATTGCGAGCTTTAATTCGAACATTTTTGATGTTGCTGCGGAACAGAAGCCAGAAGGTGAAAAGTATACTCAAATCACAGACCGTGCTCTCGGTTCTAGTGCTCCATTCTGGAAAGAGCTCGTGTTTTTCATTAACGTAAGGCAGGGGTTCACTGCCCGCTTGAAAGAAGCTGCTTCGAGGGGTGATAAACTCAAAGTCTTTATCGATGGGCCATATGGCCCTGCTCCTAACCTGGGTTCATACGACACATCCGTGCTTATTGCTGGTTAGTCACTTAATTTGTTGCAAACATCGCTCATGCAGGTCCCACTTTCAGGTGGATCCGGAGTCTCGTACACGCTACCGATCTTGTTGGGTATCATAGAGTATGTCAGCTGGCTTTCTGTTTATGTATTTTTAACGATTGTATTCCAGAGGTGTTCGCAACGGTAAAAGCAGTTGTGGCCGTGTGGTTTTCATCTGGTCAATCCGGAATGCTGGTGCATATTATTCATCCACTATCGGCTTCAATGAAGCATTGTACAGGCCAACTCATTTATTTCTAGCAGACCAAATTCATTGGATCGACGAGACTCTCATCCGAGCACTTCAACTTGCCCCTCCTTCTTTATCCATTTCGATCCGCATACACGTTACCGGCACACCGGCAACTGACGAGGCCTTGCCACACTCATATAGTCCAAGTGATGACGCCAGACCGGTGTGCAATCCTTCACCCCCCGAGACGGTGGTGTTGCAAGATGGCAGAAGCAAGCACTCCCTTTTCACCGTAGAGTCGGCCAAGCTTCAAAGTGGAAGGCCCAACCTGCCAGCTATTCTCAGAGATGAGGTAGAAATGGCGACAGGCAGGATGTCTGTTAGTGGTCAGTCATCGTCTCCACATGCCACAAATGCAGTGACGCTTACTCCATCTGTAGTGTGTGGCTCACAAGAGATAGCTCGATCTGTTCGCCGTGCCCTTCAATTTCCAGTGTCGAGCCCTCTCAGTGTAGCCAATGGTGGTCCGAGCGTTACTCTACACATTGAGTCCTTTGGTTACGCTTAGCCGATAGACAATAATATTGAAGCGCCCCTATCTTGAAAAGCCCTGAACGATTGATATCCTCGTGTCCACTTCAAGCACTACTAGATCTGCATAGCACTCGATTTTTGGTCTGCCAGTTGTTGGAAATTCTCTGAGCCACTCCTTGAAATATGATCATGCTATTCGTATCTTTCCAAAGCATTGACTGAAGCTCAAAACCATATCTTATGCTCAGCCTTACCGTGATTTCACAAAAAGAAGCCCTATCGCCTAGTCTACGCCGTAAGGCCACGCATGAACGATGCCAAGCATCGACAAGTGGAAATTGGATTCAGGGACCCGGTCGCAGATCTCAATATAATCACTGCTTTACAGACCATCCACTGTAAGTATGCAATGTTTCCTTGCCAGTTTACCAAGGTTTCGATGGATGGATGGTACGCGACTATGGTTATGCATGGCGACTGCGTGCCAATCAGCTGACGTTTGATTAATTTGATTCGTCAGATTAACAGTACATACTTCAATTTACAGTGGGGTGTTCGATGCATACAAACTAGAATATAATTCAAGGAGCGCTCGTACATGGTTTTCCTGGGAGACTGATGATTATGTACGACTGTTCAGTGGGTGGGACGTCGAGTCCAACCTAGATACCCAGATCGGCTTTCGAAATGAAATGGGAACCACCAGCGCACCGATAACCTTGCGACTGCTTGATCCAGCGAAACCCTGCAGTACACACACCCACTTGTCGCAACTTTTGCTGTACTTGAGCTTCTTCGCGCCTCTTCCTCGCTTGCTCTTGATGCTTCTCCCTCTGCGCACCTAAGGCTTTCTCTCGAGCGGCTTTAGCCTCTAGTACTCGGATGCGAGCAGCCTCTCGCTGGCGCATGAGCTCCTCATTGGCAGTACCATTCTGCAAGTTCGCTACTTCTTCCACGAGTTGTTGTGCAGTAGCTTCCGCAGCTTGCAGTTCGTTCATGGTATTCTGATGCGCAATCTGACGCTTTCGCAACTCTTCAGCAACATCCTTTTCAGCTGCTTCCGCTGCTGCTTTATCTGCCTGCAGCCGTGTCCAAGTGGCATCGTCTACACCGGGATCCCGTTGCACCTGGTCATTTGCCTGGGCAAGTTATGAACGCTATTGCTATCTTATGTAAAGTATGGCACTAACCTGAGATGAAGCCGTAGTGTCTGGCGGGGATCCCCCGCCAGTGGATGGAGGTTGGGTTTGTTCCTGTCCTCGTTTACGTTTACAAGATGATTTAGAAGGTTTTTCCTGTCCGCGTTTACGTTTACGAGATGATTTGGAAGAAGGGGGATTCGGAGGAGCTGTAGTGGACACGCTCTGAGAGGTTGAAGGAGGAGGAGGAGCGATATTTCTTGACGTAGCCATCTGTGGGACACCGGGGGCTGATGACACCGTTTTGTTCGGCAAGTTGAGACGTTCTCGCTGCTCAGAGAGTTGAGCTCTCATAATACTCAATACATCCTCTGCTGTAACGACCAGTGAACTCCCTGGAGTTTTCCCAGCCGAGATGAACGCAGGGCGAGCCACCTTTTTCGCAATAGATTTTACGTCGCGTGCATTACCCCAGTTTTCGAGGCTCGCCATATCAGCGATGATGCTTAGCATCTCTTCGTACAGTGATGACGATGGATCAGAGAGCCCTTGGACGACAACCTTTGACCCGCGCAGTTCCTTGTCAAGCAGCTCGATGCATCGGAGTGACGACATATTGGGTAGAATGAAATCCTCGGAAAACCGACTGGAAAGCCCGGGGTTCGCGCCCAAAAGCTGATTCATCTCCTTCTCATATCCTGCAAGGATGATGACCATCTTACCCATGAACTTCTCGTTGGTCATCAGCCCGACGACTTCGTCAATGGCTTCCTGCGCAAAAAGACCTTGGCTAAGTCGATAGGCTTCATCCACAAAAAGGACTTTGCCGATGGCCTTCTCAAAAAGTTTCTTCGTCTTGGGACCTGTTTGGCCAACGTACTCCCCAACGAGATCCGACGCCGAACATTCTACCAGTTCAGTCGATGCGAGGAAGCCCATATCATAATAAACTTGACCAAATTTCCTTGCGATGGTCGTCTTTCCGGTTCCTGAAGAGAAGGCATCAGCACATGAACAGTCTCGATCATGACTTTATTACCAGATGGTCCCTTGAAGATGAAGCTGGTGGGTATTTGCTTGCGCATGTCCAGTCCCGATGCCTTCATCCCTTGCGCCATGTTTTGGTAATCTCCCAGCTTCTGTATAACAGCTTCGCACCCAACCATATCTTCGAACAACTGAGTCAAGTTCGCTGCAGCACGCTGATCACGGTCCCAATCAGGGTCGAAGTCTTCTGGTTCGAAGACGATGTCCAGAGACATAGACATATCGGAAGATTGCGATGCCTGCCGCTTTAAATATCGATCTTTTGCAAAAGTCAGCATGTTTTCCACTTCTCCTCCATTCCCGAAGTTCGGACGGTTCTTTCTTCGGCTCAAAAGACCAAGCGCTACTTGCTCAGCTTTCGCCGTTGCACTGAGGTCTTGATCCTTTAGCTTGCGTTCAAATATTTCCTGTAGCTGAGGCTCAGTGAAGTCTTCAAACATGAATGCATCCTCAATCGCAAAACGCCGAGCAAAGCCAGGATTGACATCCTGATCCAAGTGTCAGAGCCACCTCTTGATTATGAAGTCGTGCACCTGCCTTGAACATGTCTTCCATCTGCTCCTTGTATCCTAATAACAAGACACAACGATCATCCCCTGGTACGTTCTGTATCTCCGCAACCATGGTGTCAATGACGCCGGCCTTATAGGGGTCCTGGGAACCACCATTTTTACTGTGCAGCATGTATGCCTAGCAAGACGGTGAGCACCACGGGGTAGAGGCGATATTATATACCTACCTCGTCGATGACTAGAACCTTTCCGACAGTACTCTCTAAGATGGCCTTCGTGTTCTGTTCAGAGTGCCCGAGATGTTGCCCTATGAAATCTGAAGGATTTTTCACCACAACTTAAGGCGGCAATCAGGTAATGATCCTCAAACATTCTTCAGCAGAACGCCGAACCTTCACCGTTACTGAGAAACCCTAGGTCCGCCAGTGCTTGACCATAAAGTTTGGCGACAGTGGTCTTGCCAGTGCCCGGAGAGCCCAGGAAGACCCGGTTAAGGCCCATATCGAGAGGCTGCTTTTCTGCCAATTCGCGATGATAGTTCGCCCGAATAAGGTTGAAGAGGTTGCTGACAGATTTCTTCACGGATTCAAGACCAGTGAGGTTCTGCAACTTTATCCATGAAGGGCAGTTCGGAAGAACGGAGTCTGGATTGGGACCAATAAGATCTTCCTTCACGAGCAGGAAATCGTCTGGTAATGACCCGCTCTTGCGCTCTTTTCCTACTCTCGCAGCCTGTCGCTGACGTATCTGCGCAAACAAATTTTGCAGTGCACGGGCGTTTCCAAACCCTTCGCGGCCGCGGCCACGGCCTAGGCGTCGGACTGCGATTCGACCATAAAGACCACGGATGCCCTCTTCGACCTTCATCTGGCCTCCAAACTGTTTCTCCACCAGATCAGCGAGCATATCAAGAAGTTCTTCGTCAGTGTAGTCCTCGAAGGTGAATCTATGCGGGACACGACTCGGAAGACCTTGATTATGATTGAAGAATTTCTCCATCTGACGGCTGTACCCGGCAAGGATGAAAACCAGGCTTCCAATGCGGTTCTCCATCTCCGCTAGCAAGAAGTCGAGGACATCGGTACCGGACCCACCCTGTGCGCTAACTAGCTGATAGGCCTCGTCGATGAATATGGCACCACCGCCGACTTTCATAACGTCTTCGATGAGCTTCTTTGCACCTCCTACGCCATCATGTGCCAGACTTGCTCCTGTGGTTTCCTTGAATGCATTTCCTGGAAGTACATGTATCGATTCGAGAAACTGGGCATATAGCCTTGCGACCGTCGTCTTCCCTGTGGAAAATTTAAAATTAGCGCACAGATTACCCAAAAAAGATCTCCTACCTGTCCCTGGATTTCCCAAGAGCGCAAGATTCAGACGCTCCTTGTTCGCAGGAACTCCCTGGCGTTTCATCAAGTCTAACTTCTCCTTGGTTTGTAGAACTTGCGACTTCACTCCTTCCAATCCAGTCATCGCCATAATGCTATCAATCGCATCGTTCTGCTCGCCCAAGAGCCTCTTCTGCGACTCCCAATCATTGCGAGCGGCAGAGCTTGATTGGCCACCGGGAGGTTGCGATGGAGCAGACGAATGTTGGGAGGATTGTTGGGAGGGAGAGGATGTTGGCTTGGATGCATTTGAACTACCGTCTTTTGAAGAACCTGTGGTCTTCTGCGCGCGAACTTTTGCTTCTTCGATCTCTCGCTCCTTCTGTTTAAGCATAGCCTCTCTGTGCTTCGCAATATTAGCATCTACAATAGCTTCGACCTCGGCTTTAAGTCTTGCATCCTTTTCAGCCATTCGCGTATCATGAGCAGCTTGCTCGGCATCACGTTTCTGCTGGAGTTCTGCATCGCGCAGTAACTGCTTTTCAGCGCGCTCTGTATTAATCTCGCATGCAATGCATTTTGTGTGCGGCCCTCGATGACATTCCCATGCAACTTTGTGGACGCCCGCCGCACAATTTCCAAATAGCCATTGTTGACAAAGTACTTTGGAGTGATCGAAAAGCTGATGGCACTTTGAAGGACAAGGGTGCACGTTGCAACTAAGCATGGTACCACTGAAAGAAGCAAGGTCAGCGAGGTGCGTCGAATATTGCTGAAAAGACACTCACCAAGGCTCCGTGCAACCTCCATCTGGACATCGCTCATCGAAATCTTTGGCATCTCGCAGAATGGCTTTGCACGCAGGATGACGCTCGCATTTAACGGGAAACCCTTCATAGATGTGTGACGCCTGCCTAAGAATATCAAATAGACGACGCCAAAGGGGGGACTTGTTCTCGAACGTGACCATATTGCCGATAAGAATTAAACCATCACGGGCCCGAGACAGGAGAACGTTCAAACGTTCAGGGGACTTCATGAAGCCGATAACGCCATCAGAATTCGATCGTGTCAAGCTAGCGACCACGATATCACTTTCCTCTCCCTGATAATTGTCTGCTCCAGTCAGTCAACCATCAGGCATTCATGTTGGTGGACTTCGTACCTATAGTAGCCAGTCTTATCTTCCTTTTGGATGCCTTTGCAGCGTCGGGAGAGAGCAGCCCCGCACGAATCAAGTCAAAAGAGTCGAGGTCGTTCAACACCGGGTCATTGTCTGTCTTGAGAGCTTCCCGAAGTTTGGATAGCTGCCCAAGGTAAGGCGTTAGGACAACGATGTTATCTGTCCCATAACCTTGTTGAGCGAGGTACCGGACAATCTTCAAAACCATGCCGGCTTCGTAAGAGTTCTGTTTTGAAGTCGCAGAACCAAGATCGCTGCGATCGCTGACTCTGCCCTCATGGTCCTCAGGGTGAGCATGGTTGACGAAGACAATATTATCTTGGATTCCACGAATATCACCTCTGCCTCGAGTGCTGGCGGCGTCGGTCAGTTCCGGGTATGTGAGCTCGCGAATAAGTGCGGAGATTTCAGGCCGCATACGATGTTGCTCGGTGAGAGTAGTGTGAGGGAATCCTTTCAGAACAAGGCGCTCGAAGAGTGACATATTCAAGTCGTATCCTTGGCCGCTCTCGACCTGGAGGGCATAACTGTTGACTTTGGGTCTCAACTGCCTAAATGAATAACTCAGAATAAGGCACTGGGGGCAGTGATCGAAAACATACTTGTGGTCTCCAACGAGGATCAGTTGATTTGTGTTTTTGCCAAGAGCGGTCAGAATATGGCTCTCTAAAATCTCTCCAGCCTCCTCCACAAGAACAACGCCGGGAGCGGCAGCTCGAAGGTCTTCGGCAAATTTCGCGGCTCCTGTTGTTGTACACGCAATGATCCGTTTTGCCTTGAGCGTTGCGACCAATGACTCGTTCCACTTTCGGGTCAGATCTATTTGACAATTGTTGTAGTCTTCGCCAACATCGTCAATGTCATCTACCATCTGCTTCTGAATGTCGCGCGTCCATTTCGCCAACAAGTTCTGACGGACGGGTGAGGAAGTAGCCCAAATGCGAGCCGATTCTCCTGTTTGCAGGTGAGCTGCGTTTTTGAAGATACCTGCATCGCGGCCTCTGTCCCATAGCTCAATGAGATATGTGGAATCAATCTCCCGACGTCTCCAGCCTACAACAACCATGCCGTCATCTGACTTGGGGACGCGAAAAGCTTCAAAATAAGCTTCATCCTCGAACTCGATATGCGTTAAGATATCCTCATGACAAATCCTATTTGTCAGGAACTTCGCAACAGAGTTGTCAAGGCGGCGGCTGAGATCATCAGATCTGGTCCTGAATTCGTCGATCATGGTCCAATCCGCCTTAGTCCGCCGGGGCTGGGCCGTTCTCTGGTTAGGACTGACGAGGTTGAGATGCGCCAGCTGCGGTTTGGCTCTTCCTCCGAGTCGAACCATGTGGTCGTCAGGAATACCGATTTTGAGAAGATCGTCTAGAAACTGGTCTAGAGCATGGTTGGTATAACAGACAACAAGAATCGTCTGATCAGTGAAGTCGTGTAAAGCTTTGGCTAAGAGGGCGCCCACAAACGACTTTCCGGTCCCTGACCCGTCAAATAAGCATTTACTTGGCGTCCACAACGCAAAAGAACATACCTGGAGGACCCTGTATCAAAGACACCCTCTGTGTCAGGCCAGAAAGAATCGACAAAGCTTGTGAGCGATCCAAATGTATGGGGTCGGGAGTCTCAAGTAAGGATTGCAAGTTTTCAGAATGGTTGGCTTCGATGGCCGTGATAATGGTATCAGCCATCTGCGGGGGACTCTGCAGAGTAACACCACTCTTCCAGAACAACAACTCATCGGATACTGGGATATGTTGCATCTTCTGCAATGCCTTGAGCACCGGCTCGAAAGCAAAGAGAGCGGTGTTAATCTGTAGGAGCTTCGCGTTTTTGGCAGTGCGGAGCCGGAGGATGGTTCTGCTTGTACTCGCCCGCCCGTCTAGTTGAATAACGACAATAGGGGGGTTGCGGGCCAAGAGATCTTCCACTCGGTTCACAGTGCCAAAGCCGACCACTTCCTTATCAACCACCAAGCAAACGAGTGATTGATGACGAAGGATCTTGGAGCCAGTATAATCATCTGTGAGATACTTTCTCCTGTCCTTCGGGGGAATACGCCTCAGAGATGGCAGGTCATGGACGCACTCCAATGTTATTCCCCACAACATCTTGCGATCATCAGTACCATGGTAAACGCCTTTGAGTGTAACACCGTCTATCCAACTGGCGCGGTGGCGCTCGACATTCTTTCCATCCAGCGCCTGAAGCTTTTCCCTCAACTCCGCTATCATATCTTCACGAAGAAGGCGAAATGTATTGTCGAGGTAATCCGCGATGCGAGTGCTTTCTCCGGATTCATCCTCCAACTCTGAGCTACGGCGCAAGAATGGTAGTTGTTTAGATCCAATTTCGTCGGCTGTGGGAAGGATAGCGATGTCGCGAAAATTGACAAAGTCGTTGTCATGTCGTCCGCCTGGGCCATTGGCATCCGAGGGAGGGGTTGATGAGCCATATGTCGAAAGAATATGCTTAATCTTCTCTCCAATAAGCCGGACTTCCAAGTTGGCAGAGCCGGTGAGTTCGGGGAGGACATTTGGCCTGCCAGCTAGTTCACGATAGGGCGCTGTGTCGTGGTTCGAGAGGTTCAACAGCCGGAGGAGGAGGCCAGCGAAGGCAAGTTGAGCTTTTTCGAGTAACTCTCCACGAGCGAAAGCGTGACTAAACGCCGACCAGAAAAAATCTGGTTCGACGATTTGGACGAACAGGTGATCCAGCACGTTGCTGCTGATGCTTGTGGCCTGAAGAAGATATACAAGAACGTCAGCACCAATACCATTCATAAACTCCGGCGACAAGTGCAGTCGCATTGCCTCCTGCACAATAGAGGGGCCTTTTGGTTCTCCTACTATCTTATTAACGCATACTGCGATATCCGGCTGGGAACATATGGAATCAAGAAACAAATGACAGTTTCGTGGCTCAATAAGGACTTTGCCCTTGAGAACATCATGAAACCGCTTGTTGAGCAAGGTTGCGCGTCGGTCAGACATTTAAGAGCATTCCCCGGTGGTGGTGGTGATGGTGGTGGTGGGAAGAAAAATGCACGCTGAGTCGAGATTGGATGATAACAGAAGCCAACAATTTGAACTTTGATTAGAGGGGCACGTGTGATCGAAGAACAGCAAGGTTTCGCATCAGGAAATCAGCCTTCCCGAAAGGAAAAAGGCGCGTGCTGTGCTGGCGGGCGGGAGGACGACTGTCAGCGCTACAGCGCGTTCGAGGACGAACGAACGGTTCGACACGTTCGAGTTCGAACCCGGCGGCGACGGGCGCGTGTAGGCGCGGTTTGCTGGATCTGGGAGGGCTGGGAGGCTGGAGGCAGAGGAGGAGGACGAGCGCGGACATTGATTCAAGTTGGGTGGTCAACAATGTGAGAGCCGAAGTTCCTGCAGTGCCTGGCATTTCAACGGTAGTGGATGTGGTTGCACAATGCAATGTGCATGTTTCGAAACATGAGATCACGTGACTTGTCCACTGGCAAGACTTGTCCCGATTTATTCCTAAATTTTCCGATAGTACAAGTTCTTAGTTTACCACTATCAGATGTTCCGCCCTCGTCGAAGTCTGGCGTGCTAGCAGAGATCGCTTTGGAACACACGAGGACAGACTGTGCAGGAATTCTTGGCTCCTAGAGTCGTTCTCTTCTACCAAGCAGATTGGACCCCTCATCTCAATGACTGTTCTCCCAACCACACAGAGTCTGTCGCTATCATGCAGGAGTTGCAGGATTCCACAGATATGGATGCACGGTCCCTGGTCACATTCAGTTCGGGTATGAGAGGTGCGCTAGAGACACTCCATTGAGCGTCGACGCGTGACACGACATTGCAGGAAGACATTGCATACTCATTATTTGGCATTTTGGGCGTCCACCTACCCGTCATATATGGAGAGACGAGACAAAATGCACTCGGTTGGCTCTTGCAGGAGATCGTCGCTCGGACGGACGACATTACTGGTTCGGAAAGTCCTCACCTCCTACAAGCATCCGCCATGCACACTACTATCTCTATCCCAAGACGAAATGCAGGCATTCATCTCCACGCTGCAAAATACTATGAATGTAGAGTTGGCTTCAAAGCTTTACACCCTTCTTGACAACTTCAGTGCTCCTCGTTTCGCGAACTCCAGACTGCATTTGCTTTGCATCATATTTCCTGTTACAGAGATCAGACGGAGGCGTAGTTATGACCCATCGGAGATACATTCACATATGAAGTCAAGCTTGCAGACGGGCTTCAAAACGTGTTAATCACAACAAGCTGGCTCATTTCTCGCGGGCAAGGTCTACTCGGCAGTTATTCTCCATCATCCGTCTGTGGGGTCGTCATGGCCTCGAGTCGCTTAACCTTGCAGATGAGATACAGAGCCTGGAAGATTGGTCAGAGACCCAGTTTCCTTCAGACGAATCACGCAGCGAGTTTTCTGGAGAAAATGAGCCGATCGATCCGGAGTGTCACTCACGAGTTTTGAGGTTGATTGTTTGCCTCGGACAGCCTTTTGGAGCATTGTTGCTGAAGCAGTAGGGCGGTGGGGAATACAAGAGAATCACGTCGGATCACAATATCGTCGCAAAGTCAAGGATGTGACTTCTGTTCATGATATGACGGACGTCAGGACGCTGGAGATATTGTAGTTTCCAAGAACGGAGATCTCTCGTGCCTTAACAACACCTGCGTGGAACAATCCCTCTAGGCATCTGTGTTGTATCGTATGGCAGTGCGGCATGATTGGACCCAATCCCCTTCACGTCTGCAGACTCCTCCACACCCTCATTCCTTGGCACCTGGCCAACAACCCCTTGTTCGGTTTCAACCAGAGCCTCGTCGTGGATACGTCATCGTCTAGAAGAATCCGATCAAGAAGATCAGGCAGATAGCTCTCTGACATGGGACGGACCGCAGGTGCTATGAGGTCTATTTTGGCTTCCGCTGAATGTCGATGTATCATAGGAGAGACGTTGTGAAGTTGTTCATGTTGTGCAAATGACAGGTACTGGGCGATTTCACTTGATCTGGTGGGGAAGGCTTAGGCGAGTCGTTGGGTATGCACTTGGTGAATTTCCCTTGCGTAGACTCGTCAATGAACTCTTCGATTAGATATGTTCTGGTAACACCGGCGTCCTCGAGTAGCAAGAGTGAAAAATATTATATTTATTTAGGGACCGCTTAATACGACTGCAATCCTTTCGGGGCTTGGATGACGCGTGTTCAGTTCAACTGTGGGAGGGCTTTTATTTTCTATAACATTACAACGAGGAGAAAAACAATGCGTCACAAATGCTCCACCCATATGTTATGTATTCAAGTGTTTGATCTATTCCTCTGTTCCAAGGTCTTCATTGCTCGAGCAGCAGCGAAATCTGTTCAAAAGCAAGCGCTCTGCAACGAACATCAACCACACTGCACCAATGCGAAAGCAGAAACACGACTCACTGTAGCTCACTGGGCCATACACATAAAAGTGTATACAGCCTACCACGCCGGTGAGTCATGAGGTTAAATCCTAGATGAAAACTACTTACACCACTCTTAGATTGGTGATCGAATTCTTGCTTGCATTTACTGCCTGCGCAGCAATCTGCAGTTGTGCCGCAAAAGAGGGGACAATTGCTGTCAGCACTTCGGATAGCCATGGACGCTGCCAAAGCAGCAAATTGAGCGGCGACGATGATGGCGAGACGCATTATTTGTGAGATGTGTTATAGGATCTGAAGGAGGAAGATAGGATGACAGCTACTTGGTTTTATCTTCCGAGTAGAGATTTGTGTAGAGCCTATCCACCTTAAATACCCCGTCAGAGAGATAGCATTTGCAACGCCAGTAGATTGCCAACCTCCAATAATCTACTGGCGCTTAAACAATTCAGTTCCATCTCGTTGTTGGATACGGCATACATTAGGTGACACGTATAGTCTCCCGTAACGCGAGGATCCCGGGCCCGGGCCTACGCACGATGTTGCGGGCAGAACTGATGAGTTCTGCCACCCGCTTTGGCAGAACTTGGCAGAACCCAGGGTTGGCAGAGAACTGGAAGATGTCGTTAATGTCTTCGGTAGGACTGTCGTTGACAACTTGATGTTGTAGATAGGAAAAATTCACCGCTAAAGTTATGCCACTCGGCAGAACTGGCAGAATAACCAGTTCTGCCCACAACACTATGCAGCAGCAGCAGCAGCGCAATATAATGGAAAACTTTGAGCCCTCTGGATTAGCCCGAGCTTCTTCAATTAAACACGAGCGACGAGATCAATCCTCACGAAGATCGACTCCCAGCTGTAGCAAAAATTGGCGCAGCGAAATTCCACAGTAATGATTGCCAACAATACTACGGTCGTATGGAGCCGTGGTCATTAGACAAACGCAGAGTCATCAATAAGCGGACAAGTGCCTGTTGATAGTGAGCACACGACTTAGGATAGTGGACAGCTCAGTACTCACCACACAAGCTCCACAACGCAACGATTTCCAAAACGTACTGTCCTCGTCAACGTCAAACACCACTGATCGTCTATCTCTCTGTCTAGGTCAACGCAAAATGTCAGAGGTGCCTGATACAGCAAAAAATGCAGACCTCGCTTTGAGAGGCCACCCGCCGTCGGCGCAGACAACCCAAGGACACATGAATGTAATGGATGCAGTAGCATTCTTCAAAGACAGTCGACGGGTCGACACTGGTTCATGGGACTGTACCCTGCGAATCTGGGATGCGCAGAAGGGAGAATTGGTAGGAGGGCCGTTTAATGGACACAAGCATTGTGTGTGATCGGTCGCTGTATCACCAGATGATGACAAGCGAATCATACGGGATACGTCCTACTTCAGGGCATTCGCGACTACAGAGATGCGTTCGGACATACGTGTCCTTAGACTAGCACGTACTGTCCTAGACGGATAACGACGACTAGATTCGAACTTGTTTCGTTCAACGGACAGGCATTCGAGAGTCGAGACCATCTGTCAAGAACATTCGCCAGGCATGTGACGGTGTGACGAACCCAAGGTCATGTGTCACAGTCACAGTGTGACTCGCACGTGGTTGAAGCTAACGTTAACGGTAGTAACTGGATCTTTGCACGCAGCTCCACCTTGAAGTTGAACTTTATCAATGAGTACTATTTTTGACATGTTCGAGGTCGCACTATGATCGCTGACGCACTCATCAGATCTTACAGTTATAATCTCAGGCTGTAGATGTGATTCCCAACACTGACTCACACCACTGGCTATCATGTCCAAAGGTGTTGCTCTGATCACCGGCGCTGGCCAAGGCATCGGCTGTGCAATTTCGATTCGGCTGGCTGCCGATGGCTTCGACATTGGACTCAGTGATATTCCTACCAACAAGTCTAATCTTGAGGAGGTCGCACGGGAGATAAGGAGTACTTACGCAGGACGAAAAGTCTGCGTGCTTCTTGCAGATGTCACAGTCGAGGATGATGTTCGTAACATGGTGGACGACGCCGTGACTAATCTCGGTGGTCTGGATGTCGTGAGTTACTATCTACCCAAGCTTTGAATTGTTCTCATAAATGACGTCACTTTGAGATGGTCGCAAACGCCGGTATCGCTGTAGCTGCATTATTGGTTGAAAGTGAGAAAATCGACTTTACAGATTTTGCAGCATCGTACTGATTTTGCTCGACTAGCTACATTGGTAGACTGGGAGAAGATCTTTGCCGTCAATGTTAGGGGCGTGTTCTTGAGCTACAAATACGCCGCTCAAAAGATGATTACATTGAATGAAACTAACAAACGAGGTCGACGCATCATTGGTGCCAGCTCCATAGCAGGGAAAAAAGGTGCGCATGTCCATCCGTAGTTTCTAATCCAACACACCGTGAATTATTCCTTTCTTCAGGTGATGAATACTTTAGCGCGTACTCTGCTTCCAAGTTTGCTGTCCGAGGCCTTACACAGTCTGTTGGTATGGCGTCTTTCTACGTTGAGTTCCAGCCATTCTGACAAGTGATCATATGACAGCTATCGAACTTGGACGCCACGGCATCACCGTAAATGCCTATGCTCCAGGAGTAATCATGACTGACATGAGTGAGTACAGCCTTAAATCAATATCCCGTGATGCAAGCTAAGCGTCAAAGTCAACGGCCTGAGTGAGGCAAGCATAAAGCTGACAGGATCATCTAACCTTGATAGTTATTTCGAAAAGGTAAGATAAGACCGTAAGGCTAGTCTCATGACTTCGCTCAAGCGTATCTCCATAGATTAAGAAGAACATGTGTCTTGGGTATATGGGGGCTCCAGATGACGTTGCGGGACTGGTCTCTTACATTGCCTCCACAGAATCTCATTTTATCACAGGTAAGCATTATAGAACCTTTCGCGCTGTCTGTCTTGATGCGATTGGCATTACCAACCGACAGGACAAAGTGTAAGTACTACTTTGAGAGCTCGTGCATGAAGACTGACAACTGTGCAGATCACGATCGATGGTGGAATGCGCTTTGATTAAATCGTGTTTGTGTGGGGAGGAAGGCTTACATATGCTAAAGCCTGCGGGTGTATCATCTCTTGTACAATAAATCTCCGCCTTAGCGGCGACTGCCAGCAATGGCCCGCATCAGTGATGTCCATTCATCTGAAAAACTTCAAACGCTCAATGTGCAAGAGGAAAAGAAACCCCGCAATGCGAACAGGACCCTTTCGGAAGGAAGCTAATAATAGCATGAAAATCAACATCAACCTCGGTCGTGGTGCACCCATCAATGTTTCAACGCCAAACTACTGCTATTCAGAAACATACTCATCTATGGAAAGTGTGACTTCACGCAAAATCAGCGCAACTGGGAGTCGTGAATAAAATGAGAGCCGCCCGCGCAACGGTACCCTGAAAGTTGTTTGATCCATGGGTAGCCTTGCACGCAGACGCCGAGGTTTCTCAACTTCTGCTGTATCCTCTCTTCTTCACGTTTCTTCCTCTCTTGCTCACGACGCATTTGAAAGAGTGCAGCAGCAGCTCTCTCCCTTTCTGCCTTCGCCTCCAACTCTCGAAGTCGAGCCGCTTCTTGCTGGCGCCATAGTTCTTCTTGCTCAGCCTGGTCTCGTGCCTTCTGTGCAGCAAGGGCCCGAGCTGCAGCCTCCGCAGCCTGCTGCCTTTGAGCAGCTCTACTCAATTCAGCGTTGCGCAACTTTGCCTCCTCGATTGCTTTCTTTTTAGCCTCCTCGGCCGCAGCTTTATCTGCCTCCAACTGCCTCCAGACAGCATCAGAAACGCCCAGGTCACGCTGAACATTATTGGTAGACTGGGGCTGCGGGGAGCCTTGAGTTGGTAACTGCCTTGCTTTCCCTCGCCGATCTGGAGTCGGTGGGAAACTGCCTTTCGAAAGGATGGGAGAAGCAGTCTGGGAGGGTGAAATAGAGAAAGGAGGTAGACTGTGTGAGCTGGACGATGCAGGCGACCCCTGTTGAGAACCTCGGAGCTGCCTCGAGCGACGAGGATTCGTAACATTTGGAGTCGACGAAGGGGCTGATGGCGGGGGCGGTGGGACTTTCGGACGCGATGTGTTGGGTGGTACGGTGGGGTGTAAAGGTGGTTTGTTAGGTGGCTGAGATCCACTGGGTGTGAAGGGGCGCCCTGATTGCGGAGGAGGCTTCCGTGGCAATTGGTTGGATGAAGGGTTCCTCTGGTGTGGCTTAGGTGGCTTATTCGGTGGTTGGGATCCACTGGGTGCGGAGGGCGGCCCTGATCGTGGAGGAGGCTTCTGCGGCGACTGGTTGGATGGAGGGTTCTTCTGAGGTGGTTTAGGTGGTGGTTTGGGTGGTTGAGATCCTTTGGTTGCGGATGAAGATCCTGATTGGGAAGGGGGTGGAGGAGGGGCGGAATTGCTGGACGTTGCCATCGGTGGTGCACTTGACGGGGTTGAAGTGGTTATGCGTGGAATATTGAGTCGCTGGCGCTGTTGATTGAGTAAATCTTTCATGATAGATATTGCTTCGTCTGCGGTGATCGATGGGACACTCCCAGGAGTATTTGCCACAGCACTGAATGCGTGATGGATGAGTCTCTGGGCAATGGACTTGACGTCTCGGGCGTTTCCCCAGTTCGACAAGCGTGACATTCGGTCGATGATAGTCTGCATCTCGGAGTAAGCAGAAGTAGAGGTGTCAGCTAGTTCAGACAAGACGATCTGTGTCTTCTGCAATTCTTTGTCGAGCACTTGAAGACACTTGGCCGCCGGCATGTTGGTCAGAATGATTTCCTCAGAGAAACGACTGGCGAGGCCAGGATTGACGCTCAAAAGAGTGTTCATCTCTTTCTCGTAGCCCGCAAGAACGATGACCATCTTGTTCATGAACTTCTCGTTGGTCATGAGGCCGACAAGCTCATCAATGGCTTCTTGCGCAAAGTGCCCGTTACTGAGCCGGTAAGCCTCGTCCACGAAAAGCACTTTGCCCAAGGCCTTTTCGAAAAGTTTCTTCGTCTTTGGGCCGGTGTGACCCACGTACTGCCCTACGAGGTCGGATGCGGAGCACTCGATCAGGTCGGATGAAGAAAGAAATCCCATGTCATAATACACTTGACCGAACTTCCTTGCGATGGTCGTTTTCCCAGTGCCTAGTAGGTATAAGTAAATCATGGATACTCCGCTCGGAATGAAGAGTTGATACTCACCTGGAGGTCCTTTGAAAATGAAACTCGTTGGAATTTGTTTGCGCATATCCACACCAGCAACCTTCATCGCACGAGCAATTTTCTGATAATCGCCCAGCTTTGTCACGATATCGTCACAACCAACAAGATCCTCGAAGAGTTTTGTGAGATTAGCTGCAGCATTGCGATCGCGTTCCCAATCCGGATCGAAGTCTTGAGGCTCGAAGATCACGTCGGAACGTTGATCAGGAGGCACTGATGCTTGACGCTTCTGATAGCGATTCTTGGCCAGACCAAGGATGTTCTCCACCTCACCAGCATTACCGAAGTTGGGGCGGTTCTTGGCTCTATTCAGAAGATCACTGGCAACCTGCTTCGCCGAGTCTGTGGCGTCAAGATCTTGATCCTTCAGTTTAAAGTCCAAAATATCCCGAAGTTGGGACTCAGTGAAGTCCTCGAAAGTGAATGCGTTTTCAATGGCAAATCTACGAGCGAGCCCGGGGTTCACGTTCTGAGCAGATATGTCAGATCACGCTTGTTGATTTAAGTCAGTGTTTAAGCATACCTGGAACATATCTTCCATCTGTTCTTTATATCCCAATAGCAAAACACAGCGATCTTCTCCAGGTACGCTTTGAATCTCCGCAACCAAAGTGTCAATTACAGTCGTCTTGAACTGGTCCTGGGATCCAGAGTTCTTGCTGTACAGCATGTAAGCCTGTCAGATAAGGTCAATATGATCACCGGCTAGTATATCCGAGTCTGAGATCGCATACCTCATCTATAACCAGAACTTTACCAACCGTACTGTCCAAGATAGCTTTGGTGTTCTTCTCCGAGTGGCCAAGGTATGCGCCCACAAAATCAGATGGATTCTTGACAACGACTGATGAAATGTCGGCAGTTAATAGACAGCTAACGCTACAGGTATAAACGATCACCTTCATTGTTGCTCAAGAGCCCCAGTTCTGCGAGTATCTGCCCGTAGAGCTTTGCAACTGTCGTTTTGCCTGTTCCCGGCGAGCCAAGGAAGACGCGATTCAAAGACATCGCAAGGGGCTCTTTCTCTTGAAGCTCTCGGTGATAGTTCGTGTCAACGATGTCGAAGAAATTACGGACAGAGTCTTTGACGGAATCGAGACCTATCATTTTCTGTAGCTTCTCCCAAGGAGCGCACTGCGGAAGGATTTGAGACGGGTCAGGACCGATAAAGTCCTCTTTGGTGATTAGAAAATCATCAGCAATCCACCCCTTTTGGCGGTCTTTCTTGAGTCGTTCGGCTAATCTCTGGGCGACCTTCGCAAACATGTTCTGTAAAGCCCGAGCGTTTCCGAATCCCTCGCGACCGCGACCACGTCCAAGTCGACGCACTGCAATTCGAGCATATAAGCCCCTGATGCCGTCCTCCACCTTCATCTGCCCTGAATATCGCTTCTCTACGAGCGCTTCCAGCATAGTCAGAAGCTCCGCGTCGGTGTAGTCTGCAAACTTGAGGGAGTATGGGACACGACTCGGAAGACCAGGGTTGTGCTCGAAGAACTTTTCCATCTGCTTGCTGTACCCCGCGAGAATGAAAACCAGAGTACCCACTTGGTTCTCCATCTCGGCAAGGAGAAAGTCCAGCACCTGACCTCCTGTGTGCTGATGTTCGCTAACAAGCTGGTATGCTTCGTCGATGAAGATAGCGCCTCCTCCAAGTGCCATGGCGTCTGCAATGAGCTTTTTCGCTCCACCCACCCCTTCATGTGCCAAGCTTGAACCCGTCGTTTCAATGAACGCATCGCCTGGGAGAACTTGAACTGATTCGAGAAATTGTGCATACAACCTTGCGACTGTGGTTTTTCCTGGAGTAACGTCAGCGGGTTATTCTCTAACAAAAGCCTCATTGACCACTCACCAGTTCCTGGATTACCGAGCAAAACCAGATTAAGGCGCTCCTTGTTGGTGGGGACGCCTTGCCGTTTCATCAAGTCAATATGGGCCTTGATACGAAGTACTTGGGCTTTCACTTCCTCGAGCCCTGTCAACTCCATGATACCATCGATGGCGTCGTTTTTTTCACTATTGACTTGCTTCTGGTGCAACCAGTCCTGGTGGGCAGCCGACGTAGGTGTCACATTCATCGGTGACGTCGCGGAAGGTCCAGGTTGTTGAGACTTCGATGGCTTAGATGTCGAAGGAGTTTGGGTAGTCGAAGGTTTCGGTTTGGGTGGCGGATTCGGCGGTGGAGTAGGGTTTACTGGAGGTACGCTTGATTGTGGATTGGATGGAGGTGTAGGAGGTACGGGGTTTGTCGTCTTGGATGACGAAGCAGAAAAAGCAGCGTTGGCGTGCGCCTGCGCGTTTGCAGCTGCCTTCTGCGCATTGGCTCTGGCTGCCTCAACATCCTTCATTTTCTGTTTCAAGGCATTCGCTCGCTGCTGTGAAACCTGAGCGTCACCTATTGCTTCCATTTCCGCCTTTAACTTAGCGTCTAGCTCAGCCATGCGCAAGTCGTGCTCCTCCTGCTCCTTGTCACGTTGTATCTGACGTTGCAGCTCCTCCTCTTCCAGTTTCCGCTTCAGCTCGAGTTCGCGTTTTCGCTTCTCCTCTGCACGTTCAGCTTCCTTGACACAAACTGGACAAGGGTCCGGCATTTGCTGATGGCATTTCCACTTCAGCTTGTGTTTGGCAGGACACACACCCGAGTACGGGTGTTGACAAGGCATTTGTGAATGGTCCTCGATCTGGTGGCATTTTAGCGGACACGCATGGATGCCGCAATTCAGCATGACGTCGCTAGAGAAGATATGAGTATGTAAGAATAACATACACTAATTCCGAATTTCTTACCATATCTCTGTGCATCCACCATCGGGACACAGATCATCAAACTCAGACGCAGATTTGATGAGGACCGTTCGATCTGGGTGTCGTTCGCATTTGATCGGGAAGCCTTCGTACATGTGGTCGCCTTGTTTGACGAGCTCGAAGAATTTTCCCCAGAGCTCCTTACCCCTCCGAGCATTTATGAACGTCTGCGAGTTCCCGATCAGGATAAGTCCATCTCGAGCCCGGGAGATGAGGACGTTCAGACGTTCGGGAGAGTTCATGAAACCAATGTCGTTGGAATCATTAGACCTTGTCAGACTGGCGATGACAATATCGCTCTCTTCGCCCTGGTAATTATCTTTGCAACGAAATGTCAGATGTCAGCTATGGGTCGAGGAGCAGATACGTACCTATGGTGGCAAGCCTGATGCGCTTCTTCGACTTACTGTCAGCTTGGGAAAGAAGTTCAGCACGGATGAGATCGTGCGAGTCGAGGTCATTGAGCACGGGGTCATTGTCCGTCTTCAGAACATCTCGAAGCTTTGAGAGCTGCCCAAGGTATGGTGTGAGAACAACTAGCTTTTCCGTCCCATAGCCTTGCTGGGCAAGATAGCGCACGATCTTCCAAACCATTTCTACTTCATAGGTGTTCTGTTTCGACCCCGACGAAGCCTCATCGCTTTTGTCGGAGATACGGAGGTCGTTATCCTCGGGATGAGTGTGGTCGATGAAGATGACATTGTCTTGGATACCGCGAATGTCGGGACGGCCCTGGGTCTTGGCAGCATCCGTGAGGTCAGGGTACGTAAGCTTCCTGATGAACGCTGAGATCTCTGGACGCATACGATGTTGAGCTGTCAAAGTTTCGTGAGGGAAGCCCCGGAGAACCAGGCGCTCGAAGAGTGATCTGTTGAGTTCAAAACCATCACCCTTTTCAACAGTCAGCTTGTAATTGTTGACTTTGGGACGCAGTTGCCTGTGGAGAGTCAAATTCAGCGAGATGTCCTGAAAATCGTCACGGATTCGCGTACTTGTGGTCACCGATGAGAATCATTTGGCTTGTGTTCTCGCTCATCGCTGTGAGGACGTGGCTTTCTAGAATCTCACCAGCCTCCTCGACGAGAAGGACATCAGGGTTCGCCGCACGAATGTCATTTGCAAACATGGCTGCTCCAGTCGTCGTACATCCAATGATTCTCTTCTCCATGAGGGTTGCCGCCCTGGCTTCCCCGAATTTGCGTGCCAGCTGATCTTGACATTCGTTGTAATTTCTGCCAAGTGTGCAAATCTCTTCAAGGATTAATTTGCGTATCTCCAACTTCCACCCATCCATCGCGGTCCGGCGAGCGTCCGGAGGCATGTTCCAGATAGCAGGTGCCTCACGTACATTGGGCTCGTCTTTGAACTGCCCAGCGTCAAATCCTCTGGCCCACCGAAAGACGAGTTCTTCAGCATCGACGGCTTTGCCGTCCTTACCGACACGAGTCATTCCTGACTCGTCATCTTCAGGTACGAGAAATGCATCAAAGTAGTCCGGATCTTCGAACTCGATGTACGTGAGGACGTCCTTGAAGCTAATCTTCGAAGCTATGAACCTGCCCATGGCGGTCTCCAGAGCATCGCAGTGAAACTTCGACGAACTCTTCAGGTTGTCAATGATGGCCCAGTCGGCTTTTGATCGCGTGAAACGCTCTTTCTTCTGACCCGCAATGCCAAGATGGGCAACCTGCGCATTTGCTCTGCCGCCGAGGCGGACCATGCTGATGTCCGGAATGCCAATCTTCATGAGATCTTCCAGGAATTGATCCAGGGCGTGGTTCGTGTAGCAGACTACAAGGATTTTCTGGTCGGTGTGATCGTGAATGGCCTTTGCGAGCAGTGCGCCGATGAATGATTTACCGGTCCCTTTTGGATGTCAGCAAAATGTATATGAATGGACAGTTGATAAAACGCTACCTGGAGGGCCTTGAATGAGGGAAACCCTCTGCGTGAGTCCTGCTAGAAGCGATGCCGCCTGCGACTTATCCAGAATGATAGTAGATGAAAGTCCTAGGAGCGGCTTCAAATCCACGGACGGATTCATAGCAAGCGGATGCGTGACAAGAGACGCGATCACCGCAGCGCTACCGATGGCGTTCCCGTCTTTCCAGAACAGGAGCTCCTCCGACAGCGGGATGAACTGTGTCTTCTGCAGAGCCTTCAAGACCGGCTCGAATGCAAAGAGGGCAGTATCAATCTGAATGAGTCGAATGGCGTTGGATGATTGCAGCTGAAGGAGAGTCTTTGAAATGCTAGCCTCCCCTTCCAGCTGAAGTACAATGACGGGTGGATTCTCCGCAAGCAGTGCCTCAACGCGGTTAACGCTTGCGAGACTAATGATTTGTTTTCCTGAAAGTATGCATACGAGAGACTGATGTTTAAGAATTTTGACACCCGCGGGATCTTTTTCAAGATAAATCTTGCGCTGCTTGTCGGGGACGTTCTTCATCGACTTGAAATCGTCTCGGCATTTGAGCTTGATGCCCCACCGAGTTTTTCTGTCATCTGTACCGCTGTAAAGACCATCGAGTTTGACGCCATCGATGATGAGGCCACGATGACGCCCTTTCTTCTGCCCTATAGCTGTCTGAAGCTCTTCTCTCATCTCATATAACATGTCTTCGCGCAGCAAGCGGAAGGTATTATCCAGGTAGTCAGCTGCACGAGTTTCCTCGCCATCAGGATCCTCCAATACGCCGCTCGGGCGAATGAAAGGAGGCTGCTGACAGAGGATCTCGTCTGCAGTTGGAAGAATAGAGATCTCCCTAAAGTCGTTGAAGTCGTTATCGTGACGACCGCCAGGTCCACCAACTGCAGCGACAGGTGTGCCGGACTTGAATGTGGAAAGAATGTGTTCGATACGGTAGCCAATGTCTTTGACGGTCTGTTGCGATGAATTGAGAAGCCTCGCAAGGATACTAGACTTCTTTGCGAGGTCACGGTACGACGAGGTATCCCCGGCAGCGAGGGACATGAGGCGAAGGAGGAGCTTCGCGAATACTTCCTGGGCTGGCTCATTGAGCTCACCTTGGTCGAACGCTTGGCTGAAAGCAGTCCAAAAGATGGGGGGATCAACTATGGCGGTGAGTAAGTGATCCAGGACGTCACCGAGGTCTGTTGCTCGGAAGAGATATATGAGAAGCTCTGTTGCAGTTCCATTGAGGAACTGGATATTGGTATTGTGACGCATGGCAGCCTGAACTGCTCTTGAGCCATGGCTACTTTCAACGATTTGGTTGATGCATGTTGCAGGGTCTTGCTGTGTGCAAATCGCTTCCAATAATTGAGGGTAACTTCGTGCATCCGCAGCGACTCTGCCTCTAAGAATGTCATTAAACCGTTTATCAAGCTGAGCTGCTCGACTCATGAGAGGCAAGCTAGTAGCAAGTGGTGATATGACTTGGTGTGAGTCGTGGTAGTTCAGTGTTGACTCTTAAGAGGAAGACTGCGGGCGTTCGTGGTTAAGACCTATTTAAGGCCACTCGGCAGCCCCGAACCTACTAGAATAGAATCGTATGTACGAATCAACAACATGAGGCAAATGCCAGGCAGGGATCTGCGCACCATCAATTTGGCAACGTTCCCAATGCATCTGTAACGTAACTACGAGCTCACCGCTCAGATCTTAGACGCCATATGCATGAGTATGATACATACCATCATCACGCTGGCCATCCACTGGTGAACAAAAACCTCGCACTTGGCATACGCTCAGGCTAACATAGCATATTTCATGCAGGGGAGGTGGGTTGCGTTCTCGCAAAGGAAGAGTTGGAGCGCAGGTCAGAATAGTCCCATCGTTGAACGCGTTGTACTTGCAGAGCTACTCAACTTCATACTCGTCTCGAAGTGAGTCGTAGTGCCAAGGTCACCGTCGTGCGGATTCAAATCTTTATTACATAATACAATAAGACAAAAATAATTGTTCGATTTCTCTAGTGGCTAATTACACTGAACTCAGCACCGGTCTTGGGCCGTATGTTCGTTCAAGAAGATCACCCATATCATCATCCAGGACTTTCATACTAGCGCTAGATCCTGGACCTTTTCACGCACTGGCAGCTCCGCCTTGAAGTCGAACTTGACTGAGTACTATTTTTGACGTGTTTGAGTCGCATGACCTGACAGGCACTCGTCAAATCTTACAGTTATAATCTCAGGCTGTGAACATGATTCCTAGCACTGACTTGCACCACTGGCTATCATGTCCAAAGGTGTTGCTCTGATCACCGGTGCTGGCCAAGGCATTGGCCGTGCAATTTCTATTCGGCTGGCTGCCGATGGCTTTGACGTCGGACTCGGTGATATTCCTACCAACAAGTCTAATCTTGAGGAGGTTGCACGGGAGATAAGGAGTACTTACGCAGGACGAAAAGTCTGCGTACTTCTTGCAGATGTCACAGTCGAGGATGATGTTCGTAATATGGTGGACAACACCGTGACTAACCTCGGTGGTCTGGATGTCGTAAGTCTCAAACTATCTATCCAAGCCGTAAATTGTTCTCATAATTGATGTCACTTTGAGATGGTCGCAAATGCCGGTATCCTTGTGGCCGCACCGTTGGTTGAAAGTGAGAAATGCATTTTTGCAGATCATGTGCAGCGTTGTACTGATTTTGCTTGAACAGCTACATTAGCAGACTGGGAGAAGATCTTCGCCGTCAATGTTACAGGCGTGTTCTTAAGCTACAAATACGCCGCTCAAAAGATGATTGCGTTGAACGAGACCCATAAACGAGGTCGACGCATCATTGGCGCCAGCTCCCTAGTAGGGAAAAGAGGTGCGTAATACGTACGTCCATCCGTAGTTTTAACTCATCCTGGATTCTTCTTTCGCACAGGTGAAGAATACCTTAGCGCGTATTCTGCCTCCAAGTTTGCTGTCCGAGGCATAACGCAATCTGCTGGTATGATGTCTATCTACGTTGGGTTCCGACGTTTCTGATAAGTGATCATACGACAGCTATCGAACTTGGACGCCACGGTATCACCGTGAATGCCTACGCTCCAGGACCAATCATGACTGCCATGGGTGAGTAAAGCCCTAAATCAATATCCCGTGACGCAAGCTGAGTGTCAAAGTTAACGGCCTGAATGAGGCAAGCATGAAACTGACAGGATCATCTGACCCTGATAGCTATAACGAAAATGTAAGATAAGATAGTAGGGCTGTTCTCATGACTTCGCTCAATCATATTTCCATAGGCTAAGAAGAAGATGTGTGTCGGGTATATGGGGACTCCAGACGACATTGCGGGACTGGTCTCTTACATTGCTTCCGCAGAATCTCATTTTATCACAGGTAAGCATTCTAGAACCTTTGTCGCTATCTGCATTGATGTAACTGGCATCACCGACCCACAGGACAAAGTGTAAGTATTACTTTCAGAGCTCGTGTACGAAGGCTGACAACTGTGCAGATCACAATTGATGGTGGAATGCGCTTTGAGTAAATTATGCAGGATCGAGGCTTACATATGCTCAGACCTGCAAATGTATCATATCTTGTACAATAGCCTATATGCATGCTCTCTAGTGACGCTCATTCATACCCGTTACTGTGTAGGCTTGTCGCGAACGCGTTTATGCTACCTTGAACGTCAGGGTATCAACAGTTCCCTTCCTCCATATTTCCGTGAAGGGAGATACAACTCTCCTGCATGAGTGGGTCAGCGTGCCATATGTGGCACAACCAATTTAGCAGAATACGATCCGAATATTCAAGTTCCTCGCCGCAGATGAAATTGATCATTTCGTCCACATTTTGAGGACGGACCTGGACGGTGCCTTTTGTTTGGGTTTGAGGGCGGAAGTAAAGACAGTCACTTTCGCGTTTAAAACTTTTTGGATGATGCCTTGGGGTGGGGTGTATCTCAAGCTAGACAGACAGGTGGAGTGCTGACGCACAGGGTGGGGCTTGACGCGGCACAGGTAAGTCTAAAGGTTGGCATCATGGTACCGAGGTTGCGAAGATGTTGGAGAAAACTTGTTGTACTTGACGCAGCTTGAATGAGGCTGGACATGACACGGTTGGGGCTTGACACGGTGCTTACAGAGGTTGCATAGGGCTCAAAAAGGTGGAGACGAGGTTTGACACGACTAGACAACAACACCCCACACGCGTACGGCGTCTGAAAACGATCACTAAATCACCTCAAGATAATAGAATGCATACGACTAATTGATACATCCTCAAGCAGTACGGACGCAAAGGACAAGCGCTGTAAATGTGACGAGAGACATATTTCACTACTCCAGGGCCTGTACGCAGATGGACATTCAAATGTAGATCAATATCACAAGATGGTGTTTGAACATATTGAACATACACGCTAGGATTTGTGACAGTGCCACGTCACGAATCGACTCACGATCGCCTCGAAATTCGGTTACGGCGAATACCTCGACCCCGGCCGAGGATGGCTCAACGTTGACGTTGATGTTGATCAACTGCCTTACTGTAACTTGACTTTGAGGTCAGAAAATGCTTATATATATTCGTTTAGCGCTGGCAGTCAACACTGCAGCAAATAAAGCCTCGAGGCAAATGATGTAGGAACTACTCCGGATCCGAGTTACTTCGCTACAGACTGATTCGACAAATCGTCGACTACTATTCACAACGATGCGCAAAGGCAAATCATCAAGAGTTTCGGCCCAAGAATCCCACACTTCTGGTGAAGCAAAAGCTGGTGAAAGCTCGGTATGTGACTCTTGAGGATTACTTGGTTCATCCCACTCCAAATCACTAAAATCGACGTATTAAGAACCAGCTGGAGGTAAACCAAAGTGCACCGGGCAAGAGCAAGAGAACGGAAGACTGAATTAGGGCAAAGCGAAGAGTAGGAGCTAACATGAGGTTCCAGCACCATACATGGCACTGAATTGAGGGGGATCTTGGACTCAGGTCCACCGTGGTGTCACAGCGGTTGTCCTCGTCAAGGACCTCTTCGATAGTCGGGCTCAAGAGACGTAACAGGAAGAGTGTAAGGACTGCAAATGAGTTCCATGAATTTGCATTCAACTCGTTATAAATGTATGACGATGTGAATATATCATATATACCAGAGAAGAAGACTGAGACTCACAAAGCTACTGAGAGGGCATACATAATACAGTTCGTCTTCGACACCCACCGTGACAGGCCTGGAGCCCTCGGTCGCAAATCGTAGTCATTGGATGGCATATTGATCATTTCCGTGGCCCACTTCATCCACTCCAACGCAAAAAAAATGGGAGAAGTGTTCCATACAGCGGTGTCATTTCCGCTCCAGAAGCCTGGGGATGCGAGCAATCGTAGTCGGTGGGATAATAACAGGGGGTCTCCAGAGTTCAGAACGTTCAAGCTTCAGGTCTGCGAACTTGTTCGATGAGAGGAAGTTAGCACACTTTCCCACGATTAACACCCGGGTCGCTGACTAGCGCTGACTTGTCTACTGTGATATTAGTGAGCGCTTTCACCAGCTTTGCAGCCAATCGTCCTAGTGTTGCGCGTGCCTAATATGAACCTCCCTCCATTATGGTCCTCGTATTATTCAGCAGTGTGGTACATGTACCGCAAGGCATCTGCATGCCCAAATGTGCTCACATATGACATGGTCGCTACGCGTTCAGTGGGCGGAATTTGCATAAGGACGAGAGGATTTGGAGCATGAGAGGTTGAAAACGCAATACGGAGGATGCAGGCGCTGAATGTGTGCGTTACAAAATTGTTCCGTGACACCGATAAGTCCGCGACATGTGTAAAATATCCACAATGCAGGTATGTACAAAGTCGACAAGTCCAAAGACACGTAGTGTAAACCAGAGAAGTCTGGACAGCAAGAGTCTGTAGTCTATGTATCCAATTTTGGCGATTCAAGTCCATATGTTGGAACTGTGCCAAGTTCCACTGACAAGTCCTAACATTTCCTATCCATTCAGACGCAGAGTACATTTCCTGAAAGGAGAATGTTCAATGGAGGCATAACAGACTTGCGACAACATACATACCGACACAACGCAACTACAAGCCACACGCTGACGCATCCACTTGGGTTGCTGTAACATCCACCCTTCCCAGCTCAACAGCCAAATTACCAGTCAAGGTGTTCATCGCCGTCTCTGAAACGGTGAAGCCGGCTGTGGAAACGTCCACCGCGAGGATAGCAACGGTTTCACTTCCGTACGTGACATTATAGCAGGATCCGCATGCAGCGGAATTATAGCCCGTCACGGTGTAGACACCGCCAACGTTAGGGAACGTGGGCAGTGAGCCGAGAGTTGTATATCCCTTTGTTTCAAGCCCGTTGGTACCGTCTGAGCAAGCAACGCTTGACAAAGTGAGAGAGGCGTCATCATAATTGGTGTTATATGAAAGAGTTTCTGTGGTTTGTGCCAAAGCGGCAAGGACAAAGGCGGAGATGGAGAAGAGGACGGATGAAACTTTCATGATGCAAAGCACTTTGCTTGTAATTCGTATGAGGTATAGAGTATGACTGAGGAACGGATGAGCTCGAAGTTGAGACGTGAGGTGCAGTTTTCTTTTCAAAGTCGCCTCCTTTTATGTCCTGATGTTTCGACTTCCCGGGTGGACACATGCACCCTAAAACGTTGGTACATGTGGTCCTACGGTGTTTCCAGAGAATCGTGGCACTCTGAAAGTCATGACCGCGTCATTTAGGTCATTAATGATTCATTCGCGTTGGGAACGTCAGCGATGGTCAATGCGGGGATCAAAATATACGCGCGAGTGAAGTGGAGCGAGTGCAATGGAAGACTGAGCTTTGGTGATTAATCTTCTGATCGGCATGGGAACCAGTGTCTGGTCTGTAACCTGCCGGTCCAACTTGGAACGTGTCTTATGGATTAGCGGAAATAATGGAAGACATGCCACGTTCACTGACTGAGGGACCACGATGCAGAAAAAACACGGCTTGACCGGGAGAGGTGGGTGACGTTAAACTACACAGGTGGCGTCGATAAGACAGTTAAAAAAGGGAGCATAACAGATAAATACATACGGGCCTCGCGATGTGGCGGGAGCCTGCTGCCTGACAAGCAGAAAGAGGCAAAGTCTAGTGGCCATATATATCAACACACGGAACAACCTAGTGGTCGCCGGTAGCTGACCTTGTACGCGTTAGGAACAGGCGAATAGCCTTCTGGGCACCTGGACCCGACAAATCAGAAATGAGATGGTTTACACAGGAGACTAATGACCATTACTCACAAGCTCCGAGTTGCTCAACCCAAGCAATTGCTCACACGATATGAGATGTCCATCTACAGTGCGACTCATGCCCTGTATATTTGTGGGTGAATGAACAATGCTATATCGCATGCAGAAAACGCGTTTTTGGAGGGCGGGCTCAAGAATACTCTGCACACCCTTGTGGTGAGTTGATGGCGCCTGTCGTGCTCGTGGATGAGAGATGAGTCCAATGAATGCTGGGTGCTGCTTTCTTGCGCATGACGCATGCGAGAGTGAAGGCACAGCAGATCAGGTCAACGTTCAAAAAAGAACACGAACTCTACAACCTGGGCTCAGAGTCAGCGGCCGATAAAAGCACGAGCGAAATTGAGGTCAGTGTATTGTTTTGTCAATGACAGCACAAACAACAGGCGGCCCGCGCCGAAGAAGTGTAGAGCGAAATAAAGCAGCTAGAGAGCTTCCTCCCTACTGCTCCTCCCAGCCGATATGTTTCATTGCCAGGTGAATATCTGCATTCCATTGTATTTGACATTGATATATCAAAAGGTAGTAGTTGGTGCAAAATGAGGAGTTGATGCAGGTTGCAGGGAGACTCTTGCTGTATACAAATCGTTTGCAATCATTGAGGGTAACCTCATGCATCCGCAGAGACTGCCTTTAAGAATGTCATTGAACCGTTTCTCAAGCTGAGCTGCTCGACCCATGAGAGGCAAGCTAGTAGCAAGGAGTGATATGACTTGGTGTGGATCGTGGTAGTTGAGTGTCGACTGACTGCGGGCGTTCGTGGGTAAGACCTATCTGAGGCCACCTCGGCACTGTCTTATGTCAGTGAACACTTAAGACGAGAGTCATATGCAGAGCGATACCAAAGTTACGCATAATCACTGAGCATCAACTGCTCCGGTCCACTAATAGATTCAGAACCTGTTTATCTGGTGCAGGCCATCTCGTCGCTCGATACACCAGGTAACAAAGGAACGGCAATCTTCCTTGTGTTTGTCTGCCTACGGGAAATTCGTGTGGTAGGACCTGAAATCAGCTTGTAACCTGCCTTGTTTACAAGGTTCAACGGCAACCGTGATGATAAATGCTGTGCACTAGAAATTTGTAATCGATGATGAAATGGATCGTCCCTGTTCAATTCCGCCATCGTTACTCAGAATCAGTCAGCCTGAGGACCGGGCCCGACATGCTCAGTTCTCGCAGTCATGCAACGCAGAACCCGGATATCCTGACAAATTCACTTACAAATGTAAATCGTTCAGCCAGCTGTTGCTCAAGGGAAAATTCGCTATAAAATGCACTGCGTGGAACCACTGAGCTTCCCCACAATACAACACTATTACACGCACTTCATACCATCTCATACCTAGAACACCATGTCTGCCTCAATCTCCGCCCTCTTCTCTCCCATCCGCGTAGGCAACTTGCACTTGCAGCACCGCGTCGTCCTTGCCCCACTTACCCGTGTGCGCGCACACGCAGATCACGTCCCAGGCCCACAAGCACCAGCATACTACTCTCAGCGAGGGTCGACCCCTGGTACTCTTCTTGTCTCAGAGGCCACGTTCATATCCCAGAATGCTGGCGGTCATGATAATGTTCCTGGGATATATACCGATGCCCATGTAGAAGGATGGAAGAAGGTGCGTTTCATATCACTAAATGAATTCTGCAGATAAGATATTAGAGCTGACATATGTTCCGGTTGACAGGTAACACACGCAGTCCACGAGAAGGGCTCTTTCATCTTCCTTCAACTCTGGGCACTCGGCCGCGCCGCAGAAACAGCCGTTCTCGCCAAAGAGAACAACAGTCCCTACGTTAGCGCCTCAGCCATTCACCTTCCAGGAAGGCCAGAAACAGAAGTGCCACGCGCACTCACCACAGATGAAATTAAGGAGTACGTTGCCACGTACGTCGCAGCCGCAAAAAACGCCATTCGGGCTGGCTTCGATGGTGTTGAAATTCACGGCGCGAACGGCTACTTGATCGACCAGTTCATTCAAGACGTCTCAAACAACCGCACTGATGAGTATGGCGGAAGCATCGAGAACCGCGCAAGGTTTGCACTCGAAATTACAGATGCCGTCGTAGAGGCTGTTGGTGCTGAGAGGACGGCGTTCCGAATTAGTCCCTGGGGCGTATTCAGCGGTGTGTATATCGTCGAAAATTACCGATTTTCATTTAGCTGATTATTGGCGCAGGTATGGGCATGACAGACCCAAAACCCCAGTTCTCCTACGTCGTCGAGCAGCTTCGCAAGCACAACCTCGCGTACCTCCACGTCGTAGAGCCAATGCCTGAGGACAGGACTGCTGGAATCAACAGCGATTTCCTCCGTGATATCTGGCAAGGGGTTGAAGGAAGCAGCTTCATCAGCACAAACGGGCATACCCGGAAGAGCGCAATTGAGACGGTAGACAACAAGGGTGGCCTTATTGGATTCGGGAGGCTGTTCATGCCAAACGTGAGTCCCTTTTTTTATTCCCAGACTTGGAGGAAACTGGAAACTGATATAATTCCCTTTCTTCAGCCCGATCTTCCATTCCGCCTGCTAAAGGACATTGCGCTTGAGCGGGGCGACCAGAAAACGTGGTACCTGCGCGGTAATCTGACACCGGAGGGCTACTCGGACTGGCCCTTCGCGCCGGAGAACGGTAAACACCAGATAAGCAAATTCTGACATGGCCCTGTAAGTCATATACCCTAGAATAGACAGTCGACCTTGTAAGTTAGATACCTTACCGCACGCACCTGATGATCATGACCACGTTTAATCTTTATTTGAACCTATAATTCGGCGTGACTCGATCGTATTTTTGACTTGAGTCCACCATCACTTAAGAGGCACCAAGGCGGAGTATCCCTCAGACGTCAGGTTGTCAGAACTAATTAATTATACATACAATTTGGGGTTATCTTCCCCGACAGTCGTGCAACCACGAGTTACGACTGAGTGAAATCTGAATCAGATTGTCACCTCGTGCCCCTCACTTGGGTGCGAACCCTTAGAGGACGATATCTACAGATCATTCATCATTCAAACCGGCTTATCTCACAGCCTGCGTTTCTTCTATGGGCCTCGGGAACCCCATGAAAGCATAATTAAGGGGACCGTGTGTTTTGGCAATTGAATGATGCATTCGAACCGCGGTACCGTGGAGAGCCAGTTCTATGGGCCCGAGAGCCATGCATTGAACGCATTCGGGAATATTAATGTTGATGGCCAATGGCAATGGTGCCCGCTGGTTCCTGGTCCCAGTCACCCAAAATTTGGGCAATCAGTACTCTGATCAGTATGTTAACTTTATGTTAATGCTAACTTATAGTAAGTACTTACCTGCGCGTATACGTGTCCGCCCTTGAAGCATCCATCTCTGGAACTTGGCCAATGATATCGATACGTAGTTATGGAGAAAACCTGGAGATCTCGTGTGACTTAGTGAGACTATTCTCCAGATCGAGAGGGAGAAAGAAATCATTCACTGGCACCTTTTAGTTAATAGATTATCTGGCGTCCAGTGCTTCGAGCAGATCTAGAACGGCCCTTAGCTTGATCGCCTTGCTGAAAGAGCTACGAACCGACTCTGGTCATTCTGCAAGGGCGACTGCTAGACAAAAATGATTACACAGAACCAGTAGATGAAAGTGTGATATACAATACCCCACTTTCACTTTCACCGCCCCTCCCCTGACAATGGGGGTTTGACCGGCCAGCCACCCAATGCTTCTTTCCGAGGAATTGTCTTGACGAGCCCGACTCTAACTTTGATTCTGAAAAGAGATCTCTCGGTGCAAAAGAGACGAGGAGTAGTGGATGGCTGGCTGCAGCAGCTTGCCACGTGTCTGCACTCAGTCTCAACATCACGCAAGCACGCAGGAAGTTCATGCTTGCAGAGGCACGATGATACAGAATAATACACTGTAACGAGCGAAAAAAAAACCCAGCCAGCTATTCACATAAAATTCCGTCCCACCGCACCGTGGTTTAGCACCCTGCAGGACTGTTTGAACCCCGAATCGTTTAGTCAGCTGCGAGCTCAAGCTTGATCTTCGCAATGGCTGCTGCAGGGTTAAGACCCTTGGGGCAAGTCCGTGCACCTAAAAGCAAACAATAAATGCTTGTTCTTTGCAAATAAAAATGGAACAAGGAAACGTACAGTTGAAAATGGTGTGGCAACGGTACATGCTCATCTCGTTCTGGAGTTGCTCCTTTCTCTGGTAGCCATACGAATCCTGTCATCAAAAACCCAAATGAGATCCCACGATATGACATATCCCACGAAGAAATACCACGTACACGAGAGTCAGCAATCCAGCGGTATGCTTGCATCAGCGTTGCAGGACCCAAGTATTCATCCTGGTTCCACCAATACGACGGACAACTCGTCGAGCAGCATGCACACAGGATGCACTCGTAAAGACCGTCGAGTTTCTTGCGGTCCTCCTGCGTTTGCAAGAACTCGCCCTTCTCAGGTGGGTTATCGTTCTGGAGATAAGGCTTGATAGACTTGTACTGCTTGTAGAAGAGCGTGAGGTCGGGAACCAGGTCTTTCACGATATACACTGTATTCGCGAAGGGGTTGAGTCGTGTGACTGGGATTTAATAGGGGATGTAACGGCGAGGAACGTACTGTGAGGAAGAGGGTAAATCTTGGAATTCTTGCTTGGGTTTCTGTCTATGCGACAGAGACAGGCGAGGGTATTTTGACCGTCGATATTCATCGCGCAAGAACCACAGATACCCTCTCTGCATGAACGGCGGAAGGTGAGCGTGGGATCGATTTCGTTCTTTATTTTGATGAGTGCATCAAGAATCTGTGGATGGAGAGGAAAGCAAGGGACGAGTTCGAGCATCACAGTGAGAAGTACATAGACATGGACGTACCATGGGACCGGTCTGGTTGAGATCAATGGTGTAAGACTGGAGAGTTGGTTTCTTGGCAGGTTCATCTGGGTTCTATGGCACGCACACAGTCAAGTTCACTTGTTTCGATATACCATGGTCCGTACTCACCCAGCGATAAATCTTGAATTCCTTGTTCAGGACAGGTTTCTCAAGAGGAGTAGCCTGGCATCTCGCTGCCGACGAAGCGAACGAGCGCATGCTGGAACGCAGCGCGCTGGCGCGTGCGGTCTTTGCAAGAACCTGCATAGCTATGAGTGTGAGCGACGGATGCTCGGTGCGTGCAGGATGTCGGTGTTGTGGAGGAAGGCCGCGAGAAAGATCTCCGCAAAGGATTGTTGTCGCGTGAATTCGGATTGGACGGCTCATGTTGCCGGGGGCCGGCCTGCACCTTTTAAACTCAGACGGATAAAGCCGCAGCCAATTGCGGGTCAGCTAATTACAATTCAACCCGTTCAAACACCACCAAGGTGAGTCTGAAGAACCCTGCATATAAAGTGTGGTCTGCCTGGGAGGAACATCTTCAGGCAACTCTGACGCTAGGTATGTTCTCTCCTGGATGGATTTCTATATGTGAATAGTCGACCTTGTGTTGAGCTTGTTGGCCTACGAAATCGTGATGGCAAGCATAGGGCTTACCCTGGCTTCGGGGCCCGAGCGGGCAACGCGGACCCGGGATCCTTGTCCAGAGTCGCATGCATAGTCCTCACGAAAGTATCAGTGAGTACACCCTTGAACGTTGAACCCATATTATCATCACACCTTTCTGCGAAGAGGTAATGCTTCCATCTGCCGTCCTGCTGATCTTCTTTTCTCTTTTCATGCCGCTAAATACCCCTGCACCCATCCAGTACTACTAGATCCCGAAGATATTTATCTATGGGGGTCTAAACTTCAGCAGCCGAAGGTAACCAACATGAATATGCACTCTCACTCGCAACTTCGTATCCGCCAGAGCAGAACCTGTGGTAAGTCATTATGTAATAATTGCATGTATCATTCGCATGATGCATCTGTAACGCCGGGTGATGTTTCAAATCACAGCACATTAGCCATACAAATTGTTACAGGGGTTGCGCACTGCGCGTAGCGACAACGGTGCATACTGGCTGGCTGGCTGGCCCGCATCAATTGGACTCCCGCTTCCAGGGACTGGGCTGGCCCATCTGAAATGCCGTACTAAATATCCCTAGGCCCAGTTGATAAACTGAGCATGATTTTCCGTGTGAAAGTCCCGTCCTGAATCACAGTCCCATTCCTTCGGTAATGTTACACGACTGGCGATCAAGCTCCAGGGGCGCATCAGTTGATTATCTTACAGGAACTGGACCCGAGAAACAAGTTGTATGGGAACAACCGAAGGGTGCAATTTCAATACAGAAAGGCATCAGGACCGTCAATTACATCCAACTGCAGCAATACACGACAGTAGCGAAATCATTTAGCTTCTCCGGGATCCGCCACGATGGCTTAAAGTACACGGGCATATAATCATAAGAGACTCCCAAGAACAGAATTTGCAAAGATCAATCATATGGGGGTGTGTTTCAAGGTAGACGTTGAAACCCTCTTTTAAGCGTAACCGAAGGACTCGATGTGTAGAGTAACACTCGGGCCACCGTTAGCTACACTGAGAGGACTAGACACTGGGAACCGAAGAGCACCACGAACAGATCGTGCTATGCTCTGTGAGCCACAGACTGAAAACAGAGTAAGTATCACCCATAATCTGTAGCATGTGGAGGCGAAGACTGACCACTAACGGACATTCTGCCCGTCGTCGCTTTCACTTCGTCCCTGAGGATAGCCCATAGGTCGGGCCTTTCATGTGCAAGCTTGACCGACTCAATAGCGAACAGGGAGTCATTGTTTATTTCGACGACTTTTCCATCCTGCAACTCCATAATGTCGGAGCCGGAATCATCGCGCGCACGTTTTTCATCCTTTGGACTATACGACTGTGGTAACGTCTCAATAGTTGATGGTGCGCCGGTAACGTGGATGTGGATTGAGATGGATAAAGAAGGGGGTGCAAGTCGGAGTGCGCGGATGAGAACCTCATCGATCCAATGAATGTGGTCTGAGGAGAATAGATGAGTTAACCTTGCACAAGCCTCGATATTAATAATACTTACCGACGCTCCGAATTGACCAGATGAAAACAACACGAGAACAACTGCTTTGACCGTTGCGAACGCGTCTGAAAAATACTTGGTTAAAGATATAGAAACCGCAATCCAGTCGACATACTCTATAATATCCAGCAATACTGGCAGCGTGTACGAGACTCCGGATCCGCCTGAAATTGGGATATGCATGAGCGATATTCATATGTGGAAAGTTCGGCGACTAACCAGCAATGAGCACGGATGTGTCATATGAACTCAGGTTAGGCGAAGGCCCATATGGCCCATCGACAAAGACTTTGACTTTATCACCTTTCAAGGCAGCGTCTTTCAAGCGGGCAGTGAATCCCTCCCTCACGTTGATGAAAAACACAAGTTCTTTCCAGAATGGAGCACTGGAACCAAGACTGCCTTCTGCTATGCTGATCTGAGTATATTTTTCGCTCGTTGGGTTCTGTTCCTTGGGCGCATCAAAAAGTTTCGAATTAAAGCTCGCGATGGTGAAAGGGTGGGCCTCGAATGGCAGGCGTGAGACAGACGGCATGATAAGATAGGCAGTTTGTCCAGGGGTCCAGTGGAAATGAGACGGGCGGTGGAAACGCAACCGAACAAAATCATCTGATAGGAGTTCAGCGGTCGCATCCATCGTAGACCCTGACCCGAATCCGAAGTACGAGTGGTTAAACATCACTAGACGAATGAAGCGGATGAGGCGGTCCAGTCCCCAGATTACGAAACAGGGGTAGATCCAGTAGGCGACTCTGGTGATCATCAGCAAGCATTCGCGTCGTGTATTTGACGAAACTCACGTAAATTGTTTTGTGTGGTAGTAAGCACCGATCAGGAAAGTGCTGAAAAAAAAATTGTGAGTATCACAAAAGCAACAGAACTGGAATGGACCCACAGAACCATAGAGAAATGAACGTAGAAGAAAAGCTCGTATGCTTGTGCTCGGACGGGGCGCAAGGAGACGATACATAGAATGCTAAATGCGATCATGGAAACTACGCCCCATACGAGCCACTGCTCCGCGAAGTATGGTTGGAATCTGTGTAGTGTTAGTGCATTTCATTCTTAATGCATATTGCACGTACGGTGCGTTTCGGACAACCTCACTGCCTCCATGAACCCAGAGCAAGGTGAACACGACTCTAGACATCATGCGATGAACATAGTTAAGCTTGAAGACAAAAGCAAGTTATAACAAGGCAACGAAGAATATCGTAAACAGACTTGCCTTGTCGTAGCTGATACCGGTGATTACTAGAGGTGGTCAGCAAGCAGATTGAAATGCGAGTACACGGGCTGCCTTACAGGATACTATGTTGTTCTTGGTTCCGAGTGCAGTGATCAGTGGGAACTGGCTCGCGGCCAGCATGCCCGAGCGGTTGGACCAATACGTAATGTCAAATGCGTGGCCCTCGAGATCGGTTGCTAAAAGCTGTTTCAGGACATGCGAGTGACATCGCCAAGGAACTCACTGTTGATAAATGCCCATAGAAAAAGAAAAATGATGTATGCAATAGTGACAAACACTTCAGCCATGTTGAGGGTGTACGTCTTTCCAAATTCGAGTGTCCAGCGGAAAGAAATGACTCGGTATGCATTGACAAGTCCCAACGGAATGCGACGCCAAGAAAAACTGCGACGACGGTGCACAGAAGCAAGTTCTGGGTCGGAGTCGTTGAATGTTTTACGCCTCCCAGCGAACTTGGAGTGAAAGAAAGAAATGGACTGAAAAACGGCAATTATAAAAATGAAAAGACCGATGCAGTACCACGCCTGCAGCGGGTACAGCTTGTTGCGGGTGGATCGCAAAGTCTTGTCGGTGACACTGGACCTCGACGCAAGAACATCTCGGGCCATGTATGTATCCATGACTGAAGCTTGAAGAAGGGCGCGCAAGGTAACTCAGACCAAGGAGTTGTTAGGCTACCCTCGAAGGATGACCCTCTTTATAGTAGCTCGTCAGCCTCCGCATGAAATGAGTAAGTAATATCATAGTATTCAGGATTTGAAGTGCCTGGAAAAAATAAGTATTTCAAATATCAGATAGAGATTTTCGCCTCGGAGAAAAGAAGCAAAAATTGTTATCATGCTCACAAAAACCCGGAACATTGCGTTTGTCTAGTTGAAGTAGTCCAGTTCACGCTCCGGATGAGTATAAAGGTTTAAACTTTACATAATTGGAACTCCGCGAAACTTTTACCAGTTTACAAATTATCGGACTAGACCTGCCAAATAAAGCAGGCTGCCGTTGGGCTGCCGTCTCAAAACCTCGTGGACGCTCAGGCCATCTGCAGCCACCTGCTCGTTGTTTCTGTGTGGTTACCAACCCGCTTGCCCTCCTAATCCATCCTGTAAGTAGACGATAAATCTATCCGAATCATAGAGGCAGATTCACTGGTATCCACCGCCGCGAACTTTAGATCCACTTTAGAACCACTCGCGTGTCTCAAAAATCTGGAAAGACGCTACTGAAGGGGTAGATAGGACCTCGAATTCACACGCGTTCACATGTCCATAACTCAGCGCTCTCAGCAGAATCCAAGACGAGCCCATGTTCGCAATATTTTGGAGAAAGTGAACAAGTATTTTAATAATTGATCAATATTATCCGCGGGGGCGGTCCGGCATCGGGCGGGATTAAAATTTGGATTAGGCAGTTCGGAGTTCGATGGACGTTCCCTCTCAATCCCCCTGTCCCAGATCTCTGGGCATGCCAGCGTCTCGCCAGGTGAGTGCGTGTGTGGATTAGAGCCTTTTCTGACCAGCTCCGTCCTCGCCTCGCTAATGTGTAACGACAGAATTCGACAGATCAGTCACTTGAAACTTAAAATTGTACGGAATAGTCACCCCTGTCCGAGCCCCCGAGGTCATATTATTACACACACGACAGCCACGACCACGAGTAACAGGAAGTTCTGGTCCAGCGCAGTGTAACTAACAGTTGGTAATAAACGCTTTCGGCACCGGCGGGCGGCTGCTTTATGTCACACTGCAACTAGTCGTTCTGGTGATAATCTGGTTGCTCCGAAAAAGGCGGGATTTGCACCTGTAAGTCAAATTGCTTTAAAGATCCCATAACACATAACGATATGTATCCACTCCATAATAACACCAGATACTGAGTATTTTGACGAGCAGGGACTCATGGCAATATATCATGTCTCGCACGCTGGACACCATGGACGCCTTCAGGCATCTGGTGGAAAGCGCGGAGGTAACCAGCGATGACGACATATGCATGAGACTCGTGGTACAGTCTATTCTGGAAAAACGGGTATCTTTGTGAACAATGTGCCAAGTATATCAAAACCAAGTCATGACCTCCCGGTAACCGGACTATGGACCGATTGACATCTTCGTTTCTCTCAGAAAATATGCTTGATGCTGTCATTGCATCACACTCTCAAGCTTGCAAGTCGTCATACCTGCCATGGCGGAACGTAAGTAAGGGCAAGGGCTTATCATCGACGCCGCGTCCATCAAAACAAAAGAGATATGTGAGTACACCGGAATGATGCGACATTTCAGTTGGCCCCCTAAATGCACAGAATGGTCTGTATCGCGCAGATAATGCGGCAAATCGCGATTTGTGCGCCCAGTGTCGGTTTCATCACGAAACGCAAAACGACCTTTGGTTTTAAATGAATGTTAATACTAATAAGTATCAGGGACGTCAAGTCAAATTTCTTATCGATGCTAATCGGTCAGCCAGCCTTGATTTATCCATGGGCCTCGTCCATCTACAATGCTTACTTTTATAGGCGTATGAATGGCATGCATGGGAATCCATGGAGCATCCTACCAATAAATTTCCACGACGCACGGCTGCAAATGTGCTGAATCCCAACCTCTATTAGGTGATATTACACTTTGAGGTGACTCGCATCTTTCTGTGTTGGATTATAGGATCGCATTTTAGTGTGGAGAAGGGGCTAAGCGACCTACTAGGGTGCAGCAATCGCGCTCCCTCTCATTGCCCTGGGCAGAAAGGAATTATTCGGGCGGCTGTGAATCAGTAATCACCTAAGAATCAGTCAGGAGCTCGCCCCAGATTTCTCCAGCTTTACTTTATCTGTATTCATACCCTTTTCTTCACGACTCGCCGTCGATATTAAAGGGTACCTGTCTCTGTGGTGTTAGAAACAACACCGCTGGCACTTCCCAGAACGGGACCAGAAGAACCCGAAGAACCCGAAGGTGGTCCCCAAGTGGTCCCGTAACGTCTGGTTCGAGACTAGGAGTCTTGTATCTTTACTGACATGTCCGTTTGTCGTAAAATCGCATTCGCCGCAAGTCCGCTTCTTTCTGCCCTGTGGACCACCGAGGGTGGGGTTATCCAATTGAAAGTCGAGAGATTGTCAAGGCTGGGATCGGATATAATTAACTTGTTTATGGGATATGAACGCCATACAAAGGGAAGCACCGCCCAAGGCACGTCGTTAATTGTCCGAACCGCAAACATGGGTTCTGATGCGGCAGCTCGTTAGGTCATGCGTGCCTCTGTCAGGCTCTAAGAGCACGATGACACGGAACCTTCAAGTTGGAACGAACTTCTGATGAGAGTGGTTTCGTCGGAGTAGCTCACATGTATGCAAGACAAGTGACTTGGACGACAGTTGATCCATCATGCGCCACATTGTGTGCTAGGTGTAGCAACGTGATCCTGAATGGAAGATGTCGATAAGAAGAAACAAAATACGAGAGGAACGGACCAATCACTAAGGCGATATGAAAGACATACAGGCTTGCGTTATCTTGGACCTTCTTATGCCACTACCTGAGAGGTATCTCTCCTACTTACATCGATCCCCCTGCCTTTAGTTGCCAGCGCGATTCAGACTTCTCGCGCAACGATCCACCAACTTCATGTGGCAATAGCACCACTGTCATTGCCGCCAAAAGTTTATGGACTGACATCAATTTTTGCCGTTAATGACTCTGGTGTAGAACATTGTACCGTTCTTCATGACCAAGGTGTGTTTCAAGTGTAATGGCAACCCGGGGCGTCAAGACAGGGTAAACGTTCGCATTTGTCTTGAAAAGGTGATGCGCAGCTCTGTTTGTTAAGCCAAAGCCTTCCTTGCCGTTGTCATCCAGGTTGACATGGGTTTTGGGGTTGATTTTCTTGTTTGCAGACTGCAGTTTGATGAAACGCAATCACAGTTTCCTGCCGTCATGTGATTAGCGCCTCTGAGTGGCTTCACATGGCACGGGGTAAGTAAACAGACAAGCGCAAATATTGCTCAAGAAGGTCCGGAGTACATACACAGCTTCGATTCCTTTGATCTGGGCAGGACCTGAGGCCTGAGCGGTCAGCGGAAGCTATCTGGCGGGATTGGTTATTGATAATCAGCGGAGCTGTTTCTAGCTGTTTGCCTTTGTTCTGTTTTTGAAAGATTAGCAACACAGACCGGAGATGTAAACGGGAGTGATCGGACCGTATTACGGTAACTACACATTCGCGCACAACCATGATCGCCGAACCAATAGAGCCAGATACGCAATACAGCATTTCCTTGGAAAAAAATATGTCAGTACCAGGGCCCATCGAGAACAAGGTACAAAATCATGGACATCGAGCGCTGCAACGCCGAACAGAGACAATGACTCCGCGAATCGAACAGACAGTGACACAGATCATAAGTTAATGAGAGAACGCCCAAGAAACGAACAAGCTTCCAGATCATGATCACCATATCGAATCTTGCCGATCAAATATGGTCCTCAATTCAAATTTCACCCAGCGGATCAATCAGGATACCCCTAAGGAACCAACAAGAAAATAGACGAATACACCCGCCCAACCAACAACAATTACCAAGGCCTTCTCCGGATCCTTATCTCAGAATCAGCTTACAGGATCTTAACAATGAAACTTATCAAGTTGTCGAACGTTTGGGAAAACAACCCTAGAATCAGATAAAGTTTGAGGTAGATAGAAAGCCCTTTGAAAAAGATGTGGCGGGTAAAATGTGGCGGGTTGTGTGGCGGGATATGGGGCGGGTTAGTCACACCCACCCCACCCACCGTAAGTATATTTACCTCGGCCAGGTGATGTGCCAGAGCCACCGACTACTATAGCACCCTATCTAGAAACTCAATTTTATCAGTTGAATTGAGGTCAAAAAAAAATCAACGAGCGCCAAAAATGACCACCGCAGGGGTCGAACCTGCAATCTCCTGATTCCCGTTTGATCGTAGTCAGACGCGATGCCATTTCGCCAGGCGGCCATGTTGCTACCGAGAGCCTCGCAGATCTTTTGGGACAACGGGCAAGGAATGCGGATACGCAGTGGGCGTACAGTAATATGAGTTTGGAAAAGTGTCATATTTATGAGAGGCATAAAGGTCGTCAAGGTCGTTACTGTCCTGATATACTATTAGTACAGGGGTATATATGTGCATACTATAATAGATATCCCACATGAATCATCGAGTCATAAAGAATGAAAGATACTACACCTGGTACGTTGTCCTTATTCCATGTTTAAATCATAAAGAAGATTCAGCCTTCACAGCACCAGTCCGGTGTGGCTCTGCACCGGGGGTCCTCTCTAGTCCAACATAAGAATATACCTGCTCACGCGCCGCAGGTAAAGAAGCCCTCAGACGACGCTGAACATCCCCGAAACGTCCAGCTGCGTTTCTGAGCCCAAGCCTATCCCAAGCACGAACAGCCTGCCTAAGCGAGCCACGGCGGCGCGGCGACATCCAAGACCTTGCACGTGAGGAGGTAGACCCTGAATGAGCGCAGCTCTGGGGCTCAGTGACGGGTGCTGAGGTAAAAGCAGTGCCACTGACCTAACAGACTTGTAGGTATCGTAAACGAGCCTTGCTTGACGGGCTGAGGCTTTCCGGACTTGGCGCGCTTAACGAACCCTTTCAGGCACCCGTAAAACCAGAATGCGTGGAGAGGGAAGATGCAGGCGACGATGACGCCTGGGACATACGAATCATTCGTGACATCGTGACGGCTGACGACCATCGATGCACATAGAAAGAGATGAAGAATGATACGAGTCGTGAAAAATGACAGTGCGAAAAGCACATCCGAGCGGAAGCGAGAGTTGAGACTCCCAATAGCCAAAACGAAGGTAGGTACCTGTATCAAGTCAGCGCTCTCGATATCAGACATGAGCCATGAGAATTAGAGTTTTACCTCCATCACAGCACAGAGCGAGAAAAGATGACTCCAGCCCATACGACAGGTATATTCGACAATCAGAATGTATATCGTGTGATGAATCCAGCCTGTTAGCAAGTTAACCTTGCTACGGTAGTAAATCACGCCCATTAAAAGGTCTCTAATACGTTATCAGCACATGTCGGTAGCAAAAAGACTTGAACCCACGCGACAAGATATGCTTGAAAGAATCTACTGATACTATCTGTCCAGGATGTTGACATTATCCCTCTCAAATCTCCACGAGAACTGATGTAGTGAAAGAAAAGAGGCAAACTCGACAGAGACATTGCAGCGCTACTGATTGTGGTCAATAACCATGATTGCTGTTTCACTGTGGAACACAGAGACGCGAAAACATGATAAGCCGCTATCAGCGCCAGAAATGAGTATAAGAAAGCAGGAGGTACCGCATCCTCGATGGACACGTCGAGCATGGCGCGGGCACAAAGGGGAGAGTGGTCGCGCGAGAGAAGGAAGTGACATTCTCCCGCTCGTTATCATTTAAAGAGCCAATGGCAGTTTATGGCACGTTTACCCGTGTATGCCATTGCGATTCGCGAAGCTTCAAATTTTCAGACTTCCCAGCCTGAAAAAGCTCATTTTGGTCAATACTAAGTCATTATGGAGTGTCATCACCCACAGAGTCTGCCACACGAACGTGAAGGGACCCGCAGTGCCATGAACAGCTTTTTGACAATGACAGTTACAGTAGTAGAGTGGGGAACCCTATATGCTACTGACTTTTGACCGTGCACGTTGTTCGTGTCAAACGAACGTGCACGATTTGATTTCCTGTGAATATATTTAAATTTAGTCATAAAAAGACCCGTAAATGGCAAAACGTATATATTTATTATTGCAGCTTCGTCGTCGGTCGAAGTCTCGACCAGCTTGATTGTTGACCGTCCGGTCCGTTGACACGCCCCGCGCGGCACGCTGCTAAAGGTGACTCTGAAACGGTCAAAGATCGACACATACGTTTATTTACATTGGCGTCCTTGGCGTCCTCATGCGTATGGATACCTGATCAAGTGAAGTACTTCAATTATTCTGATTATCTGTGCTGATATACTTCATCGCCGCATCGGCATCCCGGACTCCTTGCCAAGTCGGTCAACCTTTCGGAGGTTGTTGGAGGTCTGGATGCTTACCCTGGGTCAGGTTCTATATCAGAGCCTGTCGCTTCGAACACCAAGGTTGGGACGTCGATTCTCAAGTGGTTCTTTGCGGAAAAGCCCTTCAGTGAAACGTACGGACATCCATTACCGATCATAATAGTCGACATGGCTGCAGGTTTATGCGGCAGAGACTTAGATCTGTGTTCATATCGTATGTTACTTTCTTTCCAATTTCACTTCCAAACTCTCCTAAATAGTGTTCAGATTCCTAGATTGTGCTTGTCATTATGATCCCATGACGTGGCATCCTGAAACACGATGAGGTCGCTGTGTTTAAGAGCAGATCGGTTGTTGATGTGACACGCCAGCTCAGTGAGCACGAGGTGACTAGTTTAAGGCGCTTCAAGTTCAAACCAGGCATACATCATCTATATCAGACCAAGTAGATTCAACGAACAACCTATGTCCGACCGCTCCTCCCCTGATTTAAAAAGAGCCCTGAACTTACCAGTTGGGTTACGGGTAGGTTGGGCATTGCCGTGACTTAATGACGGGCTTGAACCACAACAGGGTCAGCGAAAGTAGCAATCTCGTCGATAAACCGCTCCTACTGGGGTATATACCTCACAGTTTCTATATGTACAAGTCAGCTATGTGTCGATAACAGTGAATGAAAGAAGAGATTGAAATACTTAGTCTAAGACTTTAAACTTGTAAGTTACTGCAAACGTTCCTGGGACCCTAACCCTACCATATGCAGCCGTTTTTGGGTGACACTTTCAAGCGACAACTCAACGCCAACTTCGCTTTCTCTGTTTCAAGGTTTCGCCAAGAACTTTTACTGTCGCCTTCCCTTCTACCTTGGCGACGGATTCTCCAAGCTGGAATAATTGAACAGCCAAGATGTCTGCAGGACAAGGAGAAACGATGCGAACGCGAGCTATAACATCCACATTGACTGCACGCTTGTCCCCGACCGTGCCATCTACTTCTCAAACTTATGAACCCCTTGTTAGGTCTGCGCTTCGACAGCGACTCATCCACAACATATTCGCGTTCTCCGCTGCATTCACCCTTGTTGCCAGCATTCTTCTCGGGGGAGAGGATGAGACGAGTACTTTCGTCAGGCTGCTTTCGCCGGGAACTTGGGCGATGGCCTGCCTCAAGTGGTCCGTTGGTGTATTGCCTGTGATTGCTATGAGAAAAGTTTACCTCACCTGTGAGTTATTTCACCTCGCGTGCATGCTGTCTCATATCTGTTGCATAGCTGCCGCCACACCTGCAACTTCACCAGCCAAAATAATCACAAATGCTATTGCAAAGCCAAGCACACGCCGATGCTTGGCAGTGTACATGTCATGTACATTGATGCTTATCACGCTCAATTTATGCTCATTTACCTCGGAAGAACGTGAAAGCCTTCATTTGAATGTCTTCGTAAAGTCGAGGTACGTGATTCAGCAGTCTTACTGTATATGCCGGAAGAGAGTTGCATGATGCACGTTGGCATTCCGAGTGTTGTTGAATTTCGGAGGCTGAGGTTTTCACCAGGAAACATCCGTACTACCTCAACGGTCGATTGCTTTTCCTCATCCTAGCCCAGTTGTGGCTAGCCGCTAGTTTCTTGCTTCGAAACATCATGTTAGACCGATTTGTGTTCAGATGGACGAAACCCTTGAACTCGTCGGAACTTGTGAGTGTTTTCCCTCCTTCCTGAATCATATTTAACGATCCACCCGTAGCCAATTGCCCCGAGCAATCTTCTGAAGCTACTCTTAACGATGACTCTTTTCACCTCATTTTCATCATTGGTGTATGGCGTCGCTTTTGGTGTATCGCGGATGCTTGTCCTTCCGCTGCTTTTAAAGCTTCCAGTGGTGAACACCATTGTCCGGCCGTTTATTGCACATTTCGCAAAAGGTCCATGGACTCTAACCCTACCTATATTGCATTGGTCGCTTTTGGTTCGATCGTTTATGATGGGCCTTGTGACTGTAATGAGTTGGGAGTTCGCGGAGTCGTTATTTGACGCGTATGTTCCCCAGGTGAATTATTTTTTTTCAATGGTCAAATATGCATTCTAATGTGTTTTTCAGCCGATCAAAGTTGGCACCCTTACTGCAGACCCTAATGTGACGGTTGTCTCAGGGATAACGACTCAGGACACGGTGTTCGCACATTTTGCGTACTCTGAGTTAGCAGAACTGGCTTCGGATGAATCTTCGGCAGGGAGCGCTCGTAGAACAGCCCTGTTTGGTGATCAAAAATATAGTCCGAGCTTGTGGAACGTGTTGGCCCGTCAATCGCTCCTGCGTCTTGGACAGGATTATCAAACATTCTTACGACGCGGTGCGCCGATTACTCCACCTGTCGTTGTAGCTCCAGCAGCACCAAAACCCAAAGATCCTCCATCGACCCCTTTGATTCGGAAGGCTATCTTCAAGGCTCCGCGGCAATCTCCTCTTGGCAGTATGCTGGATTCAGTTTCTTCGGATTCGGAGCTCTCGAAGGCTGCGGAAGCAGTGGCAGGCGAAATGGAGGAACGCGCAAGTCAAATGCACATTCCAGAACTCTTCCGATCTGTAGCGCAGTCATCTGCGGCTGCCCCAGCAGCCAGCGCAGTCCTGACTAGACCGACACCAAGCATCATCTCCGACTGCGTTGCACAGCTGAAGGCGTACGGCGGGGCTCTCTTTGTGGGCCACTGTCCAGCTTGGTTGCAGGAGTCGGCGATAAGATGGAATAAATGGGTTTATCGAGAGCGCTTGAATAAGGTCGTTGAAGTCTGTTTGCCAAATAGGGAGCTTGATGCACTCATCATCGAAGGTACAGCCAACTTTTTTTACTTCATATGCAACTATTGAATTGATCTACAGCGCTATCGCACTTCGTCTGTGCTTCCCTAAGCGAGGATCGGTATGGTGTGGTTCAAAGGGACATACCACGCATCATCGAAGCTTTCCTCTCGTTTTTATCTGCGATCGAGGAGTATCAGATCGAAGTGAACGCTAAATACACACCACCGACGCCCGATGAACTCTCGCAAGGCGACACGAAGATATTGGAAGAAAAAGAGATGATCCGTGTAGAAGTTGCCAGAGCGGGCGACGTGCTCGTCGTTGTCTCAGATGGTTTGTGACCTCATTTCTGGCCCAGACACCTCTTAATAATTCAATTGTTATAGCACTGAAGACTGGGGTGGCAAATATTTCACGGACGTTCGGCGACAAGCTAGTTGCTTTCAAATTCCCTCCTCGGACGGCACGGAAGCTACAGTCATTTGTTGACTACACCTAGTGTTTCGGCGATTTAGAATCAGGGATGATCATCAAATCCTCTAAACCCCAGGCTCCTGGTGACTGCTCGCATATTGTGCATCTCGTGAGGTACTAGCGGCAGCATTGTTCGAACTTCAGTAACTTAGGGCAGGCAGCCCCCGCTGTATTTATCCTTCGAGCTTCAGAACGTCATACTATCTATCGCAACCAACTAATGATCCTGTGCTAGAACGTGCATCGTAAATGTGTGCTTATCGCATCAACGTATCTTTATGCGGAATGTTGAATGAATCCAGCATAACTTGGCCATCGTCGGACAGTAAGCTGGAGGTAGAGCTAGATGTAGCGTTCAGTTTCATTTGGACTTTGCAGTGTACGGTCTGGATTGTTTTCAAGTGCGAGAATTTGACGTCCACAACGCGGTCACGTGATTTTTATCTCTTCGCATTGCGCGACGTTCGTCGAATCGCAACGTTGATAATAATAAAGGCCGACTTATTGTATTTTGTAGGTACGCGTGGAATTCGAGTGGTCAACGTGCTTCGGAACCAACACTAGCTAGTAGCGGCAGGCAGGTTGAAAAACACCAGTAGCTGACTGGGCTATCGTCCAACGGCTTCAATCGAGATTTGGATGTATCCGGATCCAGGTGACTGAGCTTTTTGTTGAGATCGAGGGCTCCTGCGCTGATCGCATCTTTCCAAATTTCTAACAGCGAAGGCTCAGAATATACCAATATCTTGTCGATGACTTGGAGGGTATAATAAACTTGAAGTGGTGGCTGGTTGCAATCATCGCTGCCGGAGCGTGGTGTTTCAGTCAGCCTCCACTGAGTCAGTTGTCATATTTCATGGCTGCTCTTCCTAACATCCCACAATTTCCTCTTGTTTGTGATTAACATGCGTCTCACCGATAGATCTCTGTCTATATCTGTATCTTCCATCCCTCTCGCCAAACCCCAGACACCTATTCGGCGTGTGACTGCTCTCTTGCGTTCTCCTCTTCAACTCGGCAAGCGTGCCCGTCCACGTTCTCACTCCCTGGACACCGAAAGGCTTCCGATCAGTCGCCCCCTCTATTACACTCCTCCCCCCGCGGTTGCCCTTCAGACCACGTCTTCATCCACCGACAGTATCATCATCACATCTTTCCAACATGCACCATTCTGCTGCCATGAGGACCTCGTTACCATGCCTCGCCCTGAACTTGTGCAGGTTGCTCAAAGCATCAATGGACGTCTGCCAAAGGCACTGCAGATTGCGTGCGGTGATGATGTGGAGGATGCGGATATTCGGAGAGCGATAGAGGTCTTGACTGGGATACGCGCAGAGACGGCAGGAGATATAATCCCACCCGTTCCAGGCGCACCTAGGGCGGTACGGACAAAGAGCATGAGTGCGGTATTGGAGGATGAAACATCCTGGGATGTGGATAATGACTCGAGTGCAACGGGCGACCGATCAGTTGCCATTCCTTCTAGTCCACTCGCCATGCGTCGCCCGCGATTGGAAATGCTCAAGGAGGAACAAGAGCATGAGGAACCTTTGAGAAAGCGGAGGCGGGCTTCACCACAGAATGACCATACCCTTGCTGCATGTGTGCCTACTGCGTCAGGCTCACGCCTCATCGAGAGTATCGACATCTCAGCCTCTCCCCTGCTTGGGTCAGACAGCAGCAAGGTCATTAGCTCCCTGACCAGTACTCAAGGGAATGTACAGCGTCGACGCAGCGCTCGTCTCTCCGGTCACAATCCCCACCCGCGCGAATTTGTAATTCGCCTCCCCTTCGCATCGTCGCCCAAAGCGCAGCCCACCCGCATGCTCCGTTCGTACTCACAAAGAGCAAGCCTTACAACGTCTGCGCAGGGCTCGAAGCTCAAGCGTACTCAATCTGATGCCAATGTCACGCTTACACGCCCCAAGTATCATTTCCGACGCGGGCGCGCTACACCCAAGGTTGCCGATCCTGTCGGCTTTGTGCCAGAGGTTGAGAAGACGTTGCAGGTTCTACCGATGATCCACACAGGGTCTGGCCTTGCTGTCGATTTTCTCACTCCTAGGGCCCGTAGTGCGAGCGCGTCAACCACGGTCTCGCAGGGGAAGAGTGAAATCGGCTCAGGGGTCGTGGAGGCAATGGGGGAGATGGTGGTATAAGTTACAACACGCTTGTTGCATTGCGTCATCCAGCTTCAGAAGTCAAGGTAAACGTGGTAATAGGCCACCCTCCCGTATTCATTCGTTTGAGTTTAATACTCATATATGGAACAAGACTAATATATAGCTCGAGTCTCGAGCATATGTTACAACGAGTATGTATAGTAGTCTGGTCAACAGACTAATTTCTCGGATGACAAGGAAACATCATAGGCTCCGATTGATATCTTGCAAGTGTTTCAGGAAACCTTTATGCGCATGGTCGGCATCCTGAAGCAATGAATTCAGGAGTTTCTTCTCATCACCTGTAAACCCTTGCAGATCACTGGCATTAAAGTTGAAGGACCTTTCTTCCTCGTGTTTTTCCAGTTCTTTCGCGACTTTATCTCTCCACGTATTCCATACTCTTGTTTCATTCGGGATGAAACATTGCAAGACCTCTTTTGGCTTGAAGTCAACAGGATTTGAAGTTTTTGAGGGCCTCAAGGGGACGCCATCACTGAGGACCAAACATACAAAAACTGCTTGAGCTGCTCTGTTATCGAGTCCAATTTTCCACGTTCGTGGTTCACGAAGCGCTTTCCACAGGATACCGACTTGTATCTTCTCCAGCTCCAGTGACGACAGAAATGAGTTATATGCCCACGAGGCTGCAAGCGATGAGATGAACATGATCTGCCCGAATGTCGTTGACTGGGGGATGAGAAGGAGTTGGAGAAGGAACTGCGCAAGGAGGAGAAGCGAGCAGAGTCCGATTCGTCTATACTCTGGGTGCCCATCCATCCTCAGGACAAATTTTCCCTTGGTTATCGGATCGATGTCTTTCTCTGCACCTCTGACGATTACTACATCGCTTCGCGTCAGAAGCATCCCGTCTGCAGGCGGCACGCCCCGAGCGGCTTCCTTAACGGAAGCAAATTCGAGTTTAGCAGAGCCCATGACAAGGCAAGATATGCCGCTTGAAACAACTCCTAGCATGATGAGGGCGAATGCTAGCCAATCTCCTGAAGCAGCAGAAATCGCAGACGTTGCGAGACTGATGGTGATGGGAATAGCAGCCAAGAGAGCATGATGGGTACTCATCATCGGCGCCTGATCCAAGTGCTTCAGATCCACGTCTCCGACATCGAGGATGGTGACGGACAGAGGTGTAGTCTCCCTGCCTTTCACTTCCGCTACTTTCTCAACTTCTTTCGCCTTCTGTATCACGAGGTACGCCAGGTGACCGGTAATCATATCTGTGCCCGAGAAAACACCCCAATAACGAGGGCCAGGTTTTCCATCTAGCCCAAATACCTCAGCGGGTGTGAGATTTGGACCAGGGAAAAGACCATCCCAGAATCTGGAGTTAGCGAGCTGCCCAAACTTTTTGGCGACAGTATAACTTCCTGGTGAATTATACCAGCCTAACCAGCGCCTTCCACGATAGATATGGACAGTAGCCATCGCTGAGATTGCTTCATCTCCACCGAAGAATCCAGCGACGTTAGAAGTATTGAGATTGAAATTCGATTGGTTGATTGGGACGTTAAAGGTGGGTGTGCCTGTCAGAATCATGTTACAACGAGTTGCTTCGGTTAAACGACCTCTTTGCCTCAATATAGCCGACAACAACATCAATGGTAGCCTACATAGCCTCTGGGCGCTAACTTGGTGGGAAATTTTCATCCCAAGCCTGCCAAGGCCTGCAGAGATTCTGGAAACCACAGGAGAAGGTTTTGGGCAACGTAACGACGAATCGTGTAGACTGCACACCAATCCACAACTTCTGCAACGAATATCGACACGCATAGGCGTGCATGAATGTTCAGCAACTAGTAGGGATAGTACGTACATGCCATTGACGGTCAGTCATTCAACGTCATCCTTTCTGGTATCTCCTCATCCTTTGTTTGACCAGCACCTGGTCGCATTTAAATGTGATTTCTCAATGAAATTCAGACATTCACCCTGTTAATGAAATATATCGGCTGGGAGAAGCCGCAGTAGGGAGGAAACTCCCGAGTTGCTCCGTCGTCCTACGGTGCGGGCCGCCTGTTGTTTGTGCCGTCATTGACGAACAATACACTCACCTCAATTTCGCTCGTGCTTTTATCGGCCACTGACTCTGAGTCCAGGACGTAGAGGCCGTGTGCTTTCTCGAACGTTGATCTGTACATGATCTGCTGTGCCCTTCACCCTCGCATGCGTCATGCGTAAGAAAGCAGCACCCGGCATTCGTTGGACACACCTCTCATCCATGAGAACTAGAGGCGCCATCAACTCACCACAAGTGCCTGCAGAGTATTCTTGAGCCGGCCCTCCAAAAGGGCATTTTCTGCATGCGATATAGCACTGTTCATTCACCTGTAAATATACAAGGTACGAGTCGCACTGTAGATGGACATCTCACATCAGGAAAAACCTCTTCCGGGAAATGGGACAAATTTGTGTAAATGATGGTGTTTTATCGAGTTTTATTGTGTTTTATCATCATGTTTCACATTAGTGACATTTATGAACTAACCAACAGCCCCCTGACGCCTTCGTTCGAATAAAGTGGGCAAAAGTGCAATAAAGTGTGCAGCATTATTAATAAACCTTCATAATAGATGATCCTCCTTGAGAAGCGATATCACAATGACTAAGGTGAAACAAATTATATTGTCATTCAGACTCAATACACAATACTACATAACTACTAATGAACGGGGAGATCACAATGAACACAAAGGAGCGGATAGCAGCAACAGATGAAAAAAATCACTAGACACGAAGGAGCAGTTAGCAAGGCTTGACATCAACAGAGGAATACACTTACACCATAACAACAATTGCTCCGGTCAGCAAGGCTCGAGGTTGAACGTTGAAGGATGGCCACACTGACTAGCTTTAACAGAAAAGTGATTTCTGTGGTTAGCAAACCTCAAAATCGCCAGAGGATCAAGACACTGACTAGTGTTGACGAAGGGTGAGCACACTCACATCCTGACAACAGAAGTGATATGATATTGTTAGTCTGCAAGGCTCGAGCTCGACAATGAACACACTAACTTCCTATTTGATGACACGGATGAGTGGATCATTGGGCGTGAACGGATGCATTGTAAAGAGACGTGCGTGGACGGATGCGTTGTAAGGAGACGTTCGACAAGGCCAAGGTTGGTGGATGCTCATGGTTTGGTTGTGGTTGAACGTTGAAATTTGAAAGTTGAAGTTCGAACCAAAAGTCATGTGAGTGCATGTGGGAAGTAAACAAACAAGTGCAAATGTTGGACTTCAGAACATTTCAAACGTGTACAAACACAAGCGTCTCAATGGCAACAAGCATCGCTTTGCCTCACACATCCTCGCCTTCTTCGCTACATCCGACAGAGCGGCATTGTCAATGAAAACCTCATTGAACATTTCTCCAACGAGTTCCAGGTCACGCTTGGTCGCATTCACTGCTGTGGAAGGCATATTCTTGGGCTCTGAGTCCCTTTGTGTCCATATTCTGGCTCAAGGAACACGGTCTCATGCCTGGTCTTATGTTCTCCAACGAGCTTATCGGCTGTGAGTGAGGGTCCGCATACTGACTTTGCTTGCTTGCTCTCTAGCCACCTCAAGCATCGCCTGCACCCTCAAGTGACTGGTGTGTGTGTCATCTGTATGTGTGTGAATTTTACGTGCGCAGAATAGTTGAACAGATCCAGCGCCATAGTCTTGCAGCATGCAGATTTTGTCATATGGCGCCGCAATGTGAGTGTGACAAACTTCGATGTTGTGCAACTGAAACACTCGACTCAGTACACACAGCCAGCAATGAAAAACAGTGAGTTCGTGATGTGGCGAGCAGCTGTTCCCGCAAAATCGACGAGCTTAGATGTTTATAGGCTTCCCCCTTGTTTTTTTTAAAATGCCTTAAAAGACATGTATTGTATATACTTACTTCGATGTAGGTAAATATGCATCCATATTTTCCGTGAATATGTATCTTTCTGTAATAATATGTGATAAAGTTGAGAAAGTTGACTAAAACCAAGTAATTCTGCAAATTTCGCATGGGAGCTTTTCCCTGATGCATGTCGTGCGAGCAATTGCTTGGGTCAAGGTTGAACAACTCGGAGCTTGTGAGTAATGGTTATAAATTTCCTGTGCAAACCATCTCATACCATATGATTTGTCGGGTCCAGGTGCCCGGAAGGCTGTTCGCCTGTTCCTAATGCGTACAAGATCAACTACCGGGGGCTACTAGGTTGTTCCGTGTGTTGATATACATAGCCACTAGACTTTGCCTCTGTCTGACTGTCTGACAGCGCCGCAGCAGGCTCCCGCCACAATGCGAGGTCTGTATGTATTTGTCTGTTAATGCTCGCCTTTTTTTAACTGTCTTAGCGACGCCACATGTGTAGTTTAACGTCACCCACCTCCCGGTCAAGCCGTATTTTTTCTGCATCGTGTTCCCTCAATCAGTGAACGTGGCATTTTAGATTCCATTATTTCCGCTAAGCCATAAGACGCGATCCAAGTTGGACCGGCAAGCAGACCAGACACTGGTTCCCATGCCGATCGGAAGATGAATCCCTAAAGCTCAGTCTTCCATTACACTCGCTCCATTTCACTCGCGCGACGCGCGTATATTTGATTTCCGCATTGACCATCGCTGACGTTCCCAACGCGAATAGATCATTAATGACCTAAATGACGCGGTCATGACTTCCCGAGTGCCACGATTCTCTGGAAACACCGTAGGGTCACATGTACTGATGTTTCAGGGTGCATCTATCCAACCGAGAAGTCGAAGCACCAGCGCATTAAAGGAGGCGACTTTGAAAAGAAAACTGCACCTCACGCCTCAACTTTGAGCTCATCCATTCCTCACTCATACTCCTATACCTCATACAACCTACAAGCAAAGTGCTTTACATCATGAAAGTTTCATCCGTCATCTTCTCCATCTCCGCCTTTGTCCTTTCCGCTTTGGCGCAAACCACGGAAACTCTTTCATATGACAACAATTATGATGACGCCTCCCTCTCCCTTTCAAGCGTTGCTTGCTCAGACGGTACGAATGGGCTTGAGACAAAGGGATATACAACTCTCGGATCACTTCCCACGTTCCCTAACGTTGGCGGTGTCTACACCGTGACGGGCTACAATTCTGCTGCATGCGGATCCTGCTATAATGTCACTTACGGAACTAAATCCGTTGCTATCCTCGCGGTGGACGTATCCACAAACGGCTTCACCGTTTCAGAGACGGCGATGAACACCTTGACTGGTAATCTGGCTGTGGAGTTGGGAAGGGTGGATGTTACGGCAACCCAAGTGAATGCATCATTTTGTGGCTTGTAGATGCATCCTGTTGGTATGTATGCCGTCTCAAGTCAGTTATGCCTTCATTGAACATTCTCCTTTCAGGAAATGTTGGGACTTCGGACTTGGCACAGTTCCAGTGGATTTGAATCGCATATCAAAATTGAATACAAAGACTAGTAGTACGGACTCTTGCTGTCAATACTTCTACGTGTACGCTACGTTTTTGTTGGACTTGTCGACTTTGTACATACTTGCATTGTCACGGTTTACATAGTGTCGCGGACTTGTCGGTGTCACGGAACAATTGTAGATATTGAAACGCACACATTCAGCGCCTGCATCCTCCGCATGTGTTTTCAACCTCTCGTCCTCAGTGCTCACAGTGCAAATTCCGCCCACTGACGCGTAGCGACCATGTGATCTGTGAGCACATTTGGGCACGCAGATCCCTTGCGGTACATGTATCACACTGCTGGATAATACGAGAACCATAATGGAGGGAAATTCATATTAGGCACGCGCGCACTAGGATGATTGGCTGCAAAGCTGGTGGAAGCGCTCATGATCAATATCAAAGTAGACAAGTCAGCGCTAGTCAGCATGAGCGGTCGTTAATCGTGGGAAAGCGTGTTAATTTCCTCTCATCAAACAAGTTCGCAGACCTGAAGCTTGAACGTTCTGAACTCTGAAGACCCCTGTTATTATCCCACCGACTACGATTGCTCGCATTCCCAGGCCTCTGCAGCGGAAATTATACCGCTGTACTGAACACTTCTCCCATTTTTTTTTGCGTTGGAGTGGATGAAGTGGACCACGGAAATGGTCAATAGGCCATCCAATGACTACGATTTGCGACCGAAGGCTCCAGGCCTGTGGGTGTCCAAGACGAACTTCATTATGTGCGCCCCCTAAGTAGCTTTGTGAGTCTCAGTCTGCTTCTCTGGTATAACGAGTTGAATGCAAATTCATGGAACTCATTTGCAGTCCTCACACTCTTCCTGTTACGTCTCTTGAGCCCGACTATCGAAGAGGTCCTTGACGCGGACAACCATTGTAACACCACGGTAGACCTGAGTCCAATATCCCCCTCAATTCAGTGCCATGTATGATGCTGGAACCTCTCATGTTAGCTCCTACTCTTCGCTTTGCCCCAATTCAGTCTTCCGTTTTCTTGCTCTTGCCCGGTGCTCTTTGGTTTACCTCCAGCTGGTTCTTGTGTCGTATATCTTCTCACCACGGGCCTCGCAGCTCACATCACCATTACACGTATCCTTTTCATGATGCTCTCGTTCTCACCACCTTCGTAGTGGAACTCGCGATTACATGCATGTTCATCAGTGAACTGGTGAAGAAAGTAGAAGGTCATATATCACAATATATAGTACATAATCACAAGAACTAGCACAATCCTGCTATCGTGGATTAAATCGCTATGTTTGGCCTTGTAAATGACACTGATTTTCTTACAGAATTGTATGATCGGGAAAAGGTGGTAACATCACTCAAACTCAGATTTGAAGGAAAGGTGCAGTAAAAGTTGACAATTGACCTAGACGAATTAAAATGGCGACAGCAGAAGTAAGGTCCACAATTTTGAAGCTAAGATCTAGACGAATTAAAATTGCGACAGCAGAAGTAAGGTCTACAATTTTGAAGCTAAGATCTAAGGTTCGTATGTTGCAGACATCGAGGATAGTCTAATCCGAACGAACAACCGTAAGTTTGCGCCCTGCTTCAAATGTCGATGCCAGCCCTTTTGAAGGCTGATTTTCTTCTATTATAAGTGAATCCTCCATGAAAGGATTCAAGGTTCGTAAATTGCACATAACGAGGATGTGTTCATCTGAGCAAGCGTGTGAACATTATTTCCCATTGCGCAATGCGCATAAACAAGCTATAGATTGAGCACAGCCTTCATTATTCGTGCGTTGCGTACCAAGCACATATCATTGACCATCTTATATCTAGTGCTACGGCGTCGGCACACCGCGTTTCTTTTCGCGCTACAAGAGACATTCATTATGCATCGATTCGGGACCCCAGTTACTTATCTTCCCGATGCCGCGACTGTGTTATCGATTGACAAAGTCGTGTACCTCTACTCGACCGTCTGAAGTATCATCGGCGGGACTTTGAATTCGGTACATTTTCCCATGGCGTTCATCTCACAATTTCGTGCTTCTGTCTTGTGATTAGCGCGACAACTAGAAAATATACGGATTGCTATGATCACGCTGTCTTTCGTTTATCTAGCATATCCAAGCACAAGCAGGTGGGTCTGCGAACTGGAGTTTGAATGGTGCCCCATTGACCAATCTTAATTTTTTGATAGTATTGTCACGCATCATCGGCCCGCGCGTCTTTTCGCACTACAATTGGTTATGTCCTGCAAGCGGGCGACACATCAAATTGTGTCATATGTTGAGTCTTCAGGCGACCTTTTCTGCGTGTCTAATGGCTAACAGTGGTATACCGCTTGCGACTGCGTCCAGAGGAGCTAGACCGTACTCGGACATCGTATCGTTGCAGCAATGTACCTTGACTTCACCACGGTACTTCGCTTACCATTCAACAGCCTTCGTGTATACTTGGCCATGTATAGATGGTCTTTTTGTTTAGTGAACCCACTTGAAATTTATGCGTTGAAGCTTCGTTGCTTACCATTCAACAGCCTTCGTGTATACTTGGCCATGTATAGATGGTCTTTTTGTTTGGTGAACTCACTTGAAATTTATGCGTTGAAGCTTCGTTCCCATTGATCATGCCATAATTATCCAAGTCAGAGACAGTGCTAGTAGCTTCCAAGTGACAGTCGTGTGTCCTCCCAGTAACCGACAATGGCATGTATGTATAGCTTCCGACTTTGATGCCATCTCTTTCAGATATCAAATGACCATTTGATGTATGTTACTTACCATTCGACAAGCGTATGGCGCATTGCGCCGTGCGTGAACATACTTATTTTTCTTCGTATACCACCAGTGAAATTCTTGACGGGGACATTCAGGACTTCACAATTTAGGTTCTTGATCCAGCAGCAAGAGACTTCAAAGTTAAGGCGTCTTTTAATCCCACGAGATTGCTATGCTCGCAATACATTTCCTAGTACACGCAAACGACTGATCCACGTGGGTGAATGTACAATTTGGAACTGAAATTGTCCCATCAGCAATTGTATTAAAAACCACAGATATCGTCATGAGCGGCGCGCTTGTGTTTCCATGCATTCAGGCTTTTAAAACCAAGAACAAAGATGATATTCAAAGTAAACTACTCGGTAAAATTACGTGTGGAGGCCAGTGATCGCTTGAAAATAGTATAGTAGAATATTAATAGGTAGCTAGGGTGAATCAAAAGTGATATCGTCACGCTGTGCCCTCTGCCTTGCAAGAGCGTTTACTGACATGTTAGCCTTTGCCGCGTCGCTGAGCTCATTACGGCGATTTCTTCCGAAAACTTTTCTTAAAACAAGGGTTTAGCTGAGGCTTCTCGGCAACGTAAATGACACACCTTGTCCACCACTCGAGAAGTCGGTTGACCCCGCGCTGCGCTTCTCGACCAGGAGGCTTTTCAAAGAAGTCTACTATGGTCTGCCAGAATTTAATGTAGTCAAAGTCACCATCGACCGACCGCCACGAGGTAATAGATGAAAGCGCGAATCGCACCTGTAAGCGTATTCATCATTTAATTACAACAAACGTTACAATAAAACACACTTACTTGACAAGCAATGTATGCAATCGAGCGAGCAGTCACTTTATCCATCTTGATGATTTGGGCGACATGCTTCTTAACCTTGATGTCCGAGAATGCCTTCTTAGCGCGTCGGTTGTTCGCAATTACATCCGCGCCATCACCGTCACATTCGACATCCTTCGCTGAGGAGGGAGATGTAAATACAGCTTTGTAGGCCTGCAAAACAATGTGAGATCATCGTCGGGCAACCCGGGTGCGACGAACCTGCAGCAAAATTTTTCCCTTGAAAATACCTTCCTCCAAATTGTCAGGATTAGCAGTGTAATTTTCATACAAAAACGCCGGGAAAGAAAGGTCCGTCACGAATGTAGCCCTCGGATCGATCTCGAATCCCTGCCTTTACACTGGCGAAAAGTTAGAGTTGCGTAAGATACGATGTTCATTACATACGCTGGGATGTTCCAGTCAAGTTCAGCCGGGCAAAGTAACCTGCCACATGCGTCATTGATGAACCCGCGGCAATGTTTATCATCGGGATCGATTGAAGGATTTGGGTTGAGTGCGCGATTGACCCAGTCCGCGACAAGAGTCTTTAGCTTCGATGTGTCATCTCCCCGGGCACCGTCAGCCCCTTGCCTAAGCTTAACAAAGTCTCGAGATCGTGAAGCTGATCATTGACCCGGATAGCGGTAAAACATACCATTTTCAGCATGCGCGCAAAGTCGTTGGGCTCTATGTCTGAGGCTTTCTTCAAAAACCATGGTAGGGTTCTCAATAGGGTGTGGTACCCTGACAGCAGCCGATCTTGGCTACATAAAGAAACCAATGAGTACACTCGTCATGGCAAACCAAGGGTGAAAACTCACTCGAGAGTAGCATCCTCCTCACTATCGTCATCATACCTTCGATCGTTTTCGGCGACTAGTTGCTCGATACTATCGAACAAAGTGACAATGCGCCTTAGCCCTCGTCCCTGAGCTATATAATAATTTGTTTGCCTGTCAGATGGTGAGTGAAGTCGACTCAATGCATACAAAAATGACGGGGTTCCTACTTTTCCTTGATTGCACGCCCTGACTCGAGAGCCTCTAGCTTTCCCTCAAGTTCGGCGATCTTCCGTCTCTGCCGAGCCTGTGCGAATGTTGTCTCAGGTTGGGATGGTCCTAAAGGTCGGTGTAGGTCGTGGTCGTCGTTCTGCTGGCCGTCGACGCTCATGAGTGATGTGCTGCCAGAGATCGATGTGCTGCCCTCCAACACGAGCGACATTGATGAAGAGGAGCTCGGAGGGGGAGGAAAACTGTTCAAAAAGCAGACAAGGAGTAAGAAGACGCAAGACGGGGGAATGAAACTTAACCAGTACCCTTTTATACTGGTGTCCCTACTCAATGACCGTTTAAGCAAGTCAGCCAAAATAACAGGAACGTGGACCCTGTACTAGTAGGTTGCATGCTTCAGCTTGCGAGTTGCTTAAAATGGACAGGAAAGTCACGTACTAATCCGGCTCCAACTCTCGCGTAACTTGTTATGTGATTGAATGGGACAGACATTGCCGAAGACCATCTTCCGATGAGCCTGAGTTGCGATGACCGCGAGCTCGAGCAAGAGTCGTTTAGTTGCCTCTATATGAATCAGCTTGTTGATTTTGTCCGTGGAACATTCGAGATCTTGTGCACAAGCGCAACACCGAGGTGTTGGTAAGAACATGGTTCCTGGGAGTCGAAAAGAGCGATTGCACGATCTGACTAGCCACCAAATGACAGCAGCCGCAGTACGTGCCGTTGAGGTTGTCACTAGAAGAATGGAGTTCAGGATATGACAGCGGTAGCAATGTCACGGTGCCGTCGCTGGCTCAATGTGATTTCAAGACAGCGGCGGCCTCTCCCGATCAACCATAATGACGAAGGTGAAATCATGCGCACCGGCAGGAGCCGTGAAATAAAGCTATACCTGATGACTCGGATTTCTCAGCCAAAGTCGACACCGCGGAAATAGTAAATACACTCACTGAATGACGTATTTACCAAGCAACAGGTTATATGCCTTCTGTTTCTACACAATGAGTCCAGGCTCCTGAGAGTCTGGACATCCGAGTCGGTAAAGTCGATGTGCTGGGAAAGAGTTTGATGGTTCTGGGTCACGATGAGGAGTCGAAGGACTCGACCGTTTGAAATTGGCGCCGTCTCGGGCCCACTGGCAGGCTTCGGAGTCAAGACAGATGCAAATCGTATCCTTGGCACAGGTGATCTGTGCTATCACTATTATGATGTATCTTCCCAACGACCAAACAGTTACTCACTTGCCTGGTGGTAGTGGTAGTGCATAATGCTAAATGTTTCAAATCATGTGACATTGGCTATCGAAGTTCGACGTTCTGAGTCACAGTACTAGTAGCTAGAATATCACTGTCATAATATATTTCTGGGGGGATGGGAAGGTTAATCTTCAAACAATGCCACATATATCGTGTCAATAGGGAATTTAAAAAGACGGGAGGTCATCAAACTCGTCCTCAACCTCGGGCACATCGTTTTCATTTACCTCGTCTTCATCTTCATCTTCCAATTCCTCGTCACTAAACTCTTCATCGCTCGCTTCCTCTTCATCACCGCATCCTTCATAGCCCTCACCGTCACCATCCTCTCCGTAGCCAATATCCGGGTCCACCTCGAGCGTATCGATGTTGCTGTTGCTTGCGGCGTCTATGATGCTGGATGGTGACTCGTTTCCGAGAGAGTCTCTAGCTATCCTGCGTAACATTGCTGGGTGTCCCACACCGAAGTGTGTATACCGCATAAACATATCTCGATCCACGAAACTGATTTAGTGGTTAGGAGCAGGACTGCGGTATGAACGGGTATTTACACTCACATACCCACACAATATGCCTCCCAGTCATCTAGCGCTCCATCGGGACGTGCCAATGACTTTCCACCTCGAAGCGAGCTAACGCCACGCCCCGAATCAAAGGCCGGGATTAGATGCGCTCCTCGAATCACCTGCCCCGGGTCAAGAAATCCAAATGCGTCCGTGTCCGACTGATCCACAAAGGCCACCCTTGGAAGACGAGCATATTTCATACCAGATTTATAGTTCCTCAGCGGGGCCAGCCATCTAACCCAAAGAACATCAAGGTGATGCTTCACAAGCATGCCTCCGTTGTTTAGCCATGTTTCCATATGATAGATGGCCAACACGCGGGCATACCAATATGGGTGGGTAGGCGTTGTCTCCCCTGAGAGTACCATGACGTCTGCGTGCGTTCTAGGGTTAATTGTATCGTACTCGCGCCTCATGTCATATGTAGTGTAATGAACTTGCATGGTCTGAACAGCGTAGATTGTGTCGTTAGGAATGATAACCGAGTTTCGCTCTTCGTCCGTGAACATGTGGTCGCAGTAGCTGATATCGAGCTTGCGCAGTCTATAAAGAACGTGGTCCTTGAGTTTCGGTATAAAGTTCTGATAACCATTCGTGAGTACGGTGCATTGAAAAAATGTGACATTACTGCTACTTTGAGAGCTGGATCATCAGCGTGGTCTCGAAGGAACGTAAACAAAGCGACTGGATTGTTCTGACTGATCGCAATATGGTGATGCTTTCCGGAGGAGGGGGCATCAACTGGAGATAGACTGGTAGATGTGGATGTACCCCCTGCTTCTGCCACACGCCGTAGCACACGACGCCTGCGCTCATGTTTGGCTAGCTGCGCGGGGGTGTCAAGCTTGCTGGTCAGCGGATAGAAAGCCTTTAGAGCTCGGTGTGCAAGTTCTCCCTGTGCCAAGCTTCAGATCTGTATTCATAGGATGCAGCCGATACGCACGATTTGGGTGGAAAAGGAGTCCGTGGTCCCGAAGAACCTGATAGTTCTAACATAGTCTCCCATGGCGTGAAGCTTATAGGTATTTAAATTAAACTTCTTCCCCCTCGCCCTACTTGATTCCGGGAGAGCGTTACCAGTTTCCGAGCGCTTCGCGAACCTTCTTTGACGAGCTGATTTCTCCTTTGGTAGCTCCACCGTGTTGAAAGCAGCACATGTATGAGCCTGAAACTTCCGCAACCTTCGAGAGAGTTTCTTGAAGGTATCGTCAAGAAAAACCAAGGTGGAGTCGGAGTGTATTCTGAGCTTAGCGAGCTGCGTGCCACTGCGCAAATTGATATAGAAGAGACTGGATAGCCGCATCGTCGTCGGGAAGAAACAGTCCTTCGAAAACCGGAATAGCACACTAGTAGGTATGTTAGCGAGCATTCTATTAAATTTTAAAAAAAAACACGACTGAACCTGTAAAATGTCTTCAAAGTCACGAGCGGCCAGCTTTTTCATCTCGGAGGTATTGTTGGAAAACTTGCGTATTACCCCGTTACCGAATGTCGGGACTTCACGAAATCTAGGGTAAGAATGAGAAATTAATGATTTGTTAGTAGGTAATAATACTCTATACAAATCAATAATTCTGTATACCTGGTGTCGAGGGTCACAACGATTTGAGCACCCCCAGGAAGGACATAAAGAAGTCTCAGAAGGTGCGTAAATAGACCCTTCCAGGTCCCTAATTCGCACTCGTGCATGATGTCGACAACGAGCATACGAAATGGATCGAGGCCTGAGCGCTCCAAGTTTATTAACGAACTGATTCTGGGAACGCTGGTTTGAGCCAATCGTACTCGTGTGGAATCAGTCTCGCTTACCAGAATAGGCACCCACGAGCCTTCTCCGAGGGTGTCTTCAATCTTGGCACTATCTACAGTATTTCCCAATCGATAGATAAACTCGCGAGCTTTGATGACCTTGGCCGTAGCATATACTCGAAGGTTGGTAAGGCGGCTTTTCATATCCCTCACGAGACCAAGACAACCAAACAAGCCTTTCGGTACGAGGCAGCGAGGGCATGGACACAAGCCCATATCCTTTATAGTCGCGATTAGAACCCTGGAGATTCATGAGCCATGTTGTTAACTACGCAATAAAAAACGTACTTCTCCGGATAATCAGCAGAATACGTGAAGATCCGAGGGTATACTCTCCGCATCACTCCATCAGCGCATTTCAGAACAAAACCGTGTTGATACGCGTAAACAAATTCTTCGTCCAGTAATATTTTCCAGCACGCATGAAACAACTCCCTGCGGCAGTGGGTGTGAAGGGAGGCCATGCCCGTTTTTGATACTCGAGGCAGGCTACCGAGGATATCTTTGATTTTATCGGGAAGCTGGTGGGGGAGTTAATGTCCACGGCGATCGATAAACATGCAATCAAAGTGCTCACCGACGGAAAGAATCCTACGAGGTGACATGATCCCGATGTTGGTGACGAGCGTATATATTTCGTCAGATTTCCGAAGTACGCATAAAGCGGCCAAGCCTTTGCGGTCCCAAAATTTGCCAGGTGAGTCGCGTCGGAAAAGAACATTAGACCTGCGACGACCCGTTCCAACGAACACCCAGGCTCCTTCGGTTGCTTGTGAATACTGTCCTGAGCTTCCAACCAGGCATCTGAGGTGTAAAGTTCGTCGTATATCCGCTCTTCGTGCCCATCTAGAGGATCCTTCCACAGACGTTTGAAGGGCAAGAGGTGAAATGCCCCTGCTTGAGCATCTGCGAATGCCGCACGTATAACTTCAATAAGAGGGCGGTAATGAAACCCGGGAACGGTATAAGGCATTGGACTATCCTCCCTTGCCCTCGTTGGAATGTCAACAGTGACGGAGGTCTCGATCCAGTCATCCGGAAAGGTGATTCTCTTCCCGCTCTCATCTTTATCCAATTCTCGCAAGCTTTGCCTCACCGAGAATCCTTGAAGGTGTTCGCGGTCAAAATCCTCTGCTAGCATTACATCCTTGACGAGGGACGCAACTTTAGATTCCGATACCCGACTGCTACCAGAATTCATCCAGGAGATGAGCCGATAGATCGTCATATTTGCGAAGGGGTACGGAGGAGCAAAGACCTGCGGTGGAGAATCAGTGCCTTCAGCAGCAGTAGGACACGTCCTCGCAAGTAACGAGGATGGAACAAATTTATCCGGCTCGAATGAAGGACGACGAGGGTACAGTCTGCAAAGACCGAATGAGTTGAAGGTTGTCTGAAGTGTATCTGCCAGCGTCAGAAGAACACGTCGAATCCTGGCTCGAGCTGGAAGGGTACCCGAATTTTGAGTCGATACATTGTGATCATCAGTATTATCAGAGATGTTAAGATCCTCCTCGGAGCGCTCGACATCACCATAATGCCTTGGGATTCGTCTCATAGGGCGTGCCCGTTCATCTAAACAAGTAAAGTGATTAGAACGCTATGTCCGCTATTCAAAGACACACGAACCAGAGGTATCTATGTCGACATCCATCTCAACATCGTTGTCGTTTTCTGGGTTGGTGCAGTGCTGCGAGTTGGCGAGACTGGACTTGGATGTATCACCGATGCGAGGGGCAGACCCTCGCCTCTGCTCTGCCGGTGACCGGCAAGGAGCAATTGGTTTTGGACGGCCAGTTCTCTGATGTTCAAGTTCACACGAGTTAAGGATAACCATGGTAGCTAAGAGGACCACTTACATGTGAAGGCTTCACGAATGGCCGTCGCAGGTTACGGTAGGGAGCCAAATTTGCGGAGACAGCATCTCTGGCGCGTTCCTGTCTCTTCTGAGTTGCAAGCAAGCTAGACGTCTTGTAGGAATGACATGATGCACGATGCCTGTTGAGTCCACGTGCATCCGTCGCCCTCTCCCAAGAGCAACCTGTACCACCGCACGACACCATTAGCGAAAACAAGCTTGAAAGGAGGGCGACAATCCAAAGAGATCCTGCAAGGCCCAGACGCATTGCACTTTTGAGTTGCTAGCAACTTGAAGAAGATGCGGCTAGCTTCAACTGCGAGGCAACGGCAGTCGTTCGAGTCTTTGAGATGCAACTATGTCATACAGTTCTTCAAAGTTGATGCTAGTAAGCGGCTACATATAGTACCTACGGTCCAATTTCAATATTAATGAGTGTGGTCATAGAGCTCACTGGGACTTACCTGTTTTGTACTGCCGCGTCAACTGTTCCATTGCCCTTCGGCAGTATGTTCCGTACACAATCCGCGACGCAAGACCCCAAATTTAATGGTTCCGGTGCTTCCAAATCAACATGAACTACTGCGTTGCACGTATTTCATGGTCTGACTCACCCGGCCATTCCCTCAGTATTGGACCGTGACCGCTGACCCTCCCGCAGTTGGCAGATTCTGGTGATTGCGAAGTAGTCATCGAATGACTTTGGCATGACCTATATCCTTCCGAGTCTTCCTTCAACGTTGTCAACCATGATCGTATTACCAGTAGATGGGTAAGTCAGACCCGCGCTTTCAAGGACTTTCGCTTGGCCGAGCCTCAACGTTGCAACCTCAAGGAGTCGTTCAGAATGAATATGTCCTTTCCTGGCGAGGAGTCTTATAAATTAATAGCTGAGTACTGAATATACTCTGACGATAAGGACTGATGGATGATCCGAGCAACCACTTCTCTCACGCAGGACTCCGCGTTCGGATGTTGCCGACTATTCAATCCTTAGGCCTCCTCCTTTGGTTGAAGTTCTCACAACCCGATACAACCACTAGACAGCATTTGCGATGAGTAGCTCTTCAGAATCAAGAGGTAATTCTAATAAGCCCAGGTTTGTTGTTCCAAATTGTGGCTAAATACTGCACCTCCATTTACTGTATCTTGCAGGTCGTTATCCACATCACCGACATCTATTGGACCTAGTAGCTCCCCTCTCAAGTGTAGCACCCCTCCCACGTGTAGCTCGCCTCCCATGAGTAGCCCTCGCATCCCGTCACGCGCAAAGACTGTTGCCAATAATTCTGCCCCTCACGTTGATGAGTTTAGCACTCCAAATCCAATGCAGAGCTTGGGTAACGGCGGTCATCGCAAGCGCCCCATCACGTATGGCTTAGTTCAAGGTGGCCTCCAATATGAGGATTGCAACCCACCTACAAAGAAATTCAAGAATCTCCAAACTACGGTGTGTTCAGTGGAATTTTAGACGTCCAGATTTTCATATATATATTTTTAAGTGGAACACTCCTGCGCCCTCACCAGAAGCTACAAATTATCTCAACGAACGCAAGCTCGAACTATCGCGCATCACTCGCCGGGCTATAGCCGCGAGAATGCGATATCAACGCCTTCGCTGCCGCGAACTAGATCTCATAAGAGCTATCCTTGAAGGTGAAGAAGACTTGTCCCAAACAGAGATGAAGGGGATTGACGCTCAAATTGGTGCTATCCGCAACATCCTCGAGGATGCAGGAGTTACGGCGATAGGAAACAAAGGTTGTAGGTTCGACCCCAGTGATATCGGGCCTTGGTGCGAAAGCTCTTCAGATGAGTCGGATAAACCTGGGGCAGCTCCATTGGTATCTGGATCTCTTTGCAGTTCAACCTGTACGTCGGATTTGGAAGAATGACAATTTTTATTATATTTCCTAAGCATGTATGTTCTTTTCAATGTAGTTTTTAGTTTCAAACCTGGAATTCGAGTTTTATTAGGTTTCCTCGACGATCAGGACGCGTATGTTGAATGGTGCAAGTTCCACGGCAAGTGTTTCACCCATTACTGTAGTATCCTCAGTCAATGAACAAACAAGTCGAGTCAAGGTTCGCACTCGGCTCAGGCCGAGTTCTTTGGTCTGTGCGCATATTCGTCAATACCGTCCCGCTTGCCCTTCTCAGATTCACATAAGCAAGCGTCGCAATGGGGAAAAGTTTGCTAAGTGTTAAGAAACCAATTGTGCAACGTCGTCAGCTGTGAGTTGCCATATTTGGTATAATTACTTCACCCGGTTCAGCCCCTCTTCAAGGTTAAGACCACTGTTATTATCCCGTCATCATTCTGCTTGACCGATAAATGTTACACTATATCGACCATTCACGTTAACGTTATGGAGTCCTGGATGCCGCATCAGTAAGTCAATCGAATTGAACGATCTATTTGAAAATCACTATTGAATACAGAAGGCCTGAGCGTTTTCAACCAAACGAAATTTTCGGAGATCCGGGGGAGATCACAGTCTTATCATCGAGTCACAATGAAGGGCAGGTGCGTAAATGTAATTCTATGCGAGCAACAGCTAGTAATCACCGTCAATGGCGCTTAGGTTTTTACATGTTCATGCCCTAACATCATTCCCCTATAGCCAAGTTTTTGGTAAGTTTGCATGAGGTCCGCTTGACGCGCAAATTCCCGGGTCAGACTGGTTGGAAACAGGTCAGCTTCGTCGACCATTCTCATCTTGGACCACTGGCAGTGTCGATCTAATAATAAACATTTTTCGATTACAGTTTACAACTCAATATTGATGTACTGGTATCCCGCTATTTAATTCGCCTCCCTCGAATTCTCCCTTACTCCAAATCCAAGCCCACCATCATGTCGTTTCGTACTTTCCCATACGACTCAAATGATCCCTCCAGTTGCACCAGGCGGCGGTCCGCCCTGCGGCCTCACACCCCAGGATTATCGCATCGCATATTTCCTTACTCACGCAGTACTAGTGGTCGTGACGCACACTCCGACTCCGCATCGTTGGCGTCGACGAGCTTGATATCGGCTGACACGACCAGTAATATGGGCCCGGGTGACACGGAGGGAAAGCGGTTCAATGAGCACAGTCCAACTGAACAAGTCGCCCTCGCATGGGCGAAAAGGCGCATCATTCTCAACTCCGTTACGACCACAGGCTGGTTACGAAACATCACCCCAGAAGAAAAAAAGGTCACGAACGGCTACATCATCGAGCTCGTTAACCAGGCCAACACAAAGTTTGGATGTGGTACGTACTCATTACCATCCCGGATCACGACAGAACTCATTTACAAACACTAGAATTGGAGGCGTCCCCGAGGGTAATAGAAAGCATTCTAAAGGCCCTCTTGCTCAATCGTCGACAACTCTCGAAAATTTCGGAGTATCTCGCCAATCCCTACGACATCGAACCGCCATCAGAGTTCAACTTGTCGGAACAGGACCGCCAAGCTTTCATGGATGACCGCGAAAACGAGTTATTAGACTCAGCCTCGCCCTTCACCTATTACCTTCATGGTCAGGAAGTCACTGATATGTCTGTTTTCATCCTTCTGTTCGCAAACCCCGTGGTGGAACACGTGCACATATCACACTGGTACGCTAGCAAAAGCACGCCACTCCGAGATGAGGACATGAGAAGCGAGATCAAAACTACTCCGTCTCAGATGTTAGCAGAATCGGCGGTCTCGGTAAGTTGCCGACTCTAATTCTAGTGTTCACATGTTGATGTATGGTTTACAGGTGAGGTTAGCAATCCGACACACTGCAAGGGGAAAAAAGTCACCAACAGGCGCCTCCCTCCAATTCAAGACAGATCCATACGCCGATGAGCAGGACGCAATCAATGAAGCAATATTGAAGGCATTAAAGTCTCCCATCCATGGGGCTGCGCTGGAAGCACGTTTGCTATATCTTCACCACCGAGGCATGTGAGTAATTCTCGCTACATTGGACCCGAGTGTTATGCTCACACTTTTTCAGGTTTGCTCTCCGTGGCTCACTGGGCCTGGATCCGCCCGAAAATGCGATCGGTTTAACGGAGGAAGATTCGCAAATAGTACACGAGGCACGACAATACGCACGGGCCACTGGCCTGCTGTTCCCCCAAGTCAGTCGAGATTTGGTGATGGCGGGGTCACACGGGCGTCTGATGCCAGACTACTCCAAATCTGTTTACGTTCCTGATTCCATCGAGGAGCTGATCTTTCCGCGGGCTGATATCGCCCCACCTTCGACTGTGCACCCGCAAATGTCGGCAGCAGTCACGGTGGACTCAGGCTTGTCTGAGGCTGTTGTCCCATCTTCTAGCACAGACTTTAGTATGCCAGTGCCGTCCGAGTCGGCGTATGTTGAACTACCGTATAATTTTGGTGACGACTTCTTTGATTTTCCCCAGACATACCCATTAAATGTTGAACCTGATCAGTACCTAACAGGAGGGTTCATGGGCGGACTCGGAGGGTACTACCATGACGTGCCATGATATTACACTAACGTCATATACTAGCTAGTGTTTGGCCGTTTCGTTCGCCCTTTTTCGAAGTTTTGGTACATCAGATATCGCATTTGCTCAATTGTACAGTATGATCTACTTATTCGTTACAGAAAATATACGTCCCTTGCGCATTCTTTGACTCTACCCATGGCCCGGGTCTCCGCCATTTGTCCTTAGCTAGTTCCTGCACTTCCGCGAGGATAAGTGAGACCAATTAGAAAAAATATAGCGTCCTTCAAAAATTAACTACGGTGTATGCGCGTGATGCAACTGCATGTTCCTGGAGCTAGCCTATTAATATTATTCTAATGAGTCATGGTCAACAAAAGTACCGTGGGAAGGGTAACCGGTCAGCTGATCCTGCATCTTATTTGTTCGAGTTTTGTTCCTGTGCTACGCCTCATCGATAAGAGCTACCAGTATCGATGTGCACATGCACTGCATCCTAGTCCGCGTCTGCCATGTCGATACAAAGCCCATCCTCGCAATGGAAAAGTTGAAGCTGGCCTTCAAAAACTATCATGACCGCCATGATCAGTACATTCGCTGTGAGTCCTTGTCGACTTCTCAAGGTAATCTGTAATCACCTCGACGGCGCCTAGGCTATAGCTAGGACCTTACACGCAGATGCCTTAACCAAAGATTTAGGAAACATCGTAGACAATTTTATTCTGTAGCCAGGACCGTTTAAAATCATGAGGAGTCAAGACTGTTTTTCTTGGGCCAGTGGACCGCGAAAACGAGTTATTAGACTCAGCCTCGCCCTTCACCTAATACCTTCATGGTCAGGAAGTCACTGATATGTCTGTTTTCATCCTTCTGTTCGGCAACATACTCGGCGGCCAGTCTGAGGTCAGGAGGCTTTTCAAAGAAGTCTACTATGTGCTGCCAGAATAACATAAAAGGTCATGCCCAAGGCTTCATATCAGCAACTGGAGTAAGCCACATTTATTCCTGTGTGCATTCGCTAACGGATTCTACTACCTGCAGCAACTCATCTGGCAAACTTTGGGACCGAAAAGTCTTGGAGTATCAAAAACGAGCATGGCCTCCCATCACACCCACTGTTGCAGGGAGTTGTTTTATGCGTGCTGGGAAATATTACTGGACGAAGAATTTGTTGACGCGTATCAACACGGTTTTGTTCTGAAACGCGCCGATGATGGCGCTTAGGTTTTTACATGTTTATGCCCTAACCTCGGAGACTCTGATCATTACTGGGCCCACACTGTATCGATGCAGTTGGGCCAGACCCTACTGATTGCTTTGTTTTTTTACTGTCAACTGCAGACGGGACCTGACGTAATTATTGCTGAAGAAAGGTCGGCTGGTTGATGATTGTCGCTGCATTTGATGAGTGGTCTTAACCTCGAAGAGGGGCTGAACCGGGTGAAGCAATTATATGTTGACAACGACTAACTCATTGGTGGCAGTGTCGACATCCGGCCCGACATATTTCCCCGGCAACATCGTTGGCCAATTTTACTTCCTCCGGATATACCGTTGGCACACCGCGTGTCTTTTCGCGCTACAAGAGACATTCATTATGCATCGATTCGGGACCCCAGTTACTTATCTTCCCAATGCCGCGACTGTTTTATCGATTGACAAAGTCGTGTACCTCTACTCGACCGTCTGAAGTATCATCGGCGGGACTTTGAATTCGGTACGTTTTCCCATGGCGTTCATCTCACAATTTCGTCACCAACTGAATACTCCTCCACCCACCTGAATTGTTACCGCTTCTCGATGGGGATCATCATACGGACGAACTCTCAATTGCAGACGGGACCCGACGTAATTATTGCTGAAGAAAGGTGAGTGGTCTCAACCTTGAAGAGGGGCTGAGCAATTATACTTTGACGGCACGACTAACTCTTTGTTGGCAGTGTCGACATCCGGCCCGACATATTTCCCCGGCAACATCGTGTCGGGTGTCTCGCCCGATCGTTTTGATCACTGGGCACGTGAACCAGCCCAGGCTGGTCACGTGGTTTTTCGACTCGGCAGCTATACTTTCCAGGCGTCACGATCGGTCACACTGTGACTGGACCGCGGGTTTTCGAGTCGGCAGTTATACTTCCTCCGGATATGCCGTCACCAACTGAAATCTCCTCCACCCCCTGAATTTTTACCGCTTTTCGATGGGGATCATCATACGGACGAACTGTGTACGCACTTCGAAGGTAGGTCAGACGGCCCGCATATAATGTGTTACAAGTTCGGTTCACACCGGTTTGGTTCATCTCACAGTTTTCATTTTGGTAAGATCTTCCCGCGCACAGGAGCTAAGTCCCAGAGGTGCGATCTCATTACCCTCCTCATTTCTTGTAAGTCGAGGAGATGTGCTGGCATCTACGAAACGCGTCCACTAACTCTCTCGATACAGTGGAGAAGAGTCCCACGCCTATCGTTCTCCAACAACATCCAACCCATCCGAGTCCAACACCGGCAACTCAAGTACGATCCCAGTCGCCATCGTCCTCTTGCCTCAATGTAAGTACACTCCTCACTCGTGTTCCTATCTTTGTTTTCTCACCGTTCTTTGACAGGCCGATGCGACAAATTCGGCGAGGGACGACGACATCATCGAGGAGGGTAGGCACGATCCTTACGATGATTTTTTCAGGGTGAGTTCATAGTCTGTCACGCAACTAACACTGACGCGTTAATGCAGTCGTCCCCTACTCCCGATCAGCCCTCCCGCATATCATCGCTTCATCAGTTCTGGCACGCAATCTCACAACATCACCTCCCGGCAGTTAAGCGTGGATTTTTCAGGCGTCGCGCTCACTCCGAATCAAACGTTTCCCCCGATCCTGTACTCAACCAATCGCCAGAAGTAGAAGTCCGAGTAGGTGAGGAACGCGATGTAGCGGCGAGACATCCCGAGGTCGTTGAGGTATACGCTGTGCGCGGGTTCCAGGTGAATTTCGGTTTTATCCCATTGGTCTTCTGATTTTTTCAATATTAATCATAGGGGTATGTCGCAATGGCGCCCAAAAAGAAGCCAAAGCCACCGGTAGTAGCAGGTGGTTCGTTGCAACCGGCGCACATATCAGGCGCTAATCCATCGCACGTCGTCACCGCCCACCAAGCTAGTGACTTGGATTCAATTACCGGATTCAATAAATTCCTCAACAAGATATGTTTTCCCTGTGGGCGCTTCTACGAAGATACTTAGTGCAGATCCGTTTTTTTATCCATGGTACATAATGTTGTCATTCTCGATATCGCTGCTCTTCCCCTACTGTCTACAAGGGAACTGTTGACTTTGTAGTCTCAGGAAAAGAGTACTGGGCGCCACCTTTACCGAGGATGAATTCATCTTATTTCTCCATCGACCCACCTTCCTCTCAAGCACGCGAACCCAAATCCCTGAACTGCCCTTTTGCACTTGACGTCTCGGCGGATGCCGTATGAACAGGTTTTCTCAAGTCTACCTGCAATGTCCTGCGAGATCTACTATACAGCGGTACCTCCTTTGACGGGATCCAGTCAGATACATCCTTTCCCCGAGGCTGCCAGCTTGCGATTCTGACATATGACACTTCCTTGCACTTTTACGATCTGACTGTAAGCGCACAACTCGCATCATTGCATCAAGTTGATGTATACAATTTCTAGCCAGCCTCATCGCCAGCGAGCATGATCGTGGTTTCCGATTTAGAGGAAGTATTTACTCCTTTGCGTGAGGGCTTGTTTGTAGATCCCTGGAAATCTAGGTCAGGAACCTTTACTACCTTAATTATCAACGCACTCTTATTCCCTGTTTAAGGACCGCCAAGCATGTACAACAGTGGCCATCAGCGTGAGCGATACTTGGGACGGCGCACTACTTGACGTGAGTGACCCCAGACTTTGTCCTGTTAGTTGTGCTGACAGAACACCAACTATAGTTCCTCGTAGACTGCGAGATTTCTCAAGAAACAGATGCGGGCCATGTACGATTCTCCAGATACATGAGACACGAGAGGGTCTCTCACATGAACGGTGCTGTAGATCGTTTTCAGTTGGTTCTGGACCGCTGTCCGGTCGACCATCCTGATCACGCAGCGGCTCTAACCAACTTTGCGTGGGCCCGCCTTCAAGGCTATATTCATAACGATCTCCAAAACATTGATACCACCACTTCCCTCTTCCACGAAGCCCTTGCATTGCGGCCGCAGGGCCATCCCGACCACATATTATATCTCTATAATCTCATTTCCGCATTGATCTGGCGCTACAGCAAGGAACGCACCGCCGTCTTCATTCACGAATCCCTGCAGCTGTGCTGCAAGCTACTGCCCCTCTGTCCAGAGGGCACCTACCTTCGTAGCATCGGCGTAGACAGTGCGGGGCCTCTCGACTCAAAACTCCAGTTGAAGAACTCGAATCGGGACATCCACATCTAGCCCGCAAATTTTCGGAGCTGAGCAAGCGCGTTTCCAACGCCGCTCAGGGTTCTGCAGCCATCACCGACAGAGCTGCTGCTGATCGAGCAGCAACAGAGTACAGGAAACTTATAAGGCAATGGGATGCTGTGGTAGCTGAAATACGTGATCTTCGAGGTTTCTCGCGGTTCCTACTTCCACCTTTGTACGAAGATTTGCAAGTGGCAGCTCGCAATGGCCCGGTCATCATCCTCATTGCCAGCAAATACTCATGCAGTGCCATCGTTGTCCCGACGTCAGGAGAGCCCCATCATGTTCGCTTCCCGCGCATCACTCTACCATTGAAGGTCTACTCGATGCATTACCGGAACGTTATCTAGATACCGTCATTGATAATGCAGCACTTGGGGGAGCACTACTTGCTGGTCTAGCTTCGCTTGTACGTCCCAGCCCCTAAGCCCTTGGTCTAGGCTAAAGTTTACTCGTGCAGGCAGGCCGGGGCGGCCATATCATTCGTTGCTACCGTGTTCTTCAAGTGTTCTTACAACCCTGTCTGATTATTGTTCCAGAGATGTCGTCATTTTCGCCAATTTTAATCAAGTACGTGCCCTGTTCTTGGTTCAATTCACTTGCTGTTGTTGATTTTTGTTACTTCTAGGGTGGAATGACATGTTCCAGTCGTGTCGCAGCGGATCCGATCCCTACTTCTCAGTCTCGTTTCGCGAACTCTCGATTGTCACCCCTAAATCTATCTTCGCCTTCCGCACTTCATCGTCACGGGGATCACCACTTTCCTCGAAAGCTCTTTCACCGGAAGCAGAAAGAGCGCGCAGGTGCTCCTCTCGATTCCTCGTGCCTGCACTGTGATCCACGCTCATGCGATCTCGCATAACGGACGGACCGATACTACGGAGGTAAGAAATTGTCGTATCAGCAGTAGATCCAGTACTCACCTTTGATATCCCTCTCTTGGCACCACGTGCCTTGGTCGCAACACCATTGGTCTACCCGCGATCACCACCGCTACGGCCCTATGGTCTTCAACAAATCGTGCATATCTCTTTGAATCATGTGAGTGGATGATCAACGAGCATTTAATTCACTTACAGGATTTTGAGGTCCCATTGATAGTAATCTAGTGAGATTGATAGTATGGCTGTGCGTCACAGCGGCACATTGGCATCACCCTTTTTTTTGGTGTGACATAGTGTGACGTAGTGTGACGTCGCTTTTGGTATATCGCGGTGCACATTTCGCAAAGGTTTCCTACGGTTGCGCCACATGATGTCCTAGTTTACAAGACGCCCTGTACGAACCTGCACTCGAATACTACACCTCACTCCAAGCGTGTCAGGCGCAAGCGCAATCGGCACTCTCAATCTGTTTCATCCTACAACCCCCGCCTCTTGCTTCCATGGGTGCCGCGAGCACATGTGTGCCTACTGCGTCAGGCTCACGCCTCATCGAGAGTATTGACATCTGAGCCTCTCCTCTGCTTGCGTTAGACAGCAGCAAAGCCATTAGCTCCCTGACCAGTACTCAAGGGAATGTACAGCGTCGACGCAGCGCTCGTCTCTCCGGTCACAACCCCCACCCGCGCGAAGTTGTAATTCGCCTCCCCTTCGCATCTTCGCCCAAAGCGCAGCCCGCCCGCATGCTCCGTTCGTACTCACAAAGAGCAAGCCTTACGACGTCTGCGCAGGTCTCGAAGCTCAAGCGTGCTCAATCTGATGCCAATGTCACGCTTACACGCCCCAAGTATCATTTCCGACGCGGGCGCACTACACCCAAGGTTGTCGATCCTGTCGGCTTCGTGCCAGAGGTCGAGAAGACGCTGCAGGTTCTACCGATGATCCACGCAGGGTCTGGGCTTGCCGTCGATTTTCTCACTCCTAGGGCCCGTAGTGCGAGCGCGTCAACCGTGGTCTCGCAGGGGAAGAGTGAAATCGGCTCAGGGGTCGTGGAGGCGATACTCCGTCCTTACAATATGTAGATGTGTACCGCCAAACATTGTACTCGTAATCATTGTGCAAATTACAAGCCACGCGTGAATTTGCTCGGGTCTTCGTCCGCAACCTCCATCACCCGTCGTTTTGCCGTCATCCAACACTTTTCATCCCCTGGCTAAATCATCGTAATGGCCCGTACCAAGGTGTGTTTGCAGAACACTCATCTACAATACGTTATACTCACCCTTAATCCAGCAAACCGCTCGCAAGTCCACTGGAGCTACGACCTTATCGGTTCTCGTTTTCACTCACATTGTGACACCATTGTTGTGTATCCGCCGAGCGACCTGTGAGGTAGTTGGGGAATATGTCAATCAGCGCTTGAACTTCGGAAATGTACTACTAGACAACCTGAACTTGGAAGCTATATCAATGGTCTCAGCATTTAGTCTCCTGTGAGCACATGAGCATTTGGTGCAGTATGCCACGAAATTCGCAGAAGCCGGCCGAGCCCGAGCCGAGTATATAGCAATGCAATCTTTGAAATATCTTTTCCGGGTCGGCTGAGAAGGAAAATTCGCGCTTCTGGCGGGATATCATCACATCTTTGCTCTATGGCACAAACCGTTGTATCTATTATAGTTTAGCAATTTGACGTGCAATTTGCAGACATCCTATGGCTATGTACAACGACTCAATTTTTCGTGGTATGGATAGCCTTATAGTTCAAAACTTTAGTCAAGGAGAATGAGCTTGCTCAACAAGTGGGACATAATCACACTATCGTCCCTCGTCGGCCGCGATGGTACAATGTTGTGACCTTGCCACGAACCCCCACGCTGATCCAACGTTGATGAAAAATGCCAAAGCCACTTTCCATGAGAATGTCTTCAATAGCCTTGTAGCCCAGAACGTTAATAAGGGAAACGAAAACACCTAACAAATCCGATGTCGATACACTAACTATCCGTACTGGGGGTGATGATACAATATCGTAATTTTGTTTTGAACTACTCGTTGTAGTCTACATTTGCAGGCATTCATGGTTATGTACCCACAACGACAATCTCTCGCAGTATATATAGGCATATTTAGGTGGAGCAGAATTATATTCTTCTATAGTTCACACGGTTACAATCTCAAGGACTCTTGAATTCTCTGATGTACTATCAGCAGTTGGTGGTGAGGCGTAATTAGTGTACTGGTGAGTTGTGCTGGCAGCATGGTAGGATTGAAACGTCGGCGGTCCGCGCGAGGGCCCATAGTATATGAACCAATATGATCCGCTGTTCAAAGTCGAACACGAAGGGCGCTTGGAGTTCCTTGGTGCGTCCTTTGATCGTACCGGTAGCAAGCTGGAATGTGGGTATGGTGTCTGTGTTCTATTGATCAGTCAACCAGTCTCGACATTGTGCAGCGCCCAATAAGAATGACCCGGCCTTACTTGTTTCACTATCATCAGAATAACCACTCTATCGTTGTTCGAGATCCTCCTCCTTTGTCTTGGATTACATCCAGGAGAGGCTGCGCATCATGATGGAATCGCGCGAAGATCAAGTTCGTTGGAAGAGTGCGGCGGTATTAAGGGACTTGTATAACTAGTACTTGCGATCAGTGTACCTTTTGCAATAGGATGCGCTCGGCATGGACACTTGTGAAAAGACGAATCGACGATGGCGGCCTGAGCGCTGTTTGGATTTTTTATTTGCAAAGATGGCAGGTAGAGCCACGGTTAACGTTGTTCACTAGTAAGGATCCATTGAGTACGTGGCCTGAATGAGGATCTGCCAGTACTAGTGACTGAACTCGGCTAAAAGCAACCTGAATCCGACGACATGATCATGAGGAATGACATTAATTGCAAGTTTGAGACACTCAGTCGATCCTCAATAACCAGTACACGTACTATAGATCGGTGAGAAAAGGACCGAGCAGTACTTTCCACTTCCTCGTCTTCAAGCCCACAGCTGGACGATACGACTAGTTTTCAATTCTGGAAAAAGTTAAGGCGTTGAATGATGCCAATGGGTGGTTGGCACAGCCACTTTAACGTAATCAACTGCTTATTCAACCCACAAACTCGGAAATTTAGGTCTGCTCGTCTTCAACGTCAACGACGACGACAGTCGATTGTTGTTCGTGCTCCTCTTAATTTTTTCCATCTCTGACCAAATTCATATAATGTCTGGGAGACCAACAGGCAAACCAGATCTTTCTGGCTACAACTATGGTGCCATTTCATCCCTTGTCTTGACCGCTGATAGGTCTGCTCTGCCCAGGAGAGACAGAGAACCCGATGGTGCCCCTACTTCCCTCGCAGGGCGGATTGACCCTCGCGAGATGGGCTCACGCGTTCAGCGTCAAGCGCCCAAAGACGTCGAGAAGAAGAAGAAAAAAGCAGGAGACGCGGGCAAGCAGGAAGCCCCAGAAAAGGTCGTGAAGCGACGTGCAGAAGCTGGTTTCGGGTACACAGATATTATCGAGGCGACGCAAGACGTTGAAGGACTTGCATACCGCCCACGTACTGCCGAAACTCGTGAAGTTTACGAAGTCATGCTATCCACGGTGCACCAAGTTCTGGGCGACCAAGCACAGGACATTGTTCGCAGTGCGACCGACACCGTCCTTGAAACACTCAAGAACGAGGGCATGAAGGACTTTGACAAGAAAAAAGAGATCCAGGAGGTGTTGGGTCCTATTTCCAACGACGTGTTTTCTCAGCTAGTGGCCCGAGCGCAAAAAATTACCGACTATGGCGCCGAGGATGAGACGATGGCAGACCCAGACATGGAGCGCAAGGATGCCGAAATTGATGACGAAGTTGGAGTTGCAGTCGTATTCGACGAGGAGGAGCAAGAGGATGAGGACGAAGAAGGCTACGAAATTCGGGACGGTTCAGACGAGGAAGGTGACGAAGAGGAGGCAGAAGTAGATGAAACTGCACCAGAAGCTGAGGAAGCAGGTCCTGAGGAGCTTGTCATTGGTGGCTCGTCAACTCGTGGCACGGGCAAAGCCAAAGCAGACAAAGACATCGTCTCGCCGCACGCGATTGATGGTTTTTGGGTGCAACGTCAGATATCGGAAGTTTACCCGGATCCAGTTACTGCAGCAGACAAGGCAGCGTCTGTGCTCTCTATTCTCGGTTCGGAATCAGGCCTGCGCGATTGCGAGAACCAGTTGATGGAGCTGTTCGAGTTCCAGAGCTTCCATGTAATCACAAAATTCCTCAAAAACCGGGACGTGGTGGTATGGTGCACGAAGCTCATGCGGAGTGACGCAGATGAGCGGGTCAATGTCGAGGTGGCTATGCGAGAGAAGGGCGTCGGTTGGATCTTGCGAGAGCTTGCTGGAGACCGCCAGGCCAAGAAGGCGCAGGATGATGCCATGGATGTGGACGAGAAAAAGATAGCAGTACCGAAGACAGCGACCCTTGCACCAGGCTCTACGGTGCAACCAAAGCGCACAGTCGACCTAGAGAGCATGGCATTCAGTCAGGGGGGGCATCTGATGTCCAACAAGAAGTGTAAGCTTCCTGAGGGCTCATTCAAGCGGGCACGCAAGGGATACGAGGAGATCCATGTCCCTGCACCGCAGAAAAAGCAAGGTGGTGAGGAAGAGCTTGTACCAGTCACCGCACTTCCGGAGTGGGCAAGAAAGGCATTCACCGTGCCCAAGCTCAATCGAGTTCAGAGCAAGCTTTACCCAGTTGCCTTCGGTACAGATGAACCCCTCTTACTCTGTGCGCCTACCGGCGCTGGTAAGGTGAGCACGGTCCCGTTATATTTTTCAAATTTTCAGAGACTAAGTTGACCTTGCAGACCAACGTCGCCATGCTTACCATCCTTAATGAGTTGTCAAAATATCGCGATGAGGCTACAGGCGAATTTGCCCTCGACGATTTCAAAATTGTCTATATTGCACCCATGAAGGCTCTTGTCCAAGAAATGGTTGGCAACTTTAACGCGCGGCTGAACGTTTTCGGGATCAAGGTTGGCGAGCTCACAGGCGACTCTCAAATGACGAAACAGCAAATCTCGGAGACACAGATCATTGTCACCACACCCGAGAAGTGGGATGTCATCACGCGCAAGAGTACCGACACGAGTTACACCAACCTCGTTCGGCTCATGATTATTGATGAAATTCATCTGCTGCACGACGAGCGTGGACCTGTGCTTGAGAGTGTTGTGGCACGAACGATACGGAGGATGGAGCAAACAGGAGAGTACGTTCGCCTAGTCGGTCTCTCAGCTACGCTTCCGAACTACCAAGACGTTGCAACATTCCTCCGCGTGGACGAATCGAAAGGTCTCTTCTATTTCGACGCCTCGTATCGTCCGTGTGCGCTTCAGCAGCAGTTCATCGGTGTCACCGAGAAGAAGGCTATCAAGCGTTTCCAGGTCATGAACGAAGTTTGCTACGAGAAGGTACTTGACCAAGCGGGCAAGAATCAGACACTCGTTTTCGTGCACTCTCGCAAGGAGACTGCCAAGACCGCCAAGTTCATTCGCGACATGGCCATGGAGAAGGAGACGATAACGCAGTTCGTTCGTCCCGACTCAGCGACGCGTGAGATCCTCACGGAGGAAGCAGGCAATGTCAAAGATGGCAATCTGCGTGACCTCTTGCCGTTTGGATTCGCTATTCACCACGCCGGTATGACTAGAGAAGACCGAAATCTCGTCGAGGAGCTTTTCGCAGATGGTGCAGTCCAGGTGCTCGTCTGCACAGCAACGCTCGCATGGGGTGTCAACCTCCCGGCACACACCGTCATCATCAAGGGCACGCAGATCTATAACCCCGAGAAAGGCCGCTGGGTTGAACTCTCTTCCCAGGATGTGTTGCAGATGCTCGGTCGTGCTGGTCGTCCGCAATATGACACATATGGTGAGGGCATCATCATCACGAACCACGCCGAGCTGCAGTACTACCTCAGCTTGCTGAACCAGCAGTTGCCAATCGAGTCCCAGTTCGTATCGAAGCTTGCAGATAACCTGAACGCAGAGATCGTTCTTGGAACTGTTCGCAACCGCGACGAGGCCGTCCAGTGGTTGGGGTACACTTACCTGTAAGCTCATCTTGTTCTCACAACAGTAAAAGTACTGACATTTTCCGCAGCTATGTTCGTATGCTGAAGTCCCCAGGACTGTATGGCATCGGCGTTGATTACCAAGAGGACGACAATGGTCTTATCCAGAAACGCGCTGACATTGCACATTCTGCCGCCGTCCTGCTGGAGAAATGCCATCTCGTCAAGTACGAGCGTCAATCTGGTCGTTTCCAGAGCACTGAGCTTGGCCGCATTGCGTCTCACTACTATGTCACATACAATTCCATGGCTACGTATAACCAGCATCTGAGACCAACCATGTCGACATTGGAACTGTTCAGGGTGTTTGCGCTCTCAAACGAGTTCAAACTTCTGCCGGTATGTCTCGAGCATTTTTTATTTGCAATGGGAATCTCAACACTCGCTTTTGTAGGTCCGTCAAGAGGAGAAGCTTGAGCTCGGTAAACTGTTGGAACGTGTGCCCATTCCAGTGAAGGAAAGCGTCGATGAACCCGCAGCGAAGATCAACGTCCTTCTACAGGCTTACATATCGCAGCTTAAACTTGATGGTAGGTGATGATTTAGCTATTTGTCGCGTCGTGCTGATTGGATAATTAGGTTTCGCTCTCGTGGCCGACATGGTCTTCGTCCAGCAATCCGCCGGCCGGTATGTATTTTGTTTTAAGTTATTTTACTCATGCTCACACACCTGTTAGTATTCTTCGTGCTATGTTTGAGATCTGCCTGAAGCGAGGGTGGGCAGTGCCAGCGCGTGCATGCCTTGACCTATGTAAGATGGTTGAACGCCGAATGTTTGTGGCTTTTTGATAAGATCGATGATTATCAACTAATTGTTTGGTTTCCAGGTGGGGCTCCATGACGCCACTTCGCCAATTCAAGGGCGTTCCGCAGGAGGTCATCAGAAAAGCGGAGGGAAAACAATTCGTAGGTTTATGTCGGTTCAGGTGAGGCATATGCTAAGATGTTTTTTTACATTAGCCATGGTATCGCTACTTTGATCTCGACCCTCCAGAAATCGGTGAGCTCATCGGCATCCCAAACGCCGGAAGGCTCGTGCATCGCTTGGTCCACAGCTTCCCCAAGCTGCAGCTGCAAGCACAAGTGCAGCCCATAACCCGCTCACTTCTTCGTATCGACTTGTCTATTGTCCCTGACTTCCGATGGGACGAGAAGACTCACGGAACAGCTGAGACATTCCTCATCATGGTTGAAGATGTCGATGGAGAGATTGTTCTTTTCCACGACTCATTTGTTTTGCGCCAGCGCTATGCTGAGGACGAACATAACGTCACCATCACGGTTCCCATGTTTGAACCCGTGCCCCCGAACTACTACATATCTGTCGTCTCCGACCGATGGTTGCATGCCGAGACCCGACTACCCATTTCCTTCAAACACTTGATTCTCCCAGAAAAGTTCCCGCCTCCCACTCCTCTTCTCGAGCTGCAGCCACTTCCGCTGTCTGCCCTGCACAACAAGGATTTCGAGAGCATATACTCGTCCACCATTCAGACATTCAATAAGATCCAGACGCAGGTCTTCCAGGCGCTATACACATCTGATGAGAATGTCTTTATTGGCGCACCTACTGGAAGCGGCAAGACTATCTGTGCCGAATTTGCTCTGCTCCGCCTTTGGAGCAAACGGGAGCAGCCCAGGGCGGTTTGTATTGAACCCTACCAGGAAATGGTAGACCAGCGTGTTGCGGAGTGGCGCCAGAAGTTCAGCGGCCTGCAGGGCGGCAAAAAGATTGTAAGCCTCACAGGAGACACCAGCGCTGATCTCCGACTCCTTGAGAAGGGTGATGTCATTGTTTGCACCCCATCCCAGGTTAGTTTCTTCAATTACGTTGTAAATCTTTCACTAAACCGATATTTATAGTGGGATATCCTGTCTCGAAGATGGCGACAGCGCAAGAATGTGCAGAACATCGGGCTATTGATTGCAGACGAAATCCAGCTCGTAGGTGGAGAAGTGGGTCCGACGTACGAAGTGGTGATCTCTAGGACCCGCTATGTCTCTGCGCAAACGGAGATTAAGACTCGCATTGTCGCCTGTGGTGTCTCACTCGCTAATGCCAGAGACCTCGGTGAATGGATGGGTGCACCATCGCATGCAATATTCAACTTTTCGCCTAGGTACATCTTGCAGTCCGTAATTAACTTTCAGGTTACTAAGTGATATTTTGTAGCTCGAGGCCGCTGGACATGGATATACATCTCCAAAGCTTCACCATCCCTCATTTCCCTTCCCTGATGATCTCCATGTCTAAGCCTGCTTATCTCGCTATTGTTGAGCACGCACCGACCAAACCCGTCGTCATATTCGTCCCATCAAGACGCCAGTGCCGCCTTACGGTTGACGACTTGCTGGTCCACTGCGGAGCAGACAGCAACCCCGATCGCTTCTTGAATATCGAAGAAGCCGACTTGCAGCTCCACCTCGACCACATCAAGGAGAATGGTCTTGTCGAATGCCTAAAACATGGTATAGGGTATTATCACGAGGCGCTCGATAAGAAAGACAAACACATTGTCGAACGTTTATTCCAGTCTGGAGCAATCCAAGTTTTGGTGGCGTCTAAGGTGTGTATTTTACGACCTTTCTACTGACTAGCAACTGAGTGTATGCAGGACACTGCATGGAGTCTACCCGTCGCAAGCTACATGGTGATCATAATGGGCGTGCAATACTACGAGGGCAAAGAGCATCGATATGTCGATTACCCAGTCATGGACGTCCTACAAATGATGGGTCGTGCTTGCAGACCAATGGAAGATGATCGCAGTCGATGTGTCCTCATGTGTCAGCAGACACGCAAGGACTTCTACAAGAAGTTCCTCGCAGAGGGTCTGCCCATCGAGTCCCACCTGCCCACCCATCTGTTGCACGACTATTTCCTCGCCGAGATCGCCGTCAAGACGATTGAAAACAAGCAAGATGCGATGGATATCCTGACGTGGACGTACTTCTACCGCCGAATGACCCAAAACCCCAACTACTACAATCTTCACAACGTCAGCCATCAGCATTTGTCAGATCACTTGTCGGAACTTGTGGAGAACACCTTGCAAGAACTGGTTAACTCAAAGTGTATCTCGATAGAAGATGAAATGGACGTTTCGGCACTGAACCTCGGGATGATTGCGGCGTACTACAATATCTCCTACGTCACCGTGGAAGTGTATACCCTGTCACTGAAGGAGCGGACGAAACTCAAAGGTCTTCTTGAAGTTGTTGCCTCTTCTGCAGAGTTCGAGTCGATTCCTATCAGGCGACACGAAGACACCATTCTGCGTCGCATCTACGACCGCGTTCCCGTCAAGCTCGATCGTGCAGACTTCGAAGCTCCGCACTTCAAGACATTCCTTCTCCTTCAGGCTCATTTCTCCCGTATCCAACTGCCGCCCGACTTGGCAGCGGACCAAGTTTTAGTTCTGGAGAAGGTTTTGAACCTGCTATCAGCATGTGTAGATGTCATGTCCTCAAACGCATGGCTGAATGCATTGGGAGCAATGGATTTGTCGCAGATGTGTGTACAGGCGATGTGGGAGACCGATTCGCCCCTCAAGCAAATCCCTCACTTTGAGCCGGAGGTATGTCTATTCTTCTCGGCACCATTAACACTGCTGACTGAATTTCAACACAGGTCATCAAACGTTGCAAGGTTGCCGGAATCGAGTCTGTCTACGACGTCATGGAGATGGAAGATGACAAACGCAACGATCTTTTGAAGATGGATAGTCGTCAAATGTGAGTTCTATTGGATTTATCCATCTCAACGGTGTTTGACGGCATGTCTAGGCGCGATGTAGCGACGTTCGTCAACTCATACCCCACCCTTGATGTGTCCTTCAAGCTTGACAAGGGAGAATATACCGCTGGTGCACCTATCACCATGCAGGTTACCCTTGCCCGTGACGCAGATGAGGAGGATCCCGATGACCAAACTGTTGTTGCACCTTTCTACCCAACGAAAAAGATAGCGAACTGGTGGCTCGTAGTCGGGGAGCCGAGCACGAAACAGCTGCTATCAATCAAGCGCGTCACCGTCACCAAGAGTCTCTCGGTGAAATTGGAGTTCACGCTACCAAAAGGAGAGCACGCTTTGAAACTCTTCGTTATCTGCGATTCGTACGTTGGCGCAGATCATGATCTAAGTTTGGATCCCATTGATGTTGCTGAGGGTGAGGACAGTGACAGCGATGATGATAGTGGAGATGAGATGGAGGAGTAGTTGCTATGCTCTTGTAAGATTTCGATGTATCTCTACCGTCATTGTCGTATAGCTTTTTGCCGATTGTTAATTGTATGGTTTATCTATTACTCGCTTGGATATACTGCAAATTTCTGACAGCTACAGACTTTGTCGTACGAAGCTAACTACTGGTATCTTGTCATCAGGGTATATGTTCACTGTACACGCTCCGTGAAAACCATCTTGAAATATGTGATCAGAGACTCCTAAACACAAAGTAGAGTAAGTCACAGTCGTTCACATAGCCGTATACACACCTCATCGAAGGATTGCTTCAAGCTCGGACGCTCCAGCATTCGCTGAACGTATTTCATGATTTTGGCGAACTTGGGTGCCTTCAATTCCTCGCTTAGCTTGTGCCCCATCCCAACAGGGAATTTCCCTGTTTCCATTAATCAGGCTCGACTTCTCGGGAAAAGGAATGAGTGGGTGGTGTACCTATGTCATTTTCGGCGAGGATCTTGAGCCTTGCGAGGTGCGGAATGATGCACGCATCCGCAATGGTGTAATGATCTCCAACCGCGAACTCACTGCCCTCCTCGAGAAGTCCTTGAATAAATCCAATCCCCTTCAGGACATTCGCATATGGCTCACTCCCTTTGACGAAGGCGTAACTCGAATCCCCGATATGTTTAGTAGTCGCATTGATGAAGAAACGGACTTTGGCACGCAGAACAGGATCCTTTGGCAGGAGGCCAGAGTCTGGATAGAGGTCCGCCAAGAACTCGAGGATTACATTCGATTCTGCGATTTTAGCGGACAGCGGCGAAGGATTCTCGGGTTCGACACTGGGCCCCCCGTATGTCACAGTGGGCACCTATGTGATATTACATTCATCCGCAATAGACACAAGACATCATTACACATACCTCGCCAACGGGATTCAATTTGAGGAACCACTCTGGTTTATCGAAGAGATTGATTTGGTAGGCCTTGTAGGGTGCATTGGCTTCGATAAGTGCCAGCTCGACCTGTCAATTTGCGTCAGGATCATGAAAGGGTGTGACATCAGCAGTGATTTCACCTTGTGGCTAAAGGGCGAGGCCTGCGGGAGTCATGGGTCAGATAAGTCTTCCTCTTCACTCTCCATCGTTCAACTCACCTTGTGAAGGTACAGAGTGAGCTGTTCAGACATGGTTTAATAGTAGTTTGGGTGACTTGAACAGAAGAAAGCCTTCATATTTATGTGCGCAGCGGCAAGCAGAGCCTTCAGGTGACATCGGTTGTCGCATCGTTGGCCGACGCTCACTTGAAGTTGTTTGTAATCAGGAAGGGAGAAGATTGAGCATGCTGCGTGTGGGAACGAGTCTTACTCCTCAGATCTTCAGAATTCTTGTTAATCAGTATTATGCCGTAGCTTGGTGAGTCAGTTGCTGACTGAAATCCGGCGCCTGCTAATTCTTGGTAGTTCGCATCAAGTTAGTTGCTGACTGAAATCTGTCACTAACTTAATCAGCCGAGCTTACCCATGTGAATAAGTACTTGAGTTGGGAAGGTACTTAGGAGAAGGCAGTGAGTCTACGCGCATTCGGCCCATCTGCTAACCTTTGCCTTCAGGTTCAAGTTGATGGCGACTGATCTACCCTCGCAACGGCACCTCCGCCATTCGCAGACAACGAGGTCATGGTCGTCTCAACACCCATCCGCTCACGGACTCTACCATCCAGCTTCCCCGAGGCTCCCAAACAACTTTAGAATTCGCCTCCCTCTCAAACCACATTTCCTTCCTCAACACGACATGAATTTTCTGCACGATCCCTTTCCTGGTGCGTCGTCTTCCCCACAGCCCCTCCAATGTCCTAGCAGTAGTCTAACAACAGTGAACACCATCATGAACGAACACGAGGCAAATACGCGGTCACGTGCAAATTGTAATTTGATTGTAAACCGTTTCAGTCCCTCATGGACTCCACCATGGTACACAGGAACTAGTACTGTTGTCATCCTTAAACTATCGACACTCACAAACATCTCGGTGACATACGCCAATACACTCGCTACACTACATACCACGCTAACATACACTTCTGTAGCAAGCAAACAAGGTGTCACCGAGCTGGGAATCAAGGACCGGCGTTAACGAAGGCTACTGCTCGAGCTCGAGGCTGCTCTTGTGCGGAGCGCTTGCCAGTGACTGGAGCGCTGGAACGTTAGTGGTCTTGAAGGTCCATTGATCATTTTCATCGCGCAATATTCACCGTTTTTTTTCTGTCATTCTTGCACACAGACGCATCTTCGCACGCACTCCGAGTCGTTACCGTACAAATTTCGTTGTACTAGGACACTCATGTTTAGGACAAATTTGAAGGCGTGTATTATCGCTAAGCACAAAGCATAAATCATAAATCATGGTATGGATCCGGGGTATATTCTGGTATATTAGGCCTGGTCCGCCTAGGAAAGACCATGAGATACAAGCTGTACAGCAGTCGACGATAAGAACAAAAATACAACATCAATCTAGCCTTAGTATCATTCCATTATCCCGGGCCACGAGTCAGAGTCACTGCATTGAAAACTGTTTGCCCACCAATTCTCAAACCTTGTAAGAGGACCATCCTGTTCCACAACATCCGTAACCACTTCCCTAAAACCTTGAATCTGATCAGCGCTTAAAAAATCGTTCTCTACGAGTCGGAGGGACTGTATGCAGACACCATGTTGGGCTCGCGTTTTCATGGCATCCTTAAGCTTTTCAGCGTCACCATCCTCGAAAGTGACCGATTCGATGAATAGAGCGCGGAGGGAGGGATATGATATATCTGGGTCCTGTTCGCCTTCGTTGATCTTGAGGGCATCGATGAGGCCTCCAATGTGGCTGCAGTTATTATAGATCATTTCGACCTCCGGCAAGAAGGCGGACCCAGCGCGCCAGAAATCTCTGGTTGGACGGTGATCTGACCCATAAGCGAATGTTTGAATCTTGTTTTGCGTGCCAGTGACGAGCCGACATATATCATATATGATGCTTGGCTCGGCTTGCTCCCATACCTCGAAGGTAAATTGAATTGATAGTCGTATATCATCGTCAGGAGTATTCCAGATGTCTGGCTGTTGCATCTCCGTTGACGTGCTAAACTGGACAACAAAAGAAGGGATACAATAGTCGATGGCGCGCATGGACCGAAAGACGGAACCAGTCCCATTAGGATACCTGTTCATGGCCGAAAATAGACCAGAAAAGTCTTGAGGGCCACCGATTTTGGTGAGTTTTAGAGCGATCTTGGCATTGGCGGGAATGGATAAGTGCTCGAAGAGAGACGTGGCATCCCGGATCGAGATGGCACCTAGCGCTATACTTTTCAACCGAGCGAGTGACACTTCGTCGAGCTTCGTTGTGCTGGAAACTATGTCCAGCTTCTCGACCGTAAGATGCTCCAATGCAGGCATACGGCTCAGAGCTGACAGGAGCTCCGGTACGGTAGTTTGATAGGTGGTCGTTCTTGTGACGCATAGAGTTCGAAGCCCACTGAAAACATGCGCTGCCAAGCTTAAGCTAAACATCCCAAGTTCAACACTCCGAAGCCGAGGTGCTCGTTCTTTAAAGATGTCGCTTGAAGTGAGCCTGTGTGTGAATAATGGGGCACCAGGGGGCTTCAAGCTGTAGAATTCGAAAACTTCAAGCAATGGTGCGGGCTGTGATAATAACAAGTCGGTAATGTGCTTGACTTCCCAAAATGGTGAGGTAAATCGTAGGATCTTGATTCGAGGTAGTTGTGACAGGATTGGCACCAAGCAATCTTGTAGCGAGACCTCAGTGTTGTAGGTGACGACTAAAGGAAAGTCCTTCGACCTCTCGAGCATGATACCCACATAACGAGGAGAGGGAGTATAGATGAATGTCCAAAGAGTGGGGCACTCGAGAGCGACTGTGCGCCAGTGTCTGCAGACGTGTGTGACCACTAGACAAGCAGGGACATCATCGTGCGCAGATCCATCGAAACGCTTCACTTCTTCCAAGTATTCGAAGACGCTCTCGAGAACCTCAGTTGGAAGGCGAGATATGCGGGGGACCAGAGCGTTCTTGCGAGAGCGAAGGACGCGCGCGGACTCAGCTAATATAGCAAGTTCGATGTCGATACAATCCTTGCGATAGTTAAGTTCGCGCATGGACTCAGCTAATGCAGCAAGGTCTTTGTCGATGTCAGCGGATGCACTTGTGGACGTAACATCGGCCAGGGGAGATGACATCATCGCAATGGAAGATCTGTGGGGCAAAGTCGTCAGTTGAGTGCAGACGAAACCTCAGTTAGCTGCAAGTATTCATCACCTTTTGTGGTTCGGGGGACAGGTTTCACAAATCAGTGTTTGCAACGGATTCGAACAAGGATTCAGGTATAAGAACAATGGCAGTGTCGCACGGATCTATATCCAATAGATACTGTCAGTCGTAGCACGCGATAACTGATGTCTGGTTTACCTGTATCAAACAGCTTTGCGGAGTGTAAGCATAGGTAAATCTCAAGGAACAGTTAAATGTCTTACCTTGGTTGCAGCACGCGATAAAGCAGAGGTTAGTTGTGAGTTATATCTGCAGAAGCCGCCGCTACTCAAATAGACGAGAACGCTCTTGTAACTGAGACCGTAGTGGAAAGAAGACCCGGCGGTTATGGATCCAAGGTCACAAAAGATTCAGCAGTCACAATAGATAACCAGTGTAACAAGAACGTATGATGTAAAACTTGAAGCAGGGGAGTGACGAACCATAGTAGAACGAAGAGGTCCATTGTTCTGTGACGGTCGAGATCTGAATCGCATTTCAGCATGGAAGCCTTGCTTCATCTACCTAGATCAAACAAGGTTTGTACGAATTGCACGGGGAACGGGAATACAGCACTCCACAGACAGTAACCTCCTTCGCAACCGACAGTAACGGCTCAACAGCTGTACCCGATACGTCAACCTCGGTCGGCGGCACTTGAAAGTCTATTACCTGCACGTGGCAATGTGCAACTGCTAGTGCCGCCATAATACAATCAACTTCCGGTTTGTTTGGTACTCCCACTACAGTCAATTTCTGTAGCATGGGAAGATGAAATCCGTTGAATATCTCGATAAAAATCATAAAATAATGCCGGCTGTTGAAAATCGGAAGAAACTGGCGGTCGTGATCTAGGATTAGGGGGAGTGTCATTGATTCAAGGGAAGAATGTGTGACCGGCGAGTCGTCCCTTGCGCTAGATTTTGATGAAATTTCATCCACCACGATTGTCTCCAGACGAGGGAAAATCACTGCAGTGAAGTGTATGATATGGGCGGAACCTATCTGGAGGCGAAGATTACGGACATTGTTGCAGGCAGGGGTAGGGAAAATCCATGGTGATGATGCCCGGCTGTGTGTGTTCTTGAAGTAAAGATGATGAGTGTCTTTGCCGCGTTTGAATTCGAGGAAAAAAATATCCAGACCAATGATGTGTAGGTGAGAGAGATTTGGTGCATCAAATGTGGTGATATCCGACCAGTGACACCCCAAGGTTCTCAACTGAGGTGCACTGATCTCGTCATTCCTTTGGTACCGCCACGCGTCGTGTATGGGATACTTAAAAGTTACACTTTCCCAACGATCGCGCGCAGAAAGGAGGATCCTGAGCAGTTGAGCATCTGCATCTAGGTAGCACTGTTGCAAATTTAATCGAGAGTATGTGGGTTTGCAGATGCGAAGGGTGAGTGGCTGACAGCCAGAACAGGCAAGCCAACACTGGAGCAGATGTGGCAGGAGTGGACGGAATTCATGGCGTAACCCGGGAAGCATGACATGGATGCGCGACCAGAGCCTTGTCGTTGAAAGTGCGATGGCTCGCCAAAGGCAGCACACCCGGGTAAAGACTAGGGGAGGGTTGGCAAAATTGGCAGAGATTGTGGTGGCACCATATAAGAAGATACTAGGACAGTCTGGCACGTCATTCATGACGAGCAAGAATATGTGTTGTAGAAGTTCCACTGGCAGGCGATGGATGTGGGGTCCTGGATAGTTCACGTCGACAGAAGGGATATGTGAATGAGTGAATGACAATGCATCAATATTGATCCCATGCTGGAGCTTCTTGTCACTGAAAGCTTCAGTGACGAAGATGATAACATTTAGAGCGGTGACGATTGGCGTCAAGAACAACGATCTGCAAATTGTCGCGAATGTAGTAGTGCTTAGCCGGGCCATAGACATCAGTGAGGTAAAAGCAAAGCCCAGGCCCCACTCGGAGTTATTTGCAATTCCCCACACGCCCCGTGGTTGTACTCCTACGATGAATCCCTCATCTTCGACATTGCCTTCGACCTTGGGTGGCCTTGGGCACCAGAAAAATTCAAGGCATTCGCCTTCCTCTTCCCTTATCTCGGCTTCTCCTGGGACCTCGTCCTTAAACTCGTATCAATCCCTCTCGCCAAACGCTCAAAATACCTCACGCGCCTTATGCCGTGGGTCGCGGGCGCCTTTGTTTCACGCGCCGATTGTGAAGGCGTCATCGGCTGTCTCCAACATTGTTGCCTCGTCCTACGTGAAGGCCGGTCACGTCTGCCGTCCTTCCACCGGCTGCTGGCTTCCTTTAACCATTCTTCCTCTCCCCTTCTCACTCACAGAATTCCTCCCAAGGTCCTCCTCGACGTTGACTGGTGGAACACCAAACTCAGCGCCGAAGACTGCTCTCGCAAACTGCGTTCAATCCCACCTCCCCACGACTTATCAATCTTCGTTGACGCCTCCACTTCCTTTGGTATCGGTTTCCTCGCCGGTATTCGATGGCTGGCTTGGCGTCTCCTCCCTGATTGGAAGTCCGAGGGTAGGGATATAGGCTGGGCCGAAATGGTGGCCATTGACCTCGGGGTGCGCGCTCTCGTCCATTCAGGCCTCCACAACGTCCACCTACACTTTTACTCCGACAACCAAGGGGTGGTGGGGGCGTTGAGGGCAGGGAGATCACGCAGTCTTGCCCAGAACGACGTTCTCCGTCAACTCTCATCCTTCGCGCTAGATCACGATATTTGGATTTCGGTTAGTTGGGTCAGCTCTGCCAACAACCTCTCAGATAGCATTTCAAGAGGCGTCTTTCCCTCTCACCTTTCTCGCTTTAAATTTCCACCTCCACTTCCATCATACCTCAAAGGCCTCTTATCGTTAGTTTAATTTCATTTGCAATTTGTTTTCTTGTCACTTTCACTGTTTCTCCTGCCGTTTTCACCTGCATGTTCCGTTTCGCATTGTCTCCGCACGCTTTCTTGTTGACTGCATCCCTGTATCCCGCCTTCTGCAATACATCTTGAAGTGTTTCCCCTCGCCCGTTCGGTTGCGGTGAGCTTGAGAACAGAGTCTCCCAGCACTTCGCATGGTTTGCTATTTGGGTCTCCACCTCTTGGCAGGTAACCCTAGCTCAAGGTGTACCTTTACCTCTTACCCATCCCTTGATGGCAGGTAATCCTAGCTCAAGGTATTCCATTTCCATCCGGTTCCCATTGCATTCTCGCCTGATTTCTTGTCTCACTTCCTTACCTGCCTTGATTTGTTAGTGTCTGCCACTCCATCCCTTACCCCTACCTTCGCTTGCTTCCAGCACTCCTTTGCCTTTATGCCTCCCTCCTCGGACTCCACCATTTCATCCCTCGCTCACGACCGTATCCAACGAGCCCTCGACGCAGCGTGGGCTGACTCTACACTGCGCAAGTACAGGGGAGCGATCCACAGCTTCTTGCTCTTCTGCGAGCAAGAAAACATACCTCCTCCAGAACGCTGTCCTGCCAGCGAAGTTCTTTTGTGCGCATTCGCAACCTCACGTTTGGGCACACTCGCAGGCGACTCCGTCCGCAACCACATGTCAGCCCTTAAGGCTTGGCATGCATATCACAACGCCCGTTGGATGGGCGGAACTCGCCTACACTTCGTCCTCAATGGTGTTTCCAACCTAGCGCCTTCTTCCTCTTTCCACCCTCCTCGACCACCAATCACTCGATCGATGTTACTGGTGCTCGCTACACACCTCGACCCCACCAGCTATTTCGACGCCTGCTGTTTGGCAGCGGCCTGTACGGCCATGTGGGGACAGCTCCGACTTGGAGAGATCCTTTCATCCTGGGAGTCTTCATTCCAGGATGCCCACATTTCCTTTAGACTTCACCTTTCCCCCCCCATTAACCTCAACGGCTCTCGCAAACTTTTTCTTCCCTTCACAAAAGTGAAGAAAAACCGAGGGGAGGAAGTCGTCATCTGCCGGCAAAATGATCTTTCCGATCCCATTCAAGCGCTCGAAAAGCACCTTGCTCTTAACGTCTTCGATGTCAATCTTCCCCTGTTTTGTTACCACTCATCCTCTGGTCTTCGTTGCCTTACTCGCCGGAAACTCATGCAACGTTGTAACGCCATATGGCTTGCAGCAGGCATTCCCTCCGCATCTGGCCATTCTTTTCGTATTGGGGGTACTACCGAGCTACTTCTGGCAGGCGTCCCTACAGACGTTGTCAAAACTCTGGGACGTTGGTCATCCGACGCCTTCCTTCGTTACTGGCGTAACGTTGACCTCCTGGCCCCTCGTCATGTTGAGAACCTTCCAACGGCCTAGCTAGATGCCTCCGCCTTCTCTCGTTTGGGTTGCGCGCCTTCGTTCCTCGTCCCTGCGGCTCCGCCTGGCCTTTGGCTCAGGGTTGGGGTTCCTCCTCCCCTCGGCACGCACCGGTCACTGGCCAATCCCGTCGATAGACGGTTTTGTCCGTGCCCCCGCCCAAAACCCGGGAAGGTTTTTCTGGCTTGCCCCTCTCCTGCACTGCACACAACTTCTCCTCCCTGCCACGTCAAAGCCCGAAATTGTGTGCATTCCTGCCCGAGGCACGAGAGCGTGGGATGCCGGGTTTCGGGCTGATCCGTCGTGGTGCTTCTTCCATCGGAAGTATCCTCTTGTTCCTGCACCACGAGGTATCCGCCCTGTTGTGGTTCTGCACATCGCTCGTAGCTAGTATTACTCGCTCTGTAGTATCTAGCTTGCTCTTTTGTTGTCCCTCCCTGCGCAGGGTTAGGCCTGAAGGAGCAGGCGAGGGTGGGGCTGAAGGCCCCACTAAGGGCGTGTTGGGGGAGAAGCCATGGAAGTCAGGAGGGAAGGCCTTCTGCTTCCCTTTGGATTTCTTGGAGGCAGGAGGGGCAGGAGAGCCTGGGGAACTCCCAGAGCGAATGCGAACTCTGCCGCGGGAAAGATGCACGGGGGAGAGTAAGCCATCCTCTTCAGCCTGCTCGTCAGATGGGCAGATAACGCTGCCAAGGCGTGGAGGCCCCGGAGCTGTGTTTTCCGCCAAATCCGCCAAGTCAGCGAGGTCGACGGCGGGTGGGGCCGCAGGCGAATCGCCAGAAGAATCGGGAACAGGGGTTAGCGGCCGAGGGAAGCGACGGGTGCCAACCATGATGAGAGTTGGAAGGAGGGCAGACTGGAAAGGCTGATGACGGGCAGAGGCAGAACAACAAAAGAGCAAGCTAGATACTACAGAGCGAGTAATACTAGCTACGAGCGATGTGCAGAACCACAACAGGGCGGATACCTCGTGGTGCAGGAACAAGAGGATACTTCCGATGGAAGAAGCACCACGACGGATCAGCCCGAAACCCGGCATCCCACGCTCTCGTGCCTCGGGCAGGAATGCACACAAGTTCCAACTGACAGGTTATTACCCCTGATTTTCAGGCAGGTCACCACTACCAGTTCCTTGCAAAAACCAACCTACACGTCGGTTCACCGCTGGACTTTTCAAGTTGACCCACCCTACTATGCCGCTGAATTTCTTCCTCCAGAACTTGGATCCTCGAACCGAATCCACAACCAGGCACAGAGTTATGTCCATTCTAGGATAAGCTGAGCGCATAAAGTCCGTCAGCTTCCTTCGAGTTCAACGTTCAACTCTCAATTGAGGACTTGCAGGAAGCCTACAGAGCCTATGATAGCTCGATTCATGCGCGTGTGACCTAACGTGGGATGGCGCTGTCTACATAGGTAACGGCTGCCTACAGGATTTGTGCGTTTTCCTGATGCACATTCTCTTGTTGGGTCAGAAGCTCTCAGAATCACGTCATCTTTGCCCCTCGATGGATCAATGCCAAAGCTCAACCTCGCCACCTTGTCTACAATGAGCTCACATCCTGCCGCATTGCCAACCAAAACACTTAGCTTTACTTATTTCGACAGACATAAGTACATGATAGACTATATTGGTCCACTGAGCACTCTGTAATACCTCGCCTTGGCATCTTCACGTTCGCTGACGAATTTCTCATGTCACGGTGTGCAGGGATCATACAGCGCTTGCGATTCAACTTGCACAGCCGATCGACCGGCGTCTAACAGGTCACCTCGTCGCTGTCTCGGCGCTTTGTCTCATTGTTAACTCGTCTGCAAAGGACGGTGATATTTAAAAAACTTTTCTTAATCAGTATCATGCAACACGATGTGGCCAAGTCAAACACGTCGGCAAAACGAAGAGATGGCCCAGAACGAGGAGTGATGTTGGACTCACCATTTTCAGCACCTCTTCGAATGAGGGAGAAGGATCTGCCACGCTATGGTGCACAGCATCGCCAAGATGCACTTTGGGAAGGTAAGTAACCGTAATGTGATACCTACTCACTGACACAACACGAAGCAGGCGGGATTGAAGCGCTTCCTCCTCAATGGTGGCAGTATAAGATGTGGGATGAGAGCATACAATATCATGATGACACGCTCGCAATGACAACAAAAAACCGACCTTTACCAGGAGTGCGACTAGGTCAGTGAAGAATGTGCCACTAGAAGCGAGGAACTCATGGTTGAGCATAGATGAACCCTGGCAACTCATTGTTCCCGGATGCGAATGGCACATCTCACCACTCGGTCAGTCGTACTTTGTCAATCACAATACTCGGACCACGTCGTGGGAAAAACCAACGCCAGAACGCCCAGCAGGGAGCTTGATCCCGGAGTGTGTCATCGAGGGTCATTCCAAAACCATTCGGAGCCTTTCCTGTTTGGGCACCAGTTGCAATATAATGAGCGCATCGGAAGATGGTTCTATTCGTCAGTGGACAAGAGACGGAGAACCAGTGGGGAAGCCTTTGGATAGTCATGGGGCACGGATGGGCCCAATGGCAGTGTCTCCCGACGAAACAATGGTGGTATGTGGAAGCCCAGATGGGACAATATGGCTGTGGGATATAAAAGAAGGTACCATGGTCGGCGACCCGTGGAAGGGGCACAATGCTGCAGTGAGGTGTGTCGATTGGCCTTCCAACGCCATGCAGATAGCAAGTGGATCGCAGGATGGCACCATACGACGCTGGAATCCGAATACTGGCCGACAAATAGCCACACCAATAAAGACCGGTCACGGTTGGGTCATTGCCGTCAAATACTCTCCACAATGCGACAAATTCGCGAGTGGTGGGGAGGACAATTTGAACATGATATGCGTGTGGTCAAAGGACGGCGAGCTGCTCATCCAGATCAAGGGACATGAACATGCAGTGACGTCGTTGTGTTGGTCCAAGGACAGTGCATACATCTTCTCTGCGTCATTCGATACCACTATCCGAAAATGGCAGTCAATTGATGGGAAGGAGCTTGTTGTTTTTCGAGCTCATGCCCTCGGCACAAGCTCCCTCTGTCTTTCCCCCGATGAAAGTCACCTTATTAGCGCGTCAAGAGACTGTTCAGTTCGCATTTGGGACCTCGAGACCAATCAGCCCGTCGGAGACCCACTCTTGCACGACAATGAACTCTTGGCTGTTGTCATGTCCCCCGATGGAAAATACATCGTCAGTGCTGGAAAAGACGCGAAAGTCTACATATGGAGCATGGAGGCAGCGCTGAAACAACAGGGCAATAATAAAGTGAGTGTGCTTGTGCTTTTTAAGTGGTGTTTGGTTGTCATTCGCTGATGAGAGCAATGTACAGCACGACACAAAGGGCAAGGTAAGTCATCTGCAGTTCTGTTTCACCCCGTATCTCACTGCTCTGCTAGGGACGTGCTATTCGGTCAAGAGACGCACGCCAATCAGTTGTGAGCCTCATATTTGCCCACTTGTGCCTCTGACGCCCATCTGGTTTCCAAGCGGCAACCCAATAACAGAGGCTTGGCGAGATATGTCAGTATGGATTTGAACTCTCGAGCTCTTACTAGCCTGACATTAATGCAGGGCGATGACTTTTGGGGCAATGATTCAATCATAACTCCTCGTCACCCAGTTCCGGCTGCGAAGCCATCGTCTGCCTTTCGTTGGCGTAATTTACTCGGTTCGCTGCATGTCAGGACTCGACCTGCGAATGTGCCACAATCAATACCGCTTGAGCCTCGGCGTTGGAATTTTAATCCGTTTCCTGTAAGAATCTCTAGACGCATCGTTGATGTTTCTCCTGCCCGCGATGAAGATGTGAGTGCCCAACAATGGCCAATATTCAACCGTCTTTAACAATCGAACAGAGATATGGTATCACCCCAGAAACTAACGCCGAAGCGGCTGCAGCTATGCAACGTACAAGCGGCAATGAGGCCGGCAGTTCAACGCAACCAGGTCACCCTGCACCGGGGATACAAGTGTCTCAAGAACAACCAACAGACACAGAAGGCTCAAATGGTGGGACGAGAGAATTATTTTCTTGTGAAGTTAGGTGCTGCGGATTGTCCTTTAGTTGTGGTCGTCCCACCTCGCATCAGTCATGAGGTCACCTAGCGCAAAAGAGTACCACGCTTGGAAATTCTACGTCATCTGCGATTCGTACGTTGGCGCAAAACATGATCTAAGTTTGGAACGCATTGGTGTTGCGGCGAGGGCGAGGACAGTGACAGCGATGATGATAATGGAGATGAGATGGAGTAGTTGCTGTGCTCATGTAAGATTTCGATGTATCTCTACGGTCATTGTCGTATACAGCTTTTTGCCGATTGGTAATTGTATGGTTTATCTATCACTCGCCAGGATATACTGCAATTCTCTGACAGCTACAAGCTCTGTCGTACGAAGCTGACTACTGGTATCTGTCCTCAGGTATATGTGCCTTGAAGAATGTGATCAGATATTCCTATACGCAAAGTAAAGTAAGTCATAGTTGTTCGTTTAGTCGTATACACACCTCATCGAAGGTTTGCTTCAAGCTCGGACGCTCCAGCATTCGCTGAACGTATTTCATGAATTTGGCGAACTTGGGTGCCTTTAACTCCTCGCCTAGCTTATACCCCATCCCAACAGGGAATCTCCCTGTTTCCATTAATCAGGCTCGACTGCTCGGGAAAAGGCACGAATGGGTGCTATACCTAGGTCATGTTCGGTGACGATCTTGAGCCTTGTGAGGTGCGGAGTGATGCACGCATCCGCAATGGTGTAATGATCTCCAACCGCGAACTCATTACCCTCCTCGAGAAGTCCTTGAATAAATTCAATCCCCTTCAGGAAATTCTCATATGGCTCGCGCCCTCTGATGAAGGCGTAACAAGGATTCTCGAAATGTTTAGTAGTCGCATTGATGAAGAAGCGGACTTTGGCACGCAGAACAGGATCCTTTGGCAGGAGGCCAGAGTCTGGATAGAGGTCCGCTAAGAACTCGAGGATAACATTTGATTCTGCGATTTTAGCGGACAGCGGCGAAGGATCCTCGGGTTCGACACTGGGTCCCCCGTATGTCATAGCGGGTATCTATGTGATATTACATTCATGTGCAATAGACACAGAACGTCATTGCACGTACCTCACCAACGGGATTCACTTTGAGGAACCACTCTGGTTTATTGGCGAGATTGATTTGGTAGGCCTTGTAGGGTGCATTGGCTTCGATAAGAGCCAGCTCGACCTGTCTATTTGCGTTAGAGACTCGTGAAATAGTGCGACGTCAGCAGAAATTTCACCTTGTGGCTAAAGGGTGAGGCCTGCGGGGGTCATGGGTCAGATGAGTCTTCCTCTTCACTCTCCATCGTTCAACTCACCTTGTGAAGGTACAGAGTGAGCTGTTCAGACATGATGGTTTAATAGTAGTTTGGGTGACTTGGACAGAAGAAAGCTCTCATATTTATGTGCGCAGCAAGCATTGGAGCTTTCAGGTGATATCGGTTACTATTGCATCGCTTCTTGGTGCTACTAGTATCAGGAAGGTAGAAATCTGAGCATGCTGCTGTACGTGTGGGAAAGAGTCTTACTTACTGTTCATATCTTTAGAATTCTTGTCAATCAGCATTATCCCTGTACATAGCTCATCTGGTCACCTAGTGAATGTTAATGAGTCAGTTGTACTTCGGGAGAAGGCAGTGAGATTCTACGCGCGTTCGGTATCTGCCGCCCTTTGCCGTGATAGGCTGACAGAGCTCCAGGCCTGCCACTCGTCGTCACGGTTGGCAGTGCTCGGGGACCATCTGAAATGATCTTCCATCTTTCGTTCCTTGGGAGTCGGTAGCCCTCGGTCTCAGTCATAGTAGTCTAAGGACCTTCAAGTTGGCCCCTACGGCTACTGCCAAGCGACTCGTCACGGTAACATTTCATTGATGGTCTATCAGTCAATCAAATGCTATCATGACGAGTCGCTCATTGTGATTCATCCTTCACGGCAACCCATGACCACTGGAGGCCGACTCGTCCAGCATCGATATACTAACTCTGGTGAGGGATATGTCAGTCTAGTGAGCAGTTCAGCTGAATGCTTTCCCTTTACTGCTCCCAAGCTCCGGAACCATCATCCTTAGCCAAAACTCTGTCAGGCATTCCTGGCCATTGGTGCTCCAATTCTCGACATCGCTCGGCCGACCTCCACAAACACCTCTGCACTCCCTGACGATGATCCCAATCTGAAGGTTGTGCGCGCAGATTATACATCTGCATCTGAGATCTCCGCAATCCTTCGTGAAAATAAAGTAGACGTCCTCATTTCTACTGTTACATTTTTTTTCGGAGGCGTAGTTGTCCAAGACGTTCTCGCGGACGCTGCAAAGGAGGCGGGTGTTAAGCTATTTGTACCCAGCGAATTCGGCGTATCACCCCCAGCAGCTGGTCTGAGTCATGAAAAGCATGACTTTGCAGGTGAGTGATTGTAGCCAATGGCAGCACTTTATGGTTTGAACTCATCCTCCATCCACAGTTTATGCAAAATCGATTGGATTGCCCACTCTCCGCGTCTATGTAAGTTTTTATTTGTTGGCTTCATTCCAAGTATAGCGCACTCAACGCGAAACATTCATCAGAATGGATTTTTCCATGACTTCGTGCCCTGGGTCACCGCACTCACTGAGACAGGCAAGTTTCATATCGTGAGCAAAGGGAAAATGCCAGGATCCTTCACTGCGATATCCGACGTTGCGGGATACGTGGCTCATATTCTTACTACTCAACCACCGTCTCGTCTACTCGATGTTGAAGTTCGCATCGAAGGACAACGTGCAACACTCTTGGAGATCAGTGCCCTATACAAAGGCAGTGTTCCTGTAGTGCATTGTGATGCTCTTCCTACAGAAGGTGTGCTCGCCGCGGACTTTCGTACGGGATACCAGCACCGGTTTGACTTCGGAGGAGCAAGTTCCGGCTGGAACCCTGAGACAGAATCAGATGACGCGGAATTGGCGAACAAGGACAATTCGCTATGGGAGAGGCACCGCTGGTTGACTGTTGGGGAGGTTCTTGGACTGTAATGATATGTATGTGCACGAGACCTTTTAGAGCAAAGAATATGCTGTAGGGGCTTTGAATCCTGATGTAGCACAGTTGTTTGGAGCTTTCTGGAGCATAGGTCAGAGCTCGAGTGGATGTATATGATATACGACGTATGTCGCGTGAAATGCAAGAACGTTTACTCGAACCTCTTCATCGATCACAACTATCGCATCAGGCGTTATCGTCTCAACTGTGTGCTCGCAGACAATCATCCTAACTACACCATCAAATTGACAATTTGAATATCTGAATCAGAAAGGAATCTATGGTATTAGCCGGTAATTAGCGTAATGTACTTATTGTCTACATAAGTCCCAGGGCACGGGACGATCAATGAGATTTTTAAATACGGTAGTACTAAGAACAGCTTTCCACTCCCAATAGGAATTTCCGCATCTCGGCATACAGAAACGGAATTCGATGACAATCGATCAGCGGCGAGATCTATGCAATCACGCAGACTGTACGTTGATCCTGGTGGTAAAAACCGAGAGATTGTGACAATCGTCGCCCCGGGCAGGGGTGGATAAAATACCAGAATCGATAGATTTGTGTAGATTCAGCATCAGCCGAGAAATGAGAGTAACAGAGATGCTGGAGGAGTGCAAGGTCAACGCCCGATCCATGTTTATCGCATTAACCACTCACCAGCTAGTAAAAGTGGTCAGACCCAGACTGCCTCTGATAACACCCTGGCCAACCGTTAGGAAATTTGAACCTACATACAAGATCCAAGTTGTGCGCTCACGGATCCAGACTAATTCAAGCTGTGAGCGCTTTGTAATTTTATCGGTATGTTGACTCACGTAGTACATCAGAATGTTCGGTATATTACACAGCGTCATGGCTCTGAAGGAATGCGGATCAGATTCACTCGAATCGCGATGTCACAGGCACCCTCACCCGAAATACAACGCACCTGCGTTTCAGTTAAATCAGTGTTTACAATACGAATGTAAGAAACAACTTACCATCATGAAACATGATATCAAGAACATTTCTCTTGCCAGCAGTGGCCAGACGTAATCGCAGCAAACCTCTAGTTTTAGAAGTCCTGTGAACTGTGAGGACAAAGATCAATGATTCGAAGGCAAATAAAGCTAGCCACGCCACGCCAAAACCTGCAAATAGATAAAGTCATGACATTAAGTTGTGTGACTTGGAATTCACTGACGGGCAGCTCTGCGATGACTTTTGAGCTGATCTTTAGAACGGGAAGATGATAACGTACGCCTCTGCTGTATATGTATCGTAGCAGCCAACTCCTAGCGAGATCGTCTCATCACTTGTGTGGTGTCCAAAACATACCGCCTAGAAACGATCAGTAAACTTAAGATAGCAGAGTCCAAAATTCTATCGAACACGTACAAAAGATCCTCCCGCAAGAACAAGGAAGATAATTGTAATCCAAGCAAGCAGGCGTTTGCTACAATTGTAGAGAGCATAAGTGCGAATAATTAATATGACTGAAAACTTTTCAGCATATGAATTTCCACCTGTCATAATCATCGAACTTACCGCAAACGATAAATTGTTGAAAAAACACGAACAGCTCTCTGAATAGCAAGAATTTTGGACAGCTAAGCGTATGTTGAACAAAACAACCGATATTGAAGAATCAGGAGTTCAAACCTCTGCGGAAATCAGTTGTGAGCCTGCTATTTGGGTATGTGTATGACAAAATGGTCGAACCTCATCTGAAATGGGCATGAAATCGATACATAAGGCATAGATATTGCCGAGAAGAGCGAAATAGCGATTGACGAGAAATGACATTGCGGACAGTGCTTTTGGTCGACGCCAAATAAGATTGATTTCTTCTGTGAGGGTCACTATATGGTCGTATATCAGGATACCTAGAATATTGTGTCATCGTCTTGAAGGCAAAGATAGAAAGCCCCAGTACTGATTGCCATGAGAACAACGTACGAGTGTATCATCCTGGTAAATTGCATTATCAAGTCGTGATCAGGATAGTAAATCAATGCATGTATCACTCACAGCTGCAGTTTTTCGGTAGCATCCATCACAGTGAGACTATACAACCAAGAAAGGATGTGGAGGATGTCCAGGGCAGTGTGATCATATTGGTATTATATATCATGTTGACGCATACGAACTTGGATCCGGAGGGGCATACAGATAGATCTTGGTCACACCAGTGAGTAACTAGCGCAAAGATGGATGATTCATTAACCAGGCTGTTGTTGTAAACAGCCTGGTTAATAAATCATCATCGCTGGCATAACGCTGGCATGCATGATGACATGTCGAACAAGGGTCGATGAAATAGTCTGCGAGAACAGGATGCTGATTATGGACATTGCAATTGTAACGTTTCATATTGAACTTCAGTCTTCGATCGGAGTTTCGTCCTTGGTGGCCCTAGGGCGGATAAACTGGTGAGAATATGACATGGACTTCAAAAAGGTGCCTCAAATCTTTTTCACAGGTCAGCTTTAGCCCGATCGCCGCATCAGCACGACCCGTGCCCCATTTTCAGGCGGCAGCTCGAATTCTTGGATTTGCATCGATACCATTCAAGAGTTCGTCATAAGACCATTTCCTTAACAGGGAGGCTAGATATGGAAGGTCGGATTGGTTTGCCGCTGCGGTCACGAAGATGCGGACTCTATAACACAGTAAGTCCTGGACCGCTCGAGACCAAATCCGAGTTAAGAAAAAAATACTCAAGTGTGACAAGAACACAATGGATCTGCTGGTCACTGGTACTTCCCTTCGGCGATAAGCCTCAGGCTATTATTGGTACACGTGTCACGACAATGTTGCAATCGTGCTGATGGGCCTTGATGCATTGATAGGTCCATACTTTGCGTACCCACTCATCAGGGTCTCTCGTGCCGTGATAGCACCGAGGCATCCACAATATGGCATCCTCGCAATCGAGGTGGTGAATGAATATCACGACACTGGCAAAGTAATGAAATTTCGAGGATAATATTGTGCAGATATATATGGGTCCATGGGTACCCGTCAGGGCTGTAAAATGAGGCCAAATATATGCAATCTATCGTAGTAAGTGCTGATTTGCTCTGGAAATAAGGAAAGTGCACACGGTGATGATCGGATGCCTCGAGAAATGTCTTTCATAGATTATGGATCGTGCGGTACGGTGATACGTTTCATTTCCGATGTATCCAATTCCGATGGTGGCTGATCAACCAAGCTCTTCAGCTGAGCAAAGAGCTTGACTTTAGCAGGGAGCTATATATATGAACGTCAATAATAAAGTAAAGTTGTGAAAGTGATGGTGTAGTTCTGACCTGATATTGTACCACAAGGCCCGACGTGCTAGGAACCACGAATATTAATGTTTCGCTTATGTTCGCTGAGTTATCGCTGGCGGGACCAGCAATAGCTGAATAGCATAGTTTGAATGGCTGTAATCCAATATTGTTCTTGGGCGACGCCTGTGATGCTCTTGATGTCTTTGATGTTTTCGATGCTTTTGGTGGTACAGAGGCCTTGGATGGTCCAGTCGACATCTGCAAAAGGGCCTCTTCGACTATCTCCCAGTTAGATATGCCGACGAGACAGAGAAATCTTGGGCGGTGGAGTGCAAGCTTGCTGAGTAGGACAGGTACAGACGAGGCACGCTCGGAAGAGGATAGCTCTGATGCCTGAGATTAATACGTTAGCGCGCAGTTGGAAATCAAGTGCTATCACAACCTCCTTGGACGGTCTGTCAACTAGATCAGTCTACCGAATGAAACACGTGAATTTGGGCAGTAGACATGAACAATATTTAAAGCTGACCAAACCTATTTTGAACGTTGTTGGTAAGGAAGAATCCTCCGAGGGTGGCAGCAACCTAGATGTAAACCCTAAGATGTCAATGGTCAATATTTCGCTCTCGGTCACCGGCGGAGGCAACATACCAGATTGGTGAAGACATTTCCAAAAATGGTTTGACGGGTGCGCGAAGTGGTGTCCTCTCTGGGCGGACATACGACCTGGACTAAGTATAATGTTACAGTGGGTGCCTCTGTCAGAAGTTTGCACGATACAAAAAATACCCAACCTACTTGATTCCACAGAAAACGACTAGAAAAGACTTAGACAACATGTGAATGACGAGGATATTACACACCATCGAGTCCGTAGGCCAGACAATCTGTGAGGGGTGAAAGATGGGCATACGTTTCCGGTGGGGCATATCCTCGCTTGTGCTTCTTGATGGAATTTTTGGACAGACTTGCGTCAGGTGCCTTGCGTTTGCGCTTTGCAGGTGATGTTGAAATCAAAGCATCGACATCGCGCTTAATTTCTAGCTTCCGAGATGTCACGGCCTTGACTCTGGAGGAACGTCGCAAGGTTGGTAGCTCGGAACTATCGACCGTAGTGGCTGCTGGATTGACCTGTGGTTGACATGGAGTTGAGAATGTGAACTTGGTAACAGATGCCCTAAATTTTTCTGTAACGGACGCCTCTGCGTCAATATTGCAAGGGTCTTCCTCAAAAGACATCTGGTGAGCGCGCGGCTCGTGAGAAAATTGTGGAATTTTATACTTGCGTAAAATTTAAATAGTCGTTTAACATTTTGGTTAGCTTCTCTTTGCTTGTCCCCGCAGACGTAAAGCAGAATCAGCAGCTGACCAGTTATTCTTCTCAACTGTTCAGCATCGTGTGCAAGAGCGCTTCCGTGAATATTTGAACCCCCAGTGTCGTCGCATATGAGCATGACATCACTTTGGGCTGCAGTCTGAACTTCAAGCTATAATGCATAGCCAAGGAGTCTCAAAAGATGGGACTGCGGCCCCCCTGCGAGCCCTGCCTGGACCATGGTACCAAGCGTTGAGCATGGGACTACACACATATCTTTGACAGTAAGTTCCATAGTCTGGGCCTCGGCTATCGTCCGCATCATGATTCATACATTCGATTATAGGTGATGACGGTACGTTTTTTTATAAGTGTGGAGAGTTGATAAAATCCTGTGCAAGATGTTCATATTCTGCGCCGTATGATCTCAAAAGTGCTGCGCCCCTGCGTTAAGCGGTCCGAGGTCCTGATAGAGACCAACAGGCCATTGTCAACTGAAACCAAACGACATCTATAGGGCAGGCAACTTGACCTGAACAAGTCTACAAAGAGAAGATTGTCGCCCCAAAAAGCAAAAACCCCATATGACCTGCTATAAAGAATCGATTCGATTCAAATCAAGTAGTTGTCCTCCCATGACCCGCAACTTAGTCGGCGATAACATAGAGGTTGCCATGAGAGTTCCATCATGAGGCTGGCATGAGGCAACGTATTCGCCCCAGGATCCATGCCGAATGCTAATGCATTATGTATTTTTGAAACGGAGTCTTTATATTAAACCATAAACCTAAAGTCGAACAAACAAAGGGATTCCTCCTGGATCTTGTTTGTTGTTTTACTTATCACTTCCTTTCCTTTCACTCGACATTGACGACATGCCTCCTCGAGCAGCACCAGGACAGACCCGTGGAGGCGGTGGCGGCGGCGGCAGAGGTGGTCGTGGCGGTGGTCGCGGCGGCCCTCGCGGTGGACCACCTCCTCGCGGCGGCCCAGCTGGGGGAGGGGCAACCTTTGCTCCCACTGGTCCCGCCGCTCTGCCTGGAAGCCATGTTCAGGCCGTGGGGGTAAAACGACCTGGATATGGAACGGCAGGCAGAGCAGTCACCGTTTATTCGAATTTTTTCAAGATTAGTCTCCCGGAGAGTGTCATCCACCACTACGACGGTTGGTGGCGTCGCTTTTCATATCTCGTCTCATCGTCTGATTTCATCCATTTTTCTTTCTTGCGATCTAGTGGGTAAGTACTGAAGTTGATGTCAATTGTGTGACTTGCTGTTGATCATCACGTCAATCTTTGTGATCAGTGATCTCGCCTGATGAGAAGGTACTGCCAGCGCGCTTAAATATGGACTTGATCCACCACCTTCAAACCATCGACGCCGTCGATGTGTTTACTCCTCGTGCAGTTTACGATGGGCGAAAGAACCTCTTCGCTCCCAGGGAACTGCCATTTGGTCCGCAGAACAGCCAAGAGGTGTGCTTATCTGATATGCTACAACACTCATCATTTACATCTATGTAGTTCGATGTTTGTCTTTCTGATGATCCTAATCGCGGAAGTCCTGGGGAGAACACGGGAGGCCGTGGTCCTAAGGTTTACAAAATCAGGCTGACTAAAGTCGCGCAAATAAACCCGGAGTACGTTATTTTACTTCTCTAAACGTCACATAGCTGGAATTTGTCTTCGGTAGAGTGTTACAACGCTTCATCCAAGGACAGCAATCGCACGACAACAGTGTATTGACGGCCTTGACAGTAAGGATTCTCGTAAGGGACACTTCAATCGATGGTTGACGTTGCGTATTCTACAGGCATTGAATGTTGTCGTCCGCATGGAACCGACAATGAAGTACCCCTTCAATGTTCGGTCTTTCTTCACCGATCGGGAGACTAAGGACATCGGCTCGGGCCTTGTATTATGGCGTGGATACTTCCAGTCAGTGAGGCCCGCAATCGGACAACTCCTCGTCAACGTTGATATCTCGACTGGAACGATGTACAAGTCTGGAGCGTTGATGGATATATGTCTCGAGTTCCTAGGCAGACCTGGACAGCCCGCGTTGCTTAGCCCGCGAAGTGGCTTTCCCGATCGCGAGCGAATCCGTTTGCAACGGTTTATCTCTGGCATTAGGGTCAAAACGACATATGCCGGTGAAAACAAGACCCCTCGTGTCGTCAAGAAGTTAAGCGGCGCAGGGGCCGCAGATTTAAGTTTCACCTTGCGGGATGGGACGAGCAGAACAGTGGCTCAATATTTCCAGACCATCCTTAACCGCCCCTTGAGGTTCCCCAACAACCTTTGCATTGAGGTAAGTCGTTCGCAGTAGACCTCAAAGCATTTCATCAGGCTTTTTAGGTTGGTAGCGGTGCCTTGATCCCTCTGGAACTATGCACGGTTCCACCTGGTCAAATAATGCGGAAGCAGGTCCCCCCGGAGAAAACGAAAGATGTCTTGGAATTCGCCACAAAGCGACCTGAGCACCGTCTTGCCAGTATCACGGCCGGTCTCTCGGTATGACCTTCGGTTTGTATAGCGCGCTATGCTCATCAGTCTTTCCATCAGGTGCTTCAATACGGCCAGTCGGAGTACGTACGCCAGTTTGGGATGCACGTCGAAGATACCACGGGACCGCTTACCGTAACCGCCCGCGTTTTGCAACCCCCCAAATTGAAGTATGGCCCAGGCAGCGCACAGCCGACCATCGTCAGTATCATAATCTGTTTGTCCTTCTGCGTGCTGATCTTTTTCTGTTCCTTAGACACCAAATAACGGCGCTTGGAATATGTGAGTGATATTGTACGATATTTCTTCGTTGCTTACGGGTTTCTAGGATCGACAAGAAGTTCTTCAAACCTGCGGCTATCGACAGGTGGATCGTGGTAGTCTATGAGAGACAACAGCGTTTCAACCCTCAGGCTGCGCAAGACATGATTGACGGGATGCTTAGGAGCTTCAAAGACGTCGGTCAGTTGCTCCTGCAACAATGTTAGGTTAAATTTTGACACCTTTCAATAGGCATCCGAATCACCGACGACAAGCCGATGGTTACGTGGCAAAACGGTCAAGGCCGGATTGCGGACGTAAGTGGGATTCTGCAAAGTAATGTTCGGCTCTGACTCGATTGCCTATTTCAGCAACTGCGTGCTGCTGGCACCGAGTGTTTCGCGAGGACAAAGCAGCGCCCGCAGCTCATTGTGGTAGTTCTACCTGAGAACGGCAATGACATCTATACCGCAGTTAAACAGTAAGTTCCTCGGCATTCGTCTTGTCTCAGTGACTCACGGTTTGTGCAGCTTTGGAGACATCATAGTGAGACTGCTTGATGAGCTTACGATGTGATATCTGAAACTATGATTTTAGGTCGGTGTCGCAACACAATGCCTTAAGAGCCAGAAATGCTTCCGTGCTAAACCGCAATATTATGCGAACGTCTGCTTGAAGTACGTCATTATCCCTTGAACAATAGATTTCATGTTGATACGCGCCACAGGGTGAATGTCAAGCTGGGTGGTATCAACACTATCCCCGATCCCCAGTCGGTTTCAGTTCTTACTGACCCTCGTAACCCTACCATCGTAATGGGTAAGCCCCATCGTTGCATTACTCTATCTTGTAGTCAAACTGTCCCCAGGTGCCGACGTCATCCATCCTGCACCTGGTTCTGACGGCCGTCCTTCATTCACGGCACTCGTTGGCAATGTGGATTCGGATACCGCCAAATACATCGCCACAAGTCGCGTTCAAGCTTCACGCGTTGAAATCATTGAGGACCTTCAGGACATGACAAAGGTGGGCAGTTCTTTCCGTATGGATTGCGGCACTAATCGTGTACTCTTAGCACGTTCTGAGTATGTACATGAAGTATCGCCAGTTTGCGGAGAAGAAGACAGGCAACCTTGCCCCTGCGCGTCTCATATTTTACAGAGGTTCGTTGCGGAAGCCATTTATACTTTTTCCCGTTTACTGAATATCCAACGTAGACGGTGTCTCTGAAGGTCAATTCAAGCAAGTTCTCGACAACGAACTCAAGTCGATCAAAGGCACGTTTGTGTTACTTGAGGGACAGAGTTGAATCTGACAACCTACCCAGATGCTTGTGCTGAATTGAAGATCAACCCGAAGATCACGATCATCGTGGTCGCGAAGCGCCACCATGTTCGCTTCTTCCCCAGTGGCTCAGGACCCAGTGAACAAGATAAGAGTGGAAACTGCCTCGCAGGCACTGTGGTTGACCAGGTCGTTGCTCATCCAACGGAGTTCGACTGGTATTTGCAGAGCCATGGAGGTCTCCTCGGCACGAGTCGCCCCGCGCACTACAATGTTCTCTACGACGAGAATGCATTCAGGTGAAAACTTATCTTCGTCTTCCTATATTGTGGATTGCATGCTGACAATGGTTACGCTTCCAGCGCCGACGGTCTTCAATCTCTCTCGTTCGCTCTGTGCCATGTGTATGCACGGTCAACTCGATCTGTTTCAATACCCGCGCCTGTATACTGTAAGTCTATGCCTAACGCGTTCGCTGTATACGAAGCGATTGAATTATTTATCAGATGCCGATATCGTCTGCTCCCGTGCCAAGAACCACTACGACCCTCAGGGCAACGTTGATTTCTCCGACTCTGCAACCCAGCTCGACTCAGCCACGGCTGAGGGCACCCTGGAGGCTTACAAACGTGGATTCAAGCCTTTGCATAACAACATGTCAAGCTTGATGTACTTTTCTTGAACGTTGCCACCTTGCCTGCATGATGCCCCCCCAAAGCAAGAGACTGTTATTTCGTACTTTTCTTTCCGCCCGCACGATTGTTCCTTTTTTTCTCCGACTTGTAATGCTTCTTGCCGTGTATGACCCCAATCGCAACTCTGTAAAAAAAACTACATACATTAATGCACGAATACAATTGATACCTGCATCACTTCATGTATAGATCTGACTGTTTGGACTGATGACTACGAAGTGTACATGTCTTACCGCAATATTCATTAACATTGCGATGAAATAGATGACGGGTTGGAACATGTAAGTTCGGAGGAGGCTGATCAGATCGGTGAAGATCGAGAAAGTATTTTCATAACAAAGCCGGTAGTTAGTGAGACGACGTAGTGACAAAACCATGGTTATCGAAGGCTAGTGCAAAGAGCGGACAAGCGAAAATCTTGTACAATGTTTGTCTTTCGAAGTCCGGGAGCCTCTCTGGAGATAGTGGTACCGTGCAGGAGATGGTATAAGTTGGTACTCTAACATCAATGTGACTATTACTGGCAAACACCCAAATCTCTCCAAGTACCGGAAGTGTCTCCTGGCTTGTTACTCTGCGTCCACTGCACAGACATCCAGAGATGTTTATCGTCAGTCACCTGAGAGCCCTTACTGTAACCAGTGGTCTTGCTCCAAGGAGAAGTGTACTCGCAATAGGCTTTATTATAGATTGGTTCGAGGCAACACCCCTGCTGATACCACTGGTCGGCAGGAGTGCCGGGGCCGTTGTTGTAATTCCAGTATTTAGCGGTCCATAGTTGGCTGTTATGAATCACTGAGGAGCCACCTTTGTACTGTGACGGAGATGAGAGAGAGGGAAGATCGTGAAATGAGTGACGCTTACTGCGAGATCGTGCTGCCAAGGCTGATAGCCGTTGCACGAAACTTGATTGGGGTTGGCAGGGGGAACTTCCCACCGAGCGACAATATGCTGAAATGATATTGGCGCACATAACAAAGTCAAAGGAAAGCGGTGACATACCTTATCGTTGTCCCTAGGGATAGTGACTGCCCCCGTGGGTGCAAAGGTGGCAGCGAAGACGAGTGCGATAGTAATGAGTTTCGAGTACATGATGTGTTGAGACGAGGTTGGTCAAAAGTTGATGAGGAAAGCGAGCAAAAAATGTGATCCCTTTATACGCCAGTAAAGAACAGAGGGGCCTTACCCAAGAGCAGGAATGCTGTGTCATGCTAAGCGTACGGAGACACTCGAATGAATTGAGAATGCGCTGCAATGATCTTGGAGGGCATTCAGATCATATCAGCCAGGCTCAGATCTACGAGTGCCGTAGCAGTGTGTTGCGGCTCTCGAGTTTCACCTAGGAATGCTGTGTGAATACAGGAGCATGCAGTCAGAGAACCGGGATGAGTCCAGCGGGTGAGTACGAGGCAGTCTCAGATCGATCCGGCTGCCCCAGACATGTCAGTAACCGCTCGGGGAATAACAGTGTCCTAGAGAGAGCGGATCATTATGGTCCAAGCCTCGGCCGTCCTCAGAGAACAGGTGGACTTCATGTTGCTATTTAGTATCATGGAACGATTCATAGCTCTAAATCAAACCCCAGAAAATAGCCGAGCATCAACCAAGAATCTTGGCAACTTGAAGTTGGCAGATTCAATACATCTTGATTGGCGTGCACAGCGAAGTAGACACACTGCCCATGGTGGCCCGGACACCATGTGAATATCATGATACTTGAATATTAGGCCAGGAGAATAGTCAGGAGCTCAACGTTCATAAAAAGGCGGTACTGCACTGGTCTCAAGAGAGTTCGAAGGAAGGAGTCCATAACTAGTACCAAAGATGTGCAAACAGTGATCACATGATGGTCCGGTTTTGAGGGACTCGAGAGCTCCTGGGACCTGGACGCGTCTCACTGAAATTTGCCCCAGTTCAAGAAATAACGGACATGTACATGTTTTTTTTAAATTCAGTATGAAGGAAGGAACCGATATCCGTACATAGTGCCGTTTCCACGCGTGATTGTACTAGGTGACATGGGCCAAACATGCGATAGTAAGACAAATTGCAAGCACAGGTAAGTAGTAGAGGGGATTAGAGGTACATAAATGTGGAGATGGGGGTATATCGTGCATACAGGGTGAGACTCGAAATAATGGTGATGCATTACTGAGTGTCCTTCGAAGCTGTACATTGCGCCCTCATCCGCTCAATTTCAGCTCGCATCTGACAAGTACCATCAATCAAAGAAAACCTTATCTCCGGAAAATGCGTACCTCCTCGAGTTGACGATCGCGTTCCTCAAATTCACGCTGCTGCTCGGCATGAATCTGCAAGGACCAGTACCGTCAATCACTACGGCACAATCAAAGTAGAAAAGGGGGCCGCGGCAATGATAGCCATATCGCATCATGAAGCGCACAGAATAACATGGTCAATAGCAATCGCATTGAACATTGAAGCATACATGATACTACGCAGGCTGAGGATTAAATTCATGCAGGCACTAAACCAGATTGTTCAGCAAGAAATAAGCAGGTAGCGGGAAGGATAAAATATACAGTACAATGATGGAGCGCAGGAGAGCCATGGGATGAGAGGGAAAAAATAATATGTTGATATGGCCGACCCTTTCAGCAATGGGCCCGAGGAACCCCTTCAGCCCCACCCCAGCGAGTTTCGTGCTCGGTTCTATCGCCCCTTATCCCCGGGCCCATTTTGCACCTTCGAATACCTCTACAATGGCGGCCGTGGCCCCGCCACTGCTACGACTTCAAATCCACGGTCTGACAATCCATTGCAAGAACTGAGTCCACTATTTGTATCCGGCCTGCTTTGTGGTGGTAGTGGCAACTGCGGGAGGCAAGTCGGATATCGTGTTAGTGGCAGGTGGTATGCTCTGTGTTGCTTCGCAGGCCCGGGCTTGATGCATGACGTAAGTATTAGGAGGTCGAGAGGTTGTCTTTTTTCTCGGAGTCGCATGATAGTTCCTCTGCGTGAAAATGAGACAGTGAAAAGAACTTAGAAGGAGAACACACAGGCTTGGGCGCACATCCCGGGGGCTTGGGCCAATATTCAAGCTTGGGCACACATTCAGGCTTGGGCCTACCCAGACGTTGAACTTGGGGTCCCATCGTGAAAATGGGCTGCCAGTGCCCGCCACCACTGCGGAAACAACTTCTTAGTCGTACCCTAAATACAGCGAGATTCAATCGTGGAAGATCCCGATGGCAAAAGGATGTTTCTCAGAGGTAGGTGTATGGAAACCCCATGTATAGGGAAACACTCAGAACGGAACGGACAAAGCGTGGACAGGTCGTGGATTGACGGTACGGTCAGAAGTAGATAAGATACCAAGCAGCAGGATTATGAACCTATCAACCAACCCAAATATTCGCAAACAAGCTTTTGGTAAGCTGTGACGCTTGCTCGAAGGGTAATGCTTGAGTAATCGGCACAAGGTAAGAAGAGTCTTCCCACAACGCAATAGCCAAGCAAAAGTCTGGGTTGATTGGAAAAGAACTAGGGCTTCAGTACAAGGGTATACTACTTAAGTAGGTATTTAGTATGAAGCCCGTGATAAATAAGAAACAACAATCACAAGTCAAAATGGTATACGCGCTTCTCCGCTGTCATAAGCGCTCATCCGCTGTTCAGCTGATTTCGTCATCGTTATTTGTCAGCTCTTGCACGCCCTTCAAGCAACTTTCTTCTTCTTTTCAATAGCACGTGCGGAGGTTCCGTTCCCGCCATCAATATCCATCCCGAGCCCCTGTCCGGTACTGCTGGTACTAGCAGTTGAACCAGAAGCCTGAGCCAACGAATTATCGTTAGGCGCCTCCAAGGCGAGGTCCTGGTGAGCACCCTCCCTTCTGTCATGATGCCCACTAACCCAGCCCTTAGCTCTCTTGGACTTCCGGTCAGCGATTGCGCGATCCCTCCACTCCCTCTTGCGCTTAGTGGATTCCAACGACATCCACAGCGCTTCCTCCATCAGCTCCGCCCGTTGAGGCGTCAAGTAGCGCCCACCTTCTGGAATGCGCGCGTGCGCGGTTGGGTTGGTGGGCTGTGGGATGGATGGGAGGGGTCCAACTAGGTCATGGATGGTGGGTGCAGGACCAGATATCTGGGGCCCATTAGGACCAGCCAAGGTGAGTCTTTCTGGTAGGGTATTATTGAGCTGCTGATTGTTAAATGCCAGGACGAACTCGTCGTAGCCGATGGGGGTGCACAGCGAGGAGACCGTTCCCGCGCGCAGGTGAGTATCATGCTCGACGTAGAGCTTGACGATGTCGCTGACGAGTAGGAGGTTACCATCTCCTAGGGCATTAGGGATGGACCAGCGAGTGCCCAGTACGTGGGCGAGATACGGCATGGGAAGGATAACGGTGTCGACGCGAGGGGGTGTGGTTGCTGGGTGATCGAGAGGGTAATTGCTGGGGGAAAGGACTGGGAAAAGAGGTGAGTAGTTATACGCTGGGGAGATTTCAAATTGGAGGTGCCCTAGGAACACCTGGGGGCCTCCGGAAGGCTCTTCCCCGGTTCCGTTTCGTAGTTCTGAAACATTTTGTACCCCTAGCAGCGTGAAATATTCCCGAAGGGCGTCTAGCCCTTCGACTTTATCATATGTTAACCAAGTTTTGTCCCCCGCCTTCCATAAGACCTCGAACTTCGCGTCGGTTTTACTTCCCGAGTGTGAAATGATTCTATCGATCGCCCATTCCGGCTCAGAGTCTTCGAAGTCGGCTATCTGATTCTCAGCCCTCCCCGGAAACAATCTATCATCATTCGGTATGTGTATTCTTAAGTATGATGAATGATACACTGGGTGAACACCCCTCTGCTTCAGACGACTAGGTAAATCGAGCCGGAACGAGTTGTTCCCGAAATCCTCAATTATTCTATAAGGTCCGATGTACTTAGGGGTCAATTTCCTCGTGGTTCCCTTTGGTAAGGATATATTCTTTGTTGAGACATATACTAAGTCCCCTTTAGTTAGGGGGCACGCCCTTCTTTTCTTATTAGCCTCGTGCGTCTGTTTGACGCGTGCTCCTATCAACGCGTCGTGGGCCATCATTATGGTGGCCTTCATTTTCTGAGCAAACGCTCGAACGCCTGGGTATTCCGTCATTCTGGGATCTTCCCAGATCATTGCCCGTGGGATCCTGCCACTATTGGACTCGAACGGTGAGATCCCCGTTGATTCTGATTGTGCTATATTAATAGCAAACTCTATAGCTGGTAGTCGTGCTACCCAGTCATGCTGTTTAGGTCCGATACAAGACCTCAACATCTGGGTCACCGTACGATTCGCTCGCTCGGTTGCCCCATCCGTCTCTGGATGATACGCACTCGACATCTTTTGCGTCACACCGACCAGACGATTTAGGTTAGTCCAGAAGTTACTGGTGAACAACACGTCACGATCGCTAACAATTGCTTTTGGCAGACCATGGAGTTTATATATTTCTGCGAACACCAGCTCCACGACATCTCTCGCGGTGTAGTTAGTACGACTAGGTACGAGATGTACCATTGACGTTAGCAAGTCGATAACGACCGTTATAGAATCGTATTCCCCGTCTCTGTCGCGAGACAGGGGCATTGGCCCTACAAAGTCTATACTGATCGCTTCCCATGGTCTGGAAGCGACTGGTAGTGAGTGTAGCAGTCTGTATGGTCGTTGGTTAGATGGTTTGCTTTTCTGACAGGTCTTACAGGATGTGCAGAAGGCTCTCACATCCGCTACCATAGTCTTCCACCAGACGTGTTCCCTCAAATATGACAATGTTTTATCAGCCCCCAAATGGGCTAGTATGGAGTGCGCCTGGTCAATCACCACCTCAACCAGGCGCCTTCCATCCACCATTACATCAGGTATGCACAATGGTGTTCTGTCTTTGAGCTTGATCCTGACTAGCCCTTCAGATACCTCAAAATTGCGAAAGTCTTTTGGGGCTTCCAGGACCTTACTCAACATAGTGTCCTCCTGGTACCGGTCCTTCAGTTGGTTCAGTAGGTCTACTTCATGCGGATATGTAACTGGCAGAGCTACTAATTCGTCTTTGTTATTGACGGTTTCTTTAGCTTTGATGTCCTGGGCATCATCCCTCCCCTCCATTTGTTCGAGTGGGCGAGGCCCGCGCAGGACAAATCGGTCCTTGACCCGCCTGGCGAATTCTGCACTGGTCTCGGCTCGTCCAGACTCAGCAGGAGCCACTTTCGTTCTGGCGCCGCGTCCTACCACTGGGTGAGGTCCGTCATAGACCTCTTCGTTCCCAGAGCTACTGACTTCCCCTTTTCCAGAGGAACGCCCTGTTGAAATGAAACGCGCCATTGAAGTGGAACGTGCCACTCCTTCAGGATGGCCAACTCCTCCTTTCCCTGGTGAGTGCCCCATTGGAGTGGAACGCGCCACCTTGCCGGTGGTCTCAACAGCCGGAACTGTTGGCTGGGACGTTGAAATGGAACGCGCCGCGTCCTTCGAGGTGACGTCGCTCCCCCCCCTTGAAATGAAACGCGCCATGCGCTCAGCCACCCTTCCACTTCGTCGTGGGGTAACCGCGTTGGCCTCTTCGCCAACCAAGACGGGCATGGTGATCAATCCATCCGTCACTGGGGGAGGTACGCCCTCATCATAACTCACATACTCACTCCCTGCCCTAACCGTCCCAGGCGAGTCGAAGTTGTACATGCGCGAGAGCGCATCAGGTAGGACATTGAGCTCACCCTCCACGTATTGTACGGTAAAGTCGAACTCTCCCGTTTTCTCCAGCCACCGTGCTTGCCGCCCTGACACCCCTTTCTGGTTTAACAGGTGTATCAGACTTTTGTGGTCTGTTAGCCACACGAAAGGTGTGCCCTGCAAGATGTCCCGGTGACGCAACATCGTCTCCACCCCAGCCAACAACTCCTGTTCGTGAACAGGGTAGTTGCACTGGGCGGGATTCATCTTTGCTGAGTAGAAGGCCGCCACGCGCGCCTTCTTCCAGTCCTCACCCTGGGCTACAACCCCTCCAACACCAGTGGGGCAGGCATCTGTCATCATCCAGATGGTGGGCTTGCCTTCCCCGTATTCCAGAGGTACTCTGTGGTGAGTTGCACATGCTTCCACATGCTGTTTCACCTGATCAAAAGCACGTTGTTCAGTGTCTCCCCACCTAAACGGTACGGTATCCCCGCATACCGCAGATAATACCCCCAACGGCACGCGCACCATGAAGATGTTGTCGGCCAGGTATCCTACAGCCCCTATGAAGCCACGGCATAAGTCGCGATTGGTGGGAACTTTCCAGTTAAGTACTTTGTCAACTTTATCTGGATCCATACTAATTCCATCATCGTTCACAATGCGCCCCAGGATTTTCATTTCACTGCAGAGAAACTTGAGCTTCTTCTCGCTCAAGTAGAACTGCTCGTGCTCGAGGATCTTTATTACGGTGCGTACGTGTTTTACGTGGTCATCCAATGTGTCAGAATAAATGATAATGTCATCTAGGTATACATCTAGGAACACCCCTATATACTCCCCGAAGATATAGTTCATCAAAGCTTGGTAGGTCGCAGGGGCATTGCAGTCCCCCTGTTGCAGCACATGGCTTACCATGTTACCGTCTGGGGTAGTCATTGCTGTACGAGGTACGTGCTCCGGCACCACTCTTATTTGCTCGTATGCGTCCTGACCATCCATTAGGGACCGGTACAGCTTTCTCGCTACCCGCCTTAATATCCCCTCCATATCAGGGAGGGGGGAGGTAAGTTTCTTCGTGTTTTTGTTGCGCTCCCTCAAGTCAATAACTGTTCTGAGTCGATCCGTCCCAGGTTTGCGAATAAACAGCATCGGGACCGTATTCCCCGCACTAGTCATCTCCCAACGCCCCGACGCTAGGTACGATCGCCGTTTCTCAGCCCATTGTGGACGCATCGGTTCAGGGCATCGAGAAGGGCGCCATGGGTAGATTTTCCCCTCGTCTATTAGGGGTACTGTGTGGTTTATAACCCTTAACGGCGGTAAGCCTGTCTCTGACGCTTTGGCACACAATGGTTTTGCTAACGCTTTCAGATGTTCACACGCCTTATCCACCCTTTCGTTGTATACCTCTGCGGCACGCGATTCCAGCGTGGTCACCCCCTCACCTTTTAACGGCTGGGGTCGTATGCTCTCCAGAATCACACGAGGTGCGTTAAATCCTATTGTTACACTGTGCTGGTACAAAAATGGTGTACCCAATATTAAATCATAATTTTGCAGATTAATTACATCGAAGTACCGAGGGTAATCCACCCCCTGGTACTGAAAACGGACGCTAGTCCCATAATTTACCTTCGACCTCGACCCCTGGACCGCTAACTGAATAGTCAGGGGTTTTTCCAACACGGTGAGTTTCGCATGAATCTGTTCTGCAGTTGTTAACGACATAAAATCCGCCAGCGATCCTGTATCGATCAATGCCCGCGCAGGCCGGCCGTTGACGTGCACGACAACAACTATGGGTTTTGGTATTGCCCGTGCGAAGTCACGCGTCGTCGATGAATTGCGCTGTAGCGCTGGGTACGTGCCTTTTGTCACTTGGACTCCATTCACACTGACCAGCTGTTGGCCAGATACCGCGGGTGTCCTGCCCTCATATGCCTTTACCAACTCCCCAAGGTCTAGCCATTCGCCTAGAACCTTGGTGAGCTCCTGCTGGTCGGGCGTGGTTGGTTCGAAGAGCTCGGTAAGTCCAGCATACATCCATCCATTTACCACTAATAATTCGTTATTGACCTTCAGCGCGGTTCTTCGCAGATGACGAGCGTACCAGCGTGCCGGGTCCCACTCCCACTGACACACAACGCCCCGGGGTAATATTGCTTGGAAGGCAAGTGCATGGTCTACCACCTGGTAGCTACCGTCAGGCGTCCTCTGACAGCAGAATCGCCTCCTTGTCCGCGCGGATCTTCCGCCTTTAACCTTGGGGCAGTAGGTGTTTAACCACCAAACGATCCTTTCTGACATGGGGTCTCCCATCGCCTCCCGATAGTTAGTCCGTTCTCGGTCAGTCTGTCAAAGCCACGCTTTTTGGTGCCCACATGCTAACCCAAGGTGTATCCAGTACGCGCTATCCACCTTAAAGTGTGGATTCTCCAGTTTTTCCCTTGGAACTGCAAGGTGTATTCCACGGTCCTTGTGTAAGTGATCCACTATATTATATATCTCATCTGATTCTCTATAGACGTGGAACCGATCTGGGTCATCCCATTGTTGAGTAGGGTCTCCCAGTTCATCCCCAGGGTACTTAATGCCTTGCAGCAAATCCATGGCGCGTCTGGCAGTAGGATCTCGGATTCCTCCTGGACGGTAAGTCCCACTGGACTTGGGTGAGTTGCGTGGTTCTTCCTCCTCAAGGTATAGGTTTACTGATCCTAGATACAACTCGTCTTGAGTGGGCGAAAAGTCCGCGAGGGCCCGTAGACATTCTGTATCCTCGGGTTCAATATGAACTCCAAAACTGGGGACGCCAGGCGGCTTGTTGCTAGATAGTGAGTCTGCTTTAAATATGGTTTTCTTAGGGCAGTTTCTGGACAGGTGTCCAGTCTCTTTACAGCTATAGCACCGGCCCTCCGCACTCAGTTTCATCTTCTCTTCAGTAGATAGGAGGGCCATTTGTCTCCCCTCCCTCGGACGCTCCCATCCCTTAGAGCGGTTCTGGTGCTGTGTGGTGCCTCCCCCACCCGGTTTCCTAGGTGGGTATCCCCCTTTTTTCCTTCGAGTTTGGTCAAAGCGTGGTCCTACCCCCTTTGCAGGTATCACCGCCGAGCTATGTATAGCCGATGGTCGTTCTTTCTCCTTTCGCGAGGGTGCTCTGTCGCGTCCAGCGGGTACAGAGTGAGCAATCTCTATAATCTCTGCTGCCGCTTGTACTGATTTGAACGTTGATACCTCTGGGTTCAATTCTTTCTTCCAGAGTTCCCTCTGGATTTCGGGTTTTAACCCTGTCCACAGACGACTGACCCTATCACGCTCCTCAACATCGCTGATCATGTTCCAAAGTTCGTTTAATTCATATATGTAGTCCCTCACTGACTTGTCATTTTGAAAACAGCGCTTCAACTTCTCCCGCTGCTTCGTCCGAAAGTTAATCGGGAAGCAGTAGTTGAACAGTTCTGTAAAGAACCCCCTCAGGCGCCATCGGTAAGGGTCTCCCGATACCTCTCTAATGTAAAACTCATGCGCTTTTCCCTTTAGGAAGTGCGCTAGCACGAACACCTTCTTTTCAGATTTCACCTTGCCGTCCTCCACATACGCGGTGCCCTCAGTAATAAATCTGTGGAACGCTCTGGAGTCCACTGTCCCATCATATACAGTTGGGGGAATCGGCTTTAAGGTAGTTCTAGTCTTTTTAGACTTCTTAGTCTTACTTCGCTTCTTTCTAGAACCCCTTCTCTTCCTACGTGGATTCTCGCTATTACTCGACGAACTCGCGCTCTCAGATGACTCCGATTCATCCGATGACGACGACGACGACGATGAAGAGTCGTCTGGATCGTCGGAGTCAATTCTCCCAAGGGCTTTCCCAATGTAAGATTCCGGTGCTACTTGATGCACCGGCTCCATGGCTTGAGGCGTTCTGATCCTCCCCCTAGGTTCTTTCGAGGGTTGTACAACCTTATCAATCATTGATTGCACTGGGTCGACGCCCCCCTTTCTCACTGGTCCTTGGCGCGTTGCCTCCCTTCGAGGTTTCGAAGGTTTGGGTCTGCCTCGACTAATCGTGTCACGCAGTCCTCCTTCATACTCCTTCCTGACACGATCTTCGGCGGCTTGCACCGCCGCCTTGATCATCTGTCGCAGGGCGTCAGGTATGTTACCCTCCTCTTCCATCCCTAGGGATTCTTGCTGGGTGGAACCTCCCTCCTGGGTATTGGGTAAGTCCCTTCTTGCTGACTTCATTGCTTTATAGGAAGCCAAAGCCGCCCTCTGAGCCTCCAACTCATACTCCGTTCCATCAAGGTCCAACCCCCCCCCAATTTCGGGGATCAGGCCCCTTTCCTTTAGACGGACCTGCCTCGGGTGACTCATTATCCCATGTCACCCGAGTGGTATGCCCTCGTCGGATGGAATTGTCTCGTCGAGACATATTGTCTCGATCAGCCTCGGTGAGTCTTTCCTCCGCTCTACTGATTGCCTTCCGTTGTTCTGTAGTTAATGCCTCGGGTTTCTTGGCCCGTTTTCCAGTGCGTTCTCGCAGGTCGCGATTCTTTTTCTTCGCGACTGTTATCCACGGCGGGTTGTTTTCATCGCCGGGCTCACTGGTGGATTCGTCTTGTTCACTCGCTGTTTCATAAACGGCGATTGATTTATCAAGAGGTAAATGTACACTAAAGTTCTCAGGGGTATCTACAGCACTGATAGCTGATAGTTCTATCTCCCTGCCAGTCCACAGATCTGGCGAGGGGGTTCTCGTTCTGACCACATCGCTGTACAAGCGAATGGGCTCAGGAACGGTGGTATCATCACTGGGCGCCTCACAGGACGCCTCAACAGAGGTAAGTGACGACGGTTCGACAAGGGGCTTCGTCTTATCGACGTTGGCCCCGTTTGTCGGCCGTCTTGTGCTATCTAACAGTTTAGCAACAAACTTATCAAAATCAGGACGTACCTCCGTGTTCTTTACAGGAGACGCGTTCGAATTAGCCCTGGGTCGGGCTGAACGGAGGTTATAACGGGTTCGGGTATTGTTTGACATTTTCACTGGTCGATGAATGTGGTGGGCCGGACCCGTCGTCGAAGTGATGTCGAATAGAAGTTAAAATAGAGAAAAGCTAGTAGAATAGACTTATTGAAGGCTAAAAAATATGTGACACTTGCTCGAAGGGTAATGCTTGAGTAATCGGCACAAGGTAAGAAGAGTCTTCCCACAACACAATAGCCAAGCAAAAGTCTGGGTTGATTGGAAAAGAACTAGGGCTTCAGTACAAGGGTATACTACTTAAGTAGGTATTTAGTATGAAGCCCGTGATAAATAAGAAACAACAATCACAAGTCAAAATGGTATACGCGCTTCTCCGCTGTCATAAGCGCTCATCCGCTGTTCAGCTGATTTCGTCATCGTTATTTGTCAGCTTCGCCACATAAGCCATCCACCGTGGGTAAGTAGTAGAATCAATTAATTTACATGTGTTCATCGATCATCACTGATCGCGGAATTTTTCAGCAGGTCTGTCACTGGAATCCATGTGTGAGCCTCGGAAGAGGGGCTACTTAGTCCAATGGGTAAAATGTAGAACGAGGAACTTGCGTTCTACGTTCTGCAAACACTTGAGGAGGCTCTGAATCTGACATGCCCAATCGTCGAAGGAAGTTGGTTACTATAGAGCTAATGGCTTTGTTTCCTTTGAATTTTAAAGACATGGCAAGTTGACTGTCAATGTTTTGCTCAGAGCAATTGCAAGGCCCCCCCTGGTCGTGGCCGCATCGAGGATGATGACATCTATTTGGCCGCATCCGGATTCCGTTCTACTACGGCCATTCTGGACCTGCGTTTCTTTCCTCCTTACCATTAATGCGGCTAGGGAATATACTTATCCCTTTAGTCGTACAACAAGACAGGAGCAGAACTGCCTTGCTGGTAATGTGGTTGATCAGGTCGTTACCCACCCAACGGAATCCGACTGGTATCTGCAGAGCCATATCGGTCTCCTCGCCACGAATCGCCCTGCGCACTATAGTGCTCTCTACGATGAGAATGAAATCAGGTGAGCTTACCTTCTTGCTCCTAAGGAATAATGGCCTTTTCTGATTCTTAGCTCGACTCAGCCCATGCTAAGGGCGCCTAGGAGGCGTACAAAGTATTCAAGTCTTTGCATGCCAATAACAAGCTTGGTGTACTTCTCGTGAACATTACCACCTTGCCTGCCTGATTACCCGAAAACAAGATACTGTTATTTCGCACTCACTCGTACGATTCTTCATCTGGCTCGATGGCGTTTCAAATTCTTCTTGCCTTGTGTCACCCAATCTCATTGGTCACTGATCTGCACCACTCTGTAAAAACGGCGTACAATGCACGAATACCATTGACACCCGTATTACTTGACGTGTATCAGAGACAGATGTGACTGCGAAATTTAAGTCTTGCCGCAACATTTGTTGCAGTGAGACAGAGATGACGAGTTCGAACAAAATCCGAAGGAGGATGATCAGATTGATGAAGTGTGGTACGGTGTGTGCAATGAAATGAAAAGGTTAGATCAGTGACTCGTAAAAGCAAATAAACAGAGAAAAAAATGTAGCCATGATGTGCTTTTGATGATGGAAATAGAAAATAGTAAAGCTCCTAAGTCACAGAAAGATACACTACCGGCAACCGACATGTCGCATACACGGGCTACTCTCCAAGAGTATTTGGTTATCCATCCGCGAAGCCGTGGACTTGTCCTATAGCCAAACCTTCGTCAGAGTCTTCCGCAGCTTATTCTCTGTGTGTATGGTCACAATGTTAGGCGTAGTAACCTTGCGCCAGCCAGCAAATGGGTTACGGGGATCAGGGCGAAGCAACACGCAGAGATGTTCCTGCTTTGGCTGTAGAATACCATCACCACTCGCATCGTAGCACCAGTAGTCCACAACTCCTGCAGTATAGCTGGAGTACGCATCAGTCTGGACGTCCATAGTGCCAAACTTCTCGTAAACGGTTGTCTCCTGTTGTGACAAGTCAACGAGAAGCACATGAATTTGTAGACCGCGTTTCGTCATGACGATGTTCTGATCGCCGCGCCACACTGTGGATGGCAGAAGAGCGTCGTTGCTGTCTATTGGATTGAGGGGACGGTAACATCTCGGCGATTCCGGGAACGCAGCACTGTCGGATGAACTTGCTCCTGCCCAAGCGAAGATCTGCCATTCATCGCATTTCTGTATGATTGCCTCCATCAACCTATAAAACGCCCGTTTTCCCTCTCCATATGCTACCATCATGCTCACGTCGAAGATTCCGATGAGAGAGTAAGCGACATCTTCGATACGCGTGGTTGTCCGAGTAGAAGCCCACATCATTTTCTCGTGGACGTTGTTTGTGCCTGGCTGAAACTGACGTAGGTCATCGAGGGGTATCCTCGTAGCGCGCGAGAGCGCAGCCATGAGCTCCAAGTTTTCCTTGTCGTTGATGTTGCTGGTAAGCGGCAGCCAGTTGCTGCCGTAAAACTTCATCCTCCACGGTGCAAGCAGCTCTTGCAGAGTCCACCCGCGGGTGAACCACACATCTTCGTGGAGATCGTCAATCGAGGTGGTATCAGAGAGATATGCGATGCATATATGAGCACTACGATACCACTTGAACATCGACCGGATAGCTTCTTCGAGCTCGGTGCTGCTGTCCTTGTTGATACAGCACGTATCGGACCATGCCAACCGGCACCCGAACTCGCTGGCTTTCTCGCAAAACTTCACGAGTTTCTCGTAACCATACGGTTTGAACGATTTCAAGATGTCGTAGAAGGTAGGTTCGCCGCTGTCGAGCCAGCGGTGCGAGAGGACAGCGTACTTCAGAATATCCTTGACGATATCTTTGATCGCGTCCTCCCTCTCTGCTGTAGGGCACGATTCCCTCAACTCGACAAGACGAGCATGGATAGCCTCCTCCGTGATCAAAGTGGCATCTTTTCGGAACATCCGCTTCACCTCATTGCGGCCGACAAGCCTTTTGTCTGGCACGTAAAGGAGGTACGTAGGCAGTTCATTTTGCACATACGCATTGAATATGCCTATAACCTCGGGTATCCCAGACGCACTGGAAGAGCCCTGTCATCGACCATGAGTTGGGTGTGACACACTAGGAAGCAATACTAACCGGAATATCTGGACCACTCGTGTCGTTGGGGTCCTTGGGTGGAAGCTTGACCCTCAGGCCTCGGACGCCCAGCGTTGCCGGCTAGCGGAGAGTCAGATAGATGATATCAGCCAATACAACCTCATACAGTTATCTGTCCATGGGGGAAAATATCCCGGACATCGTTGATGACTTCTCGCTTCAACTTGTGGAATTTTGCCTTGCAAGACGCATTTCTACATGAGACGTTGCATTTTCTACTTTGGCAACGTCCCTCACCGTGAGCGCTCTTTGGTCATCCTCCTCCATGGTGATCTCCATCACTTGGTGCACAAGGTCCTCCAGGAACGTCATTTCTGTAACCTGTTGAATCGAGGCAAATACTCCGGTGAAGAAAAAAGGGAATGCTGGCCACACCGACAATTGCACTCCTCATTATACGTGTACACAGGAGGTCTCAAACCCTGTGTGTATAGCCCAAACCCTGACCCTAAACTCGCGATATTGCTATGCTGCAACATTGCATTAAGTTTCGAAGATTTACTCGTTGCGGAGGGCTTCGAATGGACCTCTGCTTGAAACTTTATCCAGAAACTTTAAGCTGTGTATTTTAAGGACAGCGAATTGCGCAATTAAGCCTAGTTAACCTTGGACATGTATTAGTTTGGTATCAAGCTACGTCCTTCATCATGATCACATTGCAACGCACCTTGGAAGTTACTGCTTCACCCCCTATGCGGCCATGGCCCAGATCTCCTACGGCTTTGGTCCGCGTGATCACATGAACCCCAAAACGTGTCGACTAGTCGTTTCGAGATCTGCACTGAATAGTAATTAAGAGCCAGAAGTCGAGAAAATGATTAAAGTGAGCTCCGACCCTTAAGACATGCAGAGTGTTCTAAGCAGTTGCATCAGTCGGATTCTTGCGCGATCTGCACCAGTTCAAACGGCACAAACCCTATTTCTCTGTTACGAAGATAAGGTGAATGGAAACAATGTTCCCGCAATTTGTTTAGCGAGTAGTCAAGCCAACATGTCTTCTCGGAAGCTTAAAGCATCTAAATATCACTGATATCAGAACAACATGAACCCCATTCACGGAACGACATGAGTATCAGTAAATGATAGATATCGATGTAGATGTGCATACCAAAATATAAAGCACACTCTTGATTACACTCCCACTCACGACTGAGCAGCCTCTCGGCTAGCGAGGAACGCGCCCATGTCTCTCGTTTTCCCTCTTGCACCCGAAAGCCCAACGCTTGGAAATCCCCTCAAGCCCCCTCCCTCGATAGCGTGTTCCGCATGCTCATGAGGGATGGGGGTTGGAGCAACAGCTGGCGACGCAGATATGGACTGAGTAGGAGTATGAGGTGCCGTAGACTGCGACGCTGTCGAAGACGAGTGGGGCGAGAAGCGTTTTGACTTTTTCGCTGGTTTAGGCAGTCGCATTTCGGTCTGTGGGTATGAGGGTGGGGCAGCTTGGGCTAGTTGGTGATGGTTGTAATGTATATTTGCATCTCCGTTGGAGACTGAAGCAGACGTCCGAGAGCGAGAATCTGAACCTGAACCACTCCAAACTGATTGGCGTTTTTTGCGGGTGTATAACTCCCCACCGAGGTCAGCATCGTCGGCGTCCTCGGAGCCTTCTCCCTCTCCGCCTATGGCTGCCAATTCTTCTTGCCCCCGTACAAACGGCCCGAACTCATCGGCTGGAAGCGAGGGTACCTGGGATTCCCCACTACCTTGGAACCCCTCGAAACCACTGCCTTCTTCAAGAGAGCCACCATTTAGTGAGAGCAGAGTAGACATGCGCTCTCGCTCCTTGCGCTCCTTGCGCCGTGCCTTCCTCTCTGCTTTCTGCCGTGCTTCCTCATCACGTCTCTGCTGCTCAACTTCTGCGCGGTCTGGAGACGACATGCGAGCGATAGTCGATGCATCTAGTGGTGCTGCATCCGAGTCTAGCGTAGATGAAGATACAGTGCCAAGCGCTCTCCTCCTCCATCCTCGTTCGTCTTCATCGTCCGAAAGGTAAATCGGTGGGCGGCCGAATAACGTGTACCCAAAGAGTGTCAGCGAGAATGCAGGGCGCTTTCGTGGTTTTCTCCGGGCGCCACCAATGTTTGAGTGCAGAGAGAGCGTTTCTATTTCTGTGTCTGTATCACATAAGAGCCCCTCGAGCTCGTTCGACGGCGACCTGTGGGTTCTGACGTCGCTGCGGGCGTTATCATTGGAGTCGGCAGGCACTGTGCCGCTAAAGCATGGCATGCACGAGGCAAGAGCAGCTCGTATACTGTCCTTGTAGGAGAAATTGTCTACAGCCATCAATGTGATCCAGACAGTTGTGGTGATTGTGTGAGGGTATAGTTTTCCAGTGCAAAGCTAGCGCAAAGTATATAAGTCAAGAAATAGGTTGCGCCGAAAGGTCGTGGTCACAGTTGTAGCGAACTCCGGCCAGCCACAGGCCGAAAACGCAGAGCAGCACAAACACGTGTAACGCGACCTATCACCTGAATTTGACTTCAATTGTTTCCGAACGGCAAGAAAACACCGCACTGCCAACAAAACTCAAAACAAGTTGAGTAGAAAAATACGACTGATCTTGTATGATAGTAAGTACTTCTCGTTGAACTAAACTGTGAGTACATTATACAAGGCGAGTGCGAACTTCCAAACCATCCACGCGAAGAAGAAAACAGAAGAGAACCATTACTCCATACCAGCCGAATCAGGGTCAAGTAAGCTGTTACTGGGTGGTTAGCTCTGTGAGTGAAATGCACAAGAAAAGCTCACCTATACTGCTTCATTAGGGAACACTCACCACCGTTCTCCAGATCGATGTTGTATGAGTAGAAGTAGCCCTCGGACGAAATGACCATGACCTGCGGTAGAGTTCTGAACTAGACATGAGACAACTAGGGCGGGAGCTAAGAAACGGATTGAATCATACCCGCTGAGAGCAACAATACATCTTGCTCCACTTGATGGCAGTCGCAAGAACGCAAAGTCGCGAGATGGTTCCCACATCTCGGTTAATGTGTTAGGGAGATATCCCCCAACTGAATGTGACAGAGTCTTGGTCATCGCCATCGACTTGCGACGAAGACTCATGCTGGACAACATCAGAAAGAAATCTAGACTGCGCGAGAATACAATCAACGTACGAAACACCGCTCTTCTTGCGTTCGTCGGCGAATGCTTCATAACCTCCATCCATCCCTGCAGACCCCTCCCTGCCGTCAATGGACTCGGGCGGGCTAGATAAGCCATCATTCTTCTTACTGGACGAGGACGGAGCTTTCTGGGGTCCAAGTTTGAATATGTGCACTGTGTCATGTGCCGAGCTGACAGCAAGCAAGGATGACACTACATTGAAGTTGATCGAATGTATCCGTGCCTCGCGGGTCCCCCGACGGAATTGGTATAATTTCTCTGCTCCAGGGATGCTCCAAACCCGGATGACGGTACCCTTGTCGGACGCAGTCGCAAGCATAGTACCTGTCGAATTAATGGAAAGGAAAGAGATTGGCGATTTGTGAGCCTGGATTACATTGGCGACTGTCAAGGAGCGTGTAGAGAACAGGAGAACGTCGCCAGATTGGTGACTAGAGGATGGTGCCTGTGACGTAGATGCCTGACTAGGCGATGGAGTGGTAGGAGAAGGTACAGGGGACGGATATGCAAGGTAGGAATTGTCAGCGGATGGTGAGAGGGCACATGTTGCTGGCATAGCTCAGCTGTAGATTTTTGGTGAGAGCGGTGGGTGGCACGCTCACCTTCTGGGTTGGGTGTGGTCTCTATGATGTGCAGAAGACGCATGTTTGATATGTCATAGATATATATTTCAACTTCCAACACAATGACGAGGGTTTTCCTGTTCAGTTTGACAGCAAGGATAGAGGAAGGGAACAGCAGTTCGCAGATCATGGATTGCCGCTGTAATTGTGAGGATATGACATTCCGCATTAATTGAATAGTTTAATGGATACGCGCCTTTGTATTGACAATCTGCAGTTTTCGCGGGCTGGACTGGGGTTGATCAGCGGCACCGACTAGCGCAATGAGTGAAGTGCAGAAGAGCATCTCGACGATGCCACGTGCTCCGTCATCTAAGCATAAGATGTTCCTGTCACTTCAGTGTCCACAACACCCGTAGAATATAAGACAAGGACGCACTCATCGTGTAGACTCTCCCGAACGGATCGCAATTGGTTATGCTGTAACCCTTCCGAGTTCCAACGGAAATGCACCTTAAACACACATTTTGAGCAAGCACTTCTTTGTGAGTCCAAGACTCACGAGAAATCCTGGTTGAAGTTAGCGAAGAGCATATTGGTGTTCGACTTCTCTGCCATGGTAGCGGAATGAGGCGTATGTAATGTGCTGTGGTTTGGCTCTGGTGGCAGCGTGACTACACTTTGCATTTCAAACAACTACAAACATCGTGATAGACTCGACCAAGTCCACAACACAAGTTCCTAAACTACTGGTAACACTGTTGCACTCTTTTTTTCGATATGGAACCGATACTGTTGATCGATGGAACGGAAGAGGGCGATTTATCCAACCTCAGGCCTCAGTCATCCGAATATACGTCTGCCGAGCTGCGGGAGCTGGGCTTGCGATTCTACAAAGAAGTCTGGAAAGAATTTTACGAATGGGAACCTAGGGAGTGCCAACAAATCATCGACGATTTCGCTGGCAAAAAACAAGTTCCTGGAGAAAGGGAAAAATATGACAAGATGATAGATCAGCTATTCGACCCGGCCCTTCAGGACTCGGAGATGCAAATCGACTTGGAGAACCCAAACCAACCTTCGCTGGTAGTGACCCAGTACGATGTCGATGGTCGAGGTATATCATACACATTAGAGGTGGAGGAGGTCTCCGTCGATACTACTTTTGAGGCCCATCCTCCTTACGAGTCTTGTCCACCAATCAATCAAAGCATTCGCTCTGACTCGCGCGAGACAGCTGCCTTCATTCCGTATGGCGACGAGGAGGACTTCCCTGTCATGGATTATCTAGACAGCTTTCAGTCCTTCGCGTGGCAAGAAGACTTTGATCCAGATTGTAAGCCATGATTACTTCCAACATGCTGAAACCGCCACTGGAGATTGCATTCCCAGTGGAAATGATCCAAATCGAAACTGTCCGCCGACTAAACAACATGTACGATATCTCAATAAAGGACATGGAACGGATGCACATTTTTTCGAAACCACTGCGTCAAACGTACAACCTGGGTCTTCTTTGGGAGATATCCCAGCGGTCAGCCCGCTTTATTAATGTCCTCGCGAGGGCACCCTCATTTTTTATGCAGAGATTTCCTCCGCTGGCCTGGTGGAACCGAGGATGATATTGAGGGGGCTACCGTCGAGCCTGCAGCTGATGATCTCAGTAGAAGGTTGTCATCCGTTCTTGCGACATTTTGTCCAAATCTTAATTGTTTGCGTACTCTGTGCACGACGCATAGTAAGTTCTACTATTTTTTTTGAATGTCTTTCATTCAGGTGGTCTACTAGCACATCCTCAATCTGGGTCGTTCGGAGGTGGTAAACCCAAGATGACCAGTCAAAGCATGCGACTCAGCGAAGGAGAGCCCTGCGGTGAAGAATGTTTCCGTCTAGTAGACGAATCTTACATGGTAGTCATTATTGTTGAGTATCCCATAACATTCATTCCTGATCCCCGCGGTCCTTAGGATAAATTCTTCTGGGAGAATGAATCCGATCTAGAGACATTGAGAACAATTTTATCAATCTCACCCGATCTATTCCCCTGCTACCTTGCAGATCTCTGCTTCAAACCTTGCCGAGAAGTAAACACGTTCACACGAAACCTACGCTGCCGATCTCACCTCTCTTAAGGTCTTTGTTCAACGATCTCACATATTTCCTGATAATATGGTGTATGATGATGACCCTGCAGATGATGAGGAAATCCACGCACGGAACAACGAAACAGGGAGAAAAGCCCGAAATCATCCTCTCGTTTTTGGTACTCCAATATTGTTTCTGTTGGGTGACTATGGATTCTGGCTCACAATCAATTGCAGAGGGAAAGAAAGATCATGCAGCATTCGTCTCGTGAGTTCCCCAATATGATCAAGCAGATAGAAATTATGGAATGCTTCGTGACGCAGCCTCGAGCCTTGCAATCATAAGGGTCCCTGTGAAAAGGAGCAGTGCGAATGCTCCCGCCAGAGACGATACTGCCAACTAGCTTGCCGGTGCGGTATAGAATGTCAGTACGGTCATGTCTCAATTCACGGTACAGGTCGGATTTTAAACGACTTCAGGTATTCGTCAGTATCCCGGTTGCAAGTGCAAATCATGCCAATTAAGGTGTCCGTGCTATCTCAATGATCGAGAATGTATGCCCGGGATATGCGATGGTTGCGATGCAAGGTAGGGTACGCCATTGAAATATGCTGTGAGGTGAACTGAACCCCCAGTTTAGAGGTCAGACTTCGTTATTAACAAGTTTAAGCGTGCGACTTAGTGCAAGTGACCTTTGATCAGGCTCAACCGACATGCCGTGTGATAACACAAAGCTTCAGCGAAATGATGTCAAGGTAAGGACGTCCGTCATCCCTGAGTTACGCTCACCACTAGTCAGGCGGTCGAGATCAGGCGGGCTGAACATGGCCTGGGAGCTTTCGCGGTGCAAAACCTTAGGACTGGCGATTTCATCGGAGGTGATGTCATTCCCTGCGCCATTAGAGCCCAATGGCTTATATTTCGGCTCAGACTACGTCGGTATGCTCTTAACGGGAGGCGACATCGACGATCTAGAGTACGCCTTCACACCATTGAACATCAGCCGAAACGTGCTCACTTCATGCAGGCCTGTTACCAAATACAGCGGTCGTAATTATTTTTTCGAGTTCTCAAAAGAGAATAGGCAGGAGATGCTTGATGCTGGCCCAGTCGGAAATGCGACCCGTTTCCTGAACCATGCGGCCCCGAAAGATGCCAACTGTGAAGCACGAGGTAAGTCCCAAAATGGAGCTACTTGTGCCCGTCAGCTGAATGATATGCACTCGAGTTCTTCTTGTCAATGGGGAGCATCACATCGGATTTTACACCAGTAAGGTTTCCTGACGGTGCATAGAATCGCTCTACTAATGGTATTATCTGAAGCTAAAAAAGTAGCTCGTGGAGAGGAACTTTTCTTGTGGTACGGTGATATTTACTGGCCGAAAGATCTGCAGACCGAGGGAGATAGTTCAGAATCATCAAGTGATTGATGCAGTAGGCTGAGCATTGCTTCTACTGTACGTAGAAAGAATATAACCGCCGCAATGCGGTCAGGATGTACGATTACAGACAGGCATACATAACCAAGGTCATGGTGTTATCATGGTGGGTTTTTGCGGGGCGAACACGACTTCAAGTGAACGATGGACTAGTCAGGCTGCACTGCGTTCTGGAGAGAACTGAGGAAGCTTCAGACCTGATCCGTCCGAACCCCGATGGGTCGCTCCGCTCCAACGAACACACGAATTCCTTCCTGTCGTTAGAGGTCCGACAATGGATATCGTTGCTCAAGAATATCTTTCACTATAGCATCTGCCGGTCACAGCCCTGGGTGGTATCCTGCACAAAAGTACATATTGACTACGAGATTACGGAATGACGTCAACCTTCTATCGTTTCATGGTGTATTTGGTTTGACCTCACATCTTTTACGGGGTGAGACCACCGCTGAGCACTGGTTAGCATTGCTGAGTATCCTGCTGGATGAGCGCAAGGGCTTTGTCAGAGCGAGCCTTAATCGAGCACTTGAAGGGCTTGGGGTGGCTACGAGTGCGTATGTTCAGAGCACCGTGGCCATGCCAAGATACGCAAACGTACCTAATCAAACCAGATGTGTGGTCAACTTCAGGGGTGATTTCAACGCCATTCTCGACAACCTTGGAAACATCAAACACGGCAAGTGACATTGCAGTGGTTATCCAGATGGACGCATCGGCGAGGTGCAGACCTGTATTTTCGAAAAGAAGCGTTAGAAATCTGCCTTGTTAGTCGGCACCCTCTGTGAGTTGTGCATACCTGGGCAGAGCCTGTGGAGCAGAGCCTTAGCATTTCATTCACAATAGCAGTGACTCAATATTCAATCCTTACCGTCTACCAAAACCGAAGCACACCGCGCGAGGGTCGGTCTCAGGCTCTTTTCCATCCTTGGCCAAGAAGCGCTCGGGGTTGAATTCCGAGGGGTTGGCATATGTTTGTGGATCATTGAGCATGAACCTGTCGCGATTAAAAGCGTTAGTATACTGGATACGCAACAAGGGAAACCTGAGTACCAACCATATGTTAGGTATTACCAAGGAGCCTTTGGGGATGTTATATCCATTATGGATGTCGTCCTCAATAACACTGTGGTCAGCTGTCATCGGGGTACTGTTAGTCGACTAAAGATTGTGATAAACTAGACACACACACCAGTAGGGATGACAACGTTCCAGCGGAGGACCTCCTTGGCAAGCGCCTCGATGTAGGGGAGGGAGGCGCGATCGGCGTACGAGGGAAGACGATCAGGGCCAACAACAGCATCAATTTCAGCCTGAGCCTTCTTCTGCACATCAGGGAAAAGTGTCATAGCCAGGAAGAATGAGTAGGTCGCAGAAACAGTCTGAACAAATAGGCGTTGGTCAAAAAATCTGATAGTTTCAAAAACGCAGAGAGGGGCCAACCGTGTCGGCACCACCGCTGAATAGGGATACAGCAGACCACTTCACATTGTGATCCTCTTCCACGGATAGAGTGTGGTCCTTCAACAGATCTGAGGCGAAAGACTTGGGGGCAATGCCAGCGGCCTGGAAATTGTCAATCTATAGGGCGTGGCTGCAATTTTACAAATCTCAGTCACCATCTGATCTTTGACGAACTCGTAGGGTGTAGCAGCCAACTCTTCGACAGTCTTACGGCATTCACGGGCTAGGCGCTTGAAGCCAGCACCAGGGAACCACTCCGGGAGCTTGGCCACTAAAACAGAGTCAGGCTATTGGAAGACAGCGACGAATTGTTGGGGTCTTACAGGATGGCAAGAAGTCAACTATGAAATCACCAGTAATGCCGTACCGCGAGAATTCGTCTAAAGAGCGTTCCGCAAGGTCAACGAGAGGATCGTTTTCATCCTTGACTTCATAACCATAACAAATGCGCAGAATGATTGCACCAGCGGTGCTATAAAAATTTCAAGATCAAGCGAACAGTACTACAAAACACATACTGTCGTAAATGTGCTTGCAATTGATCGGGTTTCGCGAGTACGCGCTTCAGGAGTCGGTGTGTCTCAATCTCCTCGATGGGGTAGTAAACAACCACGGCAGCACGACTGCCAAATACGCGATGGCAATTCTTGCGGAACAAGCGAAAGCGTTCACCATAACGCAGATAAGCCAGAGTTTGCCCATAGCCCATAAGTTCGCCACTCATAGGGACAAACGGACGGTCAGAGTACAAAGAACTCTTCCTGTCCAGGATTTCCACTGTAGTTTTGACAGAGTTCAGCACGAAGATGTGCTGACCCAAAATATTTATGTGCGTGATATCACCTGCACGCAAGGGCGTTAAAATGCACGATTTTGGAAACACGGGAGGCTCTCACCATACTTCTTGCCCCACTCGGCGAAGGTGAGCCAGGGCTTGACGTGAGGTAAGTCTTGGATGTTTCCGATGAGAGGCAGCCCTGGAGGACCAGGGGGATACAATGCACGATTCTTCTTGGCAGATACCTGCTTCAACAGATACACTCCGACACCAGCAAGACATAGGTACAGCAAAGTAACGCCAGTGAGTGTCGACATGGTCGATTAGCAGAAGATGAGCGCTAGAGCGACAACAGATATGTCAAGCGCTCGGGGTTATTAATGTTAACCGGATGGACATCTTATATCTCTGCTGAATTGTGCTGGACAGTCGGATGTACGGGGTCTGCGACTGCGCTTTGGCAGCACAGTAGGCGATTTTCCATGCGTTATTAATGCAATAGGTCAAGCAAGATCCTGCTGGCATGATGTCACCAGCATGAAAATCTATGAAAACGAACGTTCAACGACGCACTGTGTTTCTCGATGAAGCTCTTGAATATCGCTTCATGTAATGCGCCATTAACGCAATAGGGTGCAGCTGGCACAAAGATGACATTGGGCAATAAACCTTGTCGCTTAAGCTTGGTGTATCATGATTCAAATCATCCGTTGATTTAGCGTGAGATGCGCTGAGTGTGACTCGAACCCTGAGGGTTAACTAACTTGGCCAGGGCAGCATCTGGCAGCCCAGCAACTAGGCTCCCTCCCAACGGACGTTTCGAGGGCGGCGCACCGTGGAGGTCCCATCCCACTTTCTAGGACAGTTGGCAAATGCAGCGGCATCCTCCCAACCGCACCATTCAAACACCAAATTTCCCAGACTTCTCCCTGTCTGATGCGTGCGTACGCGTCCGCTCAGTCTGGACCTATCGCCCAGTCCGGTGTGTACTTCTTGGATCCATACATCCGCTGCCTTGTTGTTGAAGCAGGTCGTGGGACTTCCTGCATGAAACAGTATCAGGCACTCCCGGGGCAGGACAATTGCAGGACCTGTTGTACCATACGCATACACCATTATTTTATGATACGCATTTCGCACTCTGCATTAGTGTCTATGCATCGTGACATATGTAGTATAACACAAGCGGATAAGAGATCATGAGCCGTCAGAGTCTAGCCTCCTTCGAGTGGCCTCCGACTTCGTCGTCGCGATCGTTTCATAGACCCCCACCCCAACGTCCACAGCGCCGAAATCAAAGCATATGGGGGGGAAAGCCAACTAAGCCGCCACGACCATCCAACTTTCCGTTCTAACTTCACAAGACACAAACGAACTTGCTCTTCAAGATCTTGTAAGGTGCCAGAATTATCAACGACGATGTCGGCATACTGCACTTTCTGCGCTATGGGAAGCTGCGAATTCAGGCGCGCTGAAGCGTCTTCGCGGGATGAATTGTCGCGCGCCATGAGCCTCTGAAGTTGAACGTCTGCTGAACTGTGGTGGGTAATAGATGTGGATGAGAACTAAAAGATTTCAAGGATAAACGTACCAGTAGACCACGATGACTTTCCCCATCCATTTCCACAGCCCTCCTTCTATTAGAAGAGGGACGTCCACAATGCACAATTTCTCTCCTATTAACCAGCACCAAAACACATTCCGAAGAATTGCACGCGAGACAGCAGGATGAATGATAGAATTCAATTTCTTCCGCTTCGCTTCGCTGTTGAAGATGATAGCACCGAGTTTCTTTCTGTCGAGGGTGCCATCTTGGAGCAACACCTCAGAGCCGAAGTATGCGACGATTTGAGCGAGCCCTTTGGTTCCAGGTTGCACGACTTCTCGTGCAAGGACGTCCGCGTCGATGACTGGAATTTGTCGGGACTTGAGTAGGTTGGACACAGTGGATTTGCCCGTTGCGATGCCCCCGGTGAGGCCGACAACTGGGATTCATTCAGGAATCAGCGGGGACATTAGTATAGAGTCCAAAATTCAAATACCCAACATGATGTGGCTCTAAGGTGAGCCCCTATCAGATCCGGTTCAGAGACTGGTGTCAATGGTATCGTAAAATGAGTCCCCCGCCGGGAAAATGGTTCAAGTTCCGGAGGACCGGAATCCTCCAATGAAATCTTCAACGGGATGATATGTAGTACTCAATGCAGCCTCCTATTCATCATCTCAAAAGACTGGTAACCATGCCAGTGTGGGTATCTGGCATTAGTCTCTGACTCTGGCTAGCGTCCGATCATATGCAGTGTAACACTGAGGAACATCCGGGATGGCCCTGTTGTGTGGACATGACTGTCATCGACGGTCTCGTCTTTTAATTCGACGCCCACGCCATCTTTTCATGCACGCGGTGACGCATCGTCCTTGTCAATTCTCTAATTCTTGATGGGTTCTCAATTTCTCTGATAAAACTTCATTGGCATTGGAGACGAACGCGTTGCGGTACCATCTAAACATTGCGAGGATAGCTTCTTCTGAGCTATCAATGCAACACGCGTACGACCATACAAGCCGACAGGCATGTGCGAATAACTTCTCGCGTAACTTTTCCAGGTTCATGAATCCTTCGCCCGACATCCTTCGACCCGTGAAATCTTCGTGATGACTCCGAATGTCGGTGAGGGCGTAAGGTATACGCAGACGACGGGTTAGGTGCTCGGAAAAGGATGTCATTGATCGCCATCTAGCCTAGAATAAGCGTGAGCCGGCCTGAAAGAGATCATAGATAGAAGAAGGAAGACAATTGAGTTGTCCTATGAGTCGAGTAGTAAGTTTGAGCGGAGACGTGGCAGTACTCCCGTCAGCCCTATTACATAAGCTATTCACCAATAATGAGTTCAAACTTAAAAATAACACACACACTTGTTATCGATTACGGTTCCGGTGGTACTGGTACACAGCGGCACGCCAGGTGATGCGGTTCATAAATATAGCAGTGGCACAATGAATAGTCACTTATGGCGCTGGATCTGTTCAACTATTCTTACACACAATATGCACACATACACAAAGGATTTACATAACACAGAGTCGCGTACCGTTGCCGAGATGTATCAGGATGCTTTGGGATTAGCGTGACTTCCCGTTTTGGCAACACCGCACGACGACAAAATCGAGCCCGCTGTTGAGGACAGCGAGCTCAAATAGTTGCCCAATCCTTCACCCTTTTCACTAAATTGAATACTTCTGGCTTTGTAGAATTCTAATATATTTATACAATGAATACATCATTAATTGAGCCCATAATAAGCCCCTCAGAGCGCCCAGTATAAATACATGACAGGAATGGGTGAATATTGTAAGTTTGGAAGATTTATGGTCAAAATAGCATAGTTAACTAGCTACAGTTAATTTTTTTTTCCCTCAAAAGAACTAGTGAAAAGGGTGAAGGATTGGGCAACTATTTGAGCTCGCTGTCCTCAACAGCGAGCTCGATTTTGTCGTCGTGCGGTGTTGCCAAAACGGGAAGTCACGCTAATCCCAAAGCATCCTGATACATCTCGGCAACGGTACGCGACTCTGTGTTATGTAAATCCTTTGTGTATGTGTGCATATTGTGTGTAAGAATAGTTGAACAGATCCAGCGCCATAGTCACTAGACTGAGACAAGGTCTGTACAAGGCTTGTTTGAGTGGTTGTACATGATTCGGAGTCCGGACATTGTAAATATGATTATGAATGAATGCAGTCTCGAAAATGTACTAATAGCTAGCTGACCAGAGCAAACATTTAGAGATCATAACAAGACGACGACGACGAGCTCCATTATTATAATGGCAGACGTCAAATACGTAGCATGCGCAGTGCGATCGATCATGATGATTGCTCTGGCTCAGACATCATATCCCAGTCGCTGCCACTGCCACTGCCATCTGGACCGCCGTCGGACGCGTCAGACCAGGACTCGGACTCAGAACCTCCACTCGCACTCTCAGGCCGAATGATAGGGGACAGAGGGCGCTGCGCCCAAGATAGATGATGACTGCTCGAGGAACTCCCGTCTGAGCTAGGGATTCTGCGAAACGCTCGCCATGAAGGCTCAACCTCACTCTCGTCCTCCGATTCAAATTCAGAGACGCTGGAAGGAACTGAAGGTGATCGAGGCGGAATAGGGATCGGTGTCCCGGGGACAGAAAGATTGTACGGGGAAGGCGAAGACTGCCGCGAGACGTCATCTATCTCTTCTTCCAATGGGTTCCATCTCGGGCGGCTCTCCCCGAAGTCAAGATATTCTCGCATGGCTTTGGAGATATCTGCAGCGCCTGGGTTTGGCGATGGCGGCACCGAACCATAGCAGGAGGTTTGGGATGAGGAAGACGACAGGTCTGAAAACCATGGGTCTATAATATAGGTGGGTTGACGTGAAGTCACTTCTCCATGGCGCAGTGTCTCCGTGCTCGACACCTTCCTGATCCTATTATGCTTCTCATCCCATTTCACCATCTCCTCTCTCTCCCTCGTGTGCCGCGCGAACATCTCATCCCACAAAGTCGGTGCTGGGCCCCTCCGCTTCAGCACGTTCCTAAGCGCCCACTCCGTATCAAGCATCGCGAGGTACGTCACATCCTTCCACACACCCACCACACCCCCACTCTCCGGCTTGAGCACCGAACGCCGCCGAGTGCCTTCATGCGTAAATCCCTGCCCCACGAACAGCCTCATCGCACGGTCTTTCTGGGCGTCATTCATAAGCGCCGCTTGGACGCGGTGGAACTTGAGGTCTTCAAACACCCATGCCAGCGCAAGCTCTACGGCTTCGCGCGCAAAGCCCTTGCATTGATGCGCTTGAGAGATGATGATCCCAACATTCGCTTCCTGTGCTGCAGATTGCGCAGGGGCAGCGGTGATATACACGATGCCAATTGGCTCCTCCGCCCAGGGAGCTCCAAGTTCATGCTCCGAAGGGAGGTCGTCAGAGAAAACATTCTCATCGAACTTCCTCAACATAACAAGAGCGCAAAGCAAGCAATCTTCCGCGAAATTGATCAAGGACGGCACAGGCGCTTGCATAGGCTCCACCGCGCTCTCCGTGAGTGTGATCCACAGAGCTTCAAGCAATTCATTATCGTAGTTGGCGAAGTTTAGCGGCGACAGAGCCACATTTTGCGAGTGGGTTAACATGAAGGGCGAGGGCGATGGGATAAAAGGAGTGGAGCTGCTGCGGCTATGTCGTGTATCTCATTATATATATTAGCTTCACTGGCGCCCACAGCAATCAGCGAGCACACTTGCACAGCTAGCACAGATCACTGGCTAAATTTGGTCTCTTGTGGATATGGAAATAGACCTTCCGCTTCGTCATTTTGAACTTGGGCGCAGTGCAAGTATTGGGGGGATATACGACCCTATATACGTGGGGAAGACAGGGGCTGGTTCTCACGAAGCCATGAGGCCTTTGAGCCTCGAGGACGAGATCAACACCGGTGCTGAAACAGCTGAGCTGGTGGCTCCTTTTGTTTGTCGAATCATGCCCGAAGCTTCTTCACGGAGAATTATACGGGAGGGTATAGGTCGTCCAGCACGTCGAGTGACAAGATCTTTGGCCTTGCTGCTAAATGAGGCGAAACGTCCTCCGCGCTATGACCGGGCGTTGAATGATCGGGTTGCAGGGAAGGAGACTTTGTTGTTATCTGGAAGAATATCACCTGCATTAGGAGAGTTATCGAAGTTTGCCTTCTCGAGAAATGCTACAAGGGTACGTTCTGAGTCGCCCAAATCCAATAGTAATAGCGAGGGTGACAGGTACTGAAGAGCTCGGATTTAAATGGATTTTTTTTCCAACAAAGGTGTGGAGCCACGCGCAAGGAAATCGGGGAAAGCAGGTCACGTCGGGATCTGCATTCCTGGATTTGCTTGTGCGTTGCATGCAAGACACAGTGACAACGTTTCGCTTGGGTTAGTTTTGCTTCGTGTGTTAACTTCAACATTGTAAATTGCCTTTGTGTTAGATTTTGTTCAGTCACTCTGTCGAATTCCCACGATTCTAAATATATCGACACACGACCTCTGTAGATCTCCACTTGCGCCCCGCGGTTTTGAATGGGGTAAAGACAGGAGTTGGCTCACGAAACCATGACCTCAAGCTTCTCAGTTCTGAGCCTCTTCGACTCAGATCTAGAAATCAATCAAAATGTCATTCTATACAAACAACGCACGTGACACGGCAGTGCAGTGAGAACGTCACCCTTCCATGATTCCAATCAGACACTGCACGTCACGAGTGCGATAAGTAAGGGCGCATCCATGTAATAATACAATGGCGTATCAAGTAGGTTGCCTATCATCTAAACACAAACGTTCCCTTCATATCCCTCCAAAAGGCGCTGGCAACTCCGTGAGATCGAGACTCAGCGGGATATCCATGATCCACCTCGTCATCATGTCCTGCACAATAGCATGAGCGACCAAACACAAAAAAAACCGCCCCACCACTCACCAACGCAGCTTCAGGTTGGTCAAAAGGAACCATGTGCCTGAAAAAAAACAAAGTGGGTTAATTATCGAGAACGCAGATAGTTATGGGCCTCCTGACCCAGATTCGTAAACGGTAACGAAGGTGACGTTCCCAGCGCCCGAGCCACCGCCACCGGCAGACCGGACTGTACCGGCGACCTTTCCAGAACGCATCGTTACCCACTGCTCAGTCGTAGCCGTAGAGAACTCGTCCAAGAAGATAGTGTCAAGTTGTTCGACCCAACGTTCGTTACCCTGAAATAACATACGTACGTACGTCAGATTACGGAAAAACCAAACCTGAATGATGACCTACCATGTAATTACACATCATATCTAAGAAACGAAACCGCATCAGAATCGCGCCCGTCAAAATAGAAGAATAACCACTCACCGGCGTTCCCAGCATAGACAAGCAATCTAACTCCGTCATTGATCATTTCCGTCAGTAACAGCGGAGTATTGCGCATCGAATCACCCTGGAGCATGAACGCCTGGTTGACTGCCATATTGCAGGACTCGAATTTGCGCTGCGGGTTCACTCCAAGAGCAGCTTTCACCTCTGGATCGTTCATGTAGTTCTCGATCCAGCCCATCTGTCGGTAGCACAGAGGACCGTCTTTCTCACGGTCGCATTTGATACGCGCGTCGTAAGGGTTGAGACCGGATTCTGAAGGGCGAGTTTCAGTCAGGATCAGATCTCGGAATAACGGCACATACGTTGAATGGGAGCGTAGAGCTGAGAATTGCAATACAGCGCAGCAGGCACGCAGGTCAAACGAGAGTTGAAATTGCGACAAGACGTGATGAGCCTCTGGCAAGTCGGCACTTTGCTCCTCAAGGCAGCACATTGCGCACCCTCGGGGTCGTCATAGATCGGGTACGGTCCATCGCAGAGATAGTCGGGTATCGACGCCATTTGGACGTAGTTGTCGGTCATGCCGTTGCCCATCATGACAGAGGCCAGGTTGATCTTGATAAGTCCGGCGGTGGGTGACAGAGGGATCTGTTGGTTCTCGGTGTAGATGACGTTCGCGATGTTCGGGACATAAGTGCCGCCGTAGCTCTCAGCGGCGAGATGGAAAGGCTGAGTTGAGTATTCGGGGAAGCGGGTGAGGAAGAGCTCCATGAATGCATAGACGTCCTTGCCAGCGACTGGGCTGGAGTCGACGGTACTGCCATCTTCGGAATACGAATATCCAACGTTTATGGGCTGGTCGAGGAAGATCATGTTGGCGTGGGCGTTCCAGCTGTGTGGGTTGTGCGTCGTGTTGGCGCCTTCGTCTGCGATGTTACAAGGACCAAGCTCGAACAGGAGGCCAGTGGACGAGCTACATCCAGGGCCACCATTGAGCCACATCACAAGAGGCGCATCCCCAGGAGACGTGCGTGACTCAAAGAACCTTGAACCCAAACGCAGATTAAAATGACAAAAGAAAAAAAGATGGCATCACACAAAACTTACCAGAAGAACAGATGTTTGTCGTCGGTGATATCAAGGTAACCGGAGTACTGCTTCACCGAGGGGTCGCATAACTTGGGCTCCGTAACCCGTAGCTTGTAGTCACCAAAATGAGGGTGTTGAATCAGCTCATCTATTCACATAATTTGATTTCAGTATGAATATCGAATTGAGCATGTGGACGCACAAGTTAAGCCGTGTTGTTTGATGTACTGCTTCCCATCTTCAAACCATTGATGTACTTGCTCCTTGCCTTTGTCGATGATGCCTTCTAGCACAGCGTCCTGCGTGGGGAAGAACCCACTCTGAACGTGGTTAGTCCCTCCAAGAACGACTTGTGTGTCTTCGGCTGGAGCGGCGACGATTGCTGGTATGACAAGGGCTAGAGGAAGGAGACTGAGGACCTTCTTCATTGTTGAAGATACTCGTTGGAAACGACTGTCTTAGGGTCTACGGGAGATTGAACTTGTGGGACTGCGGTTACAAAGGCCTGCACGCTACTACAGCTTGTTTGGCAGCTGGAACAAACAACCGTGGAACACGCCCGGGTCAGTTTCAATCCAGACCAAGCTACATACTAGCTGCCGCCTGCCAGTGCGTGTGACCTCGAGCCTCGGCAGCTCCGGGTAAACAATCTTCATCTGCCACAAGGTCGTTGTATGTTGTCGCTGATCATTATGATTAAACTCCACTGTTTCGTACTAGGGTGAGATCAGTCCACGCTGCTCCCCCGATTGACGATCATATGGCTGTGGTGCATGTGCCATGTGGTCTGAGATGGCAGTCCGATTCAAATCAACGCTCAAGAAACAACAATCAGAAAGCATGATTCACTCCAAGGATCACTGCCACAAACTGTTTCCACGCATCCCAAGCAATTAATTATATTCAGATTATTCGTAATATCAGTCCCATTCACAGTAAAAAAACGCGCGCAACAGATGTACGATATGATAAAATGCTTATGAACAGCTTTGCGAGTGGGTCTGCACTAATATCCCCTGCACCATGAACCCCAGAACGAAAGAGAGTGACGCCGAGCGTAACAGAGAGAACTACAGGGGGGGAGCGAATCTGCGAGTAGGAGCGGGGGCGAAATCTGCGTGTAGGAGCGGGGACGAATCTGCGTGTAGGAGCGGGGGCGAAATCTAAAAAGTGTCCACGAGGTATAAAAGTGCATTGGCGACTGATATAGCCGAGACGGCTGATATGGTACAACGTAGATCACCACATGGATGTGGGCTTGCGGGTGGTCGCGAGAAGGTATCTCAGGTGTTGGAGAGCAGGAATGGTGAGCGGAATAGGATATTATGTTACAAGCGCGCTTCTCTTCAGATTATCGCGCACGAGAACGTCTTGCACTGGAGCGAGTCAGCCGCAGTCACCACGAAAGCAAAGATATGTACATACCGTTCTCGAGGATGTATGTCGTCGATTTTGTGTCCTGCAAGATAAGCGCGGTCACAGGAGTGTCTATGAACAAGTCGCTGAAGAACTTACAGTTACAGATGTAAGATGGAAGTAGTACAGTCGCTCAGGAGAATGCTCTTTTAGTAGGCCAGCGAATTTCTTTTTTAGATCTGACGACGACGCTTCATCAGAAACCAACTTGGCAGCAAAGAAACACTACTCACATTGACTAGCGCTTTCAAAGTCATTCGGCCGGCTACCGTAGCTGACGATGTAATCAGCTAATCGAATGCCTGATGCGAGCTTCGCACGAAGGATGTCGCATTTATTTAGGAACAGTATCAGTTCTGTCTTCTTCAGCAGTGGATTGGATACGATGGCCTTCCAGAGAAGAAAAGAATCGGCCTGCCACAAAGAAAAGAATGAGCGAAAAAAAAAACAGGGGGCGAGGAGATAAGGCGCACCAATCTATTTACAGACGGATCTTCTTGGAGAACCTGGTCAAAGCAACTTATGGGTGCCAGGAATATGATGGCGTTCATATCATCAAAGTATGGAACCCATGCGGCTCTCTACAAAAAAGGCAGTTGGGCTGAGAACTCATTGACACGACATAACAATAGTACTCACTAATGATCTCTGGCCACCAACATCAAACACGCGCCAGTCATGGCTCATGGGCGATCCCATGGAACCTGATAGACAATCAGTCAAAATCTTATAAATGTGTTGTGACGCAAACCTGTCTTCATAGTAAACCGATGCTCTGACACTCCAAGTGTCTTTAGCCGTGCCCTCAGAACATCATCTGCGAAGCGTTAATTACGTGCTATCGAGAATCATTTCGACTTACCATCCGTAGGTATGTACCGCGGCGAAGTCACGCGATCCAGTGCATCAAGGAAGCTGGAAAAGTCATGAGAGGGACATACGAAAGCACAAATTCAAAAACGCACAAGCCAGCCATCTCCTCAGGCCTCATCTTCTCAACGTCCATCAATTTCTTGATGATAGGATCCGTCCAAAGTCGTTTCATGTCTTCTGCGCACGCATTCAAGACTACGCCAGGATCGTCTGGGTCTGACCAGTCGATTAGATCTGCACTGTCACAACTGTTTCTTCCTATGAGTCGACTGAAGGTGCTCTTCCAGCCTGCAGAAGAGTTGACGCTGATTTCTTGCTGAAGAGGGAGGGAGTGGGCAGGATTAGCTAATTGTGCGAGCTGGAGGTGACCATTGGGAAGAAGCTTCTTCATTAATGCGGCTTCGACCTGTAGCAATGGGGCTAAGCGCATCTTGAGCTTGAGATGTTCTGGGTTAAGTGGGGGGTATTCCTTGGGCGGTGTATTGTGTGGAGAAGAGGAGGAGGTTGAGACGAGAGTTATTGAGTTTGAAGGGTTGTGGGCTGAGGAATGTGCCTTGGACATTAGGTCCAGGATTGCGTGGATAGACTGAACGACATTGAGTTGGATGACTGCTCTCCATGAAGCACGTTCTGAGCGAAAGGCCTAAGGGAGAGATAGATGAGCACGACCGGAGATTAATCCGCTGTAAAGCGCACTTTAGGAGAATTCATGAGTTGGAAGTCTGCAATGTATCCAAATGAAGGTAAATTGTAGTCTGACCATAAATAGAATTTGCCCTTACTTTTCAGTGTTGTCGATTTGCCTGCAAGACTCCCCGGGTGAGCTGAGGAGTGAGAGTGAGGGAGATGGTACATACCGGATTCGCTTTGACCTAGCATTCAGCGTTAGTGACCAAGCCTGGAGTGCAATTGAATGAACGGACCTAGTAGCAATATCTTGATTGCTTTAGGACCCTTCTTCTCTGAGATACGTTGTCTGTTGAGCTCTTCATCAATGGCATCAGAAACGCGCTTTGCTTCTTGTTCCGCTGCTAGTCGCTGCTCTCTCTCTGGAGGTGTTTCTGATGAAGAGGGTGCAATTGCTCTAGTGAGGGGATCGTCTTCTGATACTCTGTGTCGTTTTGAGGATGGCATTTGTGTAGAGAGATGTTGTTGTTGATAAGAGTGGAGTTGCTTGTGTTAATGGTACAAGGGCGTGGCGGTTGAGATGGTAGGTGAAATTGGGGGTCTTAACGTGATATTTGATGAAAGCAGTCACACTAAAAGGTACGGACCTACGGTATTTGGGATCGGCGGTTGTCCTGAGAGCACCCCCCCATGTTCCGGAGTGATGAACTTGTGACTTGATCCCAACCTGTTCCTGTCAAAAAAAAACTGACTGTGCGTGCCGCTGACTGCCATCAAAGTACTCGAACTCAGACGCGCTTCTTACTTCCTTTCGACATGGGTTTACATGTGCCTCAGTCTCCACGCAATTCCGTTTCCATCTTCAGCGCCTATACTAATTCGTTACCTGCAACCAATCCGGTGGGGTATTACTCACCCGTTGACGGCCGTGTGATGTGGGTCCGAAGAGGCCTCTACTATGAAGTAGCTCCGTTGTCACCAGATACCTCTCAAGGTGAACGATGATAACTACTGCGTTTGAACCGATCAGGCAAAACAGAATGTCCCCATTTGAGGAGCAGCGGCATGTTATGTTCTAATTCCGCGATTCTCTTAAAATCTGCCTCCGTTATGACAAGTTGACGTTCGTCGGGTACCTCCACCTCGGCCGACATAATTTGCCATGGTCACCACAATAAAACCTGTATCCATGACCGCAGTCGGTTCCGATAAACTTCACATTTAACCCAAAGTGCGTCCCGCTATCAACGGGGTGCATGAATTACTTGTTTAGGCCTTGTGTACAGACACTGAGCAGATACGCCCATGGCAATATTCAGGCTCTTTGAGCTTCCCGATCCATGACGACGGAGATCGCATGTAGGAAGCAGTCCCCGAGAACACCCTCTCGTCTTACATTTTTGCCTAATCGATCAACCACCGCCCCTCCATCCCAAATCGAACCACAAAATGTCCCACAGGCTCGAGTACTACAAAAGCGGCGTTAGCGAGCCTCACTCTTGCTGTGCGAACAAAGTCAGATGCCGTGCCCGCCGGTGTTGCTTTCCACTTCAACAGCCGTAGACACATTCATTTAATGTAAGGCCTCCGGCAGCCGTTCTCCTTCATCCGCCGCACTAGTCTCCTTTGGTTTCATTACTAGCAGCACCATGGAAGTTTGCGAACACTCGCCCCAGGCCGCCGAACGTCCTCTCGGAGGGAAACAGCGCACCACGACAGTCGGACAGCGACCGTCGCCCAAATTCCTTCTTGACTCTCAGTCTTTGGCAGCTGGTAGAACAATCGACGTCCTTCTTTTTCACCTCCCCGGCGAGCGGCAACTATACTTCAAGTTGGCAGCAACACGATCCATCACACGTCAGGAACCGCGTCTGCAAAGAACGAAGAAGTACTTTGATGGGCTTCTATAAATTCTTCTGCCCCCCCTCCATTCAAATCTGACGTACAACTGCGGGTCCCGTGGTGAGTGCCTATCTATCTAGGTGCCTATATGTCAGCAAAATAACCCCTTTCAGATCCCCGCAGTCCCTGCCGCCGGTGCATTACCCGCATCAGACTCCGAACGTCAAAATCAAGCGAAAATGTTGCAGCTGGCTTCGGCAACCCCTCCCGGACTAAGCTTAGAGCTGCTGTGCTGGCTCTTTCTTAACCTTGTCACGCAGTACAACCGCAGTATCGTTCTGATTTGGTCGCCCTTTTTAGAGCTTGTTCTGATATCAACCAACTTGCGCCCATTTTGTTGATTATCTAGGTTCCTCCCCGGTGCTTCTCTCCATTTCGATCGTTCTCTGGTGATGCTGGAACTCTGTTTGCATTGATCATGACAGCTGATAGTGGTTCGAAGACTGCTTTCATGCTCGCCAGCAAAATGCACTGCCTTCTTTTGATCCAACGTTGCACGGACCCTCGATAAGTATAAAGTGCTCGACAAGAACTCATCACCAACGTTCGTTATGGTCAAATGGCCTCGCCCCAGGGCCGTGTCTATCACCACTAGGACGATAGCGCAGATCATCGATCACCACCTCCAGGAGTGTTTGAAACCAACTGGTTCCGCAACTCATATATATGGAGGAAAAGAAGAGAGTTCCGCCAATATCAGACGAACCCTTGATCTGGTTTTCGTTCCTTGGCCTCTTTTCAGTCTAATTACGATTCCATTCCTGTCGATGTAGATCCATCATATGGCGGTGTATATATAAACAAATGTGAATGTCCTGTTCCAGTTTATCGGCGCTAATAGTGAGTCACATGTTGTGGGTTGCACATACTTGAGCTTCTGGGGTGTAGATGGTCATATATCAGGTCATATCATAATGATCACAACGAGATTTATTGCTTGTTTTCTGGAATGTGCTAGTCTGGAATGTGCTAGAAGTTGGACTGCGATGGATTAGTACGTGGAAGAACATACGTAGACGACGGTTTCACGTGGCAGAATTCACTGGTGGGCCTATATTCATGACATGGTCTCGAGTTCCTTGACTACATCATTAGGACCGACCGCTCTGTTTCGGAAATATTGGCAAAGTCGCTCTAGGAGTCTACTAGTAGGTTGATGATCATAACAAAAATTCATCATAGTACGTGGAAGGACGTACGCTTTCAAGTTCGCGCGGGACTAGTAGGTGGTAGTGAGGCCTTCAGCAATCCGTGACGTGGTCCTACAGAAATGAAAGCAAAGTTACTATTGCAAAGTGAATCACGTGGTATGAGTGCTGCGTATTGGATATCGAGGACTTCTAGTACATACCTGGGCTTCCGCAGCGTACATGACACATTGCATCATGATGATCACGACTCCATTGGTTGTCTGAAATCTGGTACTAGCAGTTAGGCTGTGATGTACTAGAACGTGGAAGGACATACGTAAACACTGGTTTCATGTAGCAGAATTCACCGGTGAAACCTGTATTAGTGCTCCCTTATCCATTTGAGTTCGAAGAGCTCGTATCTGGTATGGTGAACAACCATTTAATGCACAAACAAGTATGAATGACTAGCAAAGTCACTATTGCAAAGTAAAATTAAGCGAATGTACTCAAAATTATCGCACTCACAAATATATCCTGCACGACAACAGCCACCGCAAGCAGCGACATCCCAAATATCGCAGGCGGAACAATTCAGTCCCCAATATGAGCAGAACACGTCTGAAACGTGCGATAGGCACTCATCATATCCGAGATCCATGAAAGCCAAGTGCAAAAACTGATGAGGTGGTAGACCCGTTTGGATGTCTGAGCATTGCGTGTCATGTACTTATGAAACACATACCTGTGGGGGGGCTGGAACAAGACTATTTAGCCCCTGTATAATCCTCCCACTGGAGATAGCGCCCACTCCCTGATAGGACTGCGTAGCTAGAAATCTGTTGGTCTGCACCCGAGGGGGTCACTGTGTCGGAGTCTAAGCCTACTCCATCATATCTCACAGCTGAATGCCAGCGATACCGACAATTACTGCGGGCTGGCACTGCTCCACATAGGCTTGGCGTTTAGACTCCTGATGACCAGTCTGACGTGGCTCTGCCCCTCAAGGCGGGGCGACGGATCACGAGGTACACAATTGTTTGATTGTTTGGTGCCGGAGATTCCAGAGGGTGTGAGTTAGCCTTGTGTGAATAAGTTTCTTTGGCCAGGAATAAGATGATAAGCTGTGAAATGAATATTAATGACTCGCGGTCCAATATTGACAAGGCAAAATGATGGGGCAAGTTCACGCGCACGGACGCAACGCTTGAAGTTTGAAGTTTGAGGGATAAAAGTAGCATGCTATGAAAAGCCAGTACGTATACGTGTTGTTGACTCTGTATAGTAGGAGTTGGACCCGAGGTTCTTGTATTTTGAGCGCTAGTTTATTATCAGGGTGAAAACAACAATGTTACCTAAATTTGGGTCGAAGTTGGGATGACAAATATTTGGGATTCCCCCAACGAATTGCCTCATGGCACGTCGAAGATGCCAAGTCGTGTCAAAGTCGTGCAAGTACTGAGCATGATGTTGCTCAGCAGACGACCTGGTTTCCTCTCACTCGACGCGTCGTTGTGCCCTGTACCATCGAAGTTGTTGCAGAAAATAAGTCCCAAATTTAGGGGAAAATGGTGTAAATTTAAGGTATATTCATGGTTTAATATTTTAGCGCTGCGGTTGCGTTACGGAATCAATTTATCTCCAACCCCAAAGAATTTGCGCCAAATAAATGGTCGCTCGTCACTCTGTCTTTTTCTTCTTGACCATCTTCCCCCATGTCGTCCGTCCCTCCAGTTCGCTCGTCGCCTCCGTCGACGGAGACTCTCACTCCCCCCATCACACCAAAGCTCAATGGCGACGCTAACTCACAGCTCCCAAAGAAGTTCATTGAGGATCCCGAGCACGTCCCTGCCGACGCCAACATTCCTGATAACTACGTGACGTACACTCTCAAGCACCAAAAGGCTCTTCCTCCAATCTCCTGGGACAATTGGTACACCGAGTTGAACTGGTTGCACTTTGCTATTCTCGCCGGCACGCCTGTCATTGGTCTCGTCGGCGCGTGCTACACCCGCCTTCGATGGGAGACTGGCGTTTGGTCGGTGGTATACTACTACATGACTGGCCTCGGTGAGCTTTGGCGTTCTATCTATCTTTGAAACCCGCGTCTTAGTATGTTTTTTAAGGTATTACGGCTGGTTACCACCGTCTTTGGGCGCACCGTTCGTACAACGCGTCGAAGCCCCTTCAATACGTTCTTGCCTTCCTTGGTGCAGGTGCAGTTGAAGGCTCTATTAAATGGTGGTCACGAGGACACCGTGCTCACCATCGTTACACGGACACGGACCTTGACCCGTACAACGCGCACCGCGGTCTCCTATGGTCACACATTGGGTGGATGGTTCTCAGGCCCCGTCGCAAGCCCGGTGTTGCAGATGTCAGTGATTTGACAAAGAATGATATTGTAAGGTGGCAGCACAAATACTACCTGACCCTCGTCGTGGTTATGGGCATCATCTTCCCTACTGTTGTGGCTGGCCTTGGCTGGGGCGACTGGAAGGGCGGCTATGTATATGCTGCTATTCTGCGCCTTGTCTTTGTTCACCATGTGCGTTTTTCCCTTTTCACACAGATAAGTCGTTGACCTCGCATATAGTCCACGTTCTGCGTCAACTCGCTCGCTCATTGGTTGGGTGAAACGCCATTCGATGACAAGCACAGTCCACGTGACCACCTTGTCACTGCCCTCGTCACCATCGGTGAAGGATACCACAACTTCCACCACCAGTTCCCGATGGACTACCGCAATGCCATCAAGTGGTACCAATATGACCCTACAAAGTGGTTCATTTGGTCGTGCCAGAAGCTTGGCCTCGCAAGCCACCTGAAGGTGTGTCTGTTTCATATATGTTAGGATGTTTGACTCACGCTGGTTTAAAAGTCCTTCCCTGACAATGAAGTTCGCAAGGGTCAGCTTACCATGCAACTCAAGCGCCTTCGCGAGACGCAAGAGACTCTTTCATGGCCTTCGGATAACAGCGACTTGCCCGTCATTTCCTGGGAGAGCTGTGCGTTATATCTCCGCATACCTGATGCAGTATCTGATATATAATATGCAGATCTTGAACAAGCCAAGAGTCGTCCGGTCATCTGCATTGCTGGCTTTATCCATGATGTTTCAGACTTCCTTGAGGATCACCCAGGAGGCCGCCACTTGTTGACGAAAAACATTGGCCGAGATGCCACAACGGCGTTCTTTGGAGGTGTTTATGACCACAGTAACGCCGCACATAATGTAAGGCATATTTTGCTGGTCGCACGACCATGTGACTAATAATTTCTGCAGCTCCTGGCGATGAAGCGTGTCGGCGTTCTTCACGGTGGAGCTCCACATGGCCTCGAGGACAAGACCATCCCTCCAAGCCAACGTCTCCGCATTGCACGATACAACGAGATTGGCGGCAGCGGTTACAGCTCCGCAGCTCTCTCTGATGGCGAGGGTCTCCACGGATGATCATATTCCCAACCCTAGATGCGTATTCATTGGCAGGATAGAATTTTCAGACTTTCACATTCAGAGCACTCCCGCACAAGATTGACTTTTGACTTTGCATATAGTCGCTTGCATTACCGGCTGTGCCATAAAAAGCATGTTGACCCCGTTTTCCCTGTTTCTCTTCATACGATACGAACGCCCACTCTTACGCTTTGTGATGTTTGCGATGGTAATACGAAGGGAGAATGTAAGATATACATACTTGGGTGCATACGCCTTTATGGTTGAACTGGGTTGTTATCACGCATACTTTGACATTATTTTGATATCATGTATGCGCATTGGCCAGACTGGTGCAGCCCAAGCTAAACAAACAATAGCAAACACTTGTCTGACCATCAATTCTTGCTTGAACTCGTCTACAACCACTTTATGAACAATTAATCCACCAATTCGCATGTCATAACTTCTATGTGATAGAGATCATAGGGAATTCTATGAATCCATGAATTTCCACTGTTCTCCAGCACATAAGTGACTCGGCCTGACCAATCTCAATTGTTTTGGCTGGTCCGAGCCCATCTAGCACAATCGGCCATCTGATTCTCATCTGTACTGCATGCAGACTCCCCGGGCACAACATGATGATGCCAGGTGCACAACACCATGTGACTATTTTCCTGGTCTGCCTACCATGCGTTGAACAGTGATAAATTTGGCTGAAGCGCAAAACCGCGTGCACTGTGTCAAATTTAAACCCACCCAGTTGCAACTCGTGCAAAACCCATACTAATTAATGAAAAACATACCAGGCAGCCGCTGGGCACGATCAAATATACACATTTTTGGTCCAGGAGGGTACTACTAAACTAGTTTGTATTCGAGTCTGGACGTCGCCAGAACAACAACCTCCGCCGCACTGCTGGGAGGTGACCTGGAATATATAGTGACGAGGGGGTGAGTCAGGGCTGTGTTTCATCCATCGGAGTGGGGCAGAAAAACCAACCAAACACTATCGACGGTCCCCATCCGACGAGTACTAGCGCTACATGTTGCGTCCCAAAAGGCGTTGGCTTTGGGCGATGCGTTGCTACATCAATGATGGTTGAAAGCGCAGCTAAAAATTGTATGATGAAGAACGCCCTAAGGGGTTTACATTAGCACCGTTCCGAGGACGCCGACCTATAGCTATACTTGAGCGCGCGTACATTTGGAAGAGAATAAGCCTCCATATCGCAGGTGCTAGACTTTGTCTCGGCTGTTCATGAGAGCCTTGAAAGCAAGGTAAATAACGTATACCAGGTACTGCTAGGACGACTCACTCGAAATCGGAAGAGTAGTTGTGTCTTCTTCAATAGGCACAATGCTCACTCGTTCGTCGCGTATCTGAGATTCATCCCACTGCGGTGTATCCGAAGATCGCTTTGGCGAAGGCGGTGAGGATAAGGAGGAAGGAAGGATATCAGCCCGCGGGGAATAGCTCTCGTTTGAGTTAGCCGCGGCGTCATTGATGGCGTCAACATGAGGCGTATCTTTTCTTGGCATCACCGAGACTTGCTCGTCCACAAATTCCGCGGACTTGGGGTCCACATCGGGTAAAGGCGACGAAGGTAGGTTTTTTGTGGGTCCAGTGCCAGTGTTGCCGCCCAGCGAATGCGAGTGTGAGACTGTGAGCTTGAAAAGCTCTCGACGCACTGTGTGTACCTTGAATACACGGTGGGCTGCTGTTGCAGACAGGAAGAAACATGGGATGGTGAGGATCATGGATATACCCGCATAACCTAGGAATCGTCCCCTGCGTATGTGAGTTTTGACACGACGTTGGTAATGCAGGTGACGCACCATATGGGATCACTGGCGTCGCAGTGAAGATCGTCTGAGGGTTGAATTGCGTGAAGGGATAGTAGGACGGGGACGGCGACAGCAATTGCACAAAGCGGGAACACGACAATGGGCAAGAGATATTGGTTTCGCCATACCAGTGTCCTGCTCACGTATAAGTAATCAAAAGGCAATCCGGCGCAGCAACTGTGCAAACCACGCACGATGAAGCAGTTGTTATCACAGATGACGGCCACACGACAGCGCTCGTCGTGGCCATCGTGAACGCGGCACATACTCCCGTCACAGAGTGAGCTGAGTAGTATATGATGAACGTCTGAGCTGCTCAAGATATTAGGGTAACAGAGCAACATATTCGTGCATCCTGAAAGCTTGCCTTTGCAAAATGCCGGTGGCATATCAAACGGGTTCATGTCATATATCATGCCTTCAAGAAATCAGCAAAGCTTGTCCCGACCCTCACCTGTTTGGCACGAGAACACGCACGCACCCAGGCAAAAGATTCCCTGGAGCAAGGTCGCAAAGACGCAGTACAACATTGGGCCCCAGTAGCTCCCAATCGCGCGAGCGAACACTGTTAGGACTATCCAGCATGCGAAGATACCTGCATCGCTGTGGCGTCAATCCAAGAGTCGCCTTTGGCGCCCGAATACTATCTGCTTACCAGAGAACGACAGTGCAAACCACACAACTTTCAGCGCGTATGGTAGCATGGGGGCCAGTTTCAACAGACAATATTTGACCCGGCGCAACTCTTAGCGGCTCACTGTGCCGGGATGAGATTCACGACCCCCTAGTAGTTGTAAATTGGCCGGATTTAATTCGCTTTTCCCATCTTTTCTCACTGTCAAGGTCCGGGGCCGCATCAGCGTGTGCAGTGCAGTAGGGGTATCTGATACGCTTTGATGAAAAAATTACAAGGTTAGCTCTGGTTCACAAAAAAAACAGCACATGTCACCCTTTCCGCGTGACTTGTCTACTAGTGCCTCTGCCCTAGTAGCTCATTTCAGGGCAACCGACGTCATGGCAAAGGGAATTCGGATAAGGAGCACATGGAAAAAACATAATATTAGCCTACATTACACCGTCCGTCATAGCATGATGGCAGCTGGCACGAGGATGACCCGAACCTTGGCATGCGACGAAGAATATTGTCAACTTGATGAAGAGAAAGTGAAGATGAAAACCACTCAGTCCAGGAGGACCCCAAATCTACTGAGGCGGCCGCCACCATCTGACGCGTAAAGTGCCGTAGTACAAACTCCTTATCTTTAGACAGCTTGGCCAACTTCAACGCCACCAGCGAGGCTGGCCACAACAGTCTCCGCCCCTGACAAAGGTTGGTCCATTTGGGTAGTTTCCAATTGCGTGTCATCGACATCATCTTGGCACCATTCCATTTTCACCTCTAAATCTATGATATGCTTTCCTATGCCAATCGGCAAGTCGAGCTCATCTCGAGCTAGTATGAACGATGAAGATGGTGTCTCAGGAGCGATATGAAATGCTGGGATGAACCACAGCCACGTCATGAATACCTGCCAAGGTGTGGCGTAAATAATGACACGGAAAACAATAAGCACATACCTGACCCATGTAGAGTTTAATCCGCAACTCTCGGTAGGAATCAACAATTATTCCGCCGCGACCGGCCCTTGTGACTGGCTGAGATATGGAATAGATAGAAGTCGTCTCCGAATTGACTGAAGCCTCTGGGCTGTGAACTTCCTCCTCTTCCTCCTCCTCTTCAGGCGGTGCTTTGCGAATTTCCACCCAACGTTCCTCAGTCAGCGGGCGAAGAACGTAGCTATTAACCTTGACGTTCTGTCATTTTTAGGTTCTCTGGGTAGTCCGACCAGCTTGCCATAAAGTTGACGAACCTCGTCTGCGCTATTCATTTCAGGTTGTAACTTTCCATCATCTTCCATCCGAGCGAAAGTCCGTACCATCTTTTCTTTGTCCCATTTGTCGCTGGCGAAGATACCATCGACCGATTCAGAGGCCTCAAATGACCACTTTCGCTTTCCCAAGTTAGTGGTATCCCGAGTGCTTTGCTCCCAACGCTCTAGAGCGCCAACCAAGTCATCGTCATACCGTGCTAGCGACGCCCACACACGGTTATTGCCACGACTGATGAGACTACGTCCGTCCTTTCCGCGATCCATTAGCAAGCTAGCGGCACGAACGAGACCCGTTTTAATTCCAGACATCCCACGTAGTCGAAGGGAAATTTCGGTGATGCGCATTTTCCTCCGGAAAATCGATGGCGAGTTGGAGCCATTGGACAGGCCCGATTCGACGTTTGATAGTCCCCACATGCCAGGTGGACCCTGACCGGCAAGAAGTCGCGACCAATACAAAAGCCAGCGCCGCTGACTGGGAATGCTAACACCTGCTTTCACCTTCCTCTGCCCCGCGTCTGATGTATTCGTTGAATTAGACGATGCTTTCATGCGACGTGAGGTGTGCAAGTCTAATACCTGTTGCAACGTAGGCGCTGTGGGCTTGGAGGACATATTTTGACTTTCGTCTGGGGAGTCCGAGGGTCTTTCCTCCACAATGGATGATGCAGAGGATGTGGTTGCTTCCACTAGTTCTTCAAGGCCCGCATCATTGGGGATTACTTGGATGCAATCGTCAACGCGCACGGTTACCCAGTCCTTTTCAAGGTGACTATTTTCCAGAGGTAATGGAGGAGAAAAGGTGTCGAGCGAGAGAAGATAAGCACAAACTAGTGTGCCCGACCTTCCCTTGCCAGCTGCAAGAGACTGGAGTTAGTGGATGTGCAAAGCGGATGGAGGGCAAGTTGCACCTTTGCAGTGTAAAACAGCTACTCGGTCCTTTGAACCTGTTAACCAAGCATGTATCTCTCTTGAAACTAAAGGGAGAATTGCAAGGGGAGGTATACTGGATCCAATGATTAGCGACTAAACCGATGATGTATGGTTGTTCCTTACTGATGATCTGGAAATGGGTAGCGACTCACTCGTCCTTCAAAAACGCTCTTGTCATAGAAGTTTTCCTTGACTGGGCAGAAGTTGAATACCCAAAAGTTGCTACCATGCCGAGCCGTAAGAAACCGTTGAGCATCCTCGCGGCGGTTTCGGTAGAGGCCCTCAAGGCCAGCAGCAGGATAGCCCATAACAATGACTTGATCAGTTACATACGCAAGGTCTAGAAAAATGTAGCGTTGTGTCACAGCAAGCTCGATAATCAATAAAGCATACAGCATACCTAGCTCAATGTCAAGATTTGGATCCCTGAACCTAGCTTTACCACCGGAAACAAAACGCCGCAAATATTCAGCCATAAGACGATCAAATATTTAAACAATAAAACGGGAGCATAGAGAGAGAGGAACTTTAACGGCAAGGCCAAGCGCGCGGTCGCGAGGTCGTCATTGGAGCTCGAGCCCAGCTTGTGCCCATCTTGGTCTTAGTCTGAGCCATTTTAAAGTCGTGTCTGACAAGTGCCTGATAAGGCAGATCCTATTGTTACCATTATTGACCAGGCTGGACACAACAGTTTGGAGTCTGGACTATGTAGCTTCTATTGAGCTCGAGCTTCTAATCACGTACGGTCAATGAACAAAGGATAATCGTACGAGGAAAATATGAGAAAAGAATTTTACACGGGAAAAAAATTAAGCAAGGAAAATTAAGGATCTAATCGTGCGAGCGTATTTCTACTATTCGTCTATCGATGGCTGCCACCCGAGATGGCGAGCAAGGGCTACCCCTCACCGTATATGCCATGACTCGCCTGTAGGATGATAGCGTGGAAGCTCCCGAGAGGGGACCGTAACTTAGCACCTCAGACATTCTGCCTGATCACACTCTACCTGAACAAGCCGCGTAGGATATTGGCAATTGCTGTGCTGCGAATGATAAAGCCCGCGGGCCAAATCCTACCTGATGTGTTCAGAGAACTGTATTTTTTGTGTTCAAACTTTGGATATAGCAAGCGAGGAATACGCCATACATGGCAAGACGAAAATCCTCTTCAGACAGGCCCATATTGTTGCTATGGGGTGAGGGGTAATGCATCAGATTCGCAATTGGTAGTAATTGCGTGCATGAGGTGTACAAGCAGATGCTGCGTACCTGTCCGTGTCATCGGCGTCCAGGATTTTGGAAATCAGACGAAGTGAGAAACCAGGTTCTTTATGGAGGCACATGTCGAATGCGGAAAGTCCAGCCCGACGAAGAATTTATCCCATTAGCTATCATCCAATCTCATCCTTTGCACAATACCTCAACTAGAAGGTGAGTGATTTGCTTAAGCTCATCGGGAGCGTGGTTGACTCCTGTATTGCAAGGAGTCCATATTGATACCCGGACACTCTCATGCCCGGGTCTGCCCGGGTGCGCAATACTCCTCTATTTGAGGGCCGTATACTTCGGTGGGCAAGATAACATTTTTGTTTCAGGCCCTTGATAACGAGATCGGAAGGTTTCTCGTGAGAGTCGTTGAGGAGGTAGAGACGAGGCTTTGGTAAGGATCATTCTATTTTGTTTTGCGGAAGTTGTATGTCTTTCACTTTCGGGATCTTTTTCGACCTGTTCTTGAGCAGTCTTGACAATTTCCTGCCTGTACTAGCCAGCAGTATGGTGATGTGATTGTCCATGCTGCCAGTGCCAATGCAATCTGATCCGCCCTAAGAACGAATCTAGACAGCCACCGACGTCACCATAGAAAGCCACACGGAATTTTGTCTTCTATAAGTGCAGAATACAGGTTGCGCGGTAGTTGAGCATGCGAGGTATATCAATGAAATATAAGCAATCAAGCCATGAGATCAACCAGAATGGTGATAATGCCAAGTACTATCGCACCAATGTGAGCTCATGGTTAAACAAAAAACAATAGGATTACCGATTTCAATCCCAATCAGAGCAACGACGATCTGCTCAAGCCGCTCTGCATGCCTGCTTGATACAGACTCCTTCAGAAGTTGAAGCATATCTTGAAGAACCTGGCCATGACGTCAGCGAATGAAAGCATGCCACGTGAACCAAACCAGCCTCGACTCGAGTATTTAGGAGATTTATTCGTTGAGGGATCTCCAGATAACTGCGCGCGGCATCGTACAACGGTTGTAGATCAGGAAAGCTCTGAAAAGATGTTCAAACGTTCTGGCACTTGACATGGACATTTCAGCTTACCCAGAAAACCTCCTAGAACGGGGGGTGAATTTAATGTAAATATACTCGAACCAAAGATTTTCTTACCGGAGAGTCTAAGACAGAGCCTACAGAGTTAATGTTAGTTCGTAATATGAACAACTCCCCAGTTTTGCGCATGATTTCTGATAAGTATATGTGACATGGTTTACAATGTGGCATGGTCATGACCGACCTTTGTGAGGAATGCCGATCTTCCCTGTCTCTGACAATGTTTCTGGTATGTCTTTCGTGTCTTCGATGGTATTCGAGATGAGCTCTTCGAACTGAGCAGATGTCAGGAAAAAAATATGCCACAGAATGCAACCAGCGTACCAAGGATATCTTGACGGACTGCGACAGTGCATGCGATAGAGAGAGCTTCGTCCTTTGATGTGGTTAAGCATCACCACAACCTCTTCTATACTTATACTCAACTCACATGTAACCAGATCCCTTGCGCAATGTGATGACGTCATTGTATATCCTACGTCACGGGGTCAAAATCAGCGGTTGCGGGAAAGGACTAAACGAACCGACTGTAGTCGGCATAGTAATAATTCAGATCCTCCATTTCAATGTTGTCTGGTGCTGTAAACGATTCAGAGTTGTGCAGGAAATTCAAGCGCCCTCACCTACTCAACCTATCAACTTCAAAGCGTTTGCTACGAGAAATTCGTCAAGGCTGCTTATAACAAGAGAAAATACTTACATAGATGACAAGAAACGTTTCTCTTGAGCTTCACTCATTCCCCATATAACGACTGTTCCATAGTCGAAAATGAAGATCTCGGCTTCGGTCGGAACAGTGTGAAATTTGCTAATCTTTTTGCGTTTCACGGGAAGTCCATTTTCTTCCGCTTCAGAGATCGGGGGATTTAGTTCCGGGATTCCCAACAAATCCCCACTCCTCCGCAGAGAGTTCGCACGTGTTTCTTGGTTGACTTCGGGTTCATATGCGTAAGGAGTATACAAAACTTCGTCAATAATCTTGGGGTCTGCATGATAGGCTCCCCTCCGGGCATTGAAAAACTTTGAAAGATCATGCAGACGATAGGAACTAAATCGAGAAACATGCCTATCAGTTACATAGTCAAGCAAGAAGCCAACCAAGCGTCACCTTGCCATCGCGTATGCCGTTACGCGAGGTAGTGACTTCGCCTTTTTCTTTGTCAGCCTCAGCGCATCTCTTCGTGCCGTTCCTTGCGGGATCTGAGAGATTTGACGTAGCCGTACTTCGACATCCTCGCCCTCGTCTTCCTCTGACTCCTCCTCCTCGTCATCCCCGTCATCTGTGTCTCCCGTTGTACCCAGACTTTCCTCAGCATCTGGACGTGGTTCAAGTTTGCCTTGGGTAGACGATGTTGGCTCGTCGGGCAGGACCTTAAGTTTCCCGGCGACCTTTGTGGACCTGTTCGCACCGCGAGTTTTCGGTTCGGGCTCCCTATTTGAGACGCTTGCTATAGATTTGGGTAAGAGCGGTTTCGTAGGCATGACGGGACACAGGTATATTTCGAATGTTATGACACCTTGAGAGACCGTCTCTCGGTTTTGGTCCCGATTGCAAGTCGGAGTACGGCGTAAACAATTACCGGATTTCCCTCACATGACGTTTGGTCACGTTTTTGTTACACATCATGGGTGACATAGCGTGACATCCTGTGACCAAACGTGGTAACGGACTGTCACTTGCCAGTTCAAGTTGGCCGTTTCCAGAATCAAGAGGCGTCGACACAATTACATAGCTCTCGTCACTGGCACAGACTCCAATGGCGTCGCCGTTCTGGACCAGCCGTAAAGCTTTGAAGCTTGGGATTTACAAAGAAGTTGTTTTTACTCACAATACTTCACTATCTTATCGGTTACCGTGAGTCGTGACATCATCCTACCTCGCCGCTATATGATACCAGGTTAACGCAGTGCGAGCTGCTTGCGAGCGTTGTCTGTGAAATGCCGCGCAGGCCCAGGGTTGGCCTGATGTGTTTTGCGGTTTGTGCTTCATCATATGGTACTGAAAGCTTACCGAAACCAACATCGTTCGTTGATGCATCGATGAACGTTAACGCTCACGTGCACTGCTGATATCAATTTTGACATGTACAGCATTCGCTAAGGCTATCTGCAGCGCTCGGGCTCACCCAATTGGATCTCCCCCAACTGCAACTTCGCCGGGGTCCAATGGCATTGTTCCAAACTCGGATGTATCATAGGATATAATTATTCACTTACATAAAGCTTAAACCGTGGCAAATTGCAAGGTTCGTGCCTTTACGTTTGTGCTTCCGGGTCAGTGTTGGGGAAAGAAAGCCTCACGTCACGGTGAATAATGGCAGGAGGAGCCTTGGCTGCTTTGTTAATCGGCGGCCGCCCATTGGTGTTGGTGGAGAGGACTGTCCTTCATGGTACCACAACATACCTAGACGGCATACAATTTCCAGTCAACTCTCTCTCATTTGTCTGTTGCCGTTCTTTGACTTGGGAATCACGCGACGATCCCGAAGTCGTCGGATTGGAAGCCTCCTTTCTATAAGCTGCCTCCGCGGAGCCGTCTTGGACCGCAGGGTTCATTGACGTACAGCACACCCTATTTTCTTCTGATGTTGGGAAGCAAGTAATTTTTGCCAGCAACGCACAGGGCCCAGGCTGACAGTACGCAGATGAAGTAGCAGACACCAAGTTACACTCGATAATTTTTCCAGGCATTCAATCCACGAGGTTACCCGGTTATGTTACGCATTTGGTATTCTCCGGAACTACTATTCATGCCTCCTTCCCCGACCTTTTTCAAAGCGTTCTTGTCAGGGAAGAACTGGGCTTCCGTGTACAAGATCTTGCTCCAAGTTTGGTGGCATATCTAAACTGGCCATTGGCGATAATCCCTCTCAAAAGATTTACAGTGTCCCTGCATTCGAAGAAGGCTTCCGGCCACAACGCCAGTAGTATAGCTGGACGCAGTGTGTGGGAGCCCATAAACGTCACGGCTCCCCGCTTACAGCCACTTGTATACTATGTCAAGGACCTGCCAGGGGAACATACTATCCCACTGACCCACTATCGCCCTAGGACCTGTCACGGAAATCCACTTTCTGTACGAGTGGACAAAGTAAGTCGCGCTGATTCGTCGGTCGTAGAAACTTACCCAAAGTACATGTTCTATCTCAGGACCCACATCTTCAATTTTGCCGCTCATACGCTCCAACTGAGCATACCTACAAGCAACGAAAGATCCCTAAGTTCGGTCCGAGACGGCGATTAAGAATAAGCAGGGGCGGCTGCCTACATATGGTATTTCCGCGGAATGACCAGAATGCCCCTGAATAGGCTGCGCCAGCACTACCAGTGCGGTGTGCTAACCTGCCTCTTGAATCGGAAATGTCCGTCGTCAAGTCTAACGCACCGAAGCAATTCACAAGTGCCGCAAACTCAATACGGGGTCTACAATGTCGTCACACTTCTAGGTAACGGTATCACTTTACGGAACCGCAGAACGGGCAGAAGTATCACGAATGGGAGAATTAACAAAGGAATGGATGATGATGATATGATGATGATGCCTGTATACGGATATATGCGAATATGTTCTCCGGTCAGCCAACACATCGTGTTCATGGTACGTTCCTGGGCTTGGCATTAAGTACGTCCTTTGCGCGTTTATGCGTGAGAGGAACATGTAAATTTTCAGCAAGGCGGGGATATCTCGGCAACGCCTCCCCCCACCCAACAGCTGCCAAACCGAGACGAGATGCGGGTGATTCTGTTAAAACCCCTATCCCAGCTCAGCAACAATGGCCCCTCGGGTCGGACAGCGTCCCACGGCCTTGATTCCTCCGCTGATCGTATTCGCGTTCGATGATCGGCGTCTCGGATCAATGGGTGTCAAAACGTATACGACAAGTTCGCATATTCACAGTTAATTTTAACAGACGAACAGGGATTGCAGCTGTGTAGTAAAAAGATACATCATTAACGTGCGAGGGCGCTTTGACAAATTGTGAGAGAGGTGCACAAATCCCTTCTGCTACCTGTGCCGTACGTAGTATGTGCATATGGATCCGAGGCTTACCCGCGAACTAGTACAGTTTCGACAGACAAACACTTAGGACACGTTCACCCTCCCTTATCAGAATGACAATAGGGTGGCTGTGTGCGTTCGGCGTCAAGTCTGTAAAAAACAGGTAACAATATGCAAGTCTAACGAGGTATGAGTGAGGGATAAATGCAAAGTCCAGGTGTAAGTGACAAAGAGCTGTCCACGCCTGGGAGATGAGGCATATTAAAATAAGTAGAAGAAGAAGTCGCAGAACGTCTCGATAATAGATCGGCCTCAATGAATCTCAGGCATACCCTATCGATTCGGAACGTAAGGCAAAGCGTCCCTTTGAAGGGGGGTGATTTCGATCGCCGCCCTTCGAGACAAAACCTGGCATGATGTGTGTCGAAAAACGCTGAAGAAATTGTTCATCAATCGGTTCGCGTCTCGGATATGCAAGCCCTTGCAGGTATTCGAGGGGCACTAGCTGTTCGGAGAGGTGGGAAGGGCTTATGCGTGGGCTTGGGGTAGCAGGTCCTGACGATGACGACGATTGAGGTGATGGACAGGCCGATCGACTCTGGAAGGGAACCATATCACGATATTGAGATTGTATCTGAGTAGGAACCACATTGGGAGCCGAATAAGTCGTCTGGCGGATATTGGAAGAGTGATGTCTCGACGATCCTTCTGCAGAAGACGGAAAGGAATAGGCGGTTTTACGCCCGCATGTCGTCTCTACTTCGAGCAGATCAAGTTGGGAGGAATTTCGTGAAGTGGGAAAATGTGTAAACGCGGTAAACGGTGAAGGATTTGAATTTGAAGCGTGAAATGATGACTGAAAACCGGATTGTGCCGGATTAATGTTGGGTAGTATGCCCTCCATGGGAAACTGTGGGAGTTGCTTTGCGACGACAGATTTTGGTAGATCATCATCTCGTCTTGTCTTAGCATCTCTACGAGCACTTCGGAACCATCCGTCTGGAACCGGGACATCCCCGACCCCTGGTATATTATCGATTGTGTTAAGCCGATCAAGCTTCTGTTGGCTGAAGTAGGCAGCTGGGGAACGAAAGATTAGACTTCCGAGGCGGCGGAGATAGCTAAGAAACGTACTTAAGTGCCACTTCCTAGTGATACCTCGTGCGCGATCATCAGGTAACGAGACACGCACACTGTAAGTTTGCTTTATCAAGCGTTCAGAGTCGCCCGTAGCACGTGCACGCGAAGAAGGGTACATGCTGTAAGACAGATAAAATTATCATTCCACGGCGTTTGGACTTTGGGCGCCCACATGATCGATGGGACCTACCTAATCATTTGTGCCCAGGGGGTGCCGGAACTACCTGGATCATCGTTCACATCGCATTCTTTCTGTTGATAGAAGAGAAATTCCTTTTGGAAAAACATAAGTCCGGAGGGAATTTGAGAGTGGACTGATATACTTACATCGCGGACTCTACTCGGTCCCCAACCCATGCCATCCGTCCTAACAATATGAATAATAATAATTTGTTAGGCTTCGAGAGGGCAGGAGGGACAAATGGACCAACCATCGTTCCATGCCAAGACCTGTAGCCTCAGAATTTGCACTGCGTTCCTCCCAAACATAAACGTTTCCGGGGGAGATAGCCCTTCTTTCCTCAGCGTCCAATCGGCGTGTTGTAAGGGGGAGGGCGTTCCTTGCAACAGCATGGAATATGTGAAGGGCATCCCTTGTTGAACGTATACGAACATTTTGAAGGGAAGGTTGCTGCATTATGAGGAGATGAAGGGGATCAGCAAGAGGAGGGACTTTGTAGGATTCACGGAACTTGACAGCACAAGTTATATATTATTGTATTCGTAAGGAAACTGTGAACCGCGGATAAAATTAAAATTATTCTAAGTTTGAATTGAGTTAACCCACATGCTGGATTTTGAAAAGTGCCCTGTGATCGGACTCATCAGATTCGACTTGAGAGTATTTCCGAGACGTGGGGACGCCGCTAGCTACTCCACTTGGCCAAATCCATAATGATAACCCAAAGGTGCGAAGAACGTGGGTATATCCTAATTAGGTTGTTCCGCCGGACATGCTAAGACGCAAATTACCGACAATTGAGGTTAGGACAGGGTTGCAAGAGATGTGACAACAAACAGTTTAACCCACATTTCAAAGATGATGCACTGACCTTTAACAAGGTTTGATACAGAGATCATCCATCCACTGCGATGGTCTCACCGGTACACATTTGAAAAGCCTAATCCAAAAGGCACCCCAAGTGATCACCGTCCATCGATCTCAAATCGTGTCGCTAGGGGCTGACTGGCTCTTTACATTTTAACATAAGTCCTGGAATCGGCTCCTTCCTGTCCTCTACGGATAAAGCCTAAATTCAAACCTATGACAGATCGTCATTCGGGCCCGGTCACTCGCCAGCTCAATCTCGAATCGTATCTAACTAGGACCATGCTTCATCATTGGCGGCCTCTTTCTCAACCAACCATACACTTTTAACGTGTTCCCCCACCCCGTTGAAGCCAAACTGCCTCTTTTGTGCCCTCAGCAAGGGGGTCTGCGTCGTTCCGTGGTCACAGTTTGCATTTTCACAGTGTATATCACATTAATAATTCTAGAAGACATAGGGAAAAATGCTTTACAGATGGCAAAGACCGACCCGCCTCACCAGTCGTTACGGGTGTGGTGGCAGGCGTCTATAGGTCTTATACCACAGAACCGTTCAGGCGTGTTGAATGCTGATCTCCACCCCCGTTTAAGTCATGTTTTTTACGACCGTTTTACGTGCATTTTAGCAATCAAGGTAACTGCGAGCGGTTAATGAATCAGCCAAAGGGTCGATTGATGCGATGTATACAAGCCAGGGTCCCTGAGCCTGAGGCATCGGACGTGAAGATCACCCGAAAATTGAATCGTTGCTTGGGAAATTCTGCAGGGTGAACTTATTGTAGTTACGGCTGCTTCCGTCTCAGAGGACAAATGCCCCGGGCCCATCCCAACAGCACATAGGGTGAGCAAACGACTTGCAGTCAGTCATCGAACATCAACCAGAATGGATAGATTGATTCGAAGAGCAGATATCATCACTACTAGTCGTACCGCGAAGGTTTGGCCCGCCTCAACTCCGTGGCAACCGCTGAGCCGCTGGCACCACAAGCATATCGTACGGCGAGCGAGCGGGGAAGTCCGGGACCAAATCCTTCGCTTGTTACACGTAGACTTAAGGTTTGACAATGTTAGTTTTGAACTGCGTGGAAGTGATTGACAATAGATCGGCGCTTAAAATATTGAATTCCGCGGCAGCTCAAGCTCCCCGCATTATGTTGGCGGAAATGTGCGTGCGGTCAGGTAAGCGGTACACTTTCGTTATGTATCGAAGGCGAAGCTGAGCTGAGGGGGGCTGGGTGCAGCATGTTCATCAATTTGCTCATGCCCAGCGGATTTTTCCGTCCGGGTTCGCATTTGATAGTTGTTGCAGCCTGCAGCCCAGGGACTTGCATCGTCACCAACAATGATACAATTACGAACAAAGGCTGCGAGGATCGCGGTGTAGGCACCTCTGTGGGCACCTCGGCGAACCCGTACACTCGTTTTTGTGGAGTATCTGTATACGGCACGCCACCCTGTCGGATGTGGTAACGCATGATGAGTCCGCGTCTACGCTGTTATCAATTTCGCTGTCTTCCGGTTGCAGTTGTTGTACAAGCTGATACGTGTTTGACGGAGAGAACACATTTCAAATCTCTAGTCGTCCAGACTGACATTAGATATGAGTATCAAAGTTTAAGATACTGAAGGAGGAGTGAAGTAGGCTCGTAACAGATCGGAGGTGACGGTAACAGATTAATTCACGAGATGGTCTTGACAGGAAAAACGACGTCAAACAGGACTACATTCAAATGAACACGATGAACGCACCTGGCAAAGGCAACACGACCGGGATATAATCGGGAATCTCTGCGTAATGTTGTCGATCGCGGAAGAGATAACGCACACGAAGACATTTAGGGGATGCAGGGGCGGGATCGTAGAACCCTTGAATACCGGCCTGCGATATCCCATGCCACGTGAACCAAAGTTCGAGGAGAAGATAAGTGTATATACCTTTGTCCGATGGCCGGGGACGTGGACCTGACTGTTGTGCACCAAGGCTTGGACAGGCACGGTCACATCGATCGTAAGGCTCCTGGCGTCTGTTTCAGACCCGTACGTCGCACTCAGGATGACAAGTCCTTGACGCGACGTGAGAACCACGTGCCCAAATATGTGGGGATGTCGTACATACCTCCTCTGCTTCTTTCCAACTGCATGTGACGTTTGGCAGTTTCGTTCAACAACTCCACGGTGTCGTCAATGCGCCTCTTGAGTTGGGAATTTTCCTCTTTGAGGAGGCGCTCGGCCTTGCGGAAATATCTTTTCAATTACACAAAAAAAACGAAAATGTTAATCAGAACGTGGAAGGCAGTTGGAGATAAGACTGACAAGGTTCGTTGTAACTGCCTACGAGGCTTCAAAACAAAGTGATATCCGAGGAGAAGAACTGTTGAAGGCACTACAGCCGAAAAGAACTCCAATGTTTGATTTCTTACAGTCGACAAAGTTATTGGCAATATCCATTTCTGATGGAGATATTCCAACCTGATATAAATGCGTGAGTCAGGTGTATATTTGAAGACAAAGTGGCGCACTCAAAGCGCATGATTAACCCCTCGGTGCTCACGCCAAAGCTGGTTGATATGGCAGCATTTGCGTTAGTCCATGTCCCGGTGACTAAATAGGCCAATCTCCGAAATCCAATCTCTAGGCCTGCCTTGAATCTCAGTGATAGTTCGAAAAACCAGATGGTCCATTCGGTCTTGATACATGAGTTAATGCCAGATAGTTGAAACCCACACGACCAGGCCCACAGTCCAACCCCAAAACCACTGACGGAGCCGGGCTTATTTGTGAAGTCGGCGTTCATCCGGTCCGTATAGCGAACGTAATTTTCAGGAGACGAGAAGTCAAAAGGCTGAGGGGAGTGTATATCAAATTCAAAGCTTCCCATGGACAATGGAGAGAAAGTCCACGCCACAGAGCCCACCGTTGAAGCATGTCGGAAGAGTCGACGACTGAAGGAAACGGTACTAGCCGGAGGGAGAAGGTTCCAGAACGCAGGAATGAAATGCACACGGCAATTTAACGTATTGTCGTTGTCTTCATAGCTTGCCTTTGCGACAACGAGGTGAGGTTCTAAGAAATGTGCTGTAGCCTTTTCAGACGACGATCATTCAGAACTGCCCCTTGAATAATATATTTGACCTAATGATAATACGTACCTCCACAGCGAGCCGAGGAGAGAATTGATGGCGTATCGTGCCCATGAGGTTATTTCTGCTAAGCAGGTCATTTCGAGGGCCTAGTCCAAGGTGACTCGTGAATTTAAGATTAGTCTTTTCATTCAACACTTTCTGCACAAATTGAACGGACATGAACGTCAAACCGGGTAGACACGAAAAGGTATGGAACTCACCGTAACAGAGTGACGAATCGCAAATTGAGAGACCCAGACTCCACGCAAGCGGGCGAAGAGGCCTCTCGAATCATAATCTAGGTCATCACCGCGTGCGAATAACGTCGATGCGTCAATTGCACACGTCACCGTGCCTCTTGGCCGAATGAGGCGATCAAACACTTCCTGACTTCGATCGATCCTCCATCGTCGAAGATGGGCACGTATCTGAAAAGAGGAGTCAGTCAGTGTTGCGCCTGCCGGGCGAAAGTGCCGCACTTGTTCAACACTTTGAGATCGCAGTTCTGGAGGCCATGCGTTTTTAAGAGCATCTTCACCTATTGAACGATAATGAAACGTATGTCTGTGAGAATTATACCCTGAGGGTGGAATGCGGACGTACTCACCCAGGAAATCATACACTTCTCTGTTGGAATGAGCTCACATGTAACGAACGGTGTGTAGCAACAAGAACTCACCGGAGAAAGGGGTCGGACAAAACTTATATAGCGCTATCAGATAATTGCATTTGGGAACGTGACCAACGACTCTCTCACCTTCGTAAGCCCTTTGGATTTCAAGAAATTCCACAGCTGCAGTGTCCTTCGTGCGTTCACCGCGTTGCTTGTCGGGATGAAAGATGACGGAAAGCGCTCTGTAACGTTCCCTTATTTCGTTTGCGGAGGCGCTCGTTGGCACGTTTAACACTGAACTTTTTTTGTATGGTTGGCTTGAGTGCCTCAAAAGGCTAGATTCGAGTTGGACAACATACTAGAGGTATTCATTTCGCACTGGGTCTACGCGTGATTCGTTCATGGCTGGTCCAGAACGTTGCGCGTGGTCTCAGTGTTGACCACGAGTTCCAACGACGAATGGTCGACGACACTGTTCAACGTTGAACGCCCAATTCTCGGTTCCCCCTATGACGCAAATGCTTAATCGGTTCTCGGGTAACCAAGTTCCCACGAGACCCGAAACGCCACGTCGGTGCTAAGTTGAATGGCTGACACCAAGTTTGTCTCCTCCTCGTCTTTCGACGTTCATCATGGCCTCCCGTATCAATATCGGTCGCCCAACTTCAACAAGCTATCAAGGCCCAGACCCCCACGGATTCGCAAACTCACGCCCTTCTTCAGGTTACAGAGCAGCTAACCCAGACGCTCCTCTCGAGAGGATTCGAGCTATCAGTAAACAGGTCGAAGACGCTATCGAAATATATTCTCAGCCTTTGAAACCTCATTTACCTGCCATCGGCCGGTTCTTGATCATTGTCACGTTCTATGAGGATGCTTTGAGGATTACGACGCAGTGGACAGACCAGCTTTGGTACCTCCAAACGTCAGTTACCGTCATTCAGGGCGAGGAGACGTTTGTTGAATTTTATCGATTACAGACACAGACATTTCTACTGGGGAGTCTCCCACCTCTTCCTATTGCTCAACGTCATCGTATGTCTTCTCTCCAACCCTCACCATTCACACAATCCAATTCATTCGTCCAGACAATGCTCGTGGCTTCCACAGCAGTCATCATGAAACGGCACACAGAATACGCAGTTATCGGTCTCCTCAGCGTAGTCGTCATTCAAGGTTTCGGATACGGCCTCATGTTCGACCTCACTTTCTTCCTTCGCAACTTGAGCGTCATAGGCGGTCTCATCATGGTGTTTAGCGAAACCATGATCAACAAAAAGAAAAGCTTTGCTGGTATCCCGTCCATGAGCGAAACAGACCGCAAGAAATAGTGCGTGTTCTTGCCCACCCTTCCCTTCTCATCCCGCTCATTCATTTACTCGCACACCTGTTTCATTGTATAGCTTCCTCCTAGCAGGCCGCGTGCTCCTCATCTTCCTCTTCCTCGGCTTCATCATCCAAGGAAAATGGAGTATAGGCCGCATATTCATGTCCCTCTTCGGTCTCGCAGCATGCACGATGGTAGCAGTCGGCTTCAAAGCAAAATGGTCCGCGACCTTCCTCGTCATACTACTTAGCGTCTTCAATGTCTTTGCGAATAACTGGTGGAGCGTGCATAGTGCGCATCCTCAGCGTGATTTCCTCAAGTGCGTATATGAGTTCTATTTTTGGGGTTGTTTTGTGCTGATGCAGATTGATAGGTATGATTTCTTCCAAACGCTGTGTAAGCTACTATTTCCCGCCCTCACACACGGTATTAATACACTCACCAATCACAGCTATCGTCGGCGGCCTCATCCTTCTGGTGAACATCGGACCCGGTATGTCCATCCCTCCCCACCTCTTTCTTTTGTTCGCGGCTTACACTTAAAACAGGTGGTCTCTCGGTCGACGAGAAGAAAAAGACATACTAAAGGAAAGACTCGACGTTTTCTTTATTGGCATCACGACAGCAGCAGCATCCCGCAGAAGCAGAAGATGCCTAGGATCATTTGAACGCCTGAAGTCGGACGCCTCGGTACTAATACATAGTACATATATCCAATATCGCATTGCCAATGACTATGGCATCGTCGCTTTGTTATCATCGCTTTGTTACTACTCCTCACCGACATATTTTGTACATATAGATGCGTGACGTGAGGGAAATGAGTGATTATGAGTGATTTTTTTAGTGCATAAGGTGACATCTCGAATCGAAGCTACCCTAAATGCCTAAACACATTCTTACTCCCACTCCTCATCCCTTTCCTCCGCTGACTCCTCCCAGTTCGCTCACTCTCACTCAACACAGCTGTCCTCTCCCCATCCCCACGCTCCATACCAGCCCCAAACACTTCCACGCCCTTTCTCGCGTCTTTTCTGCTCCCTCTATCTCTTGAAGGATCTTTGTTGGACGAGGGGACCCAGCTCATCTCGAATCCTCCTTCTTTACCTCTGGTGTGGGCAGAACCACGCGCAGGTGCAGGTGCATTCCGCCGCTGTCCAAATGTAGCAGTCTTATCACCCATCTTCCGCGCGCTCGTGCTAGTTTCCGTGTGTGGAACGAGAGGGACGAAATTGACGTTGGAGGGGTTGGCGTTGGAACGTCTGTTGTTTTGGCGCGTACGTGTGTATGCTTGCTGTGCGCGTTCGTTCTTTTGGCCTGGGCGTGCACGGGGGTCGAATTTGTTCAGTTCTGGTGGGGTGTGTGAGTGTGTGACGATGCGTTATGAGTGGACGAAGTTGTGAGTGAATGAATGACGATACGGATTGACGGGTGGTGGAAAGAAGATGGATGGAAGGAAGGGAAGGAAGGAGTACTCACCACCAGCATCGCTGCTATCATCACTATCACCCTCCTCTTCACCCTCACCCTCGCTCTCACTCTCACCCATCCCGTCACTCGAAGCCTTCTCACTCTCCTCTTCCTCCTCCTCTACAGCAGTCTTCCCTCTCACCTTCTGCTTAGAGCCCGAGCCCGAAGCCGAAGGATGCAAAAGCGCATACTCCCTCGTCGTCTCGTCAACTGCAAATTCGGGGTTCAGGAACAAGTCTTTGAAACGAGGGTCGTTGAGGAGGGTTGGTTTGTCGGGTTGTGTCTGGTCTGCTTCATCAGCATCGACTTCGACATCGACATCAACATCCATGGCCTCCTCCTCCCCATCCCCACCCTTCGTACCCCTCTTCTTCTTCCTCTCCTCTTTCTTCCTCTCCTTCTCAGCCCCCCTCTCAATCCTCTCCGCCAACGCTTTATTAACCTTGACTTCCTCACCACCAACCCCAGTACCAGCCCCGCCTTTCTTGGCACGTATCCTCGTCTCAGCCAACTTCTCCATCCGTGCCTTGACGAGTTTCTCGCGATGCTCAGCATATGCGAAGGGGTTAGCGATGACGCGTGCGGTGTCGTAGAGGTGGAGGGAGAGGAAGTAGCCGTGCATATAGGGTTTGAGAGCGGGGGTTCCTATTAGGTGGTCGAGGCCGAGTCTGTGGGTGGTGCGTGAGTTGTGAACAGGGAGATTGGGGTGAGGTGAACGGGATGAAGTGAATGTGAAAGCGTGAAAAACAGATGAAAACAAAATGACAACGCACGTCTTAAGCTCACTCCTCTCCACAAACTTGAAATCCTCATATGCGCTCCTCGTCGTAGAATCTTCCATCTCCTCCGTGATATTCTCCAGGAAACTAGCCCAGCGCGGTGCAGGACCGAGTGCGGGGACGTAATAGGTGGCCATTTGGATTCCTTCGTTGGCGGTTAGGAAGAGGCCGCTGCCTGGGACGTGGTGGATGTGGTTGAGGTCGTTTGCGGGTGTTATGGATACAAAGTTGGATGAGGGCTGTCGTGCGTCAGTGTCAGCGTCAACATTATCAACAGCAAGATGGACTCACGGAATTACGATCCCATATCTTGACGACTTTTTTATCTGCACTCAATACCATGCCGTCCCCTGCGAGCCTACTGCCTTCTATCCATGCCAGATTACGTATTGGGAGGCCGTAGCCTTGGTCTTTTAGTGCAAAGGGTCGGGTGGATCGTATGTCGTATAGGAGGGTGTGTCCTGTTGAAGTTCCGACTGCGTATGATAGACCGTCTGATCGGGAAGAAATGGCTGTGATGCCTATACTGAGTGCGTCAGTGTCGTCGACACCTGGCATCGTACTCCGCGCTGTGGGACGTAGCAGTCGGCTGGTCGGTACCCGAAGCACACCGACGGATGATCTAGACCGAAGATCCCAGAATTGAACTGTGCCGTTTCCATCGATGCCGAATGCGAGGAGGTTATGTGCGGGATTGATGTCTATGCAGTTGACGCCTTGGATGTTGTCGTCTTGGAGCACTAGTGGATTGAGGAAACGCCCTTGTTCGAGATTGAGACGATATATCTCGTTTCCTGAAGCTGAGAAGAGCGCGGTGCATGATGGAAAGTGATACGCCAACGACCGACCGAAGCGTGGTATGCGAGTCCTATAATGAAACCCTCCTTGGGTGTGAAGCTCGATTGTACGATCATTCTGCAAGTGCATAATCTTTGTCCAATCATCTGATAAAATCTTGATTCCGAATGGTGAGGTTGGATGGTCAAGAGAAGACTGGACTTACTATGAAATCAACATTCTCTGCATCTGAATGTCTCTCGAATTTTAGATTGAGGTCGTCTAGATCCCAGACTCTTGTTTGAGGTTTGTAAGTGCCAGTAGCTATTGCATGATGTCCGTCTCTTGTCGTTTTTATTTTATTGCTGGCTTCGGGGAATTCGAATCCTTGAATGAGCTCGATAGAGCCTTGGACGTGTTCTTTTGAAACCCGCTTTTTTGCTGCTCGTTTTTTGATGAGCCAGTCTGGAATTGAGGACGATGAGCCTGCTACTGCCCCGTTGACAGTATAAACTTTGACGTCCATCGCTGTAAAAGTGAGAGTCCTGATTGGGATATGTCAGAATTTAGCATCCATCTTCATGCCAGACCAAAGTCCGTCGTTTCTATGTTTTATTTTTCAAGTAGCTAATGATTTTCAGCTCAATACGCAGCAGCAGCCCATGTTCCCCTCATAAAATCACCAGGTCTTCGAGTTCCTCCACCTGTACGAAGCATGTCTTCATCGTAGACCACGCTGACTCGCTCTCAGGTACATCTGCCACCAGACATCCACCCTCTCCCAGATAGCGTCACTCCATACGTACGTACACTCCAACCATCCAAAGAACTCACTCACTGACAAGCACGCAGTTCGTCTATCCATACACACTAGAACCGCACATACTCATAGTCGAGTCTTCTCGGCGCACGACACTTGCTGCGCATACGACAAGGAGAGAAGCGTATCTTCGTGCGAGAGAGGACGAGCGTGAATGGCGGAGAAGGGAGACACTCAGGCGTGTTGCACCGGGTTTTGATCCTGCTGCGACCCTTGTGCCTGTCCGTGCTGAAGTTGGTGAGGTTAAGATGGATGTGATGGACCAGCTTGTGGATCAGCTTGCCAGGATGGAAAATTCCAGTTAGGATGCCATGCTAGTCGCCGTGCTTTGTATTCTAACACTCTTAGTCTCAATCTAATCTTTCGATGTGACACTCCCAGTCTTTCCTTCAAGTGATCATCATACTCATGGAATGGCAGATTCATCCAGTATCAATCATAACGAAGCGCGGCCCATAACATCCACATTCAAACTTAAGAAGGATCTGATTCACTTTACATCCCAACACGAATAAAATATTTCACTCGCCCAGAGCGACCCCGCGCTCCATCCTACACCCCACACCAATCCATCATCCACCACCCCTCGAGAACGTTCCAACAGGCCGCTGAATTGGCGCGATACCGGGTGATGGTTTCAATGGCGGAAACGAAGCCCTAAACCCACGCGCAGGCTCAAAAGGTGGTGCCTTGCTCGACAGCGTCGACGTCCCCGACGCAGAACTAGTAGGGAGCATACCACCACCACCACCACCACCACCATTATGCGACCCTGCAGAACTCGTCGAATGTGATAATATCGACACCTGCGGATGCGACATCGATGAACTCGTAGAATGCGAAAATCCAGAGCTAGACGCATGTCCACTCGCATACGGATTCGCAAGTCCCAATCCAGGAGGCGCCCCATCCCCGATTCGATATGCTGATGCCCGCGGCTGATGTCTCCGATACTGAGGAGGCGACACAGGCGGCGCCATCTGCATCGATCTCCCAATAGTCGCATTATACGCCCCAGCCACATCAGCCTCCGCCTCCGCCTCCTGTATCTCTCTCTCAACCTCACTAAGTGTCTTCTCCAAATCAATCAGCACCGTCCCCTCCAACTTTTCCTGCCTCGCATAAAGCCTCTCCAACCGATGCTCAACGCTCCCAATCTCATTCTTCACTCCCTCCATGCGTCTTCTCCTCACTTCCTCCTTCGCTTCGCGTTCCCTACGCGCTTTCGAAGCCTCCTTTTTGAGAACCTCACATTCATCCTCCTTCTCGCGGACTTGTTTCCTCAAACAGGGGTTCGACCCCTCAAGCTCGCTCCTCCCCCTCTCAACATCCTCTTTTCCCTCATTAGCCCTCCGAACAGCATCCTCGAGCGCCCGAATGCGCTGCCTCGCCTTACTCTCAGCAGCACTCGCTTTCTCAGAAGCCCGATTCAGAGCATCGATCTCATTTTTGAGTGCCGCGTCTGCTTTTTGGCTGTCTCTGCGCGTGGTTTTGAGGGTGGTGGTTAGGTCTGAGATGTGTGTTTGGAGGCTCGCGAGTGTGGTTTTCAGTTTGGGAAGACGGTCTTCTTGGGTGGGTGTTGTGGAGCGGGATGTGGAGCGGGGTTGGGGATGCGTGAGGGGTGGGTCTGTTGATGATGTGGACATTGAGAGGCTTAGAGATGATGATGACGAGGAGGATGAGGAAGACGATGGGAGGAGAAAACTTGTACTCGTCCCTTCATCCAACCTTCCATTCTCAATCGCACCTTCCGCTTCTACCATATCCACAAAAAAATAAGTCCCAATACCATCATTATCAATAAAAAAACGCGTACCTTCAGTAACGACCTGTCTCCTAATAGAACTCGCCAACCCCCCTTGCACAAGTCCCAGATCGATATCATACTGCCGTCCAGGCATGAGCCCGTATATGATGATAACAGCCTCATCTGCGGGTTCGAGGAGACGTATTAGGACGCGCTGCCATGGGGAACCGTTGACGGAGACTGAGAGCCCTGCTGAAAGCGCTTCGGAGATGATTCCGCGGGTTGAGTTTAGGGATTCTGTGTCTCCTTCTGGTTCTCCTCCTTGTTCGCCTTCTATTTCTACTTCTAGTTCTGGGTCGCGTTCAGTAGCTGGGTCTGTGATTGCGTCAGTGGATGTGGATGTGGGTATCGAAGATTCATGATCTGCGTTGATGAATTCAGATGGTGGGGAAAGTGTAGAAGAGAGAATAAATGTCGCTGATACGGATGTGATTTCACGGACTGAGAGGACGAGGTGAGGCGTCCAGGGACGGATGGAGTGCCATGAGCTTGTGCTTGCGTTTGTGTTCGATGTTTGGTCGGTGGTGTGCATCGTCATCTATAGTGCATTCGTGAGCTGACCGTCGTTTACAGTGAGCTGGTCGTTGTGGGCAGTAAGATGGTCGTCGTTGACGTTAAACCTAATCCTTTGGCAACGTTGCTTGCACTGAGTTCTGATCTACTTGAGGTTACATAACAAGAATCCGTTGTTGTCGCAGGTTTACAAATTTCACTGATTCATCTTGATCACTAACTACGATATCGATGGCTTCCAAAAATCAAGGATCCAGAATCACTAGTACTGTCTTCTTTCTTTCAAGGTCTGACTATGGCATGGATTTTGTGTGCTGAACACGATATTGCTGTCGTAGGCAGACCTTGGCATCATAGATGCGAAACATGACGCCAAGGTCTGCCTGCATTCATAGATCATGATCTATTAACCAGAAATACCGACACAGTCGAAGATGTAGAAGCCTTACATGTTCACCTGTGTCATTACTTCTGGTGGATAACAACAACACCAGCCTAGTACTACGAGTGCCACCTGCAGGCTAGACTCCCAGATGGACTCCTGCGGCATGGATATTTTGTTTGGTCTTTATCGGTTCGTGCTCAAGTTCTACATTGTACGTGTGTGCACATTATATGTTTGAATGACTACTTAGCAAGAACCGATAGTCGCGCCTCTACCGAGTCAACAAACCATACGGCTTCAAGAAAAATAAAGGAATGGCTAGTACTGTCTTCTTTCTTCCAAGGTCTGATTATGGCGTACTACTGTGTCGCGGTTGCTCCAGACATGGCCGCCATTACTCTTGTAGGCAGGCTTTTGCGTCATGTTCCACAGAACCCATAGTCACCTTTATTCTTCTGGCTAACATCAATACCAGCCCCTAGATTTACGGGCTAGGCTGCTACAAAAAGATCCTCGGTACGGTGGATAACTCTGCGCTTTCTTATGAACCCGAATGGATCACGCAAGATAAACTACTGCAGCGTGCGCTCTTTGTCTAGCCTTTAGCAATTCCATTCGTGCTCACATTGTATGTATGTATGTATGCATATTGTATTTAAACGACTACTTACACCGCACTTGCAGATAATCAGGGATTATTGTCTTCGTAGCAGGTGTCGATTGCGGTGCATTGGAAGCATTTAGAGACCTCAGGTGGATCAAGGAATGTTTGGAGACGTGTTCGTGCCATTAAATTGATATTATACGATGATCTGGGGTAACGAACGCATTGATGATTTCGTAACCGAAGCCCCATGTAGTTATTTGATTGCGATTATCCTAAACTAGCGAAAATAAACAGCTCTTCCTTCGAGAATGAACATGACTTCTCCACCACTTGAATAAAAAGTTAGTCTCCCGTAGGCAGACCAAATAGAACGAAGATAGTTTACAAAAAGTAGAATATCAGCAGCGCATTCATAATGTGGTTATTTCGTGAAAACTCGCCCGTATGTATTTGATATCTCTCCAACATCTCCCTCGACCAATATATCCTTTGATAGTGCGGTGTTAGCAAGAATTAATAGTCGTGCCTTTACCGAGTAATTTATCCCCCCCTCTGAATTCCATTTCCTGACGACTGCTTCTTACTTCTCCAGCTCCGAACATCTCGTATCTCTTCCCTCTCCAAACCACCTCATCACCAAGCATAGCCAGGATCCAGATCGGCAAAGCTAACAGTTCACGTAGGCACCATGCACCGATGAACAGCCATCGTCTGTCAGCTGCAAGAGGACGACCAGCGAGCGACTCGTAAACATCTAAATCCACCCACAGCCAAGCCGCATTATGAATCACTAGAAAAAGCCATACGCGAATCCCAAAAAGATACCACAAAGCCGCAGCTGCGATGGAACCAGCTACAAGGCTTTCGGTAAAGGGCTCCGCGACGTCCGCTATAAGAACCATGTGTTTGCGCACACGAATCCAGCGTACGCGCTTCCACACGTAGTCTGAGAAAGACATTTTCCCAATCGTGTAATGTGCGACGTCGCAGGATAAGTCGTGCCGGAGATCAAGCTCGTGCCATAGAGCACTGGAAATCGCGTAATCTTCTGCCAAGAATTTCCCGAACGCGGCAAGGCCGCGGAGGCAATCCTCGGGCTGGTCATTGTCTGTGAGCGCTCGAGGCTTCAGCGAACCGTTAAGCCGCTCTAGATCGGAACGTCGGTAGAGGTTTGATTTACCAACCACGCAAGCTTCGACGGCTGTCACGTTAATTGCGAGATACATTTTCGCATAATTGGTATTGAGGAATGCTTCCTCGATCAATGACCCAAGAAACTGTTCTTGAGTGGATGCAAATGGGACGTGATGGATAAGCGCAATGCGCTTCTTGGAAAATATCGTCGGTGTGGATGTCTCGAGTAAGGCAACGGAGCGCGCAAGGGTCCCAGGCGCAACCGAAACACCTGAATCAATGACCCAGAGAATGTCATGGGTAGCTTCATGGTATGAACGAATGAGGTTGTTTATTTTTGGGTTAACCCCAACCACCTCTTCTCCTGGATCACTTTCTTCAGCTGAATCGTCGACATCGCTCACTACGGACTTACCTATTATTACCCGGGCAGTAACGTTGGGATATTTAGAGATGAGGGCTCTCGCAACCGGAAGAGCTTGGTCTTGCTCATCAGCAACAGACAATATAATTTCGTAATTGGGGTATTGTTGGGTGAATGTGGACTCAAGGTTTTCGTATAAGTTGGCATCCAGGCCTTTCAGGGGTCGCAGAATAGATACACCGGGAAAAGAACTCGGTGGCGCTGTCGCAAGGGATGACCTTGGCTGTGTGCGATACCTTATTCGGCTGTAGTACAGTAAGTAAAGTGGCCGGCACCTAAGTAGCAGTTGCTCACGCTGTTCTGCATCCTCGGATAACAAATTCCCATATAACTACATACCACACCAGCCCAATGATAGCACAGATGAAGGGAAACAACGAGGGACACTGTTTAGACTCTGGGTGGGAGTTCATTGGTGAGTGTGTATCAGACATACTGTACAATTATCACTGTAAGTGCTTGCAAGGTCATTATAAGAGGTTACTTGGTGTCAATCAAAAACAAGCGATATCGCCAGCTGACGTGGCATAATGGAAAGAGTAAAACCTTATGCCGAGTAAATTTAGACTATGATAGACGGGAGGAGTTGGCGTGACGTGCCTCGGAGTGATTTTGTCGTCAGTCCAATAGAAAAACGCACATCGTGTCACGTAGTGAGCGAATCTGCAGATTGTTCTATGCGAGGGCGATCCTCCTCGCCCGTGCAGGTGTAAACGAGTACCTGCTCCCGTCATAGCCACTATTCCCTGGGCCTTATGACGGGACTTTGACTGTCACGGGCCGCGCTGGACAAAAAAAACTGCCACTCGAAAATGGAAGGGGTTGGCTGACGCAACTCCTTTCGTCATAGCCGCTGCGGTTCACTGGGCCGTATGACGGGACTAGGGCAGCCCATGGGACGTGCTGAACAACAATATTGCCGTATGATGACTGAAAGGGACCTGTAGGACTTTGTTCAAATTTCAAAACAACCAAACTTGACAAGGAAGAATCAACTTGCTTTGTTTGCATTCGACCACATTGGGATCCTGACAAACAAAGCTGCTGACTTAGATAGTTCCCCGGGAGCAAATCCCATTACCGTTACCTCTTGAAAATGACAAGGGTACAACGAGCTCGGCTACGCTCATATTATTCTTCGAGGCTCGCAATGCAGCCAAGAGAGAATTCTTTGAATTATACCCTGTTTGGGTCGAGGAATTCACTGCTGTCGTGTTCTACAGTACTGGCATGCCCGCGAGCGCGTGAGTTCTTCATTTTATCTTTTTTTTCCGGTTGAAGTTCTAGCGATGCTGCACCGTCGGCAAAATTGTCTCGCTCCTGTTTGTGCTAATAGTGAAACCACGACTCATCCCTTCCTTAATGGCGTTGCAAACTATCGCGCTAAGCTTTTAGCTAACTCTGGTGCGGGAACTGGCATGATTACAATTGCTTTCGCGCATACACGTGTCGACAGGTGTTGGCGTGTATCACGGGACCAAAATCAAGGATTCGATGAACACTTCTTTGGTACTCTGCAGGGAACGTAACAATATCGACTGGAGTTTCTCATGCTGATTTGGGTTCGAAGTGGTGTTTTTTGGGGAGAAAACGAACCAATATCTCTATCATGTTGCATCGCGACTGTGAATAAGCAGTTCCCACTGCTGAGGTTCCATCCCCGCTTGCACGAGGAGAAAGTTTTGGCGATACACTTGAGACAGTCTGGCTGAAGCTGAAATCATCCAGATGTCTCGCGATAACCGACGTTCCTTGCATGACGCATCGTGACACCGTGGTTGTGTGAAGGTTCCGTATATGTCTGGTTGCAGCAACTGGATCACTCATTGGGTTCCTACAGCCATATCTATAAAAAAGGACCGACTTATCCTCCTGCTTATATGCCCAGAGGAGGATCAACGTATCACCTACATGCGAGTTTCTGGACGTGCGTTACGGCAAGCCTTCGAAGCGTGTATTATCCACACCCGTTCACTGCATCCCACCTTTGTCTGTTCATCCCTGCCGTATCATGAACTTGTAACTGGAGGGCATTATGAGCCCATCTTGACGACTCGCAATGACTTGTGGAGATATCGCCTATGGCGATGTGGTCATCGTTAAAGGCTTCGTTCCAGATAACGGATTGCCTGTTATCAATTACCTTCACAGGCGAGGGCGTCTACGGGAGACCAATGCTCGGTGAGACTTGATAAATAAAATGCTATATCGTTCCACGACCCAATCTCTCGTCTTCCATGGTCAGTGACAGCCTAGATTGCGACTATCTTCCTTCTATTCGGGAGACTACATAGAAAAAACCATCACGTGTATGCATCCGCCATCGACTTTCAGACCAGCTCGATAATGCGGTCACCTAATCGGACTCCAGAGTCCCATCCGACGGATCCAAAACCCCTTTTACTCGCAAGATGAAATCCTAAGTACGCCATTTCTCGATTCCGGTGCTTCTCTTCTTCTGATCACGCCTACCCTGACCTTACCCTTACTTTGTGCGGCCCATAGTCCGAAATTCATACTTACACCCGCCTTTGATGATATTAGGTCCTGTGAAACGGACTAGTTAGCTGAAGACAATTTCTTCTCCTCGGAAGGGGCCGTTACGCATCTTTGACGTACATAGAGATCTAGCTGATCGTTCCTTCATTAAATCCGTCGTCCCTCTTACACGGTCGTCGTGCGAAGAGAAGTCGATTGCTATGCGCTGTCAGGTGAACGTTGCCAAAGCACATTGTCACTTTAAAGTTTATAATCTACCGTAGGATTTTTTCGACGCAGCAAGTCGTTTTCTGATCATGACGCGACTCGACGGACGAGGTGTCTCAACTCCCACAGAAAATGAGTCCCAGACGATGTTGGTCAGTCTCACAGATCTTGGAGGCGAGGGTCGAGCAAGAACAGCAGCATATCTGGCGTGGACCTTGGGCGGAAAAGATGCATCAATTTCACGTCACGAATTTACGCAGCCCGAGTCTCTCGAAGGGGTGCCTCACAAAACAAAATAGATAGCAAGATACAGTACGAGGACCTACAATACAGAACCGAGTACATAAATCTTACCTATCAGATTCATATCTCGCAGGGCCGCAAAGCAGTCATGGGTGGCAGAGGCCATGAGGTACTCTGGTATCCATCAGTTTGATGCCCCAAGATCTTTCATAGTTCACCCCTTGAAAAACACGTGCGGAGATCACTCCCCAAAGAAGGTCAATACCATTGATTAGTACTGTGGTCTGCAGCCAAGTATACTCAGCATGACATTTATGACGAAGATGTCCACGTTAAGGGGAAAACGTGCCGCGCGGCTTTCAAAGGGTCCCGTACGCCTCGAAAAACCTGGTGGTGCCTGCCAGTGAAAAACACACTTACCGATGAGCCTCGGAGGAACGTTTCAAGCACAATGAGACTCGCAGCTGTTTCAGGCGCTATATGGAACTGAAAAGCTAGTCGATATGATCTCACACATCCCTCCTAGAAGTATATTTACTAGTTTGACCAAACGAGTGACTGCACCGCTGGGCCCATTATGTAGAATGGGGATAAAATAGTACTCTCCTTATCTCATTCTGTCACCTAGTCACTGCAACTCTTGGTTGGATGATGGTAAAATACTCCACATCTGTCATCGAGACTCCGAGGTTCTTAAGATCCGGGCCTATATGCATTGTGCATGCTCCCGATCAAAACAAAACAAGCACGACGTACTGAGTATGTGAGGCCCGGGATCTCGGGCAGCCATACGTTGTTGCTGCACGTTTATTATCACCATCTGGCATCCGTTATCATCGGGACCGACGGAACACCGAACGTGGTCGCAACTCTCGCCGTCGGTAAAGGCGAGTACAGCCGTGGCCATAGATGAACGACAGCTATAAAGCATCAACTTGTCCACTGAGCGTATCACGAAATGATTCCCATAGGCTACAGCCTACTACAACACTGAGATATAGAACAGTCATGAGAAGGACTTTTCTATATCTCAGCGTATGTGGTTGCCTCTGCCGTAGCCGCATTAACTGTCTTATGTCTGTTCACCTGCCAGTGATATCATGATGGGACTCACCCAGACCAGCCCAAGTCGAACAGTACAACATTTCTCACTTCCCCCCACACCCCCCAGCGTCTGTGCTCGCTCGTTTATGTAACTCTTACACAAGTGCTCAGTCTACTCCCAGGATTTACCTTTTGTAGTGTTCTGTTGAAGAAGTCGCATCATCATGCACAGGCGTTCGAATCAGTCTTCAGTTTGTATGATTCGTGTAATGTAAAATGGAGATGTCTGATAGAGCTGGCCTGATAATAACTTGAAAAAAACGCAACGACTGTGTTCCTTCTTGCAAGGTCTGGGTACGAGGGACTAGATAAAAAAAGAGGGGTGAAAACCCCCAAGAATGCAATCCCTGTTAGCGCTACAATATGTTCGGTCTCAACTATACGTTCGTTCCCCCCTTACAGCTCAATTATAACTTTGCTCAGGAGCCATTCCCTAAACGTGAGGTCGGATAGGACGATGGGAACCTTCACCTGGGATATCGAGACATTCGTCTTGTCGCACTTCTGCTGGCGATATTCTGCGAAGGTGCCTTTCTCCACAAGACGGATGGTTGGCCTTCTTGCTCGGCCTTGCCAGAAAGCAGTGCGATATTCATCGTTTGCCGCCATGAGATCTTCAAAAGTATGTTGTGTCGCCATTCTCGTGTCATTTGCTATGAGTATCAATTAGCTCAGTCGCGTGGAAGAGCTCCAAAGTAAGCACAAACCTATTTCACCTCCAATTTCTATCAAGTACCCATAAGTAATAGGTGTGTCTCGTTCGTCGCCGACAATGGTGAAATCTACGATTTGGCCAATTGATCGCTTGGCGGCAGAGACGATGGCGTTGGTCAATTGCGACTCGGTACACGTCGTTCCGAATGCCATCATAAGTCCGCCACTTCCAAAGCGGGAGAAATCGTCTCAGCTCCTAAGCGTTGAAATCGATGATACGGCAACTCACTCTCGCCTGTGAAGGTAATTGATAATAGGTAATCCGTCATCTGGCGCAAAGCCTTTAACGGCTACAACATCGCCAATGCGGTATCTCCACAAGCCATTGCGAGTCGTCAAGACGGGCTCGTAATGTCCTCCAGTTACAAGTTCATGCTACGGCGAGGATAAGTTGACAAAGGTGAGACACAGTGAATCGTTCTTACAGCAGACAATACACGCTCCGATGGCTCGTTGGAACGTACGTCCAGAAACTCGGTGAACACGTCCACAAACATTAGCTTGTAGTCAGCGTTAAGATTGCCTTTGTGGTATGGTGTGGCCATGCTACCCTCTGAGCTGCCATAACCAGTAGCTTGGGTGGGGATAGAAGGGCCGAGGACGTGAGCAATCTTGTGTGTGACTGACGGTCAGTTAGCCAATAAAGCTTCTACACTTCACATGCCTTGGAAACGGCGGCAGCAGCAGGACCTCCGGTGATACCAACGAACCTCTTCAAGTCAGGCCACACTCGGACTGCCCAACCCTGGATGCCAGGAGGCCCAATTTCGCGAAGTTCGGCAGCACGAAGAGGGTTTGGCTTAAAAAGTTTCTGAGAAGCCCTGTGAGCGAAGTGGAATGTGACAATCAACAAAAATATGACCTCTAAAGGTGCTCGCAAATGGCCAAGGTTTTCGATGTCCGGGATGATACCCTTCTCGATGCAGTCGACAAGCAAAGACCACTCATCCTCTATATATTGCAGAAAATTGACGAATACATTGGCAAAGAAGAAGCGGATGGTTGTCACCCGACGGTCTGCCAGTGCAAACAGAGCATTCAGAACAAAGAAAGCTCGATAGCTCTTGACCAAGGAAATCGCGTATGGATCTGTTTGCCCTGGCACTGAAAGTTGACTGGGGATCAGCATGCACAAGGGAAAGTAGCACGACAGGCTTACCCCATAAGTCGAGTCTCTCTTTGTCATGCTCGGCATCCCAGTTCATTGCCATTCGCAGAAACCCGATGCTCAACGAGCAGACTGTTATCTCCTTGGACTGACCGTCCTCGCAATCTATTTTTAGGATTTGCGAATATCTCATAGAAGCTGGTGATAAGGTGGTTCCATCTGACGGGGGAAGCGCCAAATATAGAGGATGTTGCAACAGGTGCGGGGGAGGCCGATATCTCGGAAACGTCTTTACTGATTTACCAGATGTCATGCTGGACATGGCGAAGAAGTAGGGCAGTCCTGGGGCGAACATATTCTTGACGTCATCCTCCTTGCAAGGGGTTGCGAAAAACTTTGCTATGAATGGCCTGTAAGATTCATAGTTTGTGGTGGGAATGCATTCTCGGAAGCTGCGTAGGAATTGCATGTCATCCATCGAATCGCTCTGCGCCATGGCCTCGCGGAATTTTGCCAACTCGGGAGCATCCTGAGCAAACTGAGACGCAAAACTCGGCCGTATTATCTCCAGCAAGGATTGATCTTCGTTATCCTTCAGCTTCTGAGAGAGCTCAGCGGATAAGGATTCCAGGAGATCTGTTTCAAGTTGAGACATTGTTGCAGACGTGGAATTGGAATGTGGCTTTATATAGCGTGATATGGGGTTGGCGTATAGCCTGTGGGATTGCCCCCTTGATATTTTAGGCCGGTCAAGCACAAGTTTCACGTGGTGCTACCCCTTCACAGGCGTCTGCGCGGCAAGTCATGACTTACATTTTGGTTCGTAGCCAGAGTGATGCTGACGCGGCAAGTGATTATTCCACAATGAGCTTGTAGCGGATGTCAGGGTGTACCTGTGTGTGCACATGTGGGGCGCCCATGGCTCGCAAGCCCAGTGGACGATAATGAGGTGGTAGCAGGCGCGCACGATGATCGCGGCGTACAAATCATGATGCAATCATGATCTCATTTCATGAGCAGCGGAGCGCTTCGGGAAAAGATCACTATCCATTTATCTGGGAACTTTGTCAGACCGCTTCAACGACATCGAATGGAGAAGATGTGATGATCTCCCCCATGCTTATAAGTAAAGGGGAGACTTAGACAAACCGGACCTTCTTTATAGACACCGTTATCACTCTGGGCGCTGAATGAGCAATTCAATTAGAAAGCCGCAACCAGAAATTCCGAACCTTCACACAACAAAAGCGTCATGATGCCGTATGCAAGGGACCTGGTCCGCCGCGAGACATCCGGATAATTTCAGCTTCAGCCAAACAGTCTCAAGAACGTAACCAAAAAAAATTCATCGTGCAAGTGGGAGTGGAAGCAGTAGGAAGTGTTCAGTTCTAGCTTGAGGAATCTTGTGATGCAATCCGAACATCACATTGGTTTGCTTTCTCCCTAAAAACAATTTTGAACACCAAATCAGCGCAAAAACTTCGATTGATATTGCTATATATGTTCGATGCAGGGTACCTGAGAAGTAATCATCCTCGACTCTCGTCCCGCGATACACACCTCCACCTGCCAACAATTGTATGCTCAAAAGCAATTGTAGTCATGCCAGTTTCCTGCACTAGAGTTGGCCAAAAAAATTTGCGCTGTCCCACGAAACACCACGAGCGAGACAAGTCGCCGATGGGGTACCGGACCGCGGTAAGGCCAAAAGCATAACTACTATGCGGAACTTCAGGAGAGAAGGAATGGCGCGTTGAAATTAAGAGCAAAGTAGAACACGACAAGACAGCCTAGACGTTGTACAGCCGGACATCGTGGACTCGTAACCACTGGCAGTCCGACTATGCGTCAATTTGAGATGGTGAGACGGGTCGAAGTGATTTGGCAGGCGAAGCGAGGAGTTTGAAATTTGGCAGATGCCGGTCGTGCCGCTTTGAGTAGCCATGTGACTGGTATTTGTTGATCATACAAAGTTTCTTCATTCGCATCATACAAAGTATCGGATTCGTAGGCCTCTCACTGATCATGGAACATCAAGCAGCACTACTAAATGTTAACTAGAACAGCCTGAACCTTTGGTTTGGATGTTCAATCCTTCCAGCCATGTGAAGGCGGTATTCGTATTGATCGGGATTTTTTTGAGCGCTGCCAGGCTTGTTCAGTAAACCAATCCCACCCCATGGTTTCATTTGCCTTTGGCGACAAAAGGATAACTTGTGAGTACTTGACCTCGCACTGCAAGATTGATTGCGTGATGATATCACAGCTCAGTCAGTTACATTTCAATCTCACTCAACCATTCGTCTCGCCACATCCGTCTTCGAACATTCTAACGAGACTCCTGTTTAGTATCTTACAGCTCCATGATAACTCTCTGCAGGAACCATTCCTTGAACGTTGGGTCGGATAGGATGATGGGCACCTTCACCTGACCCATCGAAATGTTCGTCTTGTCGCATTTCTGCCTGCGGTATTCTGTGAACGTGCCCTTCTCCACGAGACGGATGGTTGGCTTTCTTGCTCTGCCTTGCCAAAAAGCAACACGAAACTCATTGTTTGCCATGAGGTCTTCAAAAGTTTGCTGTATTGCCATTTTCGCGTCCTCTCCTGTGCATATCAATTAGCGCAGTCGCACGAAAGAGTTCCAAAGCAAATACGAACCTACTTCCCCTCCAATTTCTACCAAGTACCCATAAGTAATAGGTGTGTCTCGTTCGTCGCCCACAATAGTAAAATCTATGATTTGGCCGATCGATCGTTTAGAGGCAGAGACGATCGCATTCGTCAATTGCGACTCAGTACATGTCGCTCCGAATGCCATCTCAAGTCCGCCGCTTCGAAAGCGGGCGAAATTATTTCAGCGTCTATGCATAAAACATTGATAAAATCGCGACTCACTCTCGCCTATGGAGGTAATTGACGACAGGTAGTCCATCATCTGGCGCAAAGCCTTTAACGGTGACCACATCGCCAATGCGGTATCTCCACAAGCCATTGCGGGTCGTCAAAACTGGCTCGTAATGCCCTCCAGTCACAAGTTCCCACTACGGTAGGGATGAGCGGATAACGCTGGGATGCAGCGAACGGTTCTTACAGCAGATAATACACGCTCCAAAGGCTCGTCGGAATGCACGTCCAAAAACTCGATTACCCCGTCTACGGGTAGTACCTTGAAGTCAGTATTAGGGTCGCCGTTGTAATACGGCAGGCCGATATAGCATTCTGAGCTGCCATAACAAGGAGCCTGCATGGCAACAGAAGGTCCGAGGACGTGAGTAACCTTGTATCGCTGGCTGTCAGCTGGGCAGTAAACCTTCACATTTGACGTGCCTTTGGGACGGATGCAGCAGCAGAACCTCCAGTAATACCAATGAACGTCTTCAAGTCAGGCCATACACGGACAGCCCAGCCCTGGATGCTAGGAGGCCCAATTTCGCGAAGTTCGGCAGCACGAAGAGGGTTTGCAGTAAAATGTTTCTAAGAGAAATCGTGAGCTGAATGGAATATGACAATCAAACGCATATATCACCTCTAAAGGTTCTCGCACATGGTCCATGTTTTCCATGTCTGGGATGATCCCTTTCTCAATACAGTCGACAAGTAGAGGCCACTCTTCCTCTACGTACTGCAAAAAGTTGACGAATACACTGGCAAAGAGGAAGCGGACGGTTGCCACCCGACGATCTGACAGTGCAAACAGTGCATTCAGAATAAAGAAAGCGCGATAGCTCTTAACCAAGGATATTGCGAATGGATCCGTTTTTCCCGGCACTGAAAGTTGCCTAGAGATCAGTATGCACGAGGGAAAGCAGAGTGATGGACTTACCCCACAAGTCGAGTCTATCCTTATCGTGCTCGACTTCCCAGTTCATTTGCATTCGCAGAAAACCGACGGTCACCGAACAGACCGGTAACACCTTGGAACTCTGACCATCCTCACACTCTAATGTCAGGACTTGCCACAAACCCAACGAAGATGGTGATAAGGTGCTACCCTCTGAATGGGGAAGCGACAAATAAAGAGGGTGATGCAAAAGGTGCGGAGCGGGCCGATATGTTGGGAATGTCTTTGCGGATTTGCCAGATGTCATGCTGGAAACGGCTAAGCAGTAGGGTAATCCTGGGGCGAACATGTTCTTTACGTCAGATTCCTTGCAAGGGGTCGCAAAAAACTTTGCTATGTATGGCCTGTAAGGCTCGTAGTTTGTGGTGGGAACGAATTCTCGAAAGTTTTGTAGGAAATCGATATTGTCCTCGGCTTCGCTGCGTGTGATGGCTTCGCGGAATTTTTCCAACTCGGGGGCATGCCGAGCAAACTGAGACGCAGAATTCGGCCGTATCATTCCAAGCAGGGTTTGGTCCAGGAGATCCTTGAGCCGCTCAGAGAGTTCAGCGGACAAGGAGTGCAGGAGGTCTGTGTCAGGAGGAGACATTGATGTGATATAGTGTGGTGTTGGATCGCGACATTATATAGTGTGAGTGGCTTGTATGACCTGATGGGATTGGCCCGTGACACCTAGTGCATGAGAGTGTTTTCGGGACTCACTGCGCATCTCTTAGCACGGCCTGTTCGAGCCCAAAGTTTCGTGTTGTGCTGGCGGCCTGGACCCTTACGACCAAGGATATCAAAAAGTGGTCACTATGTACCATGTTTTGCCTGAGAACCCTGACAGGTCGTTTCACCAGTACCAAATGTAGATGATATAATGATATACCCTGTGCATTTTCTGTAAACGGTGTAAGGACGACTCGGCCATTAATATCGTGTACAACCACGTATCAGATTACTCATCGGCACCGATAAATAAAGCCCCCCTCTGCTTATAGAAATGTTGCAGTGTGCGATGCACTTCCTAAAAAAGAACTCAATTGTGAGCAGCTAAATCATAAAGACTATACAGCACATACGAGCCAAGTTATGTCTCGCGTAGGGCATTACCCCAACGGACAATGAACTCTGATTCAAAAAAAAGAGCAGCTAAAGTAATTCCCATGGAGGTTTCCGCTGTTGACCAAGCGCATGATCTACGAGGATCCTGCGTGTCACTGCCTTAACTTGAAGACGAATACATTTTGATGCGATATTTGCAAAAGGTGGTTTGCGTGAACACATAGGATCGATGATGGATGACAAGGATAGACTCGCTCATATCTAGGTGACCCATTGGATGGTAGACCGTAAGATGGGAGACGGTCGAAAATCATCTTGTGCTCATCGAATTGCAATGTGTCCATGGGGATCTGCGAATGTCGCGGTATTTACTTGGGGATTGGTACGGAGGGAGTACACATTTTAAGCAATAAAACAAAAAGAGATACACCGATCACGTACAAATTGCAGATTATATTCTCATAGAGATGCAGTCAAATATCAATGGGATTTTACCTCCATGAGCAAACCTGCAAAAGGCTCATACGTGCGCACATCTAAATCAATAAGAAGGAGAGGACCGTGGTCGCAGGGTAGGTGCTAGGACTAAGGGGGGATGAGAATAAGTATGTTCCGAGAATGGAGGTACTTAAATATTGGGCCGGATATGGCTGTCATATGCAACCGATCAGATCGATCATGACCCAGCACTGAGCATGCTGCCACATGTACAGGCTGCCACGCGATTTTGTTCGTCGTGAGACTCGGACGTCTGGATGAATTGAGCGTCAGCCAAATTGTCTCAAGAGTGTCGCCAGTGTGTTCCTCCTGCAAGTGGGGTGAGAGCTGTGGCAGCCAGATATGTCTCTGTTTCAAATCTACTTCGGAACACCAAAGGATGTACACGTGTCACGACAAGTGTAAATCACTTTAGTCATGCCAGTTCCTGCATCAGAGTTGGCCAAGAGCTTAGCGTGGGGCACCAAGGATGAGTCGCCGTCCCAGCACAAACTCACCTGCACATAGAAGACAGTTTGAAGAGCGCCATCATAAATATCAATCGGGCTCCCATGGAAGATGTACAGATGAGGCCTAGTATAGAAAAGTGATCAGATGCAGGCGTACCAATTTGGAGGGAGTGAGCTAGCACATCGCTAGTCTCCTCGATATAGGTAAAAGGAAGGCAGTCGTTCCTTCTTTATTAGTAGCACCGTGACGTTGCAGAACTTCACCTTGCGGAACGTAGGAGTCTGGAGACGAACTCGGATTTAACCGCAATGTCGTACAAACATGGACAAGCAACGCGGTCAGGAACTATTTTTGTTCCAAAACCCCAAAAATGACGTAGTGCCCTAGCCGAGTACAGCCACCTGTGGTAACTTCATCAGGTAACTGACCGGAAAATGATAAGTTCTTAGCTAGCTTTGTCTGATCTAAAATCTGCGTAATACCTATCAAAATTGTATACGACACGAGAAAGCTTTGAATACCCGGACTTGGTTGGATGGAACCTGCCAAATACACAATTGTGACGATTTAGTTGTGTTGACCAGGAGCGACCGTAGTCACCTAGCCGAGAACAAATAGCAATATACTACAATGATGCCCTGTCCTGGCCATGGCATGTAATCTTTGATTGCATTTATTTTCTTCGAAATCACTGAATTGATGCTAAGCGTCATAAAAAGCTTTATATGGCCGGACTCCGTTAGACTAAAGCTGCCTATGACGCAAGAGTGCTGTGTATCTATAATGCAGTACCAAGTCGTATAAGTGTGATTGTTGTTTGCAACCCGAGCTTGTCATTGCGCTATCGACGAAAACACCCTCGACGTTGATGTTTGGCACGTGGTTGTGATGCCAGCCTGTGATGCTTGGATCGGTCAAGTGCACAATTCAGATGATGAACGACAGTATACTACCATCCTACTCAATCTTGGCGAGATTCAATACAGGTATGCAAAAACAGTTTGTCCTTTTATGCTCTACAATATCTGAATAAACGCCGGCGTCAGATCAATGTTTATATGGCTGGACTCCGTTAGACTAAAGCTGCATACAACCTAAGAGTGCCGAGTATCCATAACGCAACACCAAGCTGTGTAAGCGTGATTGTTATTTGTAACTTGAGTTTGTCATTGTGCTATCGACAAAAACACCCTCAGTGTTGACATTCGGCACGTGATTGTGATGCTGGCTGTAATATTTAGGTTCTACAAAGTGTACAATTATGCCGACAAGCGGCAGTGCGTTAATATACTGTCCAACCTTGATGAGGTCCGCCAACTGCACACAAAGTTGATTTGTTATTTTGAGTTCCACATCCTCTCCCTGAATGACTGCACCGGACAGAATCTTCAAATGCAAGGCTGTATTGTGCCACAGCTGCCAAGGTGCTGATACTTGGCAATGGTAGCTTATTATTTTCATTCGACCAAGTGTAAGCATAATGTTAGCTCTCGATCTTATTATAACAGTAAGGCATTCTTGCTACACTATTCATAGCGGTGTTGTAGGTCTGTTGTCCCGCGATCACTTCTGAGGGCTAGCGAGGATGCAAAAGCCAAAGCAGGTTGCCATTGGGTCACAATTCTACAAATACGAACAGATATAATAGTTTAAATAAATACTATGAAGAGACGACGTCCGGATTCATTGCTCGTTTGAGCGCAATACGTTTTTGTCGGATCTTGGATAAGGCGCTGTTGGCGCTGATAGGTCTCTTGGCAGCAGATGAGGTAGGAAATACTTGGCTGGTAATATATCAGCCTCGGCTACACGATGAGTGATAAACATACCGATTCCACCAGGTCAGCAGCTCATCAACTTCTTTACATTCCTCAGGGTCTTCTAACAGGTCGAGGAGGCTGTGGTAAAACGTCTCAGAATCTGTAACTGTGTCGGTCCGTGAGAACACTGAAGATGAACTGAGAGCGAATCGCACCTTCAGCGGTACGTCAAGTGCTGCTGCAGAAGGATGATACTCGACGAACCTGAGTTGCGATATAGGCCACAGAGGCTATGGTAACGGAGTTCATGCCGTGAAGGCGAGCGTTTCCGGATCACGTGGCCTTCGGTTCCTTGTCAACCGAACTTGGAGACGTAAAAACGTGCTTGTAGGCCTATTGTGATACTATGCGGTAAATGGACTATATAAAAAAACCAGTGCGCACTCACACATGTTAATAAACGGCTCCTTAGCAGGCCGGACCACGGGTCTTCAGAGTCATAGACATAGTGAGCGTACAAGAAGATCGGCCACTGATCCCCGCAGACCAGCATCTCGCCACTTCGGAGGTCTTCTTTTGTCCTTTAACGAAGAAGAGAATATTAGTACTGCAATGTCAGGAAATAAAAACATACTGAGGGTCGTGCCAGTCCAACCCGGCGGGACAAAGAAGAGATCCCGTAAGTTCGTGGTTAAAACCGCGGTCGAGCTTGGAGTTTCTATGTAAATGGGGCTGTATCGCCTCTCCTTTCGGGGAAATCCAGTCGAGTACCGCAGATTTCAGCGTCTTTGTATCATCGCCTCTGGCGCCTGCGGCCCCCTTTCCAATCTGTGATTGATAAGCTTCAAGTCTGGCTACACAGAAGAAAAAAAAGTACCAGCTCTCCGACGTGGAGGATTTCCTCCTCGGATCCATCTTTCAACCGATCCAGAAGGCCGGGGTAGGAGTCTATGAGTTGTTCAAAGACACGATGTTCTCGCCGCTCGCTGCCAAACATATCAGTCAGAAGGCGAATAGCGAACACAGAGGTGGGTAGATGTTTACTCAGCAGGGAAGTCTTCCAACGGGACATCCTCCATTTGTTCCAGTCTCAAGATACCGTTGGTGAGTAGGGAAGGGTAATTGCATAGCGCAAATACCGTTCGACCAAAGTGGCGTCCGTGGGAGACAAGCGGATCGGATGATGAGCTGGGGGACAGGATGAGTCTACAAAGCTTGCAGTCAGCGTGCAGACAGCTTACGCCTTTTTGCGAGGCCCCATTGAGAGAGCTGACGAGCCGCGTTTGCTCGGAATGCTGGAGGTAGCATCCTGCGTAGTCATGAAGTGGGAAAGGGAGGAAAAGTTGCCCAGGCGTCGCAGATGCCGGAAGTAGCTTTTATCCCCAGAATTACGCTATGTAATGCCTCAGGGAAGCCGGCAGCCAGCGCAATGGCTATGGTAGTTGCCAGCCAAACAGTGGCCGCGGTGAATAGCGCCCAGGCGATGGCCAAAGTCATTGGCAGAAAAAGGTGGCGAATGACGGCAAGTGTGGCCAGCGCAAGTTTGGCCCGCCCGACGGCTGCATACCGGAATCGATTGACTTGAGCTAAAATAGAGAGTTTGTAATTCAGTGATTAGAAAAGCACGGCAGTCACATGAGGTATATAACTCCCTTTGCATGTCTCGTTGCAGCCCGCTGCCAGCGGAATACATCCGCCGAAACCCAATATGCCGCAACTCGGAAGTCAAACCTTCAAACTACAAGGATGTAGTTTCAACATAAACGTACAGTAAGCCAGATGAATCCACCTGGCGCAGGGACGTCCTGAAGGCATTCTTTAGGATCGAGTTAGTGGGAGGAGATAATGAAAGCGGGGAGGAGCTCGCCGGGATATCGTGCGTCAAGTCCATCTGACTCCATCAGCTGCACTCGAAGCTGATCATGGAGTAGCGAATCGAAAATTGATGTCGACGATCCTACATTGGATAAAAATGTTGCTCCGGCTCAAAAGAATGAGAGTGAGAAAGACCAGGTGAACGCTATGGCCAAGCTCAAAGAGCGGTTGGAGTTGGCCGAGATGAATTGCTCAATGCTGGAAGAGCTATACCTAAGGTATAGAGTTCGTTGGTTGGAGGAAAACTATCGAGTAAGGGCGTTGAAAGTATACGCGCCGGATGGAGTCAATACTCACTCTCCCCGTCAAATCACATGCGACGCCCCCTCTCCTGCACAAAGTACGTCGGATATGCGCTCCCTTGAGATCAACTGACAGTATTGCTCAGGCGAATATGATGCTGAACTTCAGGGCCAAGAGTAAATGCAGCGGTCCTATCGTAGTATGATGCTGTTGTTCGAGATGTAGTGGTATGCAGAAGATAACAGATGTTGCATCGAATACAGCTGGGCGACGGGAGATTATCGATTAGTACCCACCAAGACGAGACTGGATACTAGAAACAGAAAAATCTGCGTATCGTCAGAAGCTGGCAGTAAATTTACGAGTACATAGCAACCGACCGCGGGGTAGGGAGGGTTGTGTGCACGTCGTAGTAGGTGGTAGTAGGGGGGACTAGTACTGTGAGGGGCGACTAGAATGTAGCTATTACGTAATATGTTTTATGTACTCGGATAAAACTGTCTGTGCTATGTCAATCAATAAGGGATGGGCAATGGGCATCGTAGTCGTAGAACCTTGGTAGGACCTTCAGTCTCATGCAGAGTGCTCGACTTGGGGAAGGACGGAAACAACTGCTCTCGAAAACAAAATTTGACCCAGATAGTTAAAATTGCACTGTTTTACAGTGTTTTACAGAATCAACGTACAAGACAAAGGCAGAAATAATTCAGGAGGCTAGGGGAGGATCACAAAAACATAAAAAATATGGTGATCCCGGACCAGACGGGAATGAAACATAAAAAAGTCCATGAGTCCGAGATCAGAAAATAAAGAGCTCCAATCAATCTTCGCAGTCTTCATAGTCTTCGTAGTCTTCGTAGTCTTCATAATCTTCGTATCCCCCCATGCCGTTGTCAACGTCCTCATCGTAGAGGGACGCTGTATCACATAGACATTTTGAAATGGTTGGGCGGAAGGATGTTGTTGAGCCTGCAATGAAATCAGCAATTGATGGAAAAGGGATTTGATCAGCTTGTGCCCACTGCTGTCAGAGAGATCGAATCCATGGATGTTTTCAATGGCCAGGCTATAGAGCTCTATCTCAGCTTGCGCGCGGCGCATCTTGGCCTGCAGGATTAGCAAATCCAGCCCAAGGTTGCGCAGATAGGCGTTGTTACGCCTGGTGGCGAGAGACGCCATCATCAGCTCTGCTTGCAAGTCCAGCTCTTCCTGGAATGCGCGGTGAAAGGCCTCTTGGATGTCAATGGTGACCCACGTACTCGACAAGGGCAATGAGGGGCTAATGCACTGCAGAGAGGTGGTGAGACTAGGCAAGCAGACCGTCACATCACTGACATTCAAACTGATGGAATTCCACCTTTCCTCCTGCAAAACGGTTCAAATCCCAGCACCTGTAGCTGGGATGCAACGGGTAGCGTTCATCGTCAACCAAGCCCTGCACTTCTCTCGCGTTGCTATCGAGCAGGCCAAAGGTACACATGGTAAAGGTGCATAGTCTGTTGGTACCATGTTCCCTGAGCTTACTGAAGGAGGCCTGATGATATGTTTGGTTCGAAATCCCACACGCGCTACATAGCACCAGGATGGTTCAGATCGCACATCCGCACACAATTTGGAAGAAGCTCACACATCCAATGTTGTTCCAATGACTCAATAGCTTGGCTGTACAAGGAAACTTCCATCTGACACCGTTTCTTCCTCTCTTCCATGAGAAATCGCTCTACAGTCGCATGTCGTGCGCTATCCCCACTGGTACAGATGGATTGATGCCTTTGCAACCTTTCCTCCTGCTTCGCCTCTACACTGCGCTCCCCAACTAATTCCCAAAGATCACTAGGATAGACCCGATCTTTGAGCAAGAATGCCAGAACATGAAGTTCAGTGTGAAGCTGTATGAAGAAGAAAAAATCAGGACATACAGAGGGACAAAATCACCAACCAACCTTCTGACTTGCTATGAGTCCTATATAGGCATCGAATTCGGTGCCTAGTAAGTTTGATAGTTGAAAAATGCTGGCACGAGCACTTGAGTAATCAAATAACTCCAGTGAAAGGCAGGTTGACATGATTGTATATTGTGTAGGGTTCGGTCTGGTTCGGTAGACACTATTTATTCGTAAGCGGTGGTTGAACGGCTAAGATTCGCGGAGATGAAGATACCTTGATCATCAACAAAAAAATGTGGCTGTTCAGAAAAGAAGCCCATAGATCGATGGCCATCAAAAAAAGCCCTGGCTGCGTCAACAAAAGCCTCTAGCCTGTCTGGCCGCCGACAAAAAAAAGCTCCACGTGATTATCAAATGTCCTTCGCTAACCCGATTTGTGCCTCGGCGTTGGGGTGGGCATAGTAGTTACAGGGGTCATAGATACCGCGAAATATGGGCCTACTTTTTTCCGATCCTCTGACCTGCTTTGGGTACACCTTCGTGCCTGCACAAGCACGCATCTATTGCAGGCCTGGCACCCATATTTACCAACTCCCCCACGATCATCCTGGCAAGAAACTGGTTGGCAATCTGTATCTTCCCTATTAGTGACTAGCCATCAGAAGTGATGCGTTGGCGCATGTGCCTATGCGAGAGGCCATGAGGTCAGGTCCTCCAAGGAGGGCTTTGAGAGCGAGGGCGTGGTTGTTTGCGGACGTATCATGAGCAACTGGTAGTTCGGCAACAAGAAAGTGCTGGGAGGAAGTTGAAAGTAGAACGGGAGTCGCGGGCAGTGCTGGAATGAAGGGATGGTGTTATAAAGTTGTATGTATCACATTAGGACGGAGTTTTCACGGCATAATACGAGTGAGTCACCTAAGTATAACCACTGATTAATTGTATCTTCGTTACATCGTGATTCCTAGTCAATTATTCCGGCGAAAAGGCTGTCGGGCTGCCAACAATTGAAATCCCGAGTTGTCTTTAGGGCGAATTGAGTTATGCTATAGTGAATCAGCTGTCGTATCATCAAGTTACGAGAAGGAAAAGGATGTTCTGGAAGATGACCCATGAGATGATGGCATGGGGTGTGTGATTCTTTACTCGCCTCGAACATCGAAAGAGCCACTGCCTTCGAGAAGGCATCTGATCTCCTCGTTTTCGTGCAAGTACCTAAACGTAGCCCTCTACCGTTGGCTTGACTGAAGCCAGGACCAACTGAAAAGCTTTATGTGATGTCGACAAAGGTCACGCATCAATATAACAAATTATTCATGTACACTGTAACACACCTGTCAGGACACGTCTCATTAGGGTGGATAGATTCTGAGACAACCTACTGGGACCACCAAGGGACCACTGGCTGGCAACACTTTCGGTGCCAGATTATGTAAGCCATCAACCAACCAATTGATGAGTAAGTCACTCACTGGCGCTGCTGATTCACTTCGATCATGCATCATGTCCGATCATTCTCAAATTCTTAGCCCTTTTGCAGCAGTGTCTGCATATTAGACTTGAAGAAGCTTGAAGATTTGCGCACCATATTGACTCATATTGAGCATCCTGATCGGTGAGTCACTTCATCGGACGTATGGGCTCCAGTGAGTAGCATGCTAACTTGTCTCATTGACTCGCAGGCGGTCCATAAGTGACAACGGTCCTGCCGTCCCAGAAGGCAGAACGTCACTGTATCCCACCCCGTAGAACCTTGTCCAAAATAGCTAGTAATGAACGATGGCGAGTATTTTCATATACTAGCTTGATAGTAGATCGTACTAGTGCTACTGCTGAGCTCTATGATAGGCAAACTCGCTTTTTGTACCCCTCGAACAAATGTGGCCCTTCATTGCTGGCCTTAACCCTACTCGCCTGCATTTTTTGCACTGTCTAAATAGAACGCGGAACTCCCTCGCTGTGATTCCATCGCCAATGGAAGAGTCGAGTCTGTTCAACAACTCTGTTTGCTCCCTGTGGGTCCACTCAAGTGCAACGGGTAAGATCTGCTGTTCTTCATGATCCGTCAGTGAAATCACGGTACTACGGATGCAAGTTCGCACCTCTTCGAGGGTACTGGAAAGTGGCTATCGTCGGTAGCCTGAAGTACGTATCCATCTTCACTGGGTAATATTGAGTCTGGCGTTATCTTAAACACGAAGGATACTGACCCTTGTACCCACATCTATCAGATGCACATCGCGTTGTCCAATCAGTCTTACCGGTGTGCTCATCCCACCAAGAGTACACAGCGGACTCTACGTACTCCCCTCTTCCACCACCATCAGCGCATATGCAGCAGGGGTACCTAAACTCGTATTCATTGCGGTGAATCTCTAGGCCAAACAGCGGAATCTTGTTTCCGTCACCATCGGCAGGCCTGTGTTTTTGTCGAGCGGTTTCGTGGGTCAGAATTCACACAGGAGGAGGTGAAATCTCACCAAAACCAATCGACCATGGATTTTGAGGCGCCATCATAGTGAAGGAGGGTGAAGTTGCAGGTCTTAGCCTCCGCAACGAGTTTGCCTATTCTCTGAGCGGTTTCCCGATAGTCAGGCGGGGCAGTGATGGTAGAGGAAGGTGAGGATGGGGCTTCCATTCGGTTGTCTGGTGTAGCAAGGATGGAATCTTCACCCTGCCTTTATAAGGCTGTGATCTAGCCTGTTTTCCATCGCCAAGTAGCCCGCCGTCTGCCAGAGGTTTTGTCCTGTGGAAATCTGGCGCTGTGATGTGGTAAATGTGGTGGCCCTTGCTAGTGCCTAACTTTACGCTATGCTCCCGAAGTCGTACGTCCTTTAATTAGATCCTTTTAGCTATCATCGGGCTCAGCTGTGCCCTCGTTCCTTCAGCCCCTCTTCTTCACATCTATGGATTGGGCGGATTTGTCGTCGACACCAACCACCTTCCGATGCACCTGTACGCGTGAGTTTATACAAGAGAGCGCGTACACTAAGCATCAGCGCTCATGCGTGAAGGGCAAGAAGCGACTGTTCTCCGCTTTGTCCAAGGCGAAGGATCTATTGGGTTCGGTAAAACGGTCACGAGTGGACCGTAGCCGTGGTCATCATTTGGACTCTACCACGGCATCTTTGAGCGTGGATCCCCGCTGCCTGCAGGACTCACTCCCGTCCGCTGACGCAAGTCTATCAGGAATGTCCCCCTTAAACAAGGTTTCACATGCAGGTCCCCCGTCGCAAGAATTTGCACCTGCCTCGTCCAATGCTGGTCTTAGCTCCACGCCTACGGAAACAGATGAAGACCAGGGCTTATCGCTGGCGCAGCGGAGGACCCGACGTGTTGACGTCCCCATGCCAGTACGCTACAGGCAATATGAGGACGTGCTTCCTCAGCCTCCCCCGAGCGTTCCGTCCAGCCATACATCTGGGCTTAGCTCGCCTGCAAATCCCACCGACGTATCCACTAGCACTCGTACTTCACGAGCTTCCCCGTTCCGCACGGCTAGGAACGTCTTCGGACTGGTACGCCAGTTCTTCTCATCTACCCCTCCATCCCACGACCCAGAAGAAGCTGTGACACTCCAAGACATCAGCTTTGTTCCAGCTCCCGTTTTAGCGGAACCAGATGCCCACGCCGAGGCTCACAACGCCTCATTTCACCCATACCCCAACCGAAGTTCTTTTGAGCTCGGCCATTGGTATTGGAATGGCGGCGCGCAGAAGTCTTATCAGAGCTTCAAAGAGCTCGTTAACATCATCGGAGATCCTGATTTTCATCCTGCTGACGTTCAGAATACATCGTGGGACAAAATTAATTCGAAGCTAGGTGCGAGCGTTCAGGATGATGATGAGGACGAATGGGAAGATGAAGACGCGGGTTGGCGTAAAACGCCAGTGAGCATTGAAGTGCCCTTTTCGCGGACCACAGCTCAGCCAGGTGATCGATCATATGTCGCCGCGGACCTTCATCATCGGTCTCTCACCTCCGTCATCCGGGAGAAGCTCGCGAACGCTAAGGACGACGAACAATTTCACTATGAGCCTTACCAATTGCGGTGGAAACCTCCCCACCTTCCCCATGAAGTCGACATTCATGGTGAACTGTACACCTCGCCGGCCTTTATGGATGCGCACCGTGAACTCCAGGAGTTGCCTGGAGAGGTGGGATGCGATTTACCACGAGTCGTTGTTGCGCTTATGTTTTGGTCGGACGCCACACACCTGACCGCGTTCGGCAATGCGAAGCTATGGCCACTTTACATGTACTTTGGGAATGAGTCCAAATATCGCCGCTGTAAACCAACCTGTAATTTGAGCAACCACGTGGCCTATTTCCAAAAGGTATGAAGGCCCTTCTTAATCAATTTCCCCCTCGGTGTTGAAGCTCATGTCTTGACAGCTTCCGGACTCGTTTAAAGACTTCGCCGGCACCTACACTGAAGGCAAAGGGGTTGGCCGCGAATGTATAACCCATTGCCAGCGCGAACTTTTTCAAGGTCAATGGAGGGTCCTGCTCGACCATGAATTTTTAGAGGCGTATGAGCACGGGATCGTGATCATGTGCTGTGATGGGGTAAAACGCAGGTTTTACCCGCGGGTATTTACCTACTCCGCAGACTATCCTGAGAAGTGAGTGCTGAACATCATCCATAAGAAATCTAAGCTCACCAAATCAAGGGTTCTTGTTGCAACTATTAGGCAGATGGGAGGATGTCCTTGCCCTCGATGCCTGATACCCACATCACGGCTTCAAAATCTAGGGATGAGTCACGATCGGCAGCAACATTCAACGCTAGCGCGGTCCAATGCCACAAGGAGGCAGTCTGTTGCTACAGCACGTAGCCACATCTACGAGAGGAATTATGGCGTCGACAGCACGGTAGTTGAGCAGCTTCTCAAGCCTGACTCGTGGGTACCGAACTCGGTGAGCGTATTATCGGTTTCCTCTGTCACCTTTGCTGACTCTTGCTTAGAATGCGCTGTCTGACAGCCTTGGTCCATTTGGATTCGACGTGTTTGCTGCGCTTGTCGTCGATCTCCTGCACGAGTTCGAACTTGGGGTATGGCGCATGCTTTTGGTCCATTTACTTAGAATTCTCTGCGCATTTAACAAGGACCTGATCTCCGAAGTTGATAAGAGGTGCTAGATGCGTATCTGATAAAGGCTATGCGTACTCATTCCCATCCTTGACAGGTACAGGCAGGTTCCCCCATTTGGGCCAGCAACCATTAGGCGGTTTTCTGCCAACACCTCCGAAATGTCCAATATGGCTGCGCGCAACTTCGAAGATCTTCTACAGGTATGACTATAGGACAATTCGTGATATGTATTTGTGCACTAATTTGTAAAAGTGCTCTATCCCGGTCTTTGAAGGCCTCCTCCCGAATGCCCACAATAAAATACTCCTCGATCTCCTTTTCGCCATGGCGCACTGGCATGGACTTGCCAAGCTTCGGATGCATTCCGACCTGACACTGGAGATTCTAGACCAGCAAACAAGCCGCCTTGGCGAACAGTTTCGTGACTTTAAGGCGAAGGTATGCACTGCATATCGTACCCACGAGCTCGACCGCGAAGTCGATGCACGATCACGTCGGCAGGCAAAGGAGTCTGCTAAACGGGCGGGAAATGACATGGAGAATGGCGTTGGCCAGGGCAGTACGACTCAAGGGTTTAAGGCAGGCGCCAATTCTAAAGGCAAACAGAAGGCGAATCCGGAGCAATCGCAGGCTGTACCTTTACCGAGGCAAGTAAGGAAGAAAAAGTCATTTAACTTTCATACATACAAGTTTCACGCGCTGGGGGATTACGTGGCTTCCATTCGTCGGTTTGGCACCACGGATTCCTACAGCACAGAACCAGTGAGTCGTTAATGTACTGCTTGTTCAGTGTTAAACTCAACTGCTCTCAGGGAGAGTTGGAACACCGTACGCCAAAAGGACGATACCGTCGAACTGATCGCAGGGACTTTGTGAACCAGTTGACTCAGATTGAGCGCCGTCAAGCGCGCCTACGCCGTATCAAGCAGCGGCAGCAAAAGCAGGGTCTTGATGCGAAGCCTAACGAAACTACGAACGACCCCCAGCTGCATCATCATATTGGGCAAAGCGAGAAGTTTTATGACGAGTTTGGACACTACCTTCGCAGCCATGCAGGAGATCCTGCCATAAAGGTATTTAAATATTTTCGAATTGTTCGCCATCATTCTGACGTACAACTTAGGACTTTCTGCCACGGTTGAGGGACCATATTCTCGGTCGCGCTGGGACCCCTGGACCTTTCGTAGAGACACCCCTCCATCCTGACCGAGCGCCTAGTCCAATCCTCTTTAAACGTAACCGGATCTACCACCATAACCTCGTAAGATTTAACTATACGACATACGACGTCCGAAGGGCTCAAGACGTCATAAACCCGAGGACCCCACATTGTAACATCATGCTGCTCGGGCATGATCATGGCCACGGTAACTACCGCTACGCCAAAGTCCTGGGTATCCACCATGTCAATGCCGTGCTTGCGGGGAACGTTTATGAATCCCGCCGAATAGAATTTCTGTTCGTTCGTTGGTATGAATCAGTCCAAAGCCATTCATGGAAGACATATGAAATGGGCCGAGTTCGTTTCTTACCTTTGTCAAATCCTAACACATTTGGGTTTGTCGACCCAGGGGATGTTCTAAGGGCATGCCATATTATTCCTGCTTTTTCTCGAGGAGGTCAGCGCAATCTTAATAACAGTATTTCCCCTCTTGCGGGAGATAAACACGATTGGCAGGAGTACTACGTCAATAGGTGAGTGATTCTATTTATTTTGGTGATTTTTACCAATCTTACAATTGTATTAGCTTCGTTGATCGAGATACGCTTATGCGATTTCACCATGGCCTTGGTGTGGGGCATGTCTACTCCCATCAGGCAGCCTTACATGAAGGTCACAGCTTGGCGCCACAGCCCAGTCCCACTCAAACAGCTGCCCAAATGGAAGATGGACGTTTCGAAGGTGAAAAAAGCCTCCTGGACAACAGTACGCACCATCCAGGTGACAGCGAGCTGGATGAGCTGGACGAGGTTGGCGATCACCTTGGCGTTGAGGAGCTTGATCTCTTTGATCTCGGGAGGAATGCAACTGCGGAGTCGCTCATTGACGCATTAGACGAGATGTTTGTACTTCACACCTTCGATTACGAAAATTAATATTACATCACAGTCACGTCTCCTAACCCAATGTGCGCAAATCTAATTTCTGGCTGATTCTCGGCTGCCATTCATCGCTGGCCATCGCTGCTGGCTATCTGAGCGCAGTTCGAATTGCTCTGGCCATCACTCCTGGCCATCAGGAATCCACGGCCATCAAGAATTTCCTTTGATTATTGCGAACAAGCTTTGTCGATCACTGGCTGGCTTTATCAACCTCGCCAGCAATACTTATATATCCTCATCAGCCATCAAGTCCACCCAACATGACGGCTACAGTATCAATTGCCCCTGTGTGGTTATACCAACCCCAGCGGCCAGAAATTCTTCAGCAGCTCGTCAGGCTCAGTGTAAGCGCCAGACTCTGTACTGCAGACGATCTGCTGATGCGGCCTTTCCCTCTAGCATGAAGAGGTTCGTCAGCGTTAATTTGCTGTTTTCTTTGTTTTAAGTTTTATTTCAGCATGCCTTTGTCGCATTGACCAATGACTCGTACGATTTAATTGGGTACCTTGCTGATGGCTACCAGGTATCGCCTATCTACGTGGGTCTTCTTCCTCAACACCAACGATTTTACCTTACCTCATTCGTTTATAGTGCGCCGGGTCTCATCTGCAGGGCCAGACTTGGTTCAATCGCCTGGACCAGGTTGGGTGGCTGGTTATCGAGGGAGACACCGCCTATCTGTACCCGTTATTCAAAGTGACGGTGAGAATGTCGTCGTGCCTGATGGTTTAATTCTGAAGGGAAGATTTAGCCAACAGGTGGTGACTACATCAGCGCGATCACCTCTACTTACTGTAGACCCAGTGCGCAAGGTGATCCACTGCCGACGTGGTTGGTGAGCGTCATTCTGGGGAGTATACATACGTGCCTTCTAATGCCTCTTCGATAGCTGGAGGACTTACTGAACAAAACGCCAATCGAATTCTATCCCGCGCCTTTTCCATTCGGTTACCCACCCCCTGTCTATCCCCAGGCCGTCGCCCCCTCGATGCCAAGTGTTGTCGCAGCATATCCCTTAGATTCCCTCCAGCCACCCGCTCCCTTTGACGCTGTGTCCACATCGAGCATGGAGCCGAACGACATGGATTACAACTTCTGGGGTTTGTCCACTATCGCCTCTGCCAGCGGCATCGGCGAGTTCACAGGGCCAGATGAACCAAACGAGGCGCCTGTCGAGGAGCTGGCCCTTGGCAGCTTTCATTCCGACCTGAAATGGAGAAGCTCTGCCTCCGGCCAGTGGGGTGCCTTGAACAAGGCACAAAGAGCCGCCCTCACCCATGAAATGAGGAATTCGCCCTGGTGGCGCATTGTGATGCTTACGAGGTTCCTTTTCATTGGAGGTTTGTGGGTGGGGGAAAATCTACACCCGTTTAGCACTACGCCCTTGGACGTGAGGCGTTCGGTCACTAATTGCTTTCTCACCGCGCTTGATATGGTTGGTACGACCTACGAGGAAATACTTACAGAGCCAGGTGAGTGGGCACCTTGCGCTTAGATGCTACAAGTCGTCGTCTTACATTTCGATCAGTGCACATTACGTTCGCTACTGGGGAATCCATCGCTGCCGGATGGCCGGTATTCCGCGTGAATGTACGCCTGCTCTTATCTTTTCTCCCTCCTAACCAACGAAAGCAGCTATCCAAGTCCCTCAAGAATACAAAATCGGACCTGAAGAAGGTAGTCAAAGGTGCGATGTCGCCGCTCACCAACTTCTGCGCCGAGGGCAAGATACTGGAGAGGATTACCTACTTCATTTCACTTTTGGAATCTGGCGATGTCCATCAAGTATGTGGAAACCGCGCTACATTGATTCAGTCTCACCCTTTCGTTCTACAGGTGCAACGGGCCATTCAAGAGCTTACGGTACACCAATTATTCAGAGAGCTTCTCTGGGCGTCGCTTTTTCAGCCAATCAAGAGGTTAGCGAATGAACACGAACAAGGGAGGATAGCGGATCTCTATCCAGAGCAGATCTTTTCGAGGTACAAGTGCTTGGCGCAAAAGCCAGTGTGCAACCTCTTGACCTTTGTAAGCTCGTCTTCATTCTTGCCTATTGAAATAACTAATTCCACATTGTAAACAGCTCTATTATACCATGACTTCGATCAAGAGTGATAGCAACTCAGATGACACCGAACACCCTCGACCAGAAGAAATGCGCGGCATTTTGATTTCAGCCTCGAACGAAATGTACGAGCAGCCTCATTTGTTTCCTCCGTTCACACAGGCAGTGAGGACCCTCCCCTTCCTAACGTGAGCGCCTTTGTATTGCCGTTCAAAAACACGCTCATCATTGTTTATATTTAGGGGACATAACATTCTGGGCATCTGCAAGGGGCAACTTCCTATGTACCTCCCTGATAGGACCAGAAGAAGAAATATGTCGGACGTGGTGGACATCGAAACCCACCCAGTTGGAGGGGCATTCGATGATGTTCCAAACAATCTGGGTTTTAGTTCCACAACGTCTCTGAGATATTTCTTCGATTTACCCGTTTCATACTTCACGAAGCACGAATAGTCTATGCATAGTCCCTTCTGCTGTTGTTCGCTGTGGTGTTGAACATGTAGTACTACCAGTCGATGTGTAATAATATAACGCAGCGAATTGAACCCCTGAGTTTTCGTGTCAACCAAAATTTTCTTGTTGTGACTTATTTGTACACCGCAGTGCGCACACAACTCCGCTATCAAGATCAGTGCACATTCACTACCATGACTCTATGATAGTATCTCTGTGTCTGGCAGGTCATTCTAATTGCCTCTCTACCCATGGGAAGTGAAGCCCGTCTTTATCATTTGTGGGTTTCCATTGCGATTTAAATTGTCAAGTTTATGATATCATCCCATCAGTGATCGTGTTTATTTTATTCAGGTGAGTCTATACTCAACGATCCATTTCCTTTAGCTCGTTGATCACATTTTCAGGGTATATGGACGTTCATCGGAACATGTCCTATATAATGGGTATTAACACTCGATCATTATCAACCAGCCAACAGCTTCGTCATCCAGGCGAAAGTCTACACCACATCTAGTAAGTCAGTTTGCTGCTTGCTCCAAGGCGATCTATATCATATCATACTGATGGCGGCGGTTGTCAGTATTTGGTTGCTTTTGCTTACCTTTGACTGGGGTTGGACTGGTACACCAGTTCTTCTCATTCACCCCGTCATCCCACGACCCAGAAGAAACCGTAACACTCCAAGACATCGGCTTTGTTCCAGCTCCCGTTTCAGCGGAACCAGATGCCCACGCCGAGGCTCACGACGTCTCATCTCACCCACACCCCAACCAATGTTTTTTTGAGCTCGGCCATTGATACTGGAATGGCAGCGTGCATGGTCTGGTGCAACAAGGATGCATTATTCACCCTGCTTTATAAGGTTGCGATCTAGCCTGTTTTGCATTGCCAAGCAGCCCGCCATCTGCCAGAGGTTTTGTCCTGTGGGAATCTGATGGCTCGAGTGTTTGGGGCAGTCGTCAATACTAAAGGTAAACAGAGGGCGAATCCGGAGCAGTCGCAGGCTGTACCTTTGCCGAGGCAAGTAAGGAAGAAAAAGTCGTGGACCTGATCTCCGAAGTTGATAAGAGGTGCTAGATGCGTATCTGATAAAGGCTATGCGTACTCATTCCCATCCTTGACAGGTACAGGCAGGTTCCCCCATTTGGGCCAGCAACCGTTAGGCGGTTTTCTGCCGTCGACAGGCAGGCAAAGGAGTCTGCTAAACGGGCGGGAAATGACATGGAGAATGGCGTTGGCCAGGGCAGTACGACTCAAGGGTTTAAGGCAGGCGCCAATTCTAAAGGCAAACAGAAGGCGAATCCGGAGCAATCGCAGGCTGTACCTTTACCGAGGCAAGTAAGGAAGAAAAAGTCATTTAACTTTCATACATACAAGTTTCACGCGCTGGGGGATTACGTGGCTTCCATTCGTCGGTTTGGCACCACGGATTCCTACAGCACAGAACCAGTGAGTCGTTAATGTACTGCTTGTTCGGTGTTCAACTCAACTGCTCTCAGGGAGAGTTGGAACACCGTACGCCAATTCTCTTTAAACGTAACCGGATTTACCACCATAATTTAACTATACCACATACTACGTCCGAGGGGCACACGGTTGGCAGGAGTACTAGGTCAATAGGTGAGTGATTCTATTTATTTTGGTGATTTTTTTTTACCAATCTTACAGTTGTATTAGCTTCGTTGATCGAGATACGCTTATGCGATTTCACCATGGCCTTGGTGTGGGGCATGTCTACTCCCATCAGGCAGCCTTACATGAAGGTCACAGCTTGGCGCCACAGCCCAGTCTCACTCAAACAGCTGCCCAAATGGAAGATGGACGTTTCGAAGGTGAAAAAAGCCTCCTGGACAACAGTACGCACCATCCAGGTGACAGCGAGCAGGATGAGTTGGACGAGGAGGTACCGAGTATCAAGCAGCGGCAGCCACAGCAGGGTCTTGATGCGAAGCCGAACGAAACTAGGAACGATTGACGTACCGCTGAAGGTGCAGTTCACTCTCAGTTCAACTTCAGTGTTCCTGCGTACCGACACAGTTACAGAAAAAAAGCCTCCTGGAAAACAGTACGCACCATCCAGGTGACAGCGAGCAGGATGAGCTGGACGAGGAGGTACCGAGTATCAAGCAGCGGCAGCCACAGCAGGGTCTTGATGCGAAGCCGAACGAAACTAGGAATGATTGACGTACCGCTGAAGGTGCAGTTCGCTCTCAGTTCAACTTCAGTGTTCCCGCGTACCGACACAGTTACAGACTCTGAAATGTTTTATCACAGTCTCTTTGACCTCTTGATGGACGTGAGGGTCTACTAGGCAATAGTTTAGATGGCACGGTGTAGGCCATTTCTAGTGATGGAAGGAGTCAAATCAGTGCATTATCTTGATGCGACGAAGAAAGAGTGCGTATGTTCATCGTGGACAGAAATGCTGCCGATGCCAACTGGAGAATATTTGGAGGATGAGGAATGTAGAGAAGTTGATGAGCTGCTGACTTGATGAAATCGGTATGTTTTATCACGCTTCATGTAGCCGAGGATATACATCTCTGACAACAAGGCGAGCTGGGCCCAACGCAGAGGTCGTGCTCGTAGGAAACGGAGCTCTTTTGTTCTCATGTTTGAATCGACAGGTATTGACAACGCTAGGGTGGCGGAATTCGAGACATTGGAGGCCTAGATGACAGCTCTTCACCAAGCCGACCGTGCTTCCAGACCAACGGTCTCCGATGATGAAGAAGTACCCGATAGAGATGAGCCTGTTTTCAAGGTGGAGTCTACAGGGTGAGCAGTATGCACGTATTCGAAGCCATCGTACTCACCCATGGATAGGGCTACGCTCACGCCGCTACTGGCGGTTTCTCATCTCAATCATTGATCACGTCCTTCAATCTGCAGCGTGTACATTCCTCGGACCCTCGCGCAAGCGCGGCCCCCCTAAGGGGTACATTGGTACATTGACGCCATCGAAGTTCGGTTGCACCAAAACGAGGCCCTACTTAGTGTTCTCCTCGTTAGCGAGGCAGAGCATGGCGATAGGTGCATATGGGTCATGATATATATATATTTTAATAATCACTAATTTTGTCCAGGTTTGGCGAGGCAGATAGGCCACCTCCGGGCGGCGCTGCAAGGTTGGAGGATGTGTTGCATACCTGAGACAGGTTAGTGTTTCTCGTGAACTGCTTGTATTGGTTTTGTGTGCATGAATTTGCACTTTGACACCAATGTATTCGCAAGTGCCTTGGTATCTGAAGTTCTTTTTTTTTGCCCAACGCATTCATTCTCACCTTCGTTGGCTAACAACGTACACATCTGATTGGACACGCATACTGATAAATTTCCAATCAGGACGCTCTTGCTCGCGAGATCCTCAATCGTGTCGATTCATCCTCCTACCGTGTCAAAGGACGAAAAGGTGGCAACACTAAAGTCAGCGCTAATCCAGCGTTTTCCGCCGTTTTCTTTGTTTTAAGTTTTATTTCAGCATGCCTTTGTCGCATTGACCAATGACTCGTACGATTTAATTGGGTACCTTGCTGATGGCTACCAGGTATCGCCTATCTACGTGGGTCTTCTTCCTCAACACCAACGATTTTACCTTACCTCATTCGTTTATAGTGCGCCGGGTCTCATCTGCAGGGCCAGACTTGGTTCAATCGCCTGGACCAGGTTGGGTGGCTGGTTATCGAGGGAGACACCGCCTATCTGTACCCGTTATTCAAAGTGACGGTGAGAATGTCGTCGTGCCTGATGGTTTAATTCTGAAGGGAAGATTTAGCCAACAGGTGGTGACTACATCAGCGCGATCACCTCTACTTACTGTAGACCCAGTGCGCAAGGTGATCCACTGCCGACGTGGTTGGTGAGCGTCATTCTGGGGAGTATACATACGTGCCTTCTAATGCCTCTTCGATAGCTGGAGGACTTACTGAACAAAACGCCAATCGAATTCTATCCCGCGCCTTTTCCATTCGGTTACCCACCCCCTGTCTATCCCCAGGCCGTCGCCCCCTCGATGCCAAGTGTTGTCGCAGCATATCCCTTAGATTCCCTCCAGCCACCGCTCCCTTTGATGCTGTGTCCACATCGAGCATGGAGCCGAACGACATGGATTACAACTTCTGAGGTTTGTCCACTATCGCCTCTGCCAGCGGCATCGGCGAGTTCACAGAGCCAGATGAACCAAACGAGGCGCCTGTGAGTGGGCACCTTGCGCTTAGATGCTACGAATCGTCGTCTTACATCTCAATCAGTGCACATTACGTTCGCTACTGGGGAATCCATCGCTGCCGGATGGCCGGTATTCCGCGTGAATGTACGCCTGCTCTTATCTTTTCTCCCTCCTAACCAACGAAAACAGCTATCCAAGTCCCTCGAGAATACAAAATCGGACCTGAAGAAGGTAGTCAAAGGTGCGATGTCACCGCTCACCAACTTCTGCGCCGAGGACGAGATGCTAGAGAGGATTACCTACTTCATTTCACATTTGGAATCTGGCGATGTCCATCAAGTATGTGGAGACCGCGCTACATTGATTCAATCTCACCCTTTCGTTCTACAGGTGCAACGGGCCATTCAAGAGCTCACGGTACACCAATTATTCAAAGAGCTTCTCTGGGCGTCGCTTTTTCAGCCAATCAAGAGGTTAGCGTATGGATACCAACGATCACCTACTTTATTTCACTTTTACGTACATTCGGCATTCCCAGTCTTGCACAAGGAGTCTTTCTGGGATGGTTACAAGGCGTGAGTCTCACCTGACGAATTTCTTTTGACTGCCACTGACATCCATGTCAGGTATAAAAATCCATCTGCAGCCGACGCGCCGTCGCCTGCATCAGATGGTCAGGGTTCGAAATTTCCGTCGCCCTTCCACCGTGCCCGCCGCCATATTTCACCGCTTTTACTCCTCAACATGTTTTCCATTGCCGAACGCTATGCACCATCTTCCTCTCTCCCGTCATCGCTGCTCCGAGAGCCAACCCCGATGTGGACTGCAGGCGATCAGTACTTTAACGTTGCCAAGACACTTCTCGACAACACCTATGCATCTTCCTTGCCAAGCACCGTCCAAGCTCTCCTATTACCCGGGTACCGAGAGATTGGGATTGGTGCCATGGCCAAGCCTGGGTGTACACGGGTATGGCAGTACGTATGGCGCAGGACCTCGGCATGCACCGCGCAGCCGATAGTTGGGCTCGTGCAGACGTTGGGCGTTTGTTCGGCTCACAAGAGCTACAGGAACGGCGGCGGATATGGTGGGGATGTGTCGTGCTTGATGGGTATGTGAGCACATATATCGGAAGGCCGCTTGCCATCTTCGAGCGGGATTACGATACACTTTTGCCGAACGAGGGGATGAGTACGGAAATATTGATGAGAACGGTGTGATGACGGTGTTTGTTCTTAGGCGGAGGAGATGGAGTTGTGGACCACTCATGGGTCGCTGCCGCCTGATACCCGCGGACATGGGTACCCGCCTAGTGCAGAAGTGAGGTGTTCAATAACCGGACGCGTGCTATCTAGCTTTAATGCATCTGCAATTCTCTGTGAGTACCTTCATTGATCGTCCAGCGCCATAGCTGAGTCTATGTCTCAGCGACCATTCTTTCCAAGCTCGTACAGTCGATGTATGCCATCCATCTGGTGACTTCTCGGCACGCCGAGGCGGCGCAACTTGAGGAGCTGTTGAATAAGTGGTACCTCGATTTGCCCGAGCATTTGCAATTGAAGCAGGGCGCAACTGTTCCGCCCCATATTCTGACGTTGCACATGCAATATTGGTGTACAACATTGTTATTACTTCAGATTCATCACCAGCGTACCCTGTTTCTGCGACCAGCGAACCACGTTTCGAAGTCTCCACCAATGCATCTTCTGCCACGTCCTTCGGGGGTGTACCCCCTGCCCGTGAAGCTCTCAACATCGCTCTGCTAGCTTTGCCCTTGGTACAGGGCGTTGCGGCTGCAATTCCAATTGCCGGCCCTCCGATGCAAACCGCTATTAGTGGATTATTGACGATCCTTCAAGCCATAGATGTAAGACCTTCTTTTATTACCAGGATGTTTCTTGATTCAAAGACTGTCACAGAGACGTATTCAGAATAAGGCGGACCTAGATTGCTTGAAGGAAAGACTCCATAGACTTAGCTGCTATCTCTGGAACGCACCAACCGCTCAGGATCCCTTTGAACAACACCGGAGGGAATCCATAGTCAGGTACGCTCCCTGTCAATGCGTGCTTGAATTACATTGAGCGCACTTAGGATTCTGCAAAAGACTTCTGCCCAGCTGACAAGTCTGTATAAGCGTGGCCTTGCATACACATCCGTCACACAGGCTATCGCCGGATGCTCCACCGAAATTGACCGCTATCTGTTGGAGTGTACGCCTGCAATTGTGGCAACGATCGTGCACTGGATATCCCGATGTTCCCGCCCGGTCAAAAAAAACAAAATCGTTGACACAAATGCATTTACAAAAAGTACACTGACTGGGCGCAAGACGCCATTCAGCACAGTGGCCTCGCTGATCTTAACGATATACTCACCAATACATTTATATGCACCAGCGGACCCTACGACGGACCCCTTCTCATTCCTTGATATAATCGGACCCGCGTGGCCCCTGGTCACATACGCTTTCTTCAACCTTCTGACTTTGGCTGGCGGCGGCGGGTATCTGCGGGCCCTGCGGAGGCGCGTGGATTATTTTGATCGCCCTCACGTTTAGAGTGCCGCCACTGTTGACGTCGTTAGAAATCGACGTCAATGAGAGTAAGTCTGCTCACCAGCGATACTCATCTCTGCACAGCACGTGCCGATTCCTATGACCTGACCCTAATCTCACCACAATCTCCACTGAATTGATACGGTTTCCAATGAATCGGCTATATCTCTGCATGAACGGTGAGTGGGCGATCGACGATCGTGCCTTTACTCACCGCATCCATAGGACCCATAGCTACTTAGTACTGATTGGAGGAGATGCCTTGGAAAGCGCCAAGGATAGTACTATTCCTAAAAGGGTTGTGACATGTAACATTGTCACACTAAGGTAAGCTCACTCATTGACAAATCCTCGAACATGGTACGTCATTCTATTGTCCTCATGTTTATCTGTTAACCATCCTCAGATATCTTATTCCCTACACTACCAACTTGGTTCACGGCACCTTTGCGAGCTCGTAATAAGCGCTCAGATTCTGTATACTATCCCAACGGCTCACATCACCGCATTGACAAACCGCCCTCGTCACAACCAGACATCCCACCCTTGCCTCATGAGAGTACATCTCTGGGCGTTGCACCTACATCTTCACCACCTTCCGCACTTCATCGTCACGGGGATCACCACTTTCGCAGAGCGAGCGACGTACTCGTCGTTCTGCGTCAGGCTCACGCCTCATCGAGAGTATTGACATCTCAGCCTCTCCTCTGCTTGCGTCAGACAGCAGCAACTAGAATCGTCGGCTCTCGATGCCCAGTATATTCTCGCGAGCCCGCACTACTTCGACAACAGGCAAGAAGCAACCCAGTGGCAACCACGACGGATCTTTGGACAAGTTTGGGCGCGTAAATAGTAGGAGTTCCGCCAAAGATGTCGCCATTAGCTCCCTGACCAGTACTCAAGGGAATGTACAGCGTCGACGCAGCGCTCGTCTCTCCGGTCACAACCCCCACCCGCGCGAAGTTGTAATTCGCCTCCCCTTCGCATCTTCGCCCAAAGCCAATTACCTCATTGCTGTGTACTAAGAGATGTAGCTAAGCCCGGATTATGTCGGTGTCGAACTGGGTATTGGCGAGAGCTTGCTCATCAAAGCTATCAGCGAGTCCACAGGACGGAGTCTTGCAACAGTCAAAGCAGACCTCAAGAAAGAAGGCGATTTCGGGCTCGTGGCAATGGTGCTCTGTCTTACTTGCCTTGACCATGACCACGCGAGCTTACTTCGTTCGCAGAACTCCAAAAACAGTCAGAAGACACTCTTTAAACCCAAGCCCCTCACGGTTCCTTTTGTCTTCTCAAACCTACGGGAGATCGCGTTGTCATCCGGACATTCGGTTTGTTCTTCGTGTTTTCTACGTGTTCTCAAAAACTTAGCTCCATTACCCCCCGTCACAGTCCCAGGCAAAGAAGGTGTCGATCATTACGAAGCTCCTCGCTGCGTGTCAAGACTTCGAGGTAGTGTGTTCAATGCCATGATATTTACAGATGCGCATGTCCGAGTCCTCAATGATCACCAACTACCCCCTTTGCCAGCTCGCTATGTACGAGGAACTCTTGGATCGCACGAGGAATTGAACAGGGCAAATATTGGCAGAGTGTGGGTGGGACACCGATCAGGAGCTGGATGAACTCGAGAGCTGGATGAAGTTCGAGATACTGGTAGACCGTTATAAGCGGTGAGTATCACTTTATCTGCTGCATACTTACAATTGCTGAACCAGTTAAATAGCGATATGCAGGCACGAATATCTTTGTGGTGCTCACTTGCTGAGCTGGGGTGGTCTGTCCCTCCGCGGGAAGCAATGTCGAAGGCAGAGCTTGTAGAGGAGGAGAGACTCTACAGGGCTATGCTAGAAGCGCGACGGTTTGCCCCTGAGGAGGACCTGTACACACCTTGTCGTATAGTGATTTCATTGTTTCCTGCTCTGGACTTGCATTTCAATTATCATTCGTGTTTATTTCTTAGGTATTTAAGTATGAGGTTTGTGTGGTGCACATACGAGATTGAAAGGATGTTTTTGTAGCACTACGTATACGAGGTTTTGTAGCGGCATAGTGTTCTGCTATAATGACTGGTTCCGACTGATTCGGAATTCGGGTATAAAAATAATATCGTTTTCGCGTTCCACCACGTTCCGATTGATTTCCTTTCCGCGACATATAACGGCAAACGCCGGTGAAGTGACATTTTTTGCAAAGGTTCCTGTGAATGCTTCACGATCGCTCGAAATCTCAGAACGCTCATGGCCGCGGTCAAGGTCATAAATCACACTCCTTTCGTTCCCCGTCTGCCAAAGGATGTCCCACTCCCGCCAAGTCCCGCAGAATCCACAAGTCCGCCACCCCCAGTGAAGAAGAAAACTAGAAAGAACAAGACGAAAGAGACAGAGAAGGAGAAAGTTAAGGAAGGCGTGCAGGGGACGAAGAAGCAGGGAGAGCAAGAGAGGGAGAATGCGAATGAACAACACGGAAGCGGGGTGCCACAACTAGAGCCACTAAAACCTCTGACATGGACATCCCAGACTGATTCGAACTCCAATTCACATCCACCAATATTCACGAAAGACGGGAGGTGCGTAACCTTGATGGATTTATCATGTTTTGCGATCTAATTAATCTGTTTACTTTCTGATCAGCCACTTCTTTTTCCATCGTCGGGGAAAGAATTAAGATACATTCTACATCATCTGGCAAGGTGGTTTCTACATTACCGGGGCCACAGGATGATGGTCACCAGGATATCATCACATCTGCTATCCTCAGTGCACACAATGCGTTTCAACTCATCACCGCTTCTTTGGACGGCACTCTCAAAATTTGGGATTTTCTCGAAGGCATATTGTTACTCGCGATCAACCTCGAGCAACCTATCCATCACGTGTCCGCTCATGCAAAGATAAAAGATTACGTTTTTGTTGCCACTGCAAAAGCGAAGAAGGGAAGCGGAAATGCTGATGGTGAGTGCTAGCGTCTCTAACCCACGATTAGATTTTCACTCTTGCTACAGAGCAGCCAAAACAGAACCGGTCTGCGAAGGCTCCATCAGAAGAGAGCTGTATCATCTTACGTGTGTCACTTAAGCCTCAAAATCCCGCTTTTGGCGCGAAATGGCACAAGTCATCTCAGGTTACACCAGTAGGCAAGACCCGGTACACAGCAGGGCTTGCAGTATCTGCAAGCGGTGAATGGCTGATTGCGGTCGCGGGTCACAAAGCCTATGTTGCACAAGTTTCTGCATTGAAGTCTGGATTTACAAAATACGTTTCAACCGATGCATTGACATGTTTGGCGGTCCATCCAATAGAGGACTATTTCGCGACGGGAGACGCAAAGGGTATCGTGCGGCTATGGTACTGCTTAAACCAGAGCAGGCCAGTAGTTGCTAACGTAGAAAAGCGATCGCAAACCTCTATGCTTCATTGGCATGTCCATGCGATTTCATCTATTGCGTTCACCACGAACGGAGCGTATCTGCTATCCGGCGGTGAAGAAGCTGTTCTCGTGATATGGCAGCTGCACTCTGGAAAGAAGGAGTTTGTACCCCGAGTTGGCTCGGCCATCAAAAGTGTTGTGGTCTCGCGCGGTTCTGCTGCTGAGGAAGAGTACCTTCTTGGGTTGGCGGATGCAAGTTTTGCATTTGTCAGTTCTGCCACGCTCGAGCTATCACGAGTTTTTTCTCGCATAAAACTAGGTGCGTGCCTTTGCATCTGTCATACGAACCTGCTTGTGTTTACCTCTTGAACTTAGACTCCGTCACGTCAAGTGCCTGGGCATCCTCGTCCTCCGCCACACCACTTGCAGTCCATTCGTTATCATCAACACTCGTTCTTCCCTCTTCTCATCCTTCTTCACTACAAACCTACTCTCCTTCGTCATCCATGCTCGTTGCAGAGCTCGAGGTGTCACCTTCGAACCGAGTGTCAAAACAAGAAGACAAGATGTTGGAGCCATCGCGAGTAGAACGTGTGGTAAGCTCGCCGTCAGGAGAGTGGATGGCGACTATTGACCGGCGAGAAGGGAACGAGTCATTCCGTGGCGAGATATACCTCAAGATATGGTGGTGGGACAAGAAATTTGCTTTTTGGATATTGAATACCAAGGTAAATCGGCCGCATGGCCTGAGCAAGGTCACTTCTGTCTTTTAGTCCTTCAGATGACATCCAGCTGGTGACTACTGGTGAGGATAGAAATGTCAAAACTTGGAGAATACGGAGTATCAAAGATAAGAAGGGCAATGTAGAAGGTATGTCCAAACGTTCTGTGTGAAGCCGCAGTTTTGTGACCGCCCATTAGTTTCCTGGACCTCAAGATCGTCTTTCGGTTTCCGTTCTGAGATGCCCAGAGACTCGGCTTGGTCACCGGATGGCCCTCTTCTGGCTGTTGCGCTCGACGCCTCTGTGGCGTTGTATGATTCAATATCAAACGCACTTCACTTCACTATAGTGTGTTCGGAATGCCCAAAAATATCGTCCATACACTTCATTGGGCATCATGGCCAGTATATTGCGGTCCTTGGCGGCTCCAACCTTGTTGTCCGTGATGGAAGACGCTCTACGCGTGGTGCGTGGTGAGAAGAGCACGTCTTTAACTCCAGTACTCTGTATTATAATCATTATGCTACTTTGTATATACATTTGTTAGAAGTTAACGTGAATCTCATCCCTGGCTACACGAGACAGACTCGCTGAATCAATAATTAAGACATGAGTTACACCGGTTCAACGTGGTACCTACAGGTAGCGGGTGACCGTTGGAGTAGAAAGATTGACAAGGCATTACCGTGGACATGTCACAACTGTCAGCAATGACCATTTTGTGTCAGTGTTACGAGGATTTTGCAGACCTTGATTGCCGGCTGAGTAATGTTGCGAACAGCCATCGCAAAGCCAAGTGCAGGCAGTAGGTGACCACTTTTTTGGAGAGATGCTGGACATTTTTCAATAGTTTATCTACAATGTATCGTATTTATGAGACATACATGTCTTCATCGATATTAGAGTCTTCTTGCAATTTCTCGTCATTCTGTGCAATCGTGCCGGTGCTTTTATGTTACTATATATTTGGATATAATTCGAGCATTTTTGATCTGATTTTGCCAAAAGTATCTATCAAAATCATATCATGGCCGATTTCCTGATGTTACAGCATCCACAGTGACATGTAGCAACTGGCTCAAATCTAATCTATGTCTTGTTTCGCAGATGTAAGGCATGTTGATTATGAACCAATGCGTTGAAGAACGATTCGAGTGATAAACGAATGACTACGACAATTGTTCGAAAGAAACTAGGCTATAATGAACATTTTTGGGCAAAGCCCGTTTAGGGCTTTCGACCGAAGTATTACTTGGACCTCTTGAGGGGCCGAGCGAAGCTGAGATGGGCGGGTGGGCCCAACAGCTCATCCGAGGTCACAAGCGACATACGTCTGGTCAGAGAAGAAAGATAAGGAGTCATAAGTATGGACTACAATGGAATGCTTTGAGACGATTCGTGTATGAGCCTGTGGGAGTGTTAGAGTTTACTCCAAAGAGACTGTGTTGTGTAGCCGAACCATACTCAATAGTATCAACGTCTGTTCCAGATGGGTAGGCCATCACTATCTCTGGGCGCACAATCTCCAACATTGCCAGCTGGTTTATGATGTATAGGCAATAGTGGGCGAGGGGGGTTTGGCAAAGGATCAGGGCAACGAGGAAAGGGGAAGACCAGCTTCCTGAGACGTTGGAGGATAGAAAGACGAATGACAGAGAATGGAAGTTTAATGGTTTTTTGATGTGGGTACCCTGTGTTCAGATTTTCGATCCCAAATTCGATATGGGTGTGCCCCCAAGCCACTATGTGTGAAAGCCTTGCAACAAACACAGGCATCGACAATGTGCCAATGCTAGTGGTGTGAATCTCCCTGTGCACCATGAAGATGTCTCCCACTCCTAGGATTTTCTTCTCTCCTGGAATGACATACTTGTCTACTTTCCAAGAGTCAGGACTTGCAAACGTGTGGGAGGTTCCAATGAGCAATGAGGCGGCCAGAGCCCTTGTCAATAGGTTTGTGACAACAGGCGTATGGGCTGGAGCATCTGCTGATGTCTCGATGAAAGCAGTGTCCAATGAATCGGTGGATGACATGACAGTGGATTGGGGAAAGTTGTGGGGGATCCATCTGTTAATAAGGAAATAGTCAAGAATATGTAAACGCACTACTGGGGACAATAGTACTCTGTCTAGATCCCAGAATGTCAGGGAAACTCGGGTCCGAAGCGCTTGGAGCTAATACCAACGAGGTTTCATTCATCGTGAACTAGGGTCCAATTGATGTTACAACGGCCCCATCATTTTCTCATCATCATGCTTCTTCGATCTATTCCTGTTATCTCTGACTGCTTATCAACATGCACTGCATGAACATTCTAGATACTTCCGTCTATTCTTGCTATCTCTGACTGCTTATCAACATGCACTGCATGAACATTCTAGATAGTTCCTTGACGTTCTTCCTGACTCCTTTCACTTCCATAGTCGGCCTGGTCCGTGCCTCCTTTGTCCATTATAAATACCGCAGTAGTTACACTTGTACTCTCTAACTTGAATCTACTTGGTTCTCTTTGATACTTGATCATCTTCTGAGGAAGATACTCGATTCCGATCTAGCTCTTATAGAGACTAGTCTATACTTGAACTTCACTTAGAGGGAGAGCCCCTCAACTGTCTGAACCGAATGTCGTAACACGAAGAACTCCTTTATTGGATTAGTTACGCAAGAACTATCCAAGTCGTAACAATTGAATGGTGATTTATGTACCTTACTCAGGGACTCCATGCTTGGCATATATGCCGTTTGTGACTTGCCCTCTGGTGTCCAAGTACCGGGTGAACAATGAGCTGCGCTCGGGTAGTGGTGGGTGGGTGAAATGATTTCGCAGATCAGAAGTTGTAGAAAGAGTGTTTCGAGGGATGAGTACTTGTGGAGGCACAAGTGATGGAAGCGAGAAGACAGAAGGTGTGAGTTACATCATGCTTAGAATCGGACATAGACCTCGTTCGTATCACGTGCTCGTGCCTCGCACTTAGCTAGAACACAATCTATGTCTTGTTTCGCAGATGTAAGGCGTGTTGATTATGAACCAATGCGTTGAAGAACGATTCGAGTGATAAACGAATGACTACGACAATTGTTCGAAAGAAACTAGGCTATAATGAACGTTTTTGGGCAAAGCCCGTTTAGGGCTTTCGACCGAAGTATTACTTGGACCTCTTGAGGGGCCGAGCGAAGCTGAGATTCCCTATAATTTAGGAGCGGAACGACGCAACTAGCTTCAGCTCGGCCCCAAAGTATTAGGAGTAACACGAGTACTCACAAATCAGGCTGGTAGCACATATCTCATGAATGGTTCTAGAACCGGCTGATCTTGCAGATAGGGCGCTAGAATCACCGCATGTTGGCGAAGGTAGAGCACGAAAGCGTCGCTACTCCAACGTCCCATGGTTTTGACACTGTCGAACGGGACGCCTCGCAAGAGATATTCTAGGGTCCCCCCTATCCTGATCCCATGTCCTTTCAAGTCTCCCTGTCCAAGGCGATCGCTCGATTCCTGGATACACTTTAGGAAAGCACTTCTCGTGAGTACTCTAAGTCCAGCGCGATGTCTCCAGCTAAAGAGCGCATCTGATGGAGAAGGTGAGTTGACGGCAAGGTGATTATCCAGCGCTGCCTGAGGATCGACGGGGCCCGACTGTGCAGCCCAATAAATGTCTTCTCCGGTCCGCGAGGTCTTGGTTCGAGGTAGATGAAAGACAGCGACTTTGAATCTGTTACGATCGACCTCATAACGGAGATCAGAGACGCGAACGTGAGCGAGCGGATCGAAATTTTTAAGAGAAGGGACAGTAAATTCGCCCGTCTGTGCGAGCGTGAAGAAAGAAGTTGTGAGGCAACCGTACACGGCAGCGTGAAGAGGGATTGAAAGGTCCAGGGAGGAGCGGATTGCGACCAATAATTCGACTGTGAACGGGGCCCGTTTAGGACGCGTGGATTTCGCCGGAGCAAGATGCTTAGCGCCCTCCAGTGTCAATGAAGCTTGGGCTTGGTTAACAAGCCAGGGCTGCCCATGTAATAGGTGCCAAGCTCGAATGCCATAAAAGTAGTTGTCGAGGGTCTTCCCTGAGTATAGGCCTGCGCAGCTGGCTATAAAGGCGAGTAGTAGAGTGGATGATGCAGGACATCTCTGTTCCTCTGGAACGTTGTGTGAATCGCAAAAGACATGGTATACTAAGAGGCCCGAACCGTAGGACTCTCTTGTCGTGGGTGCGTGAGAGTGTGCTATCACAGTTAGAATGCAATCGATGTCGCTATCCAGGATACCGATCAGCGACCCTGTATGGTCGTGTCTCGATCGTGATGTCACAGGCACCCAGAGACGGAGCCGTTCTCGGGCTAGGCAGTGTGGTCGCAGCGAGGAAGGGTTTGGGGTTAGGGATGGATGATATGCGCGAGGTTTTGTAGTGGGGTTGGACGATGGTGAGGGAAGCGGTGCTGAAAACCGAGAGCCGTCACTCGCACCACGTGTCGCGGAGGCGAAAGAGTTCGTCTCCCCAGTCGAAGGCATGTGTCTCGCCAGCCAGCCCATCAACAGCTGCGTGCTGCTCGCTGGTGTTGACGCTAATGGGGTTGGTGTGAGGGTCTGCGTCAGAGAGGAATTTGGGGAGATCGCCTGGAAGTGCAATGGGGGGCAGGAGGAGGTGTGTGGGAGGGAAAATTCCCCTGGAAGGACCGTCCGCTGGGTTGTCACCGCTGGGGACATAACACAGGTGGAACGAGGTCCCATTGTTTCGCGACTCCAGCCGCTCGTGGATTCTGCGGAAGACAGCGTTAATTGCCCAGTTGCGACTCCACCCGTTCCTCCACCCACTGACAACGCCCTGATTGTCGCAGAATACCCGATAGTGCCGCGGGTTGTCGGCGCTGTTGTTGTTGAGGATGGCGAGAGTGAGTAATTCGAAACCAACTGACTCGGCCCAACTGATGTCTCGTTGGCCGTCAAGCGTTCTCCAACCGCTGCATAGAGTCCATGCCCTCCAATGCCCATGGATAACAATTGCAATGCCGAAGGATGTGCTGGCGTCGCAAAATGCGTGAACGTCGACAAGGGAGTGGGGTTGGGGGATGGGGCGGCCGACAAAGGGTTGCGCAAGTCTGTTGAACCACCAGACGAGGTCGTCTTCAACGTGTTTGGCGGGGTGACGTGGCACGAAAGGACGATCAGCGCATATCGCGAGCATGGCCTCCAATGAGGTGAGGTAAGCACGGCCTGCTGGGACGACCAGACAGGCGTGAAGCAGTTTTCCATATAGCTTTTGAACGTCGAGGAGGACGTGAGTCTTCCACGAACACCAGTTGCTGATAGCAGCCTGATACTTCGTCTTCTTGGCTGTTGACAGTTGAACCGTGAGCGAAATGAGACTCCACAGCAGCCCCAGGTAGAGTGCGACAAACGCGAAAGCGGTGTCTTTCGAAGGCTCCCAGGGGATGTCCAAGGGACGAGAGAGTCGATCGATGTCTGCGAAGGCAAAACAGAAATCCGCATCGGCGAGAGAACGCGCTGATGATGCGGAGAGGTTGCGGATGGAGAATGAGCAATCCTCCGCATACACATCAAATGAGTCATCGTCGAAGATGGTACCTTTAAACCAGATGCGACCCCCAGATTGTTGCCTTCCTGCACTACCCATCTCAGCATGCACTCGTCTGCGGTGGGCGTTGTAACGCTCGAGGTGTTCCCGCCTGATGCGAAAAAACAAATGGTCGTCAACCCACTTCGTGAGTGGACCGATGCCTTCTGCTCAAAGTAAGTCCACTCCTGCGTCAGCAACGAGGCCATAAATGCCAGCGGAAGGACCCATACCGAAGGACACACACGTGACGGCGCAGAAGTTTCCATCAGGTAATCGCACGATGGCTGCTGGCCATTGGGTATGATGTAAAGGGACCGTCCGATAGGCTTCCGCCACATCTCGTGTGGCGGCTTGGGATCCGGGAGGAAGGGAGCGCATAATGGTGCAGACTGTGTCGAACGTGCCCCAGGAGCACGGGAAATCATCGGAATTGGTGGTGGAGTTGATGGCGGCATTAGGGTACAACAAAGAGGGGACAAGCGGAAAAGAGAAATTCTGAATAACCCGGAATTTCCCGGGTTTTCCTGGTTTGGGTATAATAGATATGGGGGAAGACTGGAAAGGTCCAAGCAAGGATTGTAGTTCAGATTGAGTGAACGGTCCGATGTACCGTCCACTAGTAAGCTCACGATTAAGTATGTTCTCGAAGGCAGCGCGAAAGGTATGAAGAGAGACACTATTAGGGGGGGACTGGGTAACCGTAACTGGGGGAATATTGAGATGGAAACCAAAACGTAGACCAAGTGGTAGTGTGGGATATGTGACCAGAAGATTATGTGCACGAAGTTTGGACTCCCAGACTTCGTAATTATATGGTGTGACCGGGCGTCGACGCCTGTGCTCGAGGACAGTGTTGAGCACCATGTGAGGTGGCGAGACAGCCTGAGCAGACATGTCTCTCGTCGTGGGAACGACTTGTGCAGCTGCGTGAACGTTGCCAGTCCACGCACAAGGGCTTGTCGGAGTTGCGCGTGAGGAGCTGCTTGTTGACTCGAGTGGTGAGTGCGGGATGGGCGCTGTTCCATGTTCTGTCGCTTGAGCATTCGACGAAGTTGTGTGAGTGTCTCCCCAGGCAGACAGCGCACACTGCTGGGGAGCGAGAGCCATGTGCGCTGTCTTGAAAACCCGCACGTTGGTTTGACGAACGGGTGTTACACGATGTGGGGTACCTCTTCGAGGTTCCAGGAGAGGCTGACCTCCTCCTGTTGCACGGTGACTGAGATCGCTTCGAGTGACGCGAACGCTGGTGGGTGGATGCCTCTCCACGCCCGCTTCTAGAGCTCGTGTCCAGACTCTGACACATTTTAACGCGAGCGAATGCAAACGCACGTTTTAGATGCCATCGGGGGAAACACAGAATCGCAAGATAATGCAAGTAAGATAATATAGGGAAAGAGGAAGATCAGTGATAGAGAATGAGTGCATAAAGTTTCACGCACCGGACGATCGTCCTTGAGCTCTCGGTGACGCATGTCACGAAAAACCCGATCGAAAGTGCGCAGTAGAGCTGCCTCGTCTATGATAGATATATCCCAGGCTCCCTTGGCAAGGGGAATGGCGTTGTGCCAGGCTCGACGTTGTTCCTCTTGATAGATGAGGATCGCACGTTGCGCGATGGAGTCGGTTGAGTTCCAATATCTATGCAGCATGATGGCACCCCAGAAGCGAGCGAGCATGGTGATGCGTTGAGTCGTCCAGTCATGCTCTTCTAGCGTGGCGATCATGCGCGGAACGGCTTGTGTGAAGTCCACTACTGACAAGTTGCGATCCGCGACGACGCCGTCAGATGGTTTGGTCCCCCCTGCATTGACCCAGACCGTAGAGCCATCTTCTCCGGTGGTAGGGACCATACCTTCGTCGTCTCTGGTGCGATAGGAGCAATGTGCGTCTTGTAGTCCTATGTTAGTCCAGTAGTACAATTCGACGTACTGCCCTTTGTCGATCTTGCGAAGGGCAAAGTCGGAAACCAATGCTGCGTCGTCGGTGGTGTCTGGACGAGGACGCACAGGGATGACCAAATGCTTGCTGCAATTCTTCTTCTTCTCATCAGCCTTGGTAACTTCTTCCTTGAGCCGAAGAGCCTGTTGTTGTCTCTCGGCTTCTTCTTCGGCTTGACATTGTTGTTCAGTTCGAAGTCTTTCGTCTTCTACAACTTGCTGTTGCCATTGAGCGCATAAGGTGTTGTTGGTGGTGACCCACACCACACGCAAGGTTTCTGCCGCTTGCGCTTCGGTGTTGGTAGGTGTGACCAGACTCGCTCGACTAACGCGATACGGGTCACTCATGAAATCTGGGCAAACAAGTAAACTGGGATCAGAGTGTAGTCTGTCCATCGTTGGATTAAGTGAAATTTTAAAATGAACTAAGCTTGATAAAATGATTTCGCAGATCAGAAGTTGTAGAAAGAGTGTTTCGAGGGATGAGTACTTGTGGAGGCACAAGTGATGGAAGCGAGAAGACAGAAGGTGTGAGTTACATCATGCTTAGAATCGGACATAGACCTCGTTCATATCATGTGCTTGTGCCTCGCACTTAGCTAGAACACAATATTAGTGCTTGATTATATTACAGCAGGTTACAGTGCACGCTTACAGACGAGTCTTAGTGGTCCAGTAATATAGTGGCCTGTAGTGTGATACAGTGGTCACAGGGCATGAATTTTTATTTCAAAAGAAAACTGGTATGGACAAGGTAATACTACATAGAGCTAATATCACTATGCCGCTGCATTCGACTCGGAGATAGTATAGTAAAAATCCTTGTCAATGTACTTGTTAAGCAAAAATGATTGAGTGAACTTAGAGCTGTTTTGTGGTGTTATACAAGTGTCAGCATGAGGACCAAAGCAGGGAATAATGTGAGCAAAGGAGCGAAGTTGATCTAGGGGAAGGATGTTGCCGAAAGGTGTCGCTCCTGCACGCATAGCACATTTTAGAACATGCATCTGTGTAGTGTGGTCCAATACCATTCCATGTTACTGAGGTACCATGTCAAGACATTGGACATAAGTAAGAAAATGTGCAGCCCACGGGAGAGTTCTGCCTGGCGGTGAGACTGGTAACATAATGAGGCAAACCTCAACAACAATGTGTCCTAGATTTGTACCCCCAAGTCAGTACAAATAACACTGAAGAACATATCAAGTTACCTTTAAGCCCGCTAGCAGGCCATTGTTTTGTGCCATCAACAGTAAATATGGCAGCATCGTAGCAGCCATGCTTCTAATTGGCATCTGGCGGAGACACATTAACCGTCAGAGCAGGAAGGAGGGCTGACCTGCTGTGGCGTGGTGTCTGCTGCACACGTACTTTGAACCAAATATTAAGATGCTGGAATGGAAGATTTGTGGTTGGTGATGCTCGACATTGTCCTGTCAACTTGTGGAGGTTTTGAACAGTCTGACCCTCCCGTTGAATGTAATTGGTGAGTGCTGCTCACAAGTCGGGCAAACAGAACTTCCCAGCGACATTGTCGATAGCTTGGTGTTGTAATGAGGGGTCAAAATTGAGACGTATGGCGGTGGAGCCAACAACAAACATGCGGAGTGGTCTGGGCGCTGTGGTGGACAACGAGACAAGTTGTGCCTTCTTGAAGAAATTCAATACAACATGTCCTGTCCCCCACAAATCACTAATGGCAGCCTGGATATCACCTGCTTCATCAGTGTTCTCATCATCATCAATCCCATCATCCGGATCATCTCTATATCCGGCAGTGGTGGTGTGCGTCTGGGACTGCGGTTGCTGGGCAATAGACATCAACATATCTGGGGATCATAGTTATGGTTATTCGTAGATTCTGCTGGATCCTTGATGAGGGTTATGTGAGCTCGTTCTGTGGTGTCCATCAGGAAAATCTCAAATTACTTAATCAGCCTTTTTTGGACCTTTCTGATGACTTTTACTTCTTTTTACTTCTTTTCAAAAATGAGTGGCCTTTTTTTTTTATCAGTTCACTGCCTGGTCCCAGCTTGAGTATCAGGAATAGTTTATTATGATTATTTCATACTGTTCCAATGGTTGGAGTTCACAATTTGTAAAGATTACCACCTCAGGAGAGGATTTGACAATAAAAATTATCAGCACTCTGTGCCACCTACTGGTAACAAATTTCTGTTTTTATGTTTTTAAACATGTCTCTTAGGTTTATAAAACATATTGGAACACACAAGTTTGGATGAGGCAGTGAATTCAGAAAAAAAATTGAAAAAAGGCCATAAAGCATTGGAAAGTCCAAAAAAGTTGGTTTAAGTAATTTGATGTTTTACTGATGTCAGCTGGCCACTGTATAAGAGAACTGACTTGATAGATACTCGGCACAACACTTTGCATCATTTCGAGCTTTTGAAATGTACCAGTTGTCAAGGATGTTTTTGCTCTTGGCACCCCGATGCCCACCATGCGCAATAACTTCATGTTTGTGGTTGTGAAACATCTTGAGAGCATCAAGGATCTTCTGACATTGCTTCTTGTTGATGGTTACTGCTTGAGATAAGTAACAGAAGTCCATTAGTGCACGGACAGCTATGACGACGCCTGGAGGTGCAGCATTCGCGATGATAGCAACAAGGTAACACTGTATGTCCCGCTGCGCTCTTCCAGTGACTTGCTTGAGCGTTGAGATACCCTGTTTGAAATGTCGGAATGTCATGAGCAGTTGTAAGACAGAGAAACAAAAGTTGAGCTCCTTCACACCGACAATTTTGATACACCACTGTACATTGTGATCATAGGATTCATGATGCCAATGGTGCAAGGCCTCCGGGGTCAGAAACAAGTTTGGATCTACGAATGGCCAGTCGCACCAGAACAAATCAACAACACCGCTGAGGCAGTTGGGCTCACATGCGGCGAAGAAGGCTTCGACATTTAGTGGGTCGCATATAGATTTGATGTTCTTGAGTTGTGTAAGGGTGGTTTTGGCTGTGCGCAGGGGGTGTTGGAAGGCGTCACCGAATTGCTTATATGAAGCCGTGGTGAGGTGTGAGGTCTTTCCTCAAACACAGGCAAGCATGGCCGCCTCGGGTGTATCCACAATATATGAAGCCAGGGGAGTAAACAATATCTAAGGTTCCCGACTGGGTCTGACATCATACATCCAATGCGCGCAGCCTGCTTGAATGGCTCGAGGATAATGTCAAGACACTGATGGATTAGGCGAGCTTCTAGAACACCTTGCATATGTTTGACAGGATGCAAAAATTCAGCAATGGGAAGCAGGGCTGTGAGAAGAAAAGTGTGTGATGATGCCTTGTTTCGAACTGCCATCTTGATGTTGGCAAGACTGATGAGGAGGGGGTGGGCAGCATGTCCGCCGGTCATGTTTGTGATATTGGTCTTATCAGAGGAAAGTATTACACCAAGCAGTGCAGAATCCTCTGGAAGCTTGGAATGCAATAGAGCAATAGAAGTTAGACAAGTATTCACACTAATCACTAAGGCACAAACCTGCATCGTCCTGGCTGCTTTGCCAGTCATCCATTCGCTGTATATCCATACTGTACACTTGGCTGTGGTATATATTCATTCAGGTATGAGGTCAATATCCTTGGCAAATCTCGGATTATTGAAGAGGGATTCAATACAGTCCAGCAGATCACACCAATTCAGGTGCACAGGTAGTTTCATTGGATGATCGGTGGAAACAACACAATATTGCCACTTGGGACCAGAGGTTAGAAGCTCAGCACGACCCTGCTGTTGCCCGTCACATGAATCAACCTTGCTTGGGATGTAGCACCTGGCTACAGGATATAATCTGTCTTCAGACCGACTACTCTGGTATGAACATTGACAACCAGCACATGCCACACGACTCTGAGTTGTGTCATTCGCATCAAGACTACAATGACCCTGAGAGCCTCGGAGGTGTCGATGAAGGTATTTTTACCGGTCACACCAATGAAGACGGCACTCTACCAACCACCAACTCTATTGAGTGGTTTCCTGATGCCTCTCAGACATATGGCAAGGGTCACACATTTCTTGACTTATTTCACTCTGACGAGAATAGCATATATCACATGAAGAATCTTTACTACCCGTTCAGTGGTCGGAAGGAGTGGGAAGTTGCATCATGGCTATTGCGTTCTGGATTGAGCATGGGGAAGATTAATAGTTTTTGTCACTCGAGATGGTAATGTTACGCTGAAAGCGTAGACTCAGGTAAGAGCTCTGTACTAAGTCTTGCGTAAGACGAAGATAATGCAGAGGTTCGTTTGTCGTTATCGTTGGGGTCTAGGCTTGGTAACAAGAGTTGGCAAGCGAAGACAAGACTAATTGTATCGATCAAGTAAAGGCACTTAAGACGAAGAGTCTTTAGTGAAATCATATACGAGAGCTGTCTTGCTCAAGGAAGGTCTATCAGAAGACTGAGTAGATTCAAGTTAGAGAATACAAGACAAGATGATCGACTACTTTATAAGTAAAGGTCAGTTCAGGGCAGGACTACCAAGGCAATGGTAAGGGTACAAGATAAGAGATACGAGATAAGACGGCGATCAAAGATGCTGTACAAGAAGGTGATGAGGCGTCATATGGCAGTACATGATAAGAGAAAAGATAGGGAGGCCCGGTCCGAAGTATGTTATCGTAACAGGTAAGCGCTCTACTCTTGTTGTGAGTAACGACAGACGGAGGACACAAGAGGCTGCGAGGGACAAACGAGAGACTCAGTCTTAGTGGAAAAGGACTCTATTAATCTAAGTACCTGCGAGGGACAAACGAGAGACTACGTAGTGAATATTAGTAATGATCGAGTAGGATAATGAATGCTAGTATCTCACCTCAGTCTTAGTGGAAAAGGACTGAGGTGAGAGGATGTGGATGCGAAAGCTATATACTGGCGCTGTAGTCGATGATGTAAAGATACAGTACGTGTTTGTACGTGTCCGCAGTAAGTGATAATGAGTGTAAAGTAAAAAGATAGACTTGCGTATTACGTCGATTATCCAACACTCCCCTTCAAGTCTAGCAGAGTCCGAGCATATCAACAAACTTCTGAATCTTCGAACGTGCGAGTGCCTTTGTGAAAATATCTGCAACCATGGCGCTTGTCGGACAGTATACGAGTGTGAATTTGCCGTCGTCAACGGCTTCCCGGATAAAATGATACCGGATGTCGATGTGCTTCGTGCGTGGGTGGAACTTATTGTTCTGCGTGAGCGTGATAGCGCCTTGATTATCACACAGAACGAGAGTGGGACTGATGAGGGGTGCGCGAATTTCACCAAGGAGGCTGTGAAGCCAAATGATATCCTTTAACGAGTTCATCGCGGCGACATACTCGGCTTCGGTTGATGACAATGCTACAACATTTTGCTTCTTTGATCCCCATGCTACTGGCATTCCTGCGAGTGACACGACATGTCCTGAAATTGAGTGACGGTGAGGTTGCGAGCCCCAGTCAGCATCAGTGTAGGCGAGCATGCCTTCGTCGGGGTCTGTTAAGTTGAGACAAAGGCTTTGTGTGCCTTTGAGATATCGTAGGATGTGTTTTGCGGCCTGCCAATGGATTCTGCTGGGATTTTGCATGAATTGTGCAAGTGTTGAAGTTGCAAATGCGATGTCAGGGCGTGATCCAAGCGCTGCCCATGCGAGAGAACCGACGAGTTCTTGATATGGAATGTTCCGCATTTCATGGATGTGTTGCGGAGTTGTTGGGGATTGGTCTTTTGACAGGGTGGCACCGGGTTTGAGAGGAGTGGAGACCATATTGGTGTTTTCGAGACCGAAACATTCGAGAAGAGTGTCGATATAGGCAGATTGGGATAATGATAGGGTTTGCGCTGTTTTGTTATACTTGACTTCGAATCCAAGCAACCATTTGATCTCTCCAAGATCAGAAATCTCAAACTTCTTTCTAAGCTCGTCTTTCAACCACTTTATCGCCTCAATGGAGCTTGCTGTGGCAGCCATATCGTCAGTTGACACGGATACAACAGTGGACGACTTCTCGTCATGCTTGAAGAAGACTGCATGGTCGACGGCTGATCGCGTGAATCCAATCTTGCGGAAAAATTTGCAAAGCGTCTCATACCATTCGAAACCGGCCTGCTTAAGTCCATAAAGACTTTTCTTGAGTTTGCAGACCTTGCCTTCCTGACCTGGCTTGAGATATCCAGGCGGGGGTCTCATATAAACATCCTCGGTGAGTTTGGCATTGAGGTATGCATTTTTCACGTCGATCTGGTGAATTTCCCAGCCCTGGCTGGCGGCATTGGCGAGAATGGCTCTGACAGAAGGGAGTTTAGCAACAGCGGCAAAAGTCTCATTGTAGTCGATGCCTTTGCATTTACTGTTGCTGTTAGCGATGAGGCATGCCTTGTACCGCGCGATATTACCATTTTCATCTCGTTTGGCTTTGAGAATGAAATGAGAGTTGATGATGTTGGCATTGGTAGGTGGATCAACAAGGTCCCAGGTATCGAGCCTCTCGATTGCAGCAATCTCCTCATCCATTGCTTCCTGCCATCTTTCAGCATCTGGGCCACGAAGAGCTTGATCAATGGTTGGTTCATCACCAGGCGAGGATGCTAGTGCATAGTGCGCGAGCATGGCAAATTCTTCGTGCGGGAATTCAGCTTCTGAGTCGGGTGATTCTTCTGTCCACAATGCATTGATATGTTCATTTCGATCAAAAACTTCTCGGCTGTAATAGCCTGGCGGGAATTGGACTCGACGGGTTGTGCGAGGTTCAGGAGCTGGTTCTGGTTCGGGAAGTGGTATTGCTGCTACTGGAGGTGGAACTGGTGCTGGAGGATTTTCGACTACTGGTGGAATTGATTGGCGAGTAGCGACGGGAGTTGGAGTCGAGGTCAATGATGGTTTTGGTGCCTCGCTCATGGGTTTTGAGCAGGTGTCGTGCTGGACGACCCTCTCATTCTCCCCTTCGAACTGCACATCACCTGTAGTAGCTTCATCGGGAGCAAACTTCACGTCTCGTTCAACGGAGACTCGACGAGTGTCAGGCCAATAAACTCAATACCCTTTGCTTTCACTGTCGTACCCTATAAATTTTCCGGCCTTCGCATGTTCATCAAGCTTGCCAGCATCTACGATCTTGACATAGATGGTGCATCTGAATCTCTGAATCCCCGATAAGTTAGGCTTCTTGCCGTGAACAGCTTCGAATGGTGTTTTCGTGGTGAGAGCTCGTGTGGGTGATCTGTTCTTGAGATAGGTGGTGTGATTTACGGCTTCAGCCCATAGAGCCTTGGGAAGATCTGCACCAATGAGAAGAGCTCGAGCATGTTCAACGATGGTCTGATTAACTCGTTCGGCTACACCATTTTGTTCGGGAGAGTCGTGGACAGTGTATTCATGGTGGATTCCGCGTTTCGATAGGTACTTCTTGAGTTCGTCACTGGAATATTCACCACCACGATCAGATCAGATGAACTTGACCTTGGCATTGTGCTGGGTTACGAGGTGAGCAATGTGCTCGGTGAGTGCTCCAAAAACTCCACTCTTTTTCCGAAGGAAAATGACAGTCATCTCACGGGAATAATCATCCGTGAACGTGACATAATAGGACTTCTTGCCCAATGATTGAACTTTTGCTGGTCCCCACACGTCGGTGTGAATATGTTCGCCATACTTTGTGGCATGTGAGTTCGACTGGTCGGGGAAGGGCTGACATGTGATTTTCGCTTTGACACACATTTTGCAGAACGTGTTATCAGAAGATGAGGTAATCTCAATACCTTCAACCATGCCCTTCGTTACCATGGCTTTCATTGCAGCAAATGACATATGTCCCATGCACTGATGAAGCTGGGTCAGTGACATCTTCGTCTTCAGTTTTGCAGAGGCCACTGCTGCTGCATGCTCTAATCCTGCAATCCGATAAAGGCCATCAACCTCAGGAATCTTCGCAATGAGCTTCTTCGGCTTCTGTGACCAGATTTCACACCATCCCATCTCCATATGGACGGATGATCCCGCACAAACGATTCGGCTAGTGGATATGAGGGTGAAGGCAATGTCTGGTGTGTATAACGTGTCCTTGAGTGTGACTCGAGAGCATGCTTTGCCATTAGGTAGCTCTATTTCAACATCACCTCGTCCAATAGCATGAAGAGTTCGTCTGTCAGCGACATTGATTGGTTTGGGATCAATGGTTTCAAAAGTTTTGAACTTCGAACGGTCGGGGCAGAAATGGGATGTAGCTCCGGAGTCGACAATGGCTCCTCGTTTCTCGGCAGGGACTCGAAGAGTATTAGCTTTGTCAATGCAATCAGAAGTCAGGAATGCAAAATCTTGGTCTGACAAGGCAGCTGCATTCACTGATTCTGATTTCTTCTGGTTTGGACCTTGACCTTCTTTGCCACCCCCTTTACGCCAGTCAGCTGACATATGCCCAATTTGTCCGCAATTGAAACACTTCTTGTCCGACTCACATATGGTTTCTTCCCACGTCGACGACTCTTATGCGATGATGCATTCAGAGCGGAGTCGTCCTTGTCTGATGACTTTCCGAGGTTACAATGGTCAGCCTCTTCGAACACAACAGCAATGACCTTGTCCGAGGTGACAGTTTGGTTAATAGCTCGAATGGCGGCTGTCATGGATCACATAAGAGTTCTGAAAGACTCGGGAAGTGAATTAATGATCATCGCAGTGAAATCTCGGTCGTCGACAGGTGCGCCCATGCCCGCAAGCTCTTCGCGTAATACAAGCATCGACGTCAAGTGTGCTTTAATATCTTCGTTCTCACTGCACTTCATACTTTGCAGGCGAGCACGAGTATCCACCTGGACCATGTCACTTTTGCCTTCATAGATGAGGCAAATGGCCTTCCAAATCGCGGCGACGGAGCCTTTGTTCTGCACCTGAATCATCACGGTGTTTGGGACAGTTGCATAGAGCTGCTGGATAGCGAGAGCTTCCTTCTGCGCATGAGTGTCGAGGAGAGTTAAGTTCGACTCGATGTCGGCATCAGTTGCCTGCATCATGTTGTCGTGGAGAAGGGTCTTTTTACCATTGGGAGACATCGGAAGTGGTTGGGGAACTTTGACAGTGCCATCGAGGTGACGGTTCAATCCTCGTGCCGTTAGTGACATGACGGACTTCGTCTTGAATTCGACCCAGTTCTTCTCGGTGAGTTTAGGGACGGCATAGATGCCCGAGGTTGACATGGATTGAACAGAAGAGGTAACGGGGGTCATAAGCTGTTGTGAGTAACGACAGACAGAGGACACAAGAGGCTGCGAGGGACAAACGAGAGACTCAGTCTTAGTGGAAAAGGACTCTATTAATCTAAGTACCTGCGAGGGACAAACGAGAGACTACATAGTGAATGTTAGTAACGATCGAGTAGGATAATGAATGCTAGTATCTCACCTCAATCTTAGTGGAAAAGGACTGAGGTGAGAGGACGTGGATGTGAAAGCTATATATTGGCGCTGTAGTCGATGATGTAAAGATACAGTACGTGTTTGTACGTGTCCGCAGTAAGTGATAATGAGTGTAAAGTAAAAAGATAGACTTGCGTATTACGTCGATTATCCAACAACTCTATCGTTTTCATTAGTGAGGTCTGACAGTGTGTCTGTTTAGATTAAGGATCTTTCATCATCATTCTCTTCTGCTAAAGAGCTGCAAGGTAGGGCCGAAATGTTGCTCAGCGGTCCACACTGGATGTCTCAAGTAATTCATATGGCCATCCCACAAAATCGCCTGTCATATTATACTGGCGTGACCCCTTGGACTGCATCTCGAGTATTCTTAACCACCCTATGTTTCACAAAGAGTTAGACTTTACACCTTGCAGGGTGTATACCACTGCACAGCAGCTGTATCATGTGTACTCTGAGTGGATGACAGGCAATGATGCCTGGGAGATGCAGGTGCGTAGTCTCATCGTTCAAGCTGCTCTGAGTACTTATTGTTTCCAACAGTTGAATCTACCAAGTGATGTGACCCTGCTAGGCACTATTCTTTCATCGGACAAGACCAATATATGTATGATGACAGGTGACAGAGTTTCCCACCCACTCCTCATCAGCCTCGCGAACATACACATGTCTACTCAACTCAAGACGTCATCCGGCGCTTTCTTGCTCACCGCCCTACTCCCCGTACCCAAATTCACTCATAAGAAGAAACACTTGTGAGGTGTGCTAGAGGACCATCTAATTCATCAGTGCTTGGATATTGTTCTGGCACCTCTTAAGCAGGCTACTCACGAGGGGGTATGCTATCAGATCCGGTCGGCCATAGCCATTATTTTTTCACCCTGCTTGCAAGCTATATCGTGGATACCCTGGAGGCAATAATGCTTGCCACCATTGGAGGGAAAACATCTCCAGTTACCATGGCCTCCTACAAGCAATTTGGAGATCCTTTCCTCCATGAACCTCAAACAGGATCAACTACCCTTGCACAACTAGCTGTTGTCTGACAAAAGGTCGACCCCGACAATATTAAAGTGTTCTTTTGCAAAGCGCAGAAGTTTTACTTCAACGGAGTCAATAAACCCTTCTGGTCAGATTGGGTCATGACAGAGCCATCACATTTCCTCACTCCGGAAGTTCTTCACCATCTTCACTGACAATTTTACGACCACAATGCCAAATGGATCATCTGTGCAGTTGGGGAAGCGGAAATTGATTTTTGTTTCTCTGTGTTGCAGCCCATGACGGGCTTTCACCATTTCCATAGTGGGATCTCAAAGCTGAAGCAAGTTATGGGGTGCATCCAACATGATATCCAATGCTCAATCATTGCGGTCGCTACAGATGCAGTACCTAGCGCCATGATCACTGCTGTACAAGTGTTAATGGATTTCTGTTATCTTGTACAGTTGACACAGATTGATTATCATGATCTCGAGCACATTTCGACAGCGCTGGCTGAATTTCACGCCAACAAGTGTTACAACTTGGATAGTTCTTGCGTAACTAATCCAATAAAGGAGTTCTTCGTGTTACGACGTTCGGTTCAGACACTTGAGGGGCTCTCCCTCTAAGTGAAGTTCGAGTATAGACTAGTCTCTATAAGAGCTAGATCGGAATCAAGTATCTTCCTCAGAAGATGATCAAGTATCAGAGAGAACCAAGTAGATTCAAGTTAGAGAATACAAGTGTAACTACTGCGGTATTTATAATGGACAAAGGAGGCACGGACCAGGCCGACTATGGAAGTGAAAGGAGTCAAGAAGAACGTCAAAGAACTATCTGGAATGTTCATGCAGTGCATGTTGATAAGCAGTCAGAGATAACAAGAATAGACAGAAGTATCTAGAATGTTCATGCAGTGCATGTTGATAAGCAGTCGGAGATAACAGGAATAGATCGGAGAAGCATGATGATGAGAAAATGATGGGGCTGCTGTAACATTACCCCCTTTTTATCATCTGAAGTCACCGACTTCAACAACTTTCCAACCTCGCATCGTCGTAGTAGACGAGATCCGCATCAGCGTTATGAAACTCCAACAGATCGTCCCCTGTGCGTTTGTTGGTGAGCTCCTCTGCTTCTTGCTCAATTTGTTCGATAAGCTCGTCTTGGTCCGCTTCCCATTTAGCAAGTGCGTCATAGAAGCCTTCTTCGTTGTGCTCCATGGGGAGGACTCTTTCGCCATTGAGTTGGCGGCAGAAGACTGATAGGTGTCCAGGCTTGAACACGAGGCACGCTCTGCAGTAATATTCTGGGCAGTTCTTGTGACGATGTCCCATTTCTTTGCAGTGGCGGCAAATGATGTTGTCATCGAAGGAAAGAGGAGGTGGTAGCGATCTGGATGACTTTGGAGGGGTTACGATATCTGGCTGCGAGCAGCGGTCTTTGTTCTTTGGAGGGGAGCGTGATTTGGGTTTGTAGGGTGTTTTCTTTGCGGAGCTTTTACGACGTTCCGAACACCTGAGCATGTTCTGTGGTGGAAGGATGGGTAGTGTGATTGTCGGTTCGGGAGTGATGGGGATAGCAGTAGGAGGAGGCGGGGGTGGAATGGCGACCTCGGTTGTGACTCGTTCTGCGATGGTTTGTATGGCTTGCATTACATCTTCCTTGAAATACAAGGGAAGGAGATGGAGAGCAAAGGTCCGTATTTTTCTTTGACAATAGAGGATGCTGCGCCGAGCGTCGGCGTCGTCTATATTTTCAGCGATGGTTTCCAAGAGACTGGTGGTGCGGATGATATTGACAGTGGTAAAGGTGGTGTCATCCTCTCTTTCAGTGAGGATGCGTTCTATTTCAAGAGCATGTTGTGGGGATAACAGGGCGGATTCTACGAGGGAGGCAGTGTCGATCTCTTTAACGAGGTCGAAGTATTCAGCGAGTTGGAAAGATGAAGACATGGTTTGTTTGTTAGAATCGGTTCTGTAGACGAGGGTTCAATGGAGAAGTCGGGCTAATTTGAGGCGGTTTTTATAGGGTTTCAGGATCTCTAGGGCGTTCTGGAGTTCCTTTTCGGGCAGCCACGAGTTTTCTGAACTGGGGTACCCCTTCCATGACACGAGGAAGCGGCGTCTTCCTTTTACGTTTCCCTTGTGGGCGAGGATCGCTTCTATCTCGTATTCCTCTTGTCCATTGATAAGATCAGGTGGTGGTTCGGGATGGTTCGGGCCGTGAATTTCAGTCTCCCGATAGGATGATAGTTCAGAAGCATGGAACACGGGGTGAGATTTCCAAGATTCTGGGAGGCGGAGTTTGAATGTGATAGGGGAGAGGACTTTTTCAATTTCAAAGGGACCATATCGCTTCGGCGCGAGCTTCTTTGATGGGAGATGGGTGATAAGATGCGCAGCAGATAACCAAACTTTGTCTTTAGGTTTCCAGGGTTCAAACTTTCTTCCAAATGATCATTCGGCCATACGTTGCATTGCTAGTTTGTGACAAGCAAGGGCTTCTTCTCGAATCTTCTGGAGGTGTTTTACTCGGTCTTCTGCGGCAGGGATAGCGGAATTGGGGAAGGCGTAAGGAATTCCTCAAGGTTCATAGCCCATCATGAGGAGGAATGGAGAGGTGTTTCGGGAGTCGTGTTTTCAGTGATTATGGACGAATTCTGCCATAGGAAGATGTTTTACCCAATCTTGGGGGGTTGATCGGCAATAAATGCGGAGATAGGTTTCGAGTTCTTGGTTCAATCGTTCAGTTTGTCCATCAGTCTGCGGGTGGTAGGCGGTCGAAAGGGCAACTTCATATTCAAGGAGTCTTCCAAGTTCTTTTGCAAATTTTGATGCGAATTGGGGACCTCTGTCGGAGATGATTTTGTCATATAGGCCGAATCTGAGGAACACTTTCTTGAAAAAGAGTTTGGCTACTCCTTCTGACGTGATGGTTTTCTTGCAAGGTGAGAGAATTACCCCCTTCGTAAGCCCATGGTCTACCACAACCATGACAGAGTCAAAACCTTCCGATGGTGGGAGATCTGTGATCAAATCTACCGAGACTTGAGCGAAGGGGTGTAAAGTGGAGGAGGAAATAGGGTTCAGAGGGGGAGTCGTGGGGTGCATATCGGACTTCATTTGTTGACACATGGTGCATCCTTCGACATATTTCCGGATGTATGTTCCCATCCCAGGCCACCAATAATCTCGCTTAACCAGTTCTTCAGTTTTAAAGCGTCCGGGGTGTCCGGCAGTGGGGTGGTCATGGTGAAGAGTTAAGATGTGATGATGGAGATTTGCGGGGACGTAGGCTCGGTTCTTATAGAAAAGCGTGTTGTCTTCGATACGCCAGTCAGAGAGTGCGGATTTCATAGGAGGGGCATTGAGCCCGTCTAGGGCCTGTTGGGCAGCTAAGATAATGGGGTCCGAGAGGGGGTTCTGGAGTTTCAATGCTGCGGCAAGGTCGATATCAATGAGTCATCCAAATAATTCATCGGGAAGGAGGGTGATATTGGTGTTATCGGTTTGTCCTGCAGAATGATCCGGTCGTCGTGAGAGAGCATCAGGAGCGGCGAGTTTGCTTCCTGCAACATGATGTAGTTCTAGATCGAACTCATTGAGGGTTAGCTGCCAACATGCCTGCCGACGCGTCAGGTTCTGCGCTGATCGGAAATAGAGAAGATTCTTGTGATCGGTGAAAACTACTACAGGGTGTGGGTTCCCTTCAAGATAGTGGCGCCAAGCTTTCAGGGCTCGGATGATTGCGAGGAGTTCCCGATCATAGATCTGATAGTTTCGTTCTGCTGGGTTAAAGGATTGGGATAGATATCCGCAAGGATGATAAGCACCATTCTCGTCTGTTTGTAGAAGAATGGCTCCTGTAGCAACAAGGGAGGCATCGGTGGCAAGAGCGAATTGTCGCGAAGGGTCGGGGTTTCGGAGAACAGGTTCAGAAAGGAAACATTTCTTCAGTTTCTGGAATGAATCTTCACAGGCTTCTGTCCACATGAAAATCGCATCTTTCTTCGTTAGATCGATCAAGGGTCGTGCGAGGTCGGAGTAATGGGATATGAAATGACGATAGAAGTTACAGAATCCGAGGAATGATCGGACTTCTTTTACTGAGGATGGGACTTGCCAGTCGCTGATACCCGAAAGTTTGGCAGGGTCCATCGCAACTTGTCCTGGTCTGATAATCATCCCTAAATAGTCCACCTCTTGAACGTCGAAAGTGCACTTTTCTGGTTTCAGGAAAAGGGTTTCTCTTCGAATGATTTTGAGAATACGGCGGGTTCTGTCTTGGTGTTCTTCAAGGGTTTTTGAAAAGATCAAGATGTCGTCCATGTAGACTATCATCCATCCTTCATCTATCTCTTTTCTGAATGTCTGATTCATGTATGCCTGAAACGTGGCTGGTGAATTGCAAAGACCGAAGAACATGACTTTCGGCTCAAAGAGCCCAAACGAGGTTGTGAAAGTGGCTTTCCAGCGATCATCGGGATGAATCAGGATGTTGTTGTACCCCGATCTCACATCCATTTTCGTGAAATAGTTGGCGCCTTGTAGTTTCGCGATTAACGGAGGAATCAATGGAAAGGGGTACGCGTTCTTTATCGTCCATTCATTGATGTAACAATAGTCCTGACAGGGACGAAGAGAGCCATCTTTCTTTCCAACAAAGAAGAAGCCACTAGCTTGAGGAGATTTCGATGGTTGGATAAAATCTTTCGAAAGATGTTCATCTAAGAAAGCTTTCACGGCTTCGGTTTCTTTCTGGGATAGGGGGTAGGTTTTCGCTGATTTAGGGACATAACCAGGTTTGGTTTCGATTCTATGATCCACTCCTGGCCTAGAGGGTGGTAACTTGTTTAACCCGTTGAAGATATCGGCGAAGTCGTGGAGATAGGATGGGACGAGTTCTTCGAAAGTCTTTTTCTTCTTTTCTTGTGCATCCCTTAGGGCAAATTCTTGAGCCTTGTTGCTGGTCTTCAGGTATTCTTCGTCGGTAGTTTTCCTCGAAAATATCCATTGATTTCTTAGCGGTTGTGTTGAAATTGCTCGTTTAAGCTCAATTGCGGATGTTCCATCTTGGGTGAGTGGAGTCTCGAGGGAAAGGTTTTCGATGATTCTGACTGTTGACCCATCAGGAGAGTATTCGACAAGCACTTCATCATCGTTGATCGGATAAGTGGAGATATCATCCATTTTTCGGGCGAACAAGGTTTCAGTAGGAACATCGTCCCAAACATCATCCTTGGTGTCGTATTGAGGAAGGGGAGTGGGAATCTTCCACATTTCTTGGTATTCTTGTTCTAGCTTCCGAGAGTGTGGATTTGCTGGGAGTTTGAGGGTGTCCTTTACCCAATCAATGTCGGGATTCATGGCTGATAACCAGGGTTTACCAAGAAGAATCATATCTCTTTCTCCCATGGTCATTACGTTGAACTTTCCGATCATGAGGCGTTTGTCGATTTTTATGGCTAGGTGACAATAATGGGTACATTGCTTCTTCGAGAGTTGTCCATCGGCATTTCGGATAGAGAAGGGTTTATTGAACTTATGAATCTTGATTCCATGTTTCCGGACAAACATCCAGTTGATGAATGTTGCCCCTGCGCCACAGTCTACTACGGCGGTTGTGTGCAATGCTTTATTGGGATGTGCGGAGGAAAAGATGGTCGCTGGGACCCTAAATTCTTTAGTCTTTCCTACATTCTTGGCTATACGTACATCGATATATGGAGTATCTGACATTGCGGCAGGCTCCGAGGTTAAAAGTCCAAGTTCCATCTTTTGACAGATTCATAGAAGGAATTTTCACTTTCAATTACTTATTCTTTACCCAAATGTTGTGCCAAGATTTGTTGTCCTCTTACCTAGTATAATGTAATCAAATTGATGTGTTCGTACTATTACTACCAGAACACATGCTTACACTTTGAGTAATACAGACACGCCTCTTCAATGTGCCTCATGGTACACATCGAGTCATTCGCTTAGGACGTGATATTATCCATTCCTTACTCTGTCGTTTCTGTGTTTGAGTCAAATAGGATGCACACCCGAATATTACTCTCAATGCACGTTGAGTCCCTCGCTTAGGAAATATTGTGAGAAAGCAGGCATCATACAAAGTACAGGTGAGTCTTGGATTATTTCCCTACCTGTCTTTTCTTTCTGCTTCTTTGTTGCAGCCATGCCTCCTCGCACCTTTGCTAGCCCTAAAAAGAAAAGGCCAGTGAAGCGTAAAGGTTCAGATGCTGCCAAGAATGTAGCGAAGAAGTCACGGGCTCAAGAGACCAGTGTCGAAACATCCAGTATGCCCCTTGTATCCCTTGATCTGGCCCATGCAGAAGCCCCAGGTACTGACACTCCTCGGTGTTCTACCCACCCCAAAGCAGGAACAGGAGGTAGGACTGTACAGTTGGAAAAGATAGGTGCTTTGCTAGAGGCTCCATCTTGAACCAACCAACACAAGGGCTTGACATCACTCAGTTCTAACCTCCCCATCAACCCTCAGGCTCCAGAACTGACTTGCAGTCGCAAGGGCCAAAAAAATTGTTCAAAGGTCTGTCACATAAGGGACCTTGTTGCTTGCACTGATATTTTGCATTCAGACAGCTCCACCACCTTACACCAATGTGACAAGGAGAATGTGGGCCCAGAGGAAGAGATGAGAGAGCAGGAGATTGGTTGGGGGGAGGTTGGTAGACGTCACCACGACCATCCAGGTACATTCTTATCTATATTTGACTGTCCTATGACACCCCCCGAGAACAGAGTCAAGGCCTACATCATGCATGCTCTCTCTCGAACCTTCTCCTCCTCATCTCTGGCATTGGTGCCAGTCAGCACGTCTTTGAGACCTTGTCCATCTTTCAATTCCTTGACCAGTACCTTGGCAGTATTTGGTATTGCAACAATCACACCTCTGAGATTTCCTCTCAATGTTACAGGACTCCAGCGGTCACTCTGCATCACACACCTAGTGTGTTCTTCCACTTCTGTCACCGATGACATGTGTCACCTTCATTTTGACAGCATATATGTTGATTCCCGTGATTGGCCACTTCCTGTACGTCTATGTGGATTCAAGTCTGCTTCTTCTTAAGTAAAATATGCTACAGCGGATGGATGTTGAATTCAATATCAACCTAGGGATGAATTCCAGGCTTGCAAACCCAGGTGAATGTCATCCATGACTACTTCTTTACCTACCTGAGACTATCCTTATCTACTGCATATATGTAGTACCTAACTTTCTGAAGCAATCAACTATATTTTGTTAATCTTTGGCACTCGCTGACGATACCTTTTGGCTTGAGCTACCACCATACCCATGGACACCGAAACTCCACTCCCCTTGGCAACTATTTCTCTGGCTTTCAAGCATCTTAAGAATGATGTTCGGAGAGCGCTCAATACACAAGTAGGCGATGTTGCTCGATTAGACAAGCAAATTGCCATGTGCATAAACCTTGAGCGACACATTGAATATGTGAGTCTTTTTTCTCGATTAGCAGATATGTGACTTATGAGGACCAGCACACAGCAATCATTCCAGCAAATGACCACCATCTCATGCTATTGAGCATTCAAGACATGATTGCTGACTTAGAGGTTGCAAAGACAGCATCAATGGATGAGCCTGACATACCTCCTGCAGTACACACTATGATGATGCATACTGGTGGGCATGGCCACCCCCACATTGAGATTGATTCAGATATACTTGCTACTGCATACCAACTTGCTGGGCCAGCACAGCTCTCTGAAGTTTTTGGAGTCTCTGCCAGAACCATTTGACACCATGCACTTGAGCAGGAGATTGTCCAACCAGGACATCCTGTTTATGTTACATTTACAGATGACGAGGGGAATACAACCCATTGTGGGTAAGGAAAATAGAGATGCGAACTCCGGGGAGTCACAAAGATATCTACCTCGAGAGGCGAACTAGTAGGATCGTCCCTTAGGGGATGCTACTGAGTCAATCTCTCTTAAAATGAGAGGGATCAAAAGAGAGACCGAAGCCGAAGGTGTGCGAAAGCACGCGAAGATGCGCGAAGCCAATGCGATGGGCGTGCATGATACGCAAGGTGCGCGGAAGAGTCGGAAAGCGCGTGGTATGCGCGAAGTAGAGAATTGGCGAGAGAGGATAATAGAAAGCTTCTGAGAACTGATAGACAAGCCTTGATAGACTGAAGAGATGACGGGTATTTGCAGCGATGATATTAGCACTCTATGCGCGACTAAGCAGGAATACAGATACTGAGTCCAAGTAGCAGAAAGTAAGCAAGTCCCAAATCCTCTAAGTGCTCTAGATATGTGAGTCGCTACACGCGCTCTCAGGGTAATGAAACATAAGGGAAGCGGATAGGCTGTGCGGAAGCGCACAAGGAAGTGGATAGGCGATAAGTCAATATGTAAAGACCCTGGATGTGGTCAGCAACAGATATAACAGTGAGAACATGTACCAACGGAGCCGGACAGATGGGACATGACATGAGAGGGTAATCCGAGTAGGGCGCTAATGAGTAGGTATGCACGCCTTGCGCGCATATCTTGCGCGCGAGCGCCAGTGGTCGTGTACGTTGCGCGCATGTCTATAGGACTGCGCCTACCTATGGATAGTGATGAGGTCGATGTGGAAATAGGGTTATACGAGCCTGTAGATATACCGCTCTCTACACTGTGTCTATACATCTGCAACTGGCTCACAATCAACTCTTACAGATGAAGAGCTGATACCATCATGTTGGATATTCTCACCACATTCCCATCTTCCAGTCGTCAAATGATAGACGGTCACCTCCACTATCTAGGGCAACATGTTCCACGTCGACAAATTCAGGAGTCCTATGCACGAGTGAATGGTCCACCAGTGGCGGCTTTTGGACTTCACCAAATTCAAAGGCGTGTATACCGCGTTGCTGGCTATAACTCCTTACAGCACCACAATGGGCAATATGGAAAGTTTATTTTTCTTCTTACCACATATCACTCACTGTCAGTTCTCTCTCCATAGGCCTCATACAATACAAGTTGGTGACCCATGCATTTATTGATGGGTTTTCACGCTTCATTACTGGTATTCGTATCAGCAACAACAACTGTGCAGAAATGGTATTTGATCTGTTTCAGTCATGTATTCAAGAACACGGTGTGGGAGAAATCGTAGAAGTCCGCTATAGTGATAGTCTACCGATCCTGCTGGGTGCGAGAATAGTAGTCGACCCAAGGGGATAGCTCTGAGAGCAGTTCCTCAAGTATGAGCGAGGGGAACAGTGAAGAAGGAAGTGATGCGCTGAAGACAGAACGGCTGTGTATGTGAGGAGATGCGGAGATGCGAGAATGCGCGGAGATGCAAGGTATGTAGATGCGGAGATGCGAGGTATGCGGATGCGGAGACACAAGTGAATGTCTAGAGGGTACCAGGTATGTGAAATGGGTAGGATACCAGGTATGCGAAACGGGTAGGGTACCAGGTATCAGAACAGGTAAACGGGTAGAGCGAACTAGGTACCAGGTATATGCGAAGACATGCAGAAACCGCCTTGCAAAGGAACTCAACTAGGACTAGCAATAGTCAACTGTCAATGGCGATGCGAGCGTTCGCGCGGGATGAGAAGGCAAACAAGTGATTGCTCAAGCAAGGAAAGACAAGGTAAGACTAAGCTAGTGACTCCGCAACACACAACCAGAGAGAGGGAATGTAGGAAAGTGCTGGATACGAGTCTGCAATGTAGTATATAACAGAGTCCGTAAGAAACCGGAACTGTATAAGCAAACGCATATGTACGCGAAGTCGGAGGGAGATAATATGTAAGTAGCACTATGCGACCTCGTGCATGGGGACTGATATGTAACTGGCCCTGCAAACGGTTAGGAATGACTAACTAAGGATGAGAACGCACCAGTGAGGATGGACAGATGCAGACAGGACATGGACAGATAGTACGTTGCGATGCGATGAGTGCGCGGATTCCGCAACCTCGTGTGATGGTCCGCAACGGCCTGTGGAAGGTATGCGTGACTTTGTCCAGTAAGGGGAAATGGTGCCGTACAGGGCTGCAGCCAGATCGTCTCCTACAACGGTCTTCCACAATGTGTACATGGAGATCATGGAGGCAAAAATGTAATGGTAGCAAGATATATGGAGGAGGTGCGGGGATCACATCAAGGATCATATATCTGGGGCCAGTAAATCAAATTGCTTTGAATTCATTAATACTGAACATACTGATATCTTTATAGTAGTGTCCACAATATTCACATTGAGCGTCTTTGGGTCGACTGGACCAGCAGGGTTGGCTCAAAGTGGAAGATGTTCTTTCAAAACCTCGAGGTCCATGATGGCCTTGATCCTGACCTGCCATCTCATATTTGGCTACTGCACCACTTATTTCTCAACATGATCAACTCTGAAGGGCTACAGTGGGAAAATTCATGGAATGTCCATACAATGACATTGCCAGGTCAGTGTAATGACAGCCTGCATGCCCTCCACTTCTTCAGTATCATTAGTGGAGGTGGATGTGGACTTGACGTCCATGAAAATAATCTACCTCACTTTCAGCCAATGGCAGACAATCTAACCCCTGATGGCATAGAAGAATACAGAATTGACTGGGAAGCCTATGACGATCATCACATGCGACATCATAATGTTGATGAAAACCCCCCTGATCATCTGGAAAACAATCTGTTTGTTGCTCACTGGCCTGAGCAACATAATGTTGTAGAGGTAGAGGCGCCAGACTGTCCTCTGAACACACAACAACTCGCATTTTTGGATAGTTCCACACAGGGTTTACCAGTTGAGACCATGGACGGGTGAAGATTGTTATGGGTAAAAGCATTGGGAATTTGTCGGGACAGTTTTGAATGGACGGTGTAGAACACATTTAACAGGTGCAAAAATTGTATCATTCTCTGTACAAATTGTATTCTAACAAAGGAAGCAGGTCATTGCTATTAGTATCTGAGAGAAAAGTACATGTAAATGCAAGTTACAAAAGAGTGTGGATTCATGCGTTGAAAACATCATGACCAGCATCAAACAGAGCTGCATGTAGACAAACATCAACTGGAGTAACGGTCTGGTCATTGTCTGGAATGGGGAGTTGTAAAAATGTATGAAGTACCGAGTTGGCAAATAAGTCCATTGTATAGGTGCAGGCATGAAACACAGGTGGTAAGAAATCATTCTGAACCTGAATATCATCAGAATAAATGTCTACAAATCAATTTTAAAAACACACACCATATTGGCCATTAAAGGTGGCGGATTGGGAAATGTTTTGATGCATGGTGATCTACACAGTCGTCAGTCAAAGGTATTCAAGTCACAATCAAATACACATACGGTAAAAGATCTCTCGTCAGAAGGTAAAAGGCTAATACCACTCATCAATTTGACAAAGTGGCGTACACCATAACATGAGTCTCGATTATCAAGGTCAAGCTAAGCAGAAGCGATGATGTTTGTGAATGCAGGATGGGAAGGGTGGCCAACACCTTTAAAGTAGTGTTTGACATGCTCCTGAAGGTTGGGGAGCAGGGCGGCCATATCAGAATGGAAGTCAGCATCACCAGATGCCTCAAAAGATAGAAAAGGAAAAAGGTCGAAAGGAGAGGACAGTTGACGACAGGCATATGCATCAGGAAAATGTGTTTTTGCCATAACAGGTATTTGTTGCTACAAGTAGCTGCTAAGAGCTACTGAGACTGCCAAGAGCTACTAAGTGCTATTACCAGATGTCATGAAAATTTTTCACTTCAAGTATATATACTATAGTACTATCAATTACTAATGAAAGTTGTAGTCCTTGTCAAGGGGAGTCTATCCACAGTCTCATGACATCAATAGAGTAAGATCCTAGTGAGTTATTAGCAAAATACTAGAAAGTGATGTGTTCAAGAAAGTTCAGGCACACCAAATATTAGTTGGTTGAAAATTTTCCCACGATCTACCCTAGTCATTCCTTATCATTCAAAATCCTAGTCAGTATTAAGGTAGACGACATTGAAATACAACTAGTGCCGCCATGTAATCACGTGACTGTTCCCACGGCCAAATCTCAGAATTCGAAAATCCAAAATTACTATTTGCCTCGAAAATCACTTTGACAACATCAAAAAAAAAAAATTAAAAAACAATAAGCTTTTTATTTTACCCTACATCCACACTTAAAGTACTAGGAGTATCAAAGGAGTATGGTTATGACTGACTACGCACCAGTAGTGCTTACCTTGATTGTGGCACAGCCTGGTGTTATGTAATATACCATATATGGTTAAAGTGGTATCACGTGACATGGCCAAATCTACGGGACAAATATTTTATTTTCCGCCTATAGCGTCGGAAATGTATTTGGAGATGAAATACAACATATAGAAAAAGTGGAAATAGCTCTCTTAAATTTTAGTTTTGAGAAAATTTGAGACCATCAAGCTATCTAGAGAGGTCTTAGGAACAGATTGGTGCAAAAAGAATGTTTGGAAAGTGGATGAGGAAAGTGCAATAAGTTGTGCAAAATGGTGTCTCAAAATGTAGTTGGATTTTAATGTCGTCTACCTTAAGCAATCATAGTTTTAATAAGCAAAACATGGTCACATGACTTGTGTGCCTAAACTTTCTTGAACACATCACTTTCTAGTATTTTGCTAATAACTCACTAGGATCTTACCCTATGGACGTCATGAGACTATGGATAGACTTCCCTTGACAATGTCTATAACTTTCATTTTGGTTGAAAACTTTCCCACGGTTTACCTTAGTCATTCCTTATTCTTGGCTTAAT